AGTCGGTCGCTGCCGCAGCACATTCCAAGGCTGGGGCCAACAGGACACTCAAGAGTTCCTAGGATTTCTCCTCGACGGCCTGCAAGAGGACTTGAGCCGTATCAAGAAGAAGCCATACATCGAGAAGCCTGACTCGACTGATGATATGATCAATGATCCTGAGGCTATCCGCAAAATGGCCGACGATGTGTGGGACATTACGAGGAGGCGCGACGATTCAGTCATTGCCGATCTCTTCACAGGCATGTACAAGTCGACGCTGAAATGCCCTGAGTGCGGCAAGATAAGCATCACCTTTGACCCGTTCAATAACCTCACCTTACCGCTGCCGATCAAGGAGGTCTGGTCTAGCCCTGTCATTTTCTACCCTTTGAACGACGTGCCAGTTAGGATCGAAGTTGAGCTACCCAAACACAGCGCCATGGACAGCCTCAAGCAATACATCTCCACGCGCACCGGTGTGCCTGTCGAGCGCCTTATGGGGGCGGAGGAGTTCAAAGGGAAGTTTTTCAAGATCTACAGCGACAATGAGGACGTTTCCGAGGAGATTGGTAATAGTGATATCCCCGTGCTGCACGAGTTGGAAGCTGCACCCTCCAACTGGCCATTGAAAAGCAAAAAGAAGAGCCGCTCAATGCTGGATCTCTCAGCCGAGCCTGCCGAGTGGGATGATCCCGCCTATGACCAGCTGTTGCTTCCTGTTTTCCACCGGGCGCAGAACGCGTCTCGTATGGCCGATATGGTCCCGCCACACTTCATTGTTCTGAGCAGAGATGAAGCCTTCAACTACGAAGCGATACAAAGGAAGGTCTTGGAGAAGCTAGCCACTTTCTCCAGCTTTCCTGCGTTGAGGCAGGGCATGGATGAGACCGCCGAGACCGATGCTGTTGTTGTGTCTGCGTCAGATGCAGAGTCTTCTAACGAGACCAAGGTGACTGCACAGTCTGTCAAGGATGAAGAAGATACGGTTGATATCACCATGAAAGATTCCGCGGACAGTGTCCAAGCTCGACCGTTGCCTCACGAACCACAGCTCCTGAAGCAATTCAACAAACGCCGGCCGGCTTACGCTAAATCGGATGCTTTCCTGGATCCGTCCCTGCAAAACCTCTTCGAGCTCTGCTACTTTACTGATGGTACCGACTCTGTTCCCTCTGGCTGGTCCCAACTGCAAAGCTACCGGCAGCAGCTCCCCAGGGTCGCAGACCGCATGCCACAGCCGTCAGGTGAGAGTGATCACAGCAGCCCCGGCAGCTGGGACAGCACCGCCTCGGGCAACGATGATAGCGGCGCCGAGGCAGACGTTAAGACAGAGGTTTCGCCCCAGTCGTCGCAGACTCGCATGGCTGAGGAATCCAGTGAAGAGGACGGCCCCGCTCGCGTAAGTAGTACTGGATCGCTCTTGGCAGAGCATTTGCTAACGGATCCTAGTTTGAACGCAGATCACCCCCTCGGAAGATGAAGGGAGGCAAGAAGAAATTCAATAAGGAGCAAAAGACCTATGGAAAGAAGGCGCTGAGGCGAGAGAAGAAGTTGCGCAAAGAAGCGCAAAAGGCCGCATCTGCCGCCGTGCGGCCCCAGCCAACACCCCGTGCCCAAGCTGACGGCGGTCCGCTGCTTCGTCTTGGTGAGGGACTTGTCGTTGAGTGGAATGACGATGCGTGGGATCACGTTTTTGGGAAGAACATGGCAACATTCTCCAACATTGAGACTCTCCACGATACCGCTCTTAAGATCAGCAAGTCTCGTCGCGAGAGTCGCCGCTCTAGAGGCATCACCCTGGAAGAATGTCTCGACGAGTTCGAGCGCGCCGAGATCCTTTCGGAGCAAGACATGTGGTACTGCCCACGATGCAAAGAGCACCGCCGAGCAAGCAAAAAGTTCGACCTGTGGAAGTCTCCCGACATCCTGGTGGCGCACCTGAAGCGCTTCAGCAGTGCTGGGTACCGCCGTGACAAGTTGGATGTCCGCGTCGACTTTCCCATCGAAGGGCTGGACCTGACCTCGCGCGTGGTCCAGAAGGAGGATGGTCAGGACGAGATCTACGACTTGATTGCGGTGGATGACCATTACGGCGGCCTCGGCGGTGGTCATTACACTGCGTACGCCAAGAACTTTATGGATGGCAAATGGTACAACTACAATGACTCGTCCGTCAGTCAAGTGTCAGATCCGCAGACCGTGGTCACCAACGCAGCCTACCTGTTGTTCTACAGAAGGCGCTCGAGTCGCCCATTGGGTGGGCCCAGGTTTGCAGACATCTTCGACAAGTTCGACAACGGCGGCGAGGCAGAGGAAGATTCGTCCACCGAGATGGAAAATGATTTCCAAGCCAATGGAGGTTATGAGCAGTCGCGGCCCGCTATTAGGAACCGGACCTCGACTACCACCACCGTTAGGCAGCTCAACGGAGATAACGGGTCAGACGACGATGAGCCTCCTTCGTACACATCCATTCGCCAGAGTGTCGAAGATGAGGGCATCGAGATGGACGATTCGTACGCACAGCCAGCGCATGCTATGCAACAGGGATGGAGTTTTGATGACAGAAACAGCATCGATGGAGGTAGTGACATTGCTCAAGTCTCGGGCGATGAAAGACGTCAACTATCGGAAGATACTGAGATGAGGTCCAACACATCAGACCTTGATCCTGACTCGGATGCTGAGCTTGACGCACGGGACGGCGTGATCTCGGTGCCGGCAACGACAGCAGGCCTGCGCGGGTCGGAGGAGGTTGCGGAGATCCATGTGGAAGAGGACAAGACCACTCGCCATGTGTAAAGGCGCAGATGCATTGACGATGAGATGATGACGACGTAGACGATGGCGGAAGACTCGCATGGGGACAAATGACAAGCTGGAAGGCAGCATGGCGTCTGTACAAGGATTGCCCGGCATAGACATACTTACATAGATGCTCGCGCGCATGACACACATGTAGTACCGCATGGCAGTACCGGACATAGTAGCTTATTGCAGCGATGACTCTATAGGATACATGAAGCGCGTGTCTACAACTATCGGCGCAAGCTGTCTGTGACTTTGCCCGGGGCCCCCTTGGCCGTGGGGTGGTGAGTAGGTGTAGCGCCGGTGCGGTCCAGCCTCCGGGTTCGATGAGAACGGGCGTCGACTGGCGGCCGCTGGCCACCATGAACATGCGACATCCGTAGTAGAGGTTGCCGAATAGGAGACCACACATCGACAACTGACTGATGGGGTCTTTTCTCTTTATAGCAAGCAGCTACTCACCAGTTACTTGGTATTCAGTGCCATAGATCACTCACTACAGTATACAATTCACAGGTTTATCCAGAACCCTATGCAGTCTTCACACCTTGTGGGTGCCTACAGGCCAATAACTATGCTCGACATTGGCACTACCCATGGCAGCGATATTGATCGAGCAGACATACTAGCACTTAGCAGCAATGTTGTCGAGAGAGTGCGGCAATTTATTAGTAGCATGTCGAGATGTGGTGCATCATGAGGTCTCGGATGACTGTTGCCAAGTACGGCAATTTACATCTTGATTGAAATAAGCTACGTATACCACATTTCTGAGAATCTTCCATTCTTTGCGACAATATCGTGTGCAGGGTTCCATGTCCTTGGCCGAATTTCCAAGTTCAATGATAGGCCGCGACTCCCGCGAGATGTTGGAATGGGAGGATTGATTGACGAAATGGCATCTATTGATTCAATATTTGGGCAGGCCGGGATGTCAAGCCGTGACCATCCTATGCCCGGAGGAACTCTACAAGGAACCAACTTATAGGTAAGGTCAGAAGGAACCAACAGAGAGCCCGCCCGATGAAACGTTGCCGCATCGCGAGATCAGAGACATTCTCCACGCGGCGGTGCAATGCGATGACGGGGTCAATTTGTGTGTATAGCCATGGCAACAGAAACAAAGTGTATGCCAGGACGAATTCAGCGGCGAGGGGGGGACGGAGAGTAAGTCATAGTGATACGGGGGTCTGCGGGTTCTTGTTTCGACACGAGGAGAGAAGGAAGAGAAGGGAGTCAGAAAAGTGAGGAAGAAGTCATGGATAAGGACTGAGGGTCATGCCCAGGGCCGTCAGTGAACCTGATCGCACTAGGCTCAGGACTCAACTACAGATAAGGTACCCAGAGCAGGACCTGTGGCTTTTCTCGCAGAAAGCATAAGTGATCCGAGCATGTCACGGTCAGTTTGTTGGCCTGGATTTGTAAACACATAGCAATTACTGGGTACTTGCTTGATAGATACCTAGGAAGAGTAGGTACCGTCTGTGCCCCTATATATTCATAATCTTTGCTCGCCAAGGTGACATTGCATTCTTCTTGTGATGGAGTACCTTGAACTTGCTTTTCTATAGCTCATTTTGACGCTAAATCTGTCCAACGAACCATGAATCAAAGATGGCTCCCGTCCGAAGTCAAAGTCTGTGATCCCCAACGCCAGCCCCTGAGTCTTGCCTTCCCCCCGTAACTTCCGGCAAAGTGAGGCGAAAGAACATTGAAGTTTGACAATGATGCGTGCCTTCTACCTCGAGAACCTAGGCCCACCAAGTAGTACCTAGTACCGTGAGCAATGCCTCAATAAGTACTAGTACGTACCCATACGCGAGAGAGACCCCGTCCGCTGCTTTCCTGGCACATTGGTAATGTCTTTCCCGCCATCGAAACCTAAGGTAGTACCTACCATAAGTGCAGCAACTCGGCCTTCTTCGTTCTCTCACCCTCGGCTGTCCTTTCACTTTGGAACGTGGCCACGAACTCATGACTCAGAAGTCAAAGAGTCCGCTGTGATCCTGAGATAGTCACAATCTTTGCTGAAGCCTTCGATTTGCAAGCAAGCTGTTCATAGATGGTAGTTCCTCCGCACTGGGGGCTCTTCACCAGACGGCTGTGTCTTGCAATATTTCGTCGTTTTATTAGTACCAATTGCCAGGAGTTTGCTTAGGGTGATCCTGATCTTGTCATTACCCCAGGGAATCCTTTTAAAGAAGGATATGGTCCGCGTTTCTGCTTTTGGTAACGCGCAACTTGAAGGACCTGTGTGGAATGTGACTGCGGCCACCGGTTCAAAATTATGCTCGCGATGGTCGAAGATTTGCCCCTTGAAAGGGAACAGGAACGTCAATGCAGGGTTGGTTGTGGGTTGAGAGTACGAGCTGTTCTACCTAGGTACACTTGGTGCTTCTCCTCCCAGGCCACGCCCAACGAGAGTTTGACCGTTGGTGGCTGACTCAACTGTCAGGGTAGCATGAAATTGAGTGGAGGTATCTAAACTGTGGTATATGAATCAGTACACTAAAGACATATCTCGAACCCGGAGCATGAAGGGAAGACTTACTCCAATAAACTCCATCCACAATGCGACCGTGAGACCGACTGAAAACAGGTAGTACCTCCTCCTCTCAATAGGGCCCGGCCTCTTGCCGTTTATCCAATTGATTTTAAATGATGGATGAAGGGCCAACCTCAACCCATGGACAATTGTCAGAGACAGGAGCTCACCCATTTGACAGAATGCTAGATCTGGCGGGCTGAAGAGACCAATCGAGTCCGGGACACCTAGCCATGCTTGAATTGACCAGAGCAGAGTCGGGATGCGCAAGATTAGCTGGATGAGAGGGCCAGAATTGCTAACTTTGGTGCTTGCGCAGTCCATAATTGATGCTGTATCCGATTCGTGGCTCTTGGATGGGATTAGGCGGTTTGTAAATTTCAAATTGGGAATAATGAGAAGCCCGTCACACTCACTTGAGGTATTGCTGAGCTGTATTAAAACTATACTATACCTACGCGGGTAGATTACTACTATATAAGCCATGCGGTCAGCGCGCTCTAACGAAAGGCAAAATTGACAGTTCAAGAACATAGCTTCACAGGGTACATGTATGTGACCTAGGTTTTGATGGTATTATTGGTATTAGACGGAGTGCGCGCGCCAACGACTAGTTGATCTCCTCATGGCGCACCATTGCGGTGGTGATCTGTGCGAAGACGGGGTGATCACATGCACCGCCACTAACATGTTACATGAACCATGGTGATCTCTGGCCCTGCAGTGCCGAGAGTCCGGGACTCCGGAGGCCCAGTCTCATGACGGGGCCCCATCCCCGTCCTTCTAGTCAGCGGGCCCCCGGCGGAATACGTATCGCGAAAAGACCAAGGTATTGGTTTTAACTTTTCAGTAATAAACGCAATAATAATATCAACAAGACAGTCCTGCAACGGATTGAACGGATGGATGGGGCTGCGTCGAAAGTACGTCCGGTTTCGGCCATCGGGCCATCTGTAGTACGGAGGTACGTATTATTAGTGCGCGTACTGTGAATACAGGGGTGATGCTACTGCAGGCCACAAAAGAAGCATCATTTACCACTCCAGAGTCCACTCGCATATTCGCACGTGTTCGCACGATCAACCATTCTCGAAGACGACGAGAAGCTTTCCACGAAGCTTGATCGCAACAATCGGTCCGGCTAGCCAATTCCAGGCAGTGGTGGCCTCACCCCCATTACCAATTTGCACGCAGGCTTGACCCTCACAGGTCCGTGTCCGCGACTCCTAATTATCACGGTAATGCCCATTGATATGAAATTTCGCGCAATCAGTTGTCAATTTGTTGTCGCATTGCATTGTGAGCTGGTCTAGTCTGGTAGGTGAGCGAGCGCTCAGGCTCCAGTCGCCTGTGGCGGCTGCATGAGCAACTGTCCATGTCCCCGCTTTTGGCAGCTTGGGCTTGGCACCTATTACTGCACTTGCACTATCACTTATCAGAGAACGACGTCTCTACGCATAGGACAAGAACGAGGTTGTCGCAACCATCGGATCGGCACGATAACTTATCGTTGCACGATTTGTATCATGTAATAAGGCTACCAATTCTAGGGGTTCTGCCTTGCGCCCAAGGTACGCACCCTGGCGATAGCGGAAGTGGGGAGAGCTTCAACGCATCGGAAGGACCTGACTCAGTTTGGCGGCTTTGTATGGGTTCGTTAACATTCGTCACTGCTGAGCAGGCAGCCTTGACAGGACAGAGCCATCGTACAGACCCTCAAGATCTCGTGATCATGAACAGTTAGGACAAAGGTGGGCCGACAACACTGTTCCACGCCGCTCCCACATGTTTAAGTAAGGAATCACTAACAAGTTGAGTTGTGCTCGGGGCGTGCATCAGTGCCTCGTCATTCAGCACTGGGATGTGATTAATACAGAGATAATGGCCAGACTGACCACGTCCGAGTACGCGTGGACTTGTCAAGTATTACAGCCCGCTGGGAGGAGAAATTCACTCAAAGCCAGAGGTCGCGCTGGGTCGTGCTGAGTGCACCGGAGTGCATCATTTCCTCGTGCTAATTAATTAGAAGCTGTTTGAGCGCAGAGGGCAGGGCGCACAGGGCGCAGCGTACCATACACACATGCATCATACCTGTCGTGCAAGCAACAACAAGTACCAATAACTCGGGGTTTCGGCCTCGACATGGCAATGCAGTTCTTCCGAATTGCTTCTGGTCTGCAGCAGCCAACTCAGACCGTTGTTAGGGTGCCTGCGCCTTTCCCTGAGGTCCAGTCATCTAGGGTTGGTTGATTGCACGGGTTGGTGGGAGACGGTGATAGTTAGTAGCCTAATAAAGTAAGCAGCAGCCTGGGCGGCGCCTGCAGAGCGCCGCCTGCAGTGGCCCTGGCCCATTCCGAGGTACAGGCATCTGCATGGTTGCGCCCGCCTCAGCTCAAGTACCTGCCCGACCTGACCAGGGATGCCTGGCTTCCATCTGGACTCGTCTTTCCTTCCATTTTCCTTCCACTGCAAGGTGGGCCAGATTCTCCAGGCGCTCAGCTAGGACCGGACTGGACTGGACTGGAGCCACCACGACAAGACGGGCGAGAGGGCCCAACTCAATTCCCTCCCCCCAATTTGTCCCAGCTTGTCTCCGGAGCCTCCTTGCCTTCGACTTTCCCAAACCTCCTCTTCGCCATTCCCGACGTCCTACTCACGCGTCTGGACCGCTGCCTCAAACCTGCACGATCTGCCGCACCGATACGATTCTACCCAGTCTCTGAGGCGACCCGCTGCGGCCGTGCCTTGCTTGGCTTTCACGATACTACACCACCACCACCACCACCACCACAACCACCACCAACAGCAACCGACCGCACTAGGCTTCAAGGGCGGACAACCACGACTTGTCGACACTGCCCGACCGGCGAGCGAACAGCGCGACTACCAAACTTGTAGAAGCGCAATGCCCGACATATAGTTTTCTCGAAAACAAAGGACCTAGCCTGCTCTTGTTACGATTCTGCACGTCGGCGCTGTGCTCACTAGCGACCCCATTGCGACAACAGACTCCGCGCCACATTCGCTCCTCTATCCACCAGACGACCATCATCATCAATCCTTGTGCCGGGCCGCCTCTAAACCGGCTGAATTGGCGATAAGATTCAATAGAAAGCTACGAGAAACTCTGTCGGCAGATACTGCCACGATCCTTCGATCAAGCGTACCATTGCCTCCGCACCTCGATCCGCCACCACCAACCTCTGCAGTTGCACAAGTTACAGCGGCGATCCAGTCGCGGGGCTGGTAGCTACCCGTCGACACAATGGACCCTCCTGCTTGCAATGTTATCTACGTCAACCGCGATGTTGGCCCCGGACGTCTTGTCCGTGCCACCGCGGAGGCGGTGGACAGCGATTGGCAAACCGACCAGGTGCGCCGAGATCTACAGCCGCTTCTGGAGGCATTCGGTGATGGTGTGTATCTGATCGGATAGTATCGCAATGCTCCAGCTGACCTTGCTTCTAGTCCATGTCTGTAGCTCTGGTGTAGAATGCTTAGACCGGTTACTCCAGCTTCACGATCGAGCGATGACCGACATGCAGCCTACTTTGATACTACTCGACATCCCGCCCCACGATCGCCTCCGAGAGCAGCAACGACCAAAAACGCGCTCGCGGTCACCGTCGCCAACTGGTTCGCTTCCACGTGAAGAGACACACGCACCTGATGAGGAGCTCTACGGTCTCAACCTGCTGCAAAAGCTGATCACGGAAGCACACCTCCGAAACATTGCAAAGCTCGTTGTTCCGATTCCCATTGTCAGCAACCACCTTTCTAACCACTCAGCCACGGCGCAACAAATGACGGATGGCACACGCGAGCACCATCCTGGTACCTCATCTGGTCTGGCCGCTAACCGCGGCATGATAAGAAAGTGCCTCGAGTTGGGGGCTGCCGATGTCATCATCAGTCCTTTGAGCGTGAGCTGTATATCGACGCTGGAGGTTTGCGCATACAGAGCGCAGCGCGATGCGGCCAAGGAGCATCAGGCGATGCTCGACATCAAGCGGGGCCGACAGCGCTCCTGGGTTGGCGTGAATGAGGAAAGACCTTTTTCGTACCTGCGTGAAGCGATGGTCTCCAACCTCATGAGAGGGATCTGTCGGCAGCAGTCGGAAGACGAGCTGCTGAGCAGCGTCCACGTAGCCGTGTCACAATCGCGGCAAGCTGAGGTGGCCCAGGCCGTGGCCAGCTGGCACTTTTCAGCGCACGCCTTCACCGACGATGAGCTCGTGGTGGCAGCCATGGTCATGTTCAAGCATGCACTCAGCATGCCGGGGCTGGAGAAGTGGCGGATAACGACAGGTAAGTTTATGCACTCTGCTCTGGGGGAGTGGAAAGGGGCTTGCCGCTGACTACCGGATCGTGCAGATCAGTTGATCAATTTCCTCACGGCCTGCCGAGGCGCTTACAATAACTTTGTACCGTATCACAACTTTCGCCATGTTGTCGACGTGTTGCAGGCCACCTTTAATTTCCTGGTCCATATCGGGTCACTCGCGCCGTATCCCACGTCGCCCCAGCAGCCAAGCGCTTCAGACCCGTCGACGAGGTCTCCCATGGGCGCGCTGATCACGTCATTCGAGGCCTTGACACTGCTCATCACCGCTATCGGCCATGATGTCGGCCATCCAGGTGTTAATAATGGTTTCCTGGTAACGCTGAATGCGCCACTCGCGCAGCTCTACAACGACCGTTCGGTCCTCGAGACCTTCCACTGCGCTGCGTACTCCCAGATTCTCCGCAGGTACTGGCCCGCCGCCTTTGAGGATGCCAAGATGCGGAATCTCATGATCAGCTCCATCCTGGCGACCGACATGGGCCTGCACTTTGACTACATGAAGAAGCTTGGCGACGCCCAGGAGAAGCTCCAGGAGAACAACACGACGGAAGGCTGGAACGGGAGGCAAATCGAGGACCACAAGGCTCTTGCGTGCTCTCTGCTGATCAAATGCGCCGATATCAGCAATGTGGTGAGTGATAACGTGACGGGCAACGATGACACTAGGGCTGACAAAGGTGGCAGGCTCGTCGGCATGACGCTGCGCAGCAGTGGATGCACATTCTGGCGGAAGAGTTCTCGCGACAGGCGTCGATGGAGAGCGAGCTCAACATTCCATCCTCCCTCATGGCCCCGCCCAAGAAGGACATGGCATCCTTGGCTCGCGCGCAGCTCAGCTTCATGAACCTGTTTGCCATACCGCTGTTCCAGGGTGTAGCAGACATCATGCCCGGGATGGTGTACACGGTCCACGAGCTTGAGACGAACAAGACTCTCTTTGAGGCGATTGTGGAGGAAGAAAAGACAAAGGAGCAGCAGGGCGAGGCGGCGCAGAGGCGGCTTCGCAAAGAGGGGACATTGTCACCGAGGAGCATGAGCTATGCTGTCGGGATGGAAGAGGCCAGCGCGGAGTCGTCGTCACAGGCTGACCAGCGACGTGACAGGATGATGGAGGGGATATCCGAGGTTCTCGCCGAGACGCCAACAGCGCTGGTCGACGACGAGCAGCGGCCCGAGGAAGCCCTTGCCCTTGATTCATCGCCAAGCCCGCCAACCCGGAAGCCCGCGCACTTTCCGCAGTCCCGGGAGGGGTATAAGGAGGTCAATGGCAAGATCTCGACGTTTGACGCCATGCGGCAACTGGCACAGATCAACCCGCTGGCCGGGCAGGAGCAGGACACCACGGGCAGGGCGGAAGAGCCGCAAGCTGCGCACAGCCGACAAAGGGTGAGCGAGACGACCGAGGGCAGCAGTTCCGTCGCGGGCCTCGCAGGGGACGCAGCGTCGCAGAACACGATGGGCACGGGGAAACTGCCCATGTCGCCGAGCACCAAGGGCACGAGCGTTGTCAGCAAGGAGTCCGTGGAGAGGCCGACGAGCGCTCCCGGGACGGAAGCGCGCAGGTCCGCCTCGGCGGGGGCGGGGGCAGGAGCCGGGGCAAGTCAGCTCGCGCATGGGAGATTTGGACAGTCACCGTCGACGGGGAGCTTGGGCAAGACGGAGGGCAAGGCTTTGAAGAAGAAGACGAGTCGATTCCGGATGAAGGACTTTTCCTTCTTCAAGCGAAGCAAGAGCTCGAATCAGACGCATCGAGGATCCGACACATCGACGATCACTACGACGACTTCTATGACGAACGACAACCAGGGCTGATTTAGAGCTTGGTGTCGAAGGCGGGTGATTATTCCGCATGAACGACATGATGAACAGGCGTTTGTACAACACATCCCGGGGGACGGGCGGCAGCAGATGGCGGGTGCCGACGTTATATTTGCGGAGGAAGAGGAAAGGCACATGCACATGTATAAAGCTCGGTGCGAGCAAGCAGCCAGCCAGCCTACTGCTGAGCGTGGATGGCACGGCATATCATGCGCGTGCTAGGCAGGCGTTTCAATTTTTTTTTGGGTGGACAGGAGTTTGCGGACCCGACTGTGATTTCTGAGCGGACAGCGAAAGGGAAGAAAGGACGGACGGACGGACGGATGGACGTATAGGTGCATGTGATTGATAGCCATTAGGTCGCGGTGAAGACAATGGGACAGACAGTCCGTGTTGGACGAAGCAGCCAGTCGTGCGTGCAGTGCTGAGCATTATGATTAGTCCAGGGATGTGGTGATGTCTGTTAGGTGAAGAGGCATGTCTGGCGAGCTGTGGCAAGCTCGCAAAGGTATTCTCGATTGGGCAACGCCCCTTTGTCGTGTGGGATATGGGGAGGGCGGGCGAGGAGGAGGTTAGGGCGCTGCTGTTGGCATTAGCTTGGCTTGGACTGTCTGGTGAGCTGATGAGACTAACTTAGTTAATTAGGATGGATCGACCTGCTTATTAAGAGTCCTTCCAGCCAGATGCTCAACATTCACTTGGACGATGAACTGGATGCCCCAGGTTCTGGATCTGGGTCGCATGTCGTCGCTTCCCCGCATTGAGGCGGCCAATCCCCCCGTCATGGATCCTGGAGCAGCACTGGCCACCCTCCCTCCCTCCCCATCAATTCCTCCATCTAATTGGCAAGCCATCCACTACTCACTCTGCCACCGAATGCCGTGCATGAGTAGTCGCCAATGTGGTGTCTCCTTTAGGAAGAAACGGCCCTGGCCCGGCCACTCGCCCCAAACCTCCTCCTCACGCGACGCGGGACGACGAGCGGGTGATGGATGGATACCGCGGTTTTCCGACCCCGGTGGATGATGTTGGCTGCTCAAGCTTGCCGTGGCCGCTTGTCAAGCAGGGACCCCGGCCTCTGGGCCCTTGTTGATGATCCGACTGTCCGACGCTGCTCATATTTGTCGTTCGCACAGCACTCACCTCTTTCAACATCATCATCACCACCACCATCACGCCTGCTCTCCTCTGTCGAGAAACATAACCCACCCATACGGTGGATTCCTACATCGCTCCTTGGCCAATCCACCCGCCTGCTTCTCATCTGAAGCTGGCGACTCCCAATCCCTCGCCTGACCTCTACCTGTCCCTCCACTCGTTCATCGTCCAGAGTAGCAGCAGCACCACCGGGCGCACGCACATGGCCGATATGGACGCTCTCCCCGGGGCCAAGCCAGTCCTCACGCGGATGCCCGCGCTGCCGCCCAGCGACTTCCTGACACCAGAGCAGTGGGAGGTCTTCTATGCCTTGATGGATGGCGCCCTGCCTGGCTTCACTTCCAAGTCGAGGGCGCCCCAGCTCGGCGAGGCGCACCACGTCGCCCTGCCCGATGCCGAGTTTGACAAGATCCTGGACGAAGCGTCCAAGTTCCTCCCTGAGGGCCAGACGCGCGAGGATCTCGCTGAGTTCCTCGCGGCGAGGCCCGCCTCGGAACAGGCCTTGAGGGACGACTGCCTGCGGACGCTGGACGTGAACCCTGCCAAGAACAAGCTCGGGCCTGTGATGGACATGCTCAAGTAAGACCAGACCTCCCTCTTCTGTTCCTCTCTCCCAATGCTGCCGAAGCTAACCCGACTTGCTACAGCACACGCCTTGGGAGTCTCTTGCTCACCGGGTACTGGTCGCCCGTGACGGCGCAGCCCGCCCACGTGCGCCACGCCATCATCAAGTCGTGGAGCACATCCTCGTTCCCCGTGCTGCGTGGCCTGGCCAAGACGGTGGCCAGTCTCGCGTTGAAGGCGGCCACCATGACAGACTCCAAGCTGTTCGCGCTGGCTGGGTACATGGACGCCCCGCGCGACTGGAAGAGCGTCGATGGGTTTCCTTACGACTTTCTCCAGATCCAACCCGGCAGCGACACGCACGTCATCGAGACGGACGTGGTCGTCGTCGGCACGGGACCGGGAGGTGGCGTGGCCGCCAAGAACCTCGCCGAGGCCGGACATCGCGTGCTCGTCGTCGAAAAGGGCTACTACTTTCCCCCATCCCAATTTCCCATGGACCAGACGTCGGGCCTTCACTACCTCTACGACAACGGCCAGCCGTACTTGACCGAGGACGGCAACACGTCCGTCCTGACGGGGAGCTCGTGGGGCGGTGGCGGCACCATCAACTGGAGCGTGTCCCTCCGGACGCAGGACTATGTCCGCCAGGAATGGGCCGACGACAAGGGCCTCCCCTTCTTCGCGACCAAGCAGTTTGACCAGTGCCTCGACCGCGTCTGGGACTTTGTCGGCGCCGGCACCGACGCCATCCGCCACAACTACAGGAACAATGTGCTCCTGCGCGGCTCCGAAAAGCTCGGCTGGCGCGCCCACCCCGTCGCCCAAAACACGGGCAACACGGAGCACTACTGCGGCCGGTGCACGCTGGGCTGCGGCTCCAACGAGAAAAAGGGGCCGGCCGCGTCCTGGCTGCCGGCGGCCGCCGAGCACGGCGCGGAGTTTATGGAGGGCTTCCACGTGGAGAGAGTGACCTTTGCCGAGGACGGCACCACCGCGACGGGTGTCATTGGCGACTGGACGTCCCGTGGTCCTGACGGCGACGTGTCCGCGCCGGAGGGCGACAGGGTGCGGAGGCGCGTGCAGATCAAGGCCAAGCGGGTGATTGTGTCGTGCGGCACGCTGCAGAGCCCCCTGCTCCTCAAGCGCAGCGGCATCGAGGTGAGAAGGTCTGGTGTCAGAGGAACAGCACTTACTGACTTCAAATTAGAACGAGCACGTCGGCAAGAACCTGCACCTGCACCCGGCCAACATGGTGTCGGCCACGTTCGCCGAGCCCCAAGAGGGCTGGGAGGGCGGCATCATCACGAGCTGCAACGACGAGTTTGAAAACCTGGACCAGCACGGCCACGGCGTCAAGATGGAGACGACGTGCATGGTCCCCTTTACGTGCCTGTCCTCGGTGCCCTGGACGAGCGGCCTCGACACCAAGCTCATGCTCGCCCGCTTCTCCCACCTGGCCTCCTTTGTCACCATTGTCCGCGACCGGGACACGGGCACCGTCTTCCCCGACCCGCGCACCGGTCTGCCCCGCCTCGCGTACGAGGTGTCCCCCTTTGACCGCGACCACGCCCTCCAGGGTATCGAGGGCATGGTCAAGATCTGCTACGTCCAGGGCGCCCTCGAGATCATGCCGTACATGCCCGGTCTCGCGCCTTTCCGGGTCGACGCGGAGGCACGCGCCGCGTTCGAGGAGGGCATGGCGCGCGGCGAGGTCAAGGACCCCGAATTCTCGGATCCGAAGCTCAAGGCCTGGCTCAAGGAGCTGTGGCGCCTCGGTCGCGCACAGCCCCTCGGCCCTGTCGCGTCGGCGCATCAGATGGGCACGTGCCGCATGGCCAAGGCCCCCGAGGAGGGCGTCGTCGATCCCAAGGGCAAGGTCTGGGGTCGCGAGGGGCTGTTTGTCGCGGACGCCAGTGTCTTCCCCAGCGCGAGTGGTGTCAATCCCATGGTCACCAACATGGCCATCTCGGATATGATCTCGAGGGGTGTGAGCGAGGGTCTTCGAGCGCAGGGGGGATTTGATAATGGCGTCGTGAGGCCTGTTCATAGTTGATTGGTTTTGAGTACCCTGTACGCGCGTATGTTTGGGGATAGCGCAAGCGGCAGCGTTGTAGTTTGGTTGTTTGACTTTCCAAGCTTTCACTTTTTTAGTATATTGATTTACCTGGGTATACTGAGCCCGTAGCAAACGTGTACAGATCTGCTTGACAGTGGTCACACAATGTGCTGGTCGTGCTCGGTCTACTGTCCGTGGCGACAGAACCCCTCTACTCACCGGCTGCCAGCTGTCCATGTCGATCGACACGATGTGCAAAGCACACTGGATGTGAAATCATTCGAACCCAAGGCGTTTTCCAACGTGCGCACCCCGCAAAATGCCATCTCACCGACATATTCATGCATCGTCATGTCATCAAGTGCCGTGACATATCCATGTCCGGCCCCGGAGGCTCCACTCTTCATTGTGGCAGGCGGCAGGCCTGCCGAGGCTAGCACAGCCACCCGGGCTCGCCGTGCCTGCAGCCTGATGGCAACCGAAATAGGGCCTGAAGCCACAGCAGACAAGCCACATGTCCTTGCATACTTCGTCTGGGTGAATACGTAAGTAAGTAAAAGTGATCAATTAGCCACTGTTTCTTTTACCCTAGCCTCCAGTCACGCACGATGCACGCCTCAGCTGTGCAAGGGTCTTGAAATGCTGTTTGCTGTCCCAACTCGGTAGAACGCCACATTGCCCGCCCGTCTCCAGTGGAGCCTCCCGTGGCGCTCCGCACCGTCCATCGGCCACGGGCACGGAGATTTTTGCACTTTGGGCAGATCTTGCACAGCCTGTTATTTTTGGAAACACCATGGACCCGGAAACATGGGACTTTCCATACGCCAGATATGGACATCTCGTGATGCAGATTTTCCACGTAGTATTCGCCACTGACGAGCAATCTCAGCTGCCACGAAGCAAGCGACGGTAGCCGCGCGGTCGCAAATCCATTGTCTCGTGACCACGACGGGACCCTGGGCCCTGGTCCTTGGCTCCAAGAACAAGTTTCACAACGTCATAGGCTTGGTCTACAAAGCCAAGGGGGAGGACGGCCGCTGGTAACACGTATGCAGAACAATTCAGACCGAGCTGCCAGGGGAAGCTCACGTGACTGCACTGGCCGATCAAGTGACTCCTGTTGGACTGCCACGCGGGAGTGCGGAGGAGGCGAAAATACAGGATCTCGAAATAGGAATCGCATAGTACCCCTTTTCGAGCCCTTGTGCATCGCTCGCCTTGAATATGCAATATGCACCACAGTAATTGCCGACTGGCAATGCTGGATCTTGTCCAAAAAGCGGGCGAGTGCTGCATGCTCTGGAATCTGATATCGCTAGAACTCTTGCATCCGCAGGTACCGATACTTTGGCACTGTGGCTGGTGGACACTGCTCTGGTGTTTTCAACCACAGAACATGCAAGGACGAGCTTCATATTGTAGGACAGAATGCCAGGTTGAAGTAGGCTTAGACATTGCGTCTCTACCAATATTCCGGTGACGAAACCGGCTCAACTGGACGCCTAGTTGGGGCTACACAGAACAGTCTGTTATACCTGGCGCAATCTGATATCGAGTCAGTCGAGCGCAACTGGCTGGCCCACAAGTCCACGACGAATCTAGGCCCTGTCTCTGCTGTGCCTTTGAACAATGATCAAACGGTACCATTCATCAATTCTTGCCTCGATGATTGGTCTTTAATCAGACGGCCCTGGCGAATAGTAGTACGCGTCCGAGGCTTCGAGGTTCGGCCGCACTCCTGGTCGGAGACCCACTCAACCACCCTTCAACACATTATGCGGCTGGCCAATGACCGTACAGAAGTGCCCTTTTCAACCTCACCTCATCCAAGGCGCTACTCGGACACATGCCATCCATAGGCTCTCGTCGCTTCCAGTCCTGTGAACATCTCTTGGGGTTCCATGTCCTCCTCATCCCCATTGTCTCACCATCCTCGGGGCGCCATCACACTTATCATTCAAATCCCGTCTCTCTGGGTCCTGCGATTTCCCAATCAGCATGGGAGACTTATACGTCGAGCTCGATCCCCAGACGGGTGTCAAGGACCGTCGACCGCGTGTGGAAGGCATCCACAGCATCATGTCCATACCAGGGACTCACTCAGGGGCAAGTGCCCGCCCCTAAAGGCGCAGGTTTGGCGGCTTCTTCCTTGGCCGGGAAAAGGGGGGGGGGGGGTATCCTGGCGACGGCAACGAGGAGTCGACGACACCCTCAAAGACGGAGCCGTAGGCCAGTGTGCGCGACCATCGGCAGCAGCACGCGCCTGTTTCACTTGTTCTGTGCTGACGCTGGAAACTTGATATATGACGGTCATCTGTTTCTCTCCATGGCCCTTTGAGACATGCACCGCGCGTCCATTTGTGCGTGCATGTACCTGTATAGACCATGAGCAGACGCGTGCAGTCATGTGGTATCAAAAGCTGTCCTCGGCTCGACACGCCTCAAAGACCGTGGTAATTTCAGTGCCGACGAATTGGCGTTGTAGCCGGTCCTCTGTATTAAGCAGCGTTGGTCACGATAAGCCCACAGACTTCTCCATTCTACGGCGTGCATGATACCAGGTGGCCTTTATTTGGGCGAGGTCCTATTCTATACGCTGACGCCTCGTATGACAAGCATGTGGTCGTTTCCAGAAGTCTGCATGGGCTGCAGGCCAATTTGCTGCTCGCAGAGGGTCTGTCTGCCGTCCCTGGTGGCTGCAAGACGATGCGGTACGATAGTACCAACCGGACAAAAGGCATGCATCATTCATCTGCAAGCTGTCTACCCCCGTGCGACCCTGCCCGTGAATCCCAGAGCCGCACATGAGTCCAAAGATTGATGAATGGTCGATTGCGTGGTGATCTAGGATGGTGACACTGCGGATGTCTCGGCCGTAGTCAGTCAATCTGTACGCAGACACATCAAAGGCTAAATAAGCGCCAACGGCAGCTCGGTCCAGCCCTCGTTTGGCCAAGTTGTCAGTAACACGAGCCTCGACCAGGGCTTGGTTCTGCCGCCATGACGATGATGGTGACGGCGGATCTGTGAATGCGCCAATGACCCCAGATTCAGGAGCGAAAGCAACTGACTCACATGACCTTGCCTGAGCAGAGCAGAGCAGACTGGAGTGACGGGAGACTGGATTGGAGGCAGGCGCGCGTACCGGTACGAGCGCAGGTACGAGCGGCTTGGTGCGGCAGCTGGAATCGGACAGTGTGGCGTACGTACGTACGAGCTCTGCAGCTTTCAGCTGCGCAGGCCTTCTTCCTCGCATGCACAGGGCAGATCCCTCATCATGCATGCAAGCACAGCCTCCAGAGTCCAGCAGCAGCAGAAGCGACATGCGCTAAGACAGCCATTATGCATGATGCATCGGCCGACTACCAAGTATTAGCCCTAGCCCAGAGCTGCCTGCTATAGCGCGCTGTCGGAGCGGGCCTCTGCTTGTAGAAGGCTAGAAGCTCCTCCACTTTTAGCGCTGGGCGGTGCCTGCTAGCGATCGAGTGCCTGTTGCTTCAACTTGCACAGCGCTGTGCCAGTGGGCCGCCACTGGGACCCGGGCCCCAGCTAAGGTACGGAGCGCCCCGGCCAGCCCATCGCAGGTATATCTCGGTGCGCTCCCGCCCTCCCATCCCCCCCTCTTCCTTTTTTGCTCCTCACCACGAGGTCCTCGTCCTTCTCTTCTCTCACGGGTTGCGGCAGCTTAGCAGGCGATCCCATATCACGTCAAGAATTCCCAATCACTGCTCTGCTCCGTCATCTCGCCTTTTCTTTTCCGTCATCTCATATCTATATCTCGTCGCCTCTGTCCGACACCGAACGAACCCCGCCTTTGGATATACCCTCACGCTTTCACGCTTCAACTTCTACGATACCGATACGATACGATACGATACCCCCAACTCACCATGCCCGTTCAATTACTGCCGGCTTCGGCTGCCGCTTTCGCACCCCGCGCCTCATCAGTCAATGTTGTCCTAGGATCCAAGGTTGAGCTCTGGTTGACGCAGACCCTCAAGCGCATCAACCGAGTCAAGCGCCCACTCAACAGCGTCCCTCAACATCAGCGCTGCTTGACAGAGACCTTGTCGTCGTCAAATGCCATTTGGACACTCGCTTCCCTCATGCTGCCTAAGCTCCCCGAGGCGGACACGCCGACCGACCCAGATGAGGCCATGTTCAGCCACCAGCTCATTCATGTCGAGGCCTACATTGTCCATGTCGACATGGTCTTGCGCAACGAAGTCGCCTACAAGCTCACCAAGGACACCATCGAGGCGCTTGTCGAGTACCACAAGGAGATCCACTGCGTCGACGCCAAAGCCAACACCCACGACTGGCCCGACAAGGACCAGCAGTGCAAGAAGCTCCACGAGGACTTCGTCCAGGCCATCAACAAGTTTGTCTACCGGACTCATGTGTCTGCGCTCGAAGGTCTCGAGGAGGAAGGTGCTGGCGAGCTCCTATGTGGAAAAAGCGACGAGGTCAAGATCCAGCTCGGGAATCTCATGAAGCCGCTCCTGCCCCCGCCTTCTCGCGCCGTCGACATTGTCCGCCAGCCTCCCCTGCTGCCCAGCTCGCCGGCCGCCAACATGTGGCCCCAGTCTTCTGTCAATGGTGGTGGTCTCCCTGCCGTGGATGCTTGGAGGATCTTGCCCTCGAGCCCAAGTGTGACCTCGACATCTGCCGATTCCAACACAAGCCCCATCTGGGCCAACATGGGAATGAGCGAGTGCCAGTTGCCGTCCCCCACGCACGCATACAGCCCGCCTCACACCACGGCTGGATTCTACTTCGGCTCACCACAGGTGACGGCTCCCATGCCCCCTCTCCCCCTCCCCAGCATGTTCGCACCAGCTCAATGTGGTGTGAGCGTGGGCATAGGGATGGGGATGGGCATGAACATGGGCGGCTTTGGCTGGGATCGCTACAACGACTTCGCGGCCATCATTTGACAACGACAACCGCCAGGCACGGAGGGTCACCTTCCCGTGGTCACCACCTCGCCCACATGACATTGTGCGACGCATGTTTCCCGGAGCGAACAACAAACCAATCGACTTGTACAGCGGCATAGAACCAGCATCATCCCATCGGCATACGTATCGGCGTTTATATCCATTTGCATCGGACCGGAGTTCAAATGATTCGACAGATATCCACCCTTCGCGACATCTCCGTTCATCGTTATTTCCTCTTTCTTTTATTGCTTTTTTTTCCGGCCTGCAACACAGCGAGCGTCTTTGTTTTTCTGGGGAGCATTTCCTGTTTTTTCGCCTCGGGGAAACATCACTTGGCTCCCCCGTCGCACACCAGCCGCTAGTTCGGCCTCTGGACTGTTCCTCTTCACGGCACCGTCATCGGCGCTAGATCCGGGGCCGGCCTCCCAACGCACACGCAACACGGCAGCGACGACGATACTCACAACAAGACGGCTTGCGACACATCTTTCTTTTACACTGTTTCACGGTTACATCATGGGTCAAAGATAAGAGGAATGCAGCAATGCGCACCGCTCGGCTAGTTCCGAGACAGAATCCGTTCAGGATGTCGATTCCCCAATCGCTATTTTCCTTGTCTGTCTTTTTCCTTTTCCCTTCAAATAATACGGCAAGAGGCGGCTTTCTCTGAGGACTACCCCTTAATTGGGTGCTGGTTGCTCGAAACCACCACACGACCATCACCTTTACTTCTTTCCTTGGCTTAATTTCCCGCTTACGACTATTTGACGACGACTTTACGATTTGACGAACGAATAATCACGACTAAGTTCGACACGAGATTACGTTGACGAGACACCGGCTTGATGTCGGACTTGCTTACTACCTTACCTGCTCGACTTATTGTCCTTATTCGATTCGACATGGACACTTTCGCGGTTTGTTGGACTGGTATCCAACCACGCGCGATTCACTAGTCGTCATCAGCTCGTATGCCCCGTGGTATCTGGAATACATGGACGCTATGGGTTGGATTTTCTGGGACACGCCACAGCAACTGGACCAGTTGCTGACGGAGAGATCAAGGTTCAGCCACTGAGCTGGGCATCATTACGCTTCTGCTGAGCAGAGCTGATGCGGAGCCTCTCTTGTCGCCAAGCCGGGTTGTTTGCTGGATAAACACAGCCTCGTGCCATCTTCCAAGAGATCAAGAGCGGCATATCCTGCAACCATTCTTTAATCCCGATACTGTATCTGCTAGCCGGACAGTTTGGGTTGAGCGACATGGTCCATGGGTATTCTGCTTTTGGTTTGCGGAAGATGCCATCGGTGAACAACCCTGGCCCCCTGTAGCTCATCTCACTACAAAACCCTCTTCGCCCCCCGCGCCGCGTCGTCACGGAGAAATCTACCGACGGCGCGACCTGGTCGTTGGTGAAGGGGTGCCCGCTGGAGGGTGCGCTTCGCGGCCACCCCTGGTCGCTTCCATGCGTCCTGCGAGGCCCTTGAGATGCTGGATATATACAAATGTGCGTGCGAGGGCGCCGGATTTGCCCTGGAGGCAAGCGCCCTCGCACAAGGACAAGCTTACTATGAAACTGAGTATCACTGCTCGTGTTGTCTTGCCGCCGCAGTTCTAGTTAATTGAACACCATCTGTTCACCTTTGTGTGTCCTGGGCCTGTGAACGCACATTGATGTCTTGATTCTTCACGCGAAAAAGTAGCCAATACTCCCAAATGAAGAAGCAAAAGCCTCGATATCGCCCCGAGGTGTTATCATTAGAAAGTCGTACATATCCCAAATGCGCTATCGTTCCCGCCTCGTTGTGTAAGGTTGAGCCTCACGTGCCCGGACGCGTCTCGGGGAGTAGTCTCATGCCTTCAATGTGCCTGATCACGCCCCTGGGCCCCGAAATGTTCCCTCCTCGCTTTGCCCCATGACATAATGCAGGTGTACTTTGTATAGATGAAAAGTCTGTCTCTCTGCGTGCGCGTGTGTGTGTTCATCATGTCATTCGTGTTGTACAAAAAAATAAGGAAGAGAAAGAATGCTTCGTGCTGATGGATCCGATGCCTTAGTCCTGGTTCACGGTTTGCTAAATCAAGCGTTAGTACAACAGACCAACCCAGTCATGAGGGGACGAAACATACCACCAGCCAGTCCATGCCTTCATTCACACCGCTCCCGTCCACCGCCGAGCAGGCCATGATACTCCAGTTGCGGTCCCGCAGCTCGCCGAGACGCAGCGCCTCGGAGATCTCCCCCGCACCCTTGGCGCCTGGCTGGTCCTGCTTATTGGCAAAGACGAGCAGCGCCGCGTCCTTGAGCTCGTCCTCGTTCAGCATGGTGGCGAGCTCGTCCGAGGCGGTCTGTAGACGCTCGATATCGGTCGAGTCGACGACGAAGATGACGGCCGCCGTGTTGGCATAGTAGCACCGCCAGTACGGGCGAATACTAGTCTGGCCACCGAGATCCTGTTGGTGACCGTGTCAGTTTCCTTCTCGTTGCGAGGGGAAATGCTCTTGCGACTCGCAGGTGGTACGTACCCAGACATTGAAGTTGAGATTCTTGTATGTGACGGATTCCACGTTGAAGCCAATGGTGGGTATAGTTGTGACGACCTCTCCAACCTTCAACCTGTACAGCAGTGTCGTCTTGCCTGCATTGTCCTACTTTCGTCTCAGCCGCGATGCTCACGTTGTGTGGGGGATAGTGTGTTGCCCCTTACCAGTCCCAGAATCAGAATGCGGATCTCCTTCTTCGACCAGAGCAGGCCGCTCAACCATGACATTGACTGACCCATCCTGCCCACGGTCTAATGACGGCGCTGATCAGTAGCGATTCGTTTTGCTGCCCTGGCGAGATAGGGTCCTTGTTTGTTTCTCCGATCAGGGGGGGATCTTCGTGGTTGCCCGAGCACGTCGATTGTCGATCCTCTCGCGCTACGTCTTGTCGTGGGTGGATGGCGCAAAGGCGGAAAGGGGTATTTGTATTGTAGAGACTCAAAGTCTAATATCTTTGCGGTGATGATTTCTGTATTTCGGACTCGGGCGCGCTCGTCGTCGTGCTTCTTTGCCTCTGGAGAAGATGAACCAGAGATTAGAAATCGCAGTCTCCTATTCTGGACCTGAGGTATGATACCAGCAGACCTCCCTCTCGCTGGGCGAGACCCATCATGCTTTTTAGGTGGACCTCCAGTCGGGAAAGCCAAACGGCGAGCGCTGTTCTGGGGTTCTGGGGATGTGATTGGCTCCTGGATGGACTAATATGAATGCACAGCTTATTTCACTTTCATGCCATAGAGAACCGTCGTCACATGGACAGGAAAATTGCCGGTGTCTGTGGGAGCAGCTCGTCTCTCGACTGTTCTGCTGATCTGGCAGTGTTCTTCATGATGGGGCCAATCCTTAGTGCAGCGAGCGAATCTCGTGAGCAGCGCGTTGTACTGAAGGTGTCATGCGACCACGATTGAGTGCACATTCTTCCACTAAATTCAGCTCAGGCAATTTGAACGCATCGCCCACTGTAACCAAGGGAATTAATTCATGACTTGGAGCTTCGCGAATACCATGCAGTCATCTCCCGGAAGGTTGTGGCATTGAGAGACGATACTGTCCTTCGTTTATCGGGCATAGATAGCATTGCATGATAATTTTGTCGCCGTATCCCAAGCCACCAGCGGATTTCGATGACATAATCTTTTCAAATTTCCTTGCACCCGCCACAACGCTCAGCCACAGATGGCCTTCCCCTCTGCGACTAGGGCTCATCGCCCACACGATCCGCTCTGGCCAAAATTCTCGTTAAGGTAACCTCGAATTCAAGACTATCATCACCAAACCACCGACTCGACACACATCGCCAACCAAGATGCCGGTACGCTCCCCTACAACCACGAGACTCGCAGTCAGAGCGCTTCTATTGAGGATTTGAATTCCTGATTCCGCCGGAACCTGTTCGCCACGGATGATGGAGTTTCCCTCGAAGGCCACTGCGACGCCTTGCCCCCCTCGACCACAACGATGATGGCTGACGTTTTCTTCTTCCTCACAGAGCCACAAGTCTTTCCGTACCAAGCAGAAGCTTGCAAAGGCACAGAAGCAGAACCGCCCTGTGCCTCAGTGGATTCGCCTTCGCACAGGCAACACCATCCGGTGCGTTTGCCCCTTCTCATGGCCAGTTGCTCCACGACAAATCATCCGGAGACCTCGCCACGGCCAAAACACTCTCCCAACCATCACGCACGCAGCTACTAACATGACGACAGCTACAACGCTAAGCGCAGGCACTGGCGCAAGACCCGCATCGGTATCTAAACGTCTCGCCCTACACCGAGTTTCCTCCAGCCTCCGATACGTCCTCGCACAACTTTTCACCATATCGGCAACGCGACTGTGACAACATTTCTCGCGACACCTGCCGATCTGCGACGGAACGCAAAGACATTGAGATGGCTGTTACGACGATGACGGCTGGGTATTGAGAATTTACCGCTTGTTGATTTTGGGGATGCGCAGTGGATGAACAATGAAATGATGTGGGCAGGGAAGCCCGGTTTTCTCAGGTTCTGCATGTCACGGTCCGGCTACTAGGGAATGGAAAGCAAAAGACTTTGACGCCTTATCTCTTATTATGCTCGCATCGTGGATCATGCCACCACTGTTAAACTGTGATGTTCACTTGCCGCACCCTGCGGTACCTCGCCTGCCGAAGCGTTGCGGAGTCTGTTAGGCTGCTTTATGATCACCATCGCCATGCCGTGCCGTGTCGCTAAAGCTGTTCCATTGTGCTCTATTCGTGTGAAGAGCGAGGAGCACCGTGTACGCATACTTGATCCGACAGAGCATTGCGATGCCTCAGCCCCATGACCACCCATGTGCCATGGCAGTCACTTGGCCACTGATGCCGTTGCGACCCTGAACTGACATCGAACTCATCCCCGATAACCTGAACGCCGAGAGCAAAGAACCATAAATTCATTCCCTAGCAGAGGCCGCATTCATCCTCATTCAAGCAGCGTGGTTTTGCGGGCATTAGCGGTCCTCAGCCCACTCGTTCTCACGGCGGATCTGCTCCTCTTCTTCGGGAGTGAAGTCGTTTGTGATGTTGAATGTCTTGCGAATCTCCTCAGGAGACTTGCCTTTGATCATGTTGGCGACAGTCTTGCACCCGACATCGAGTAGGGGCTTGATGTCCAGATAGTTGGCGGCCTATGCGATAATTAGCTGGATTCGCCACGAGTAGAGCCCGGGATCTATAACGCACAAGGATGATCTCAAAGAGCATCTCTTGGTCAACCTGCATGAACTTCTGGTCCCATTCCTCAATCTCGGTTGTCTTCTTACGGGCATCGGACTCGTCATCGGGGTTTTGCTGGGGATCGTTGCGGTGGTGGTCACACCATTCGATAACTTTCCGGAGCACGGCCTCGTTCACCTAGAAGCCTGGTCAGTCTCTCTTGCCTTGGGGAAACGAACGGAATCGGAGGGAAGAGGCGGGGGAGGCGACATACGTTCTGGATGGGAATCGCGTTGCTCTGAGAGATGGTGTCGCTGCCCAGATCGTCCAACAAGTTCTTGATGAGCATGGAGCGCTCGGCAACAGCCCTGTCTTCAAAGGTTGTTAGATCAGAAGCGAATGCGTAGAGTCCGGGATGCTGACGTACCAACTTCAATAGAGACGTTGTCGCTGGACTGGAGCCAGACCTTTGCGTCCGTGGCGGCCATGGTAAGAATAAGGGCTGATTCTATCTCGAGTGTTAGGACAGTGCTTCGTAGATCGAGTGGATGCGGTGGAAGGAGGCACTCGGCGAACGAACGAGCTGGCGATCGTGCGCAGGTGCTCATGCGAAGATCTGAGGAGCGTGTGGCATGCAGTGGACGTACTGGAAGGTGGTGGGAATGAATGTGGCGTTTCGGAGTCTGTTGGCGAAAACGGATCCTCTGATACTGGATTTGATGCGAGTGGATGGGTTGTTGCGAGGTGGTGATTGCTCTCGAATGAACAGGCACAGTCAAAGCGAGGAGGGCGGTCGGCGTTCAAATACTGCCCCACGGCGGAGGCTGGATTGCCAGTGCAGGCACTCACTCCAGTGGCAGCCTGAACCGCGCAGGCACGTATGACGAGAGGCAGCACTGCGGGGCATAATTAATTGTTAACCTTCACACCCATTAATAGCCACTTGGCTTGACCAGTAGGACAACATCGAAAGGAAACAAAAAAAACAACCAGAAACACAAGCTCTGGACTCAGGATGCTTTGTCTATCTGTTTTACCTTCCGGCGTCGGGGCTTTCGAAGATGCTCGCCTTTGTTACGTCTGACCTGGGGCGAGCTCCTAAATATTCTGATTCTAGGGGCGGCAAGCAACATGACCATTCAAGGGAGTGCGTGAACTCCTTCCAGGAGTCAGGACACCTTGTTATTGGTGTGGACAGTGGTCCTTGCGTTGAATTCAGGCACTGACAAACCGATCTATTACTACGTAGGTTTGCCCTGGCGTTTCGATGCACGTTTCTCGCCCTCGAGGCATGGCCGACTGGCTTGTGCTCTCAAAGTCATGGCCTTCTTTCACAATAAGAGACGGCAGCAGGGCACCGGACATCAAATAGATACCTGATAGCCTTCGGGCGCCAAGGGCCTAAACCTTATGCGCTCGCCTTTCTCTTCTGCCACCACTTGGCGCTGCAGCCTGGGGTAAAACTGCCAAGTTTGACCCGACATTTGACAGTGGTAGATCACTGGTATTGTTGACGTCGGGGGCCAGTGCGAGTAGAACCTCATTGCATGGTGATACCACGCGCTAATCCGAACACTCTGATAATACGCTGTCTTGTTCGCTCCAGTCCAGTCGCAAGACAGCAAAGACCTCTACGTGAACTCGTTCACAAAGCGCTGTGGCTTCGATCAAGTCTTACACAGCAGCCTGCAAACGTTCTCAGAGCGCGTTGCCAGTGCTGTACCATCGATCCCCATTCCAGCTGCGGGCTTGGCCAAGAATGGTCTCAGATCCCCCTGGGGTGCAAGACATTTGAGTCGACATGCTTCATACCTAGCAAACGCTTTGGGTAACACAGCTACCTTGCCTCTGCTCATCATCTCCTACTAAGCGCGCGCTGGCAGGAGCAGCGTTTCTGAACTATTGCCAGCCCTGTTTGGGGCCCCGGTTACAGATGTCTCACCTACGCGTGAGCCGAGTTGGGGACACATTTGCAATGACAATGGCTTCAGGCCAGAGTCTAGACTCTAGACGCTGATGATAGCTTTCGGCTTGTACTTGTATCATACCTATACGATAAGATGCTCTGTTGCTGTTCAAAGTACAGTCTAGGGATACCGGACCCGAGAGATGATTCACAAGTCTGTTCATCGTCGTCGTCTAAAAGGCATCACCCGTAGGTATTGTCTGCCATTGAGGCGTGGTCCGTGGATGTTGCCTGCCTAATGCCCGCTGAAGGGTCGGGAGCAACCGAGTGGGGGCCCGAAAACGCCTGAAGCGCAAGGCAGATCAGTAATAAGCGGCCCCTGAGGCTAGTCCCAACTCCGATGAAGCGCGCTCAAACACGAGTACGTACGTACGTATGATTGCGCATGTGTGATTGGAAAATTCCTGTAAAACCATCGAGATACGATGCGACCAGTAAAGTCAAATTCTTCCACTTCACATTTGGCATCGCTCGTGCAAGGACGAGAGACTACCTTGATAAGGTAATAGAGTTGTGCTTGGCCGGAAGCAGATGGCGTCACGCTGCGGCTCTAGAGTGCTTGCAGGAGCCGCGTGCGAGACTGGTGGTTGCCCACCTGAGCTGCCTTGCCTGACGTCCACATGCAGTCCATGCTCTCGATTCATAAGGAAGAAAAACAATCGTTTCTAATGGCCTTAGGAGAATTTGTGAATGGGGATCTTGGGCTGAAAAGTTCAAGCCGAGCTACGTAGTAGTAATGACAATAAGAAGCAAAATAAAATATCCACAGCTCTGGCCATCATCTCAGGGGACCTCGCGCCAAGACTTGCCGGACTCGGGACGCCCAGTCGCGCCCGCGCCCTTGGACCGCGACCAGCGCATTCGATCCCACCATCAGCTTTCTGTAATTAATTGTCAACACGCATCCTGTTGTTCCTCCTTCTCGTTTTCTCTCCATTCATTTTTGCCTTGTATTATCAGAAATCTCTCGCTTCATTAATCTACTAGTAATCACCTTTCCATCCTACTTGCAAGCTTCCTTTCTCTGGCCTTGTTTGCAAACCTACCCCCTTGGTACCCTACAGAGCCCTTCCGATCGCATCCCACATCCCACGCGCGCTCAGCAACGGGATCGCGACAACTCGAAACGAATCCTAGTCCATATACCGAAGCTGGTGCTGGTGCGCGGAGGACCTACAACCATACATCCGGGGTCGCCATTCTCACTCAGACGACGACGATAGCTCCAACTTTGTTGAACACCTCACCTGCAATCGCCTCGAGTGAGTCACGATTGACTTCGGGTCGTCGCCTTCTCGAATACGACGCCATCTGGCCTGTGGAATAGGAAAAGCATGTGGCGGCGTACATACTTGTTACTGGTGCTGGTGCGGTTATGGTTCGCCCTCTCGCCAAGTTACCTACATCCGGACGAGAATTTCCAAGGTCCAGAGGTCATTGCAGGTTAGTTCAGCATCAGCGAAAGCACGGCTTTTGGTTTTGGCGCCTTCCAGGCCACTGTTCTTTCAGCGTGGGCTAACGTCATGTGCTACAGGAGAGATCTTCAGCTACCCCGTGCGTCGAACGTGGGAGTTCACAAGCGACAACCCCATCCGCAGCGTCTTTCCCCTATGGCCCGTGTACGGACTACCGATGCTGTTGCTGCGATGGCTGTGGATCGGCAACGGTCAGGACGGCGAGATTCCTCCGATTGCAGTGTTCTGGACGCTGAGGGTCCTCATGTTCTTGATAAGCTTCGTTCTCGAGGATTGGGCGCTTCATGAGTTGATCCCTTCGCCCAAACATCGCCGTGTCGCAGTGCTGCTTGTGGCCTCATCCTATGTCACATGGACGTATCAAACCCACACATTCTCCAACTCTGTCGAAACACTGGTTGTGGCTTGGAGCATGGTCCTCATTCAAAGGATCGTGGATGACCAGGTAAGCTTGTCCACCAGTCACCCCTCTATACTCACGCAACTCACACACGACAGCAACAATCGTCATTCATGGCCTCCTTTGTGCTAGGCGTCGTCAGTGTCTTTGGCCTCTTTAATCGAATCACCTTCCCGGCTTTCTTGGTGATCCCAGGCTTCCGCCTGATTGCCCACTTCTGGAGAAAGTAAGTAGAACATCATACATGGGTTGCGCTTCCACTAACTGGTGCAGGCCTCTGTCGCTGGTAGCGGTAGCTTTGGCGGCGATGATAACGACAACGGTCGCGATTGCTCTTGACACCGCGTTCTATACTGCCGAACCCATAACATGGTCTGACCTGATCAGTCGCCCTGTGATCACGCCATGGAACAACCTGAGGTACAATTCAGACCTGGATAACCTCGCTCAGCATGGTCTTCATCCATGGTACCAGCACCTTCTCGCCAACCTGCCAATGCTTGTAGGACCTGCTTCCTTCCTTCTCTTCCTCCGGCCACACTTCTCACTGCGACTTTACTCGGCTGTCTCAGGGATCTTTGTACTTTCTGTTTTCCAGCATCAAGAAGCTCGGTTCCTCTTGCCGACGGTACCCCTGATCTTGTCATCGGTGCAGCTTCCTAAGAACCAGGTTACCCTACGGATCTGGGCAGGCGCGTGGATTATCTTCAATCTCTTCTTCGGGGTTCTTATGGGTATCTATCACCAAGGTGGAGTCGTGCCTGGCCAGGTGTTTATGAGCGGGCAGCCTGATGCCACCACAGCTGTTTGGTGGAAGACCTACACGCCTCCCATTTGGCTTCTGAATGGCAAGAACGAGGTTCTCCAAACGAGAGACGTGATGGGCATGCAGGGCGATGACCTATATGAGCAACTCACGGCACTCGCAACGTGCGACGTGCCCGCTGATCGTCGCAACCAGGAGTACCTCAAAGAGAAGAATGGCACATACCTCATAGCCCCTGCCTCGGCCACATGGTTGGATCCATATCTGCCCAACAAAGGACTGGAGGGGTTGAGGTTCAGAGAGGTGTGGCGACACAACAGGCATTTGAATCTGGACGACCTTGATTGGGGCGAGGATGGCGTTTGGAACACCCTCAAAAGGGTCATTGGGAGGAGGGGCCTGGTGGCCTGGAGGATCACCAAAAGTTGTTAGAAATGAATGATACCCACACAGCGATTTGTCAACGTTTTGTCGCACGGAATAGCGACGTAGTCCCACGCAGTGCACTGTCGGGATGGTCTGGTTTATCAAATACATCACATGATCTGAAATTATGAAGCGCAAGTCCTGTCATTTCATCCTATCTGAGATTACTACGACCCGACTTGAATATGCACCCCAATTGTTGCCACACCGCAGCGAGAAACGTTTAGTAGAGGCGGTGAGGGGGAGACATGGAAGCCTTGATGACAAGGCTGCCAACGTTCTGCCAGCCCTTCTTGAGCAGGGAGACGAGGTAGTTGATGGACAACATGATGTTGGCAATCAGCTGCTCCTGCTCCATCTCGACGTTGCCGACGGCGACACCCATGCAGAGAACCTTCTTCAGCTGGAACTTGATGGTGGACTTGACCTCGGTGATCTTGCCAGAGAGGTCATCGGCGTGGGAGACGGGGGTGGGGAACTTGCCAGCTGGAGATTGTTAGTACTGGATATTTTCCAATTCCTCGAGAAAGAGTCCTGCTTACCCTTGGACAGACCGGGACCCAAGAGACGGGGGATCTGCTTGATGAGAGCCTCGGAAGCAATGAAGGCATCGTACTTGCGAGCAAGCTTCTTGATGAGCTTCTTGTTCTTGTTCAGCTTCTTGAGGTCATCGGCGGACATGGCGTCGACACCGCCGTGCTTGGCACGGTCGAGATCGTGCTGGTCACCGAGGATGCAGATGGCCATGTTGGGACGGGGGACAGCGGGCAGCTTGATGGTGCCAGAGAAACGCTTGTCACGCTGGGGGTCGTAGTTCTTCAGGCCGATCTGGAGCTCGACGGTCTCGAGGAAGTTGCGCTTCTTGGTCTCGTTGGAGTACTCCAGGAGCTCCTGGACTTGCGTCCGGACATTAGCTGCGATGGGGCATTAGCATGCGCGGTTCTAGTATTAGGCAGCATTTTCGCGGAGAACTAACCGACTGTGATCTTCGACATGATGGCGACAGTCTCCCAATAGTGAACTAATGGTGGTCAGGACGGTGTTTGGGTGGGAAAAAAGAGGCGTTGGTGAGGCGGTGGATTTTGACGATTCCAACGTGGGCCGCCTAGTGCGTAGTGGGGTCGAAGGGCAAAATTTTCTCACGTGATGCTGCACGTGATGACTTTGACAACAACGTCTGTTCTTGAGAAGGCCGTGCCACCTCAATTTGGATAAGAAGACCGATGCAACAATAGGTGAAAATCATTTCATAGCAAACATATGATCTTTTCAAGTATATAACGACAAATTTGAGCCTGCAAACTGTTCTGGTGCAGTCTGGTATTCATAAGAGCTTGCTCTTGTCTTGCCTCATGCTCTGTATGTACATTGATCTACTGAGGTAAAAATGCCAACGTTATGGCCAATCTGGGACCGATGAATGGTGCAAGAAAGTCACCTACGTAAATTGAATCTTGACGTTCATATTGCTCACATGCCAGGAGTCATGAACTCACAATCACAGATCTCTTCTCGGCTAAGGCCCCACTTCAAAGTTTACGACTAGCATCACATTTCCAAAGAAGGGTTCCTCAGCAGCATGCAGAAGGAGGAGGCTCTGGCTCCGGCCAATCTGCTAGAGAAGCAAGATCAAGTACTGAAATGGCTTGAAGAGCAGCCAAACCAGGACCAAGCTGAGTGAGTCACGGCTGTAATCAGGTCCAAGTTCACCATGTTAACTGAGGTGAGGTACGCCTCGTGTGCTTTAGACGTCCTTCTCAAGGAGGCAGGCCAGACGAAATCTGCTTCCGGCAATGCGTGTTTGAGGTTGTGTAGCTTTGTTGAGCAATGCTCCAAATTGCACGCACCGTCCTTGCAGCAATGGGCCTTCTCCGGCGAGGTGAGCAAGAAGGCCTTTACATTCTACATTGAGTGGAACGAAACAGACCAGCATAGGTCCATGAAGCTGGTTCTGGACCTCCTCGCCCAACTTGACAAGAGAAACCCAGATGCTCAAGCGGCCAGAGCGACTAGAGATGATCTGTTGACCAGTCTCATCTCCATTTTGACAGGGAAATCCACAAAGCCTGTCGTCAAATCCGCCATCAAGACAATCGATCACTTCCTTGCAAAGAACGTTTTCGGCTTGGAGGACCTCCGCGACACCTATGTCAGGTGTCGTTCTCTGCCTGGCTCTGTCGACGAGACGGAGACGTGGCGTCGGCTCTTTGCAGACATCATCTACTGGGCTCGCATGCGTACGACTTCTCCTGTCACCGGAAAACTCATCGTCAACCTGTATCGTGCCTTGCGAACTCGAGAGGGCCAATGGGTCATCGAGCCTAGTCGCTTCCATCAGTGGTTGCTAGACTTCATCCAGGATGGTCTCAGTGCGCTCGAGGATGTCAAAAACTACATCTTCCTGCCCATGTTCAAAGTTGACCGCGCAGAATCACTGAGGTACCTAAAGGCTGTCAGCGACGTCGACAACACAGCATGGGACCTGAATCAGCAAGTGAGCATGCCGACTCTCTTGCAGCTTGCTGCTTTGGAGACCGGCAAACGCGTTGGGTTTGTTGAAGAGCCAGGTAATGCCCTCGCAACTTCAATTACCACTTCACTAACGCGAAGTTAGCTGCAAGCTCAGAACGCGATATCGCCGATGATAAAGCTCCTGTGATTCTCCATGAAGAAATCTTGAGCAACGTGTTGTGTCATCCAGCACAGGAGGTTCGCTCTTTGGCGTATTCTTTGTTGACAGTTTCACCGTCCACGACCAGACCCTACTCTACGATTGCCCTCGAGCTGTTGCGAAAGCATCTCGGCACATACTTTGCTGACTCTGATCCCAAGTTCCGAGTCGATGTTATGGCTCGCGCCAGAGACATGTACCGGAGGATCAGGGGCGCCATCGCTACACTCAAGCGCAGCATACCGCGGGCTCGAGCCAAGGCGAAGAAACTACAGGAGGCCGCCAACGATACCTCTGACAGTAATGAACGGAACACACTCTTTCAGACCATCATGTACCACACGAACCTCATATACTTGCCCGAAAGCCAACTGGTGCAGTGTCTGGAAGAGCATGTGCAGTTCCTGCGGTGGTACAATGACTTTCTCCGCGCAGAGCTCGCGCCAACTGCTTCATACCAAAGGCACTATGGGTCACTGAAGGCTCTGTCGTTTGTTCTGCGAATGGAGGCCGACCCCAACAAGGGATGGGAGACGGAAGAAGATCAGGAGATGGTATATGATTTGTTTGACTCGTCGTGGGCTCGCGCGCTTTTTGATCTGGTCATGGATCCTTTTGACGATGTACGCGAGTACGCAGCAGCAGCCATCAAGTCACTTCACGGCAACGACAAGTATCGCAAGTTCCGACTCACGGCATCCCAGTCCCGAACGGACGATTTGCGCGTGCAGCTGAAACGCTCACTCGAAGTGGCGCATCGCACGTCCAGGGCTGATCATTCGGACGGTGCAGCCAGGGCCAGTCAACTTCTGTACAAGTTCTCCAGCGGCGGCGATGAACGAGTGGCTGTGCTTTCACGCCTCCTCGCGGAGCTGGAGGACCGTCTCTTGGCTGCTGAAACTGACCTCGGACAGGCTGTCCTAGGTGCGCCGGCCCACGGTCACTTTGCTTCACTATGTTGTGTTTGGCAAATAGTCAGCCAGACAACTTTCGACCCAAAGGAGCTCGAAGCTGTCAAATCCCTCCAGAGCCAGGCAGTCCAATGCTGTTCACGGATATGGCAAGCTGTCCGTAGCATTCTCTGCGATGACTCGCCCGAAGGCTACTTGCCCGAGGAAATGGAGGCTTTAGAAGGCCTGGACACCAAGGACGTACTCAGCTATAGTTTTCGTGCAGTTCACGAGGCCAGGTGAGAGTTGTCTGTCTGCGACTAGTCCGTGCTTGCTGACTCTGTGGTAGCAATCTCTTGAAAACGATCATTCTAACAACCAAGAATCATGCCAACAGCCAGCTCATCAGTCCATCGGTTGAGATCTTTGAACAGATTGGAGACCTTACTTTTGAGCAGCTGGCAACACTGAGACACCGCGGCGCATTCTCCACGGTAGCCAACACGTTCACTTCCTGCTGTCAGCAAATCAAGTTTGTCGAAGCCATGTCGAAATCCAAAGGGGAGCAGCTCTTGTGTCAATGGTACAAGGTATGAGCTCACTAACAGGTTTCAAGCATGCTGCCCAATGCTGACTCCGTCCACAGGGCACATTAGAATCGATTTATGGCCAAGTCTCAACGACTCGCAGATCAGCCGGTATCCCCTCGCTCATCACGGGCATTCTCTCCGCCAACGCCGCCAACCCATCGTTCGAACAAGTCATAGAAAAGCTCTTCGATATTGCTAGCGTGGAGGCTAGAGTACGCGAGACGGATGCGTCCAATTTGCCGCAAGTGCACGCCTACAACTCCATCAAGGACATTTTCCGAAACTCTCTCCTGACTGCGCTCGGCAACAAGTCGGAGAAATATCTTACCCCGGCGCTTCAGCTAGCAGCCAACGGTCTCCGCTCCGAAGTATGGGCCATTCGTAACTGCGGTTTGATCCTGCTGAGGAGTCTGCTCAATATGCTCTTCGGTCACCACGAGAGCAAGACTATGATTGAGGCTGGATGGGACGGCAAAGCGAACCGGATCCCCTACCACAAGTACCCGGCCTTGGTGGATGTTCTGGTCGACCTTCTTGAGTCGGGTGAGAAAAACACAGAGGCACCCGCCACGTTGGATACATCAGGGGCCGAGGCTGTCTTCCCGGCTCTTGACATTATTCGACGAGCTGGACCGCCAGAGGCCCTCCGAGAGAAGCTACAAGACCTTGTCGCCAAGTATCTCGCCGATCCGGTGTGGCACGTGCGAGAGATGGCCGCTCGAACGCTATGCTCGTGTCACTTGCACGATGGGTGGCTTCGTGCTTTGAGGGCGTTACTGAAGGTTGCCCTCGCCGACCGGAGCTCACACGCCCAGAACCACGTTCACGGCGTGCTCCTAACCTTGAAGTTTGTGTTCGAGAGACTCAGTAAGGTTGCGCCGGAGCATATCAATGGTAAGACAACTGAATTCCGGCCAAATGATCAAGGCTAATCGTGCTTTCAGCCCACCTACCTGAGCTCGTCGGCCTGTTGGAGCATGAGAGACTGGAAGATCGTTTCCAATTCTCACCCGAAGTGATAGCAGCGTACTTGGAGCTGTTCAACCAAATGCAGTCTTTTAGTCTGAGCAGGTCGATACCGCTTGGCTTCCGTCCCTCGCTAAGGAAAGACCTCAAAGGCAGCGCGCTTCTCAAGATCCAGAAATCCGTATTCGATACGTATGCCGCATACCAGAGCGAAGACCCAGTACAACAGCTTCGAAAGGTATTGCTCGTCGAGTCGCCAGGTTCAGACGGCGTGATTGCCTCCATTGAGCTGATCCCCAAGCTATGGAAGACTTCATCGCTGGCTGACGACACATACTCGGCTCTTTGCGTGCTATGTATCGATCTTTGTCTTAGTACGACAGTCAGCGAGCAGCAAGCTGCTGTGTTGGACAATCTTGCAGATGCGCTAAGCGAGAGGCCGATATATGAGAGCAACGTCAGTGAACGACTCGTGGAGATGTGGACAGCCTTGCCTAATGCGCCGACAAGCCCGTTATTGTCAAACGCTGTTTTGCGCGCCAGTGGCTGCATCATCCCCATACTGTCACGCAACGGTGTTGTCCAGGCCGAGGGTCTTCGTCAATGGGGGAGGATGATCGCTGATGCTGGTCTCGAGGACAAGGTAAGTGAGCCCGCATCATACCCCAGGTCCAAAGCTAATGGTTAATAGAGTTTCGACGTTCGATACGCTGCGACGGAGGGGCTATTCTTCTTCTTGAAGTCTGCGGCTGCCCATTGCACGTCTGAGGAGCATCTACCAGTTTTGCTTGCTGTCTACGACGCGCTTAATGACGACGACGATGAGATACGTGAGCTTGCAGCCGCCGCCGCGCAATTCGTATATGGACAGGCCCTTGTGCCCCTCGAGGCCGCCACGCGCCTCCTAGACTGGCTTGCGCAGACGTTCAAGAACACTGCCAGGTTCAAGGAGATTGTTGCGACAAGGTTGACTGGATCCAAGGGGGACAGCACCGCGTGGCGGCCAGCTGAGGATATGATCAACCACACCCTCAAGCTCGATGACGCTCTCTTTGCCATTGAGGAGCAGAATCTGTTCTTCGATGAGGTCAGAGAGGTGAAGAGATGGAGCAGTACCTTCACCACCCTGAGCTGGGCTGGTACGGAGACTTCGCTCGCACAGCTCGACCGTTGGCTAATAGGCGGTATGCGCCGCCTGCATCTGCTTCTCGAACAGGGCGATGTGCCATTGGGATGGGGCTCAGCGCCTCATGTTTTTGCCATCTGCTCGACCATTCTAGTCGGATCCTCTACACTTGTAGCGTCCGGCAAGGCGAGCGCAGAGCTGCAGGATGCATTTCGTCAGTCCGCAATTATTAGCACTGACGATCAGAAGAATGGGATCAATGTGCTACTGAAGGTTTTCGTTCAATAGATTATTCACTGGATAGAAATAGATATGCTCACCATGCCCACAGGGGAAGCTCAAGCATTGCCGTTCATGAACATCCTTTCCTTGGGGATGTGACCCGGTGTTATTGTCAAAATTGCAGACGCTCCCAGAAACATGGTAAACTGACATATTTGAATGAATCCCAATCCTAAGCGCCATACAAAATGCTGCCAAGTGCGGCTGTCTGTGCGTGTATGTCCAACATCATTCCAAGCAACAAACCAACAACTCATCCCCCTTCAAACCACGGGTGGCGTGTTAGCCCGTCCCACGGTACCCGATGAAACAGATGCTGAGTCGCTCCTGTTCAGAGTCGACGCCCTGCTTCTTTGGGCCACCAGCGCTGTATTCTGCCTCTGCAGCTCACCAACCTGCGCGGTGAGAATCTCATTCTGCTTCAACGCAACATCCCTTTCGGCCTTAAACCTCTCCAGCTCAAGGCTCATTCATATTCGAGCGCTCTTCCTTCTCCATAGCTTTGCGCCTCCGCTCCTCGGCTTTGCGCTCCTCCTGCTCCCGCTTCTCTTCGATCTTTCGTAACTCTCGCTGGTACTTGGCCTCCTGCTTAGCTACTTCCTTCTCGTGCTTCTCTCGAATCTTGGCTAGGGCTGCTGCATCCTTCTCTTTGTCGCCAGACCGCCGGCTCTCAACCCGCTCAGTCATCTTGCTGGCCTTCTCATCCAGTTTGCGCCTGCGCTCCTCAAGACGGCGTAGCTCTTTCTGCTGCGGCATTGTACTCGATGACTTATCCTCGGATTGGTTGAGGCTCTCAGTATCCCTGGCTACGTCGTTATCCTGATTAGTCGACCTCTTCTCCAGAGCTGAGGAGAAGCTGACAATGGACGACGCATCGTCCAGGGATGACTCTTCTCCAACGTCGTCCGAGTCGACTAGACGTTCCGGCTGCTTGTCGTTGTTATCAGTACCGTTCCAAGCCTTGAAGCTTCCTGATACGACGTTGGACGCGGCACCGAAAGCGCCGGTTATCATACTGTAGAGACCGTGCCCATACGTTGAGTCCCCGTTTTCGTCGCCGCCACCTAAAGTTGTTTGGGTGCTGTCCGCGGGAAGCCTCGCGGGGGCTTGCGCAGCAGGGGTTTGAATGTTCGTTGTCACTGCCGTTCTCGGAGCAGAAACCTTCTCTTGCTCTGCCGACTCGTTCGTCTCGGTCTCTCGGCTTCCCAAGGACTCGCGGGTGACCCAGTCAAGAAATTTCTTCGCGTCATTGACGATGCCCGGCGGCGTACCCTTTTCGATCATAAATCGTGGGACAGAGCCGCCCGGGTCGCTTCGCGTAACCATCAGCCATTCAATAGCTACTGGAGTGGCGCCTCCCTCATCTGAGCTAACAGAGTGAGCTTTGGTGTTTGGCGATGCGTTCCGACCACTCGGGAGGTCCAGGGCAGACTGAGACCGCACAGCAAGAGGTGTCTCGACCGGAATCTCTCTTATGATTTCCACCGACTCATAGTGACCCCGAATCACTCCGGAACGCGGGGGGCACTCGGGATGAGTGACGGGTTTCGAAACCACCATGAATTGTCTCAGAGGTTGGCCTTGCTCAGATGTCGTGTGGGGAAAGGTGGTTGTGAGAAGCAATGTGATGAAGTCTCTAGGCGATGTAGGCCCGGGAAATTGTGCCGACAATTGGAAAACTAGTGATCGTCAGGAACAGAACAGAGGTGATCCTCGGGTCCTCAGAGTGGACATACCTTGCATCTGAGTGTCGTCGTCGATCTCGTGGTTTTCGACTCGTTGATCTGCGCCCAGGCCTCTAATGGCACCACTACCATGGCCCTCGTCCACCTTCATGGACTCTAGGAATTCTCGCTTCATCCCTGCCACCCACTGGTCAAAAGTTAACCCCTCGTGCACGCTTCTCCGCGCGAACCATGCGCCCTTCCCATCCTTGGCGCTGAGCTTGTACACCTGGACACCCAAGGGGTTCTCGCGCGGGTTGACCTTGACATCCTTCCACTCGTCCTTCAACTTGAGCGCTTGCTCGACTGTAGCAGGATCGGGGCGGAAGCCTGGTCCGCTGGTGGCTACAGGCACGGTCGCATCGTTTTCGAGGACGGCCGAGTCGGTCTTGGAGCGTGCGCGTCCCTTCTTGGCACTGCCAGAGCCACTGCTCGCCTTGGAGGTCGGGGAGGGGATGGATTCGACAACGGTGCTAGCCTCGGTGAAGACAGAGTTCAGGTAAGGCTTGAGGTCGTCTTTGGGTACGTCGGCCCAGTTCACAGGGCACAGGGAGGTGAAAGCCTCGTGGTGAGTGCCACCCATGGTGTTGCGTGGTAATACGGCGTGGCGTATGGGCAGGAACACGCGGCCTTTGGGTTGCGACTTCGTGAGTCGTTACGTTGTTGATCTCTGGGAAGGAACAGACGGCTCGATGTGCTATCGCATGCAACAGCTATGTACAGTAATAATGCAGCCAGCGAGGGCAGAACAGAATGGAAAGTAAGCGAAACGGTGGAGTCTACGCAAGTTAGATACTAGTAGGATGCAATCATCATTATTAAATGCGCAGGCAATGAGTAGCTCAGAGCCTATTAATCTGGAGAAACCGGCGCTCCAGTCGGCCATGTGCAAGCTGACGTCAACGGTCAACCGCGCGGCATCAGACCCCTCCAGTTGCGACTTGCAAGGGCCCAGTGATCATCATCAGCGCGACGGCACTTGCCTTGCCTTGGCCCTTGGCCCTTTGACAGAAATTATGACAGTTGACGCCTGGAGAAGATGCTCCGCATCGCATGGCGCCCCACTCGTTCTGCGCGGCTGGCGGCGGGCGGACGCCGCGGCGTGCGCCACATGATACATGAGCCACCTCAATCTTCAGATATCATGGGTGCATGGAGGCAGATGAACGATCAAAAATCAAATGCTTGCTACTACGTACATATGATACGGCAAGCCTACAGTCCAGCGGCCATCCGGTCCACCATCACCTCATTGTAGTCCGACTTGCAGCTCCCACAATGCTTGTCGCGCCACTCGATGAGTGCCTCCCGCCTAGCAGACGGCATGGCTGTCAACACCTTCTGCATAGACTCATCTCGCCCCTTGCCGGACTTCTCCTCGTCCTTGCTGAGCACGATCGCCAGGTCCTCGCACAGTGAGACTTCGTTGGCCAGCCAGTTCTCCCACTCGGACTGCAGCATCTCCTTCTCGATGCTGTTGACCACCCGCATCGCTACGACCAGGTCGTGGCGGTATGTACCTAGTCGTTGCCTCGTGCGCCGGAGACGCTTTGCGGTCGATCGGGAGGCCGGTGATGAAAAGGCAGAGCCTGCGTCTTGCCAAGGGGCGTCCATGTCTGTGGCTCCAACAATGTCCTGAAAGCTGTCGAAGCAGGTGCTGTTCTGCGGGAAAGCATGGGTGTGACTACTCTCCGACGCCTCACCGAGATCCGAGATGTAAATGGCCTTGCTCATCACTGTGTTTGGTCCTACACCCAGATTGCGCATCAGGCCTGCAGCACGCCTCTCCTTCCACCACGTCGAGGTCTCGGTGGCCGTGAGGAGCATGTTGGTCAGGGTGCTGAGTGCGAGCAGCGCTAATAAGAGCCGCTGCGCCGTCAACACCTTGAACAACTTCCTCAAGCCTGCAAATGCCCACATGATCAGCGAGGACACGGCACTCTCGCCAAAGGAGCGCACTGTCTCCCAGATCAGAGCGGTCAGGGTTCGCGTCTTGGTCGTCTGCTTCCTGCTCGCGTCAGACGCTGCTGGCGAGAAGATGACCATCTGCGTCTGATGCCCGACGTGGCCGTACACCTGGATGGCCCTGTTGGTACGGCTTCGCGCTCCCAGCTTGCGGACCTGGTCCGTGACCAACTCTGCCAACTCCATGGCGTCGCTCGAAACGTCGTGGAGCGCCTGTCGCTCAATGAGATTCTTGGACAGCGCAGGTGTCTTGGACCAATCGATTCGAACATAGATGGCCAGTCTACATTTTGACTTGGCCACAAACGTGATGACAATCTTGGTAATCAGCTTGAAGTGCTGGTGGTGAGGGAGATGCCACGCCGTCTTGACGTGCGTTACGACGTAAGTAACGTGCTCGCTGTGCATGTCGATGGTCTGGTGATCTGTGACCTTCACTGTCTTCGTCCTGCCTAGAAGATCTGTATGGTCGACCTTGAACTGGAATTCACGTCGCATGCGCCCCTGGTCCACCAGAACCCAGGGTCCTTGCGCGATCTGCTGGGCGCGGTGTTCAAAGTATAGCTTTGGGAAGACAAAGCTCTTGTCTCCGAACAGAACGTGGAAGCATGACTTTGCGCTGATCTCAAAGTGTCGCTCGGCCGCCATCTCGTGCATGTCTTCCGGTTCGTATACGATTGCATGCGTCGGCAATTGTACTTTCGAGGGTATGGTCAAACGAGACCCGGAAGGCTGAAGTCGCGGGCTACCTTCGAAAGACCTGCTCATCGGATTCCTGCCCCCTGGAGTACCATCATCATATGGGGTATTCGACGGGATCTCCTCCCAGCTCTCTGCAGATGGGCTTGGCCTCTCCAGTCCCTCTCTCTCCACGTTGATAAGTGCCGTGATGATAGCCTCCGTGTCCATTGGCTCCTCAGCCTGCAAGTCGTCGATGAGCATGTTGAGCCGTGTGTGGAGCACACGCAAGTCATCCAAGAAGATCTTGAGCGTGATCTTCGCGTACCCAGTGTCATTGGTATCTTGACCGAGGTGTAGGAAGATAAAGTCAACCTCTTTGCCAGGTGAAGCTGTCACCTCGGATATCATGTCAAGGGGCAGCGTGTATGCCGTGACCAGACCCATCTGCTGGCCGTAAAAGTACATGTGATCGGGCGTAACAAAGATTCGTCCATCGCCCGCTAGAGCGTGGCCCATTGACTCGGCCGATGACGCTGTGCTGGACCATGCGGCTCTGAAGACCAGCACCAGCTTTTCCTCCGGAGGCGCAGTCGGGAATAGGAGACGGAACTGAGCATGCTGAGCCCGCAGCTCGGGCGGATAGTTATGAGGCAGTGAGTCTTGCGTCTGCTTCTTCTGCATGGACTCAATCAGGGGTGTTTGCACATTGTCTGGTGAAACCACCACGCCCACAGGATCATCATCGCTGAACCGGTGCAGCACTGGCTCTGGCGGCGGCGTGTTCACCACGCCCCAGGCGTTGGTGCCCCAATAATTGGCTAGCACAGAGGGGGGTAGTTTGTCGGTAACCTGCCTTGCGTCGCGCTGAGCGGCTGTCAGCACGGCAGTGCGACTCAGGTTGGTGATGGCCGGGGGCTTGGCGAGTGTGAGTGGCGCGAGGGTTCCGGGATTGCTGTCTAGCGAAGGGAGCAAGCTGTTCTTCGACTTGGAGCCAAGGGCCGAGTTGGGGTGACCCGGCAGCAGGTTATGACTCGCCGCGATCAGGCTGGCAAGACCACCAGCAGCCCCTGAGGATCCGGCCAGAGCAGCCTCTGCACCTGCACCAAAGGTGGCCTTGCGGTGCAGGTCAAGCTTCGAAATGATCCGCGCCGCATGCTCTCGTCCGCTTTCTCCCTCCTCGCGGGCTAGATCCCTGCCGAGGGCCGTGATAGATCGGCGGGACAGACTGCCGTTCACATCGAAGCTTGACCTTGATGCCAAAGCGTCAACGCCTGGCACGGGGAGAGTGCCTGCCCTCTCTATCGTAGCAGGCTCTTCGCTCGCGAGGGCCATCTGGGTGTCCAGTATGCGCGCTGAAAACTCCGGCACCGTTGGTGGTGAGATGGAAAACGCGGGATCGCTGGTTCCAAACGGGCTGATGGAGTCCCGATCCATTGTGGCCTCGAACGCCTTCTTCTTGGTGACTTCAAAGACCTCGAGCCATTCCGTCAGCTCGCCCTGTGTTTCTGCCTGCAGCATCATTGTCTGGTTCTTTGTCTTGACCTCGAAACAGAAACGCCTGTCCTCGCCGGGGGCCGGTTTAGCGTTGCACAGAAGGACGCCAATCTCGTCGCCCTGTAGGACGCCTTGAGGCCCTGGGATGAGCCAGCCAAAGACCCGATCGCGGCAGTAATACCATCTGCGAACCCAATTGTGCCTCGCAGGCTTTCCGGACAGGGTGCGCAGGTACAGCCAACCCTGCTTCTCGGAAATGACAGCACCGTCCCCTTTCACCTGCAAGCTCATTGGGCCCCTGGACCCCAAGAATGGGACCGTCGATGTGCTATAGTCTTCGAGCTCGCGAGATGGCTTACACCCAATAAGCGCTTGGTCGCCCAGGTCCCGCCGAGCGATCTGCAGCTCTCTCCTGAAAACGCTCTCCGATATCTCCATTTCCCGAGCCCAGCCTCGCACGCGGTCCATGTCACGCTCATGCCGTGTAGCGCTCGTCGCCGCCTCTCGGCCACGTTTCAACTCTTTCCAGATCTCCCCGGACACCTTGACGAGAACCTTGTCCATCGTGAACCGAACCTGCGGGGCCAGCTGGCAAAAGTCCATGGAGGCCTGCAGGTACGCTTTGCGGGCTTCGTAGACGGAGAAGGCATCCTCACGCAGGTGCGAAGCCTCCTTTGTCTTGGACTGCGCGACGTACCGCGCGAGGGCCGTGTCGAACGTTCGCTGAGCTTGCTCCAGGACCTTTTTGATCTCCTTGAAGTTGCGCATGTCACCAACGAGGAACGAGCGAACGGGCTCCACGACGGTGGTCTCCATCTTCTTCATGCTGCTCAGCAACTGCATCCACCACTCGCGCGAGCCGTCCCCCACGCGCTTCAAGGCCAGGAACGTGTAGTCATTGTCGATCACGCCGTCGGCGGCGGACGGTATCGTCTTTGTCAAGTACGAGTTGATGGTATCTTCCAACGCGATGATATCGTGCAGGAGTTTGGAGGTCGAGTTGACGTAGCCATTGAGCCACTTTTCGACGGCTTCGATCTGCTCAGCGAAATGAGCTGCTGTCGCGCGAAACGTTGGCGAGTCGAGAGCAGCTTCGTGAAGCCCGACGGCAAATGCTCGATGGGACGGCTTCGAAGCCGCAGCTGGCGTAGCGAGTGGTGCCTCAGCCATCATGCCCTGCGGGCTGTGGAACTAGGTTACTCGAGATGCTGGCAGCATCAGTGTAGGTGGGCAAACAAAAGCAAGGACGCATCAATAATTAGAGTATGTGTAACATGGAAAGGGTGCGCCGCGGAGTTGGAAGCATAAAGGTACGGACCAAGAGTCCAAGACACGGGTCTGTGGGGAAGTTACCCTGAGCACTGCCCGACGATGACGATCAGCCGAGATTGACAATGCGAGGTCCGACTGAATGCGAGTGCGAAATACTAACCCTGCACAACGATAAACACATTCAACATAGCGCAAGGAAAAGTCACGCCTAAGCTCTAATTGGGAGGTACGCGATTCGAATAATTCATCTCTTCGTTGGCTACGCAGCGAGCCTACTCCAAAGCAATCCAAGCACCTCTACAGGCTGTCCTCCAACACGAATCCTGCCCATGGAGAGGTATCAAGCGCTGGAGCCTGCGTCGCTGAAACTTAACAGATAGCCAGAAGACTCCGTAGCTTTTGCGCATGTTGCATGTTGACAATTGTTGCAATATGCGTTCTGCACACCCTTGTTAGCTTAGCCCCCCAGCAAGGCGGCGGCAAAGAGTCCTCACCATCGTTTCCACCGATCATCAACTCAAGTGGCCGTCATCGTTGTGCGGAGTGGGCTCGGTCGCGAGACTTTGGCGTCTGGCTGAAGGGCAGCCCCTGGACTGCCTTTACCTTCCATTCGCCTCTGGGCGAACGACTTTGGTGCAGCGTCGCTCGACTTTAGCGCAGCGGGGGGCGCAGCTTCGGAAGCTTGCGCGGACGGTCGATCTTGAGTCTGTCCCTCGTGGGCCACGAGGGAGTCCAGAGGTCAATCTGATCCTACATCAGCTTCCTCCCCAATAAGAAAAGGCTGCAGGGTCACTCACCGTCATAGTAGTCGTCATCGTCACTCATGTCAGCCAACTGCTCAAAGTTGACCTTGTAACGGAGGATACCACCAATACCACCAAATCCCTTGACGAACTGGTTGCCTTCAGTAGACCTGTCCGAGACGAACTCAAGGTTCGTGCCGAACTGGCGGTAGTTCTCGGCAATCCACTCAAGGAAAGACTCCTGTGCGAGAATCTCCATCTCTTGTCCAGTTGCCTTGTCCAAGAACTTATCACGGTTCGTGGCCTCCTGGGCCTTGGTGAGGTGGAGTTGATGCTCGGAGCCCTCGCTGTCCCGGAGGACCCAGCGGGTGATCTCCAGATTCTCAAAGATGATCAGTGTCTCCACGGCACCAAGCTCAAGTGCCTTGAGTGTATCGTCGATGCCGTAGCAAACCTTGCCGGTGTCCTGGCTGATCTCTTGGAAATATTGACCAATGAGCTTCTTCTCTTGGATGAACTTGACGTTGCCGAGAGTCTCCGAGGACAGCTCGATGGCCTGGTTGAATCCGTTCTCACCACCATACGAGACGTCAACAACCTTGATGACCTTGGTCGCCAGGCGGTTGTCGAACATGTCAGAGCCGTTGAGGTCGTTCTTGAAATCGGCAGAACCAGCAAGAATCAGCCCGGCGACGTTGACCTTGTCGTTGGTGATAAAGTTCTGCACGGCCAATTCGGCAACCTTGCGCACGTAGTTGTGGCGCTTCTCCTCACGGAGACGAGCAAAACGCAGCGCGGACTGACCACCACGACCGTGCTTCTTGGGAAGATCGACCGAGAACTTGTGAACAATCTCACGTGTGTTGCCGCTCAGTGTACCGAACAGGGCGCCGTTACCGTCCATGATGATGAAGCCAAACTTTTGGTCGGACTCAAGTAGCTCGGCGAGGGCTTCCGTGTGGAACTTGTTGTCGCAGAGATATAGCGAAGTGTTGATGGGCTTGAACGGCTCAAAGTCGATGTTGACCTTTCGCTCCTTGCCCTCCTGGGTCAAGATTTCACCACAGTACACGACAAGACCGTTGGGGGGTACTTTGTTGTACAGCTTCAGGCGCTGCTGGGTGGACGTAATGGCGGAAAGGACAGACTGTCGGTTGACTCGTGACTTGATGTTGGAGGCAGTACCCTGGACGACGGATTAACATACGAGCTGCAGTGAACCGTCCGAGGGCGCGTACGTATTCTTCAGCCAGCATCTTCGCGATACGGGAGACTTGATCCTTGGGAGCTGCACGCATGGCCGTCAGTAGCTGCGAACCAAGATGGGACGTTCCGCCGACGCCAGGGTTTCCTTACGGATGATCAGGGAAATCATGGATGTGCCATTGCCCCTGGCGGCTTCAAGACGCTTGATCAGCTTCTTGACCTTCCAGATCTCAATCTATTTCGCCATAATGTCAGCCGATTCAACCTCCTGGAGTAGCTGGTCTCCAAAGCGATTTTGAGCAGCATCGCGGGGCAGTCAAGGGTGGACGGGCCGGGTCGCAGAGGAGGGGTAGTGCAGTCGCATTCTTACGTTCTTCTCGGCCTCGTTCGCCTGCGCGTCGCTCATTTTGACGGCGGGTTGTAGATGTGTCGCAAACAAAATCGATGCCGGGCCTCGGTGCTGAGGAACTTGGAACGCAGGCCGTGTAGACTCGGGCGGGTGGGTAGAAAGTCAAAAGGGTGAAACAGAGTCGGGCGTGGCGGTGATTGATGTTGGGCCCGGCTGGTGCCTGAATTTTTATTTGTGGCACACAGTCTGCAACCCCGTCGTTGGATTTTCCCAAGCCACCTCGGAACTGGAGGCGTGCTGCTTTTAGCTCTACTGTAAACCGACATATACGTATCAATGCAAGCACTTAATGGCATGACGAGATGTATTGGACAAGCGCATACATTCACACGTCGTATCTCTGCATCGTGCAATCACTGACCTATTTCTGGCTGCTTGCTGACAATGACGCTCTTTCTCTTCCAATGCCAAAGGCCAGTGCGTCATAACCCAAGATTAGACCTCCAGTCCCGTCTGAAGCAGAACTACGAGCCCTCACCGCCCAACTGGCAGAATGGCACCTGAAAGTAAGGTAAGGTCGGGCCCACTAATAGTACTATCGGCGCGTCACGGTGCGACTACGGAATACTATCCCGTACTGTAGCTACAGACGACCTCGTTTGCTTCAGGTAATCATTACTGCCAGCCCAACCCCAAACGACTGATTCCTGCGGTTCACAATCTAAGTCGCAATGACTTCTTCTTCGATACCAACGCAAATAGCGGAGGCTGTTCAATTCGGACACATAGATCGTCATCCAGATCCAATACGCGACAATGCGCCCGCGACAGCAGCCGAGAAGAGAGAGGTTGCAACCATGGCACCCGAGCGACGTGAATACGACGACGTAGAAAGCGATGAGGGCGATGACGAGATCCCCGTGAGCGTGCTGCGGCCTGCTGCAACATCACAAAAGCTCCCGCCTCTCCCAGACCTACGGTTCGAGCAGAGCTACCTACACAGCATCGCCTCAGCGGATACGTGGTGGAAAGTAATGCTGATAACAGCGCGAGACCAGGTATGTGGCGATTTCGGGAAATGACTGGCATGGTCCTCTTGGGCTAATTCGAGGCTAGGTCATGATGCCCTTGGTACAAGGCCTGCTATACAATTTGGCGCTCTGTGGGTGGCAGCATTGGAACCGCAACGCCAGATTACATGGCAACACAATCGGAGCTCGAGCGCGGAGATGGTGGTGGGGAGTTAACAACTGGAACATCCCGGACCAGAGAAGGTCATATCGCTGAAAGTCGAAGCGAAGCTGTATTACCATGTTTCACGCTGCCACGAAGATTGGGCGGCGGCATTTGCAATGTTTTTTGTGAAAGCGATGTCTATACAATTGTCGTGTCGTGGGAAATCTTCGATATGCTATCATCTCTATGTTGTTACGTTGTGATGCAGCGGACGTGTCGCCCTAGCCGTCTCCATGATACAGCCCGCGCCAGCTCATACTGGGTGTATCCCACAATGTTCCGAGAGCTCTTTGTGTAGTAGAATCACAAAACTCCTGCCTTTTCCGCGTTGAACTCCTAACACCAGCTAATCACCAAAGTTGCTTCGTACAAGTGCTCTTAATCCTGTACATGACCATTGGGAACGTTCGCCTCCGAGGGGTGCGGCTTCTCAGGACTCCCTCTAAAAGCCAAGGAAGTCGCCAACCGTGTCGCTTCATCCGTCATCATTTGCTGCTTTGCCTCTTCAGACAGCTGAGGAAATTGCTGTTGAGCCGAGGTGGGCTTGACCGAGATTTCACCCGTCGCCATCGAGGGCCGTACTGGCTCATCGCGCTCGCCCTCGTGTGCTTCTACACTCTTCGTTTCCACTGGCGTTCGGTTGGAGTCGAGTTTCTCTTGGACGGCTGTTTCTCCGTCTTGAGCGTCAGAACCCGAGTCCGGTCCGTTTTGTAAGCTTGGTATGCTACCGTCCGTGGTCTGATGATGAGCTTGCTCTGCGGATGTAAGAGCGTGCCTTAACTTGGGCGGGGTGACGGAAAGCTTGACCACCAGGCTCCTCGGCTGGTCGTCCAAGTCTTCGTCCTCCATGACGATGTCTTCGTCAAAATCGTCCTCCGCATCAGAGCCCTCCGGCACGTGTTCATCCTCATCGTCGCCAAATTCCGCTTCAGTCTCCTCGTCGTCGCTATCCGCGGATGTGTCACGGCGCGACCGCGATTCCCTTCCAGTCCAGTCGTTCGAGGTTTGATGAGCTGCTGCAGACCGTCGCGGCCGACCTGTGGGTCCAAGTGAATCACCTTCGTGCTCCGAATCCCCCTTGACGCTGTTGGATGCGCTCTCGCCAGTGGCTACGTTGAGCCGGCTAGGGGCCTTGATTTGTCGCCCGCTTGCTGTGATGGTAGGGCCTTGCTCTGCAGGCGTATTGGCACCAGTATTACGCGCGGATCGTCGGTTGGTTGAGTCTGAGAATCCCATATCCTCGTCGTCGGAATACGTATATCGCATTTTCTTACCACGTGTGCGACCTTCGTACATAGAGAAACCTGGATCTGGTCGTTTGAAGCGCTCCTTCTGGGCTTGTCGGTAATCTCGGCGTCTCCGTTTCTGTGAGAACTTTGTCAGCATTCGCCTTCAATAAGTGGTAGAGATCTCTAACCTCTTCTCCAGCCTCGAATCGCGGCAAGGCCGCTATGATTTTAGAAGCAAATCTCTTCGCCTTCGGACCGCCATCTTTTTTTTCCAGCTTATCAGCAAGAGCTGCGAGCTCCTCGATCGAGCCTGCGACGCTAAACCAGGTTCGTTGGGTGCCCGCTGGATTGCTTTCACGATACACCCGAAAAGCGGTATCGTCTTGCCCTTCAATCAGAAAATATCTCCTCTTCTCCCCATCAGTGCCCCATGGCTGCACTGATCGCGGCTGGTTGAGATCGTCCTCGTGGCGATTTTGTTTGTAAGATTGAGTTATTAGGCCCTTGACCGTTTCCGAAGATGACAGCGACCAGAGTATCAGGGTTCGCAGCAAAGTCAGCTGTTTTCATGTTAGCTCATCCCTTTAATTGCCTCGATAAATGCGCACCCTCTCTGTTGGATCCATGCTGTTGAAGTTGCGGTTGCCTGAGAGGGGGTTCTTGCCCTCCCATTGAGACGGCCACTGACTCTTGTGCGTGGAAATTGCATCTTCAAGTGCTCGACCGTAGTGGCCAGGTCTGTCGCATGTTAGTCTGCTAAGCCAAAAGCGCAACTAGGGGTGTGAACGTACTTCACATCTTGCTTGCGGTTCAGGAGCAGGCCAAGGATGGCACATAGAAAACTCTCGACCCGATCGCCGGGAATCGTCTGCACAACGTCGCGCTCGAGCTCTTGAGGGCCGAAATGGGTCAATGACTTCGGAAATGCGTCGTTGAATCGGCTTCGAAACATCACAATGAACTATAGTGCCGGTCAGTGAAGGTTCTTGCTGGTAATGGCCCTATGACGTTGGTGACGCGAACTTTCGCGTCGGGTCCGCTCATCAACGCGACACTGGGTGTTCAGGGCCCCAACAACCCCAAAGAAGCCCCAAAAAAAGAAGTATCAAATGTAGCAAAACATACAGAAATGTCTGGGTTATCGGCGAGAACATATTCGTGTGGTGGCGAGGGTGATCGCTTCCGAGGCGGTGGCGAGGGTTCTTTTGGAGCTTGCTCGGACACCTTAGAGAAGTAGCCCAGGATGCCCTTCTTTGACGTAGCTTTGTCGACATCCTCGGGGATTTCGATCTCATCATCTGAGGGTGCCGGCGACAAGGATGAAAGCGACGATAAATCTGACGAGTCTTGGTCGCCAGGCATGGTGTTATGGTTGGCGCGTACGCGAACGTGTCGGCTTGTACAGTCTGCGGCGGCGGGACAAGGAGGTGGACGAGGGAGGTTCAACGTCGAGTGGAGACAAACGAAGTGAAGAGCCCAAGGCCGCGTTTGGCGTCCAGGACCTAACACATGTTACAGTAAATTGATATTATAAGGTATTAGTACCATTGGAACATGCACTAGCACGCACGTCTGATTTGTTTCGCATCTCCATGTCCACAAACGTGCCTCTTGAATACTCGGTAGGCATCAAACCCTCGCTTGCAGTCCCGACCATTGTTCATGCAGTTGCCCTCTGTTTGCTTTTCTCTTGGATCCAGCTAGAACCTCCTTCGTCCAGGGCCCTTCACGATATGTCCTAATAGAGCATTTCCATAGCCCAACGCTACCTTGTCGACCATAACAACGCAACGCCGCATGGACCTTGCTGTCCTACTCATCCGGTCGAAAGAGCAGTCGTGAATTTCACCGGAGGTGACATTCGCTAGCCTTCGAAATGGGATGCTGTGTGTGGACACCGTCTCGACAGGACAACAGGGCAAGAATACCATAAGCCCAGTGTTGCGAATACCATAGGCACCGCGTCGTTTCTCATTGAACATTCCAAGGCTCCTTTTCGAACATTCTCAGTCTTACTTCCACCAATTCGCCTGCGCAGCAATGCGGAAAGTGATGATCACCCGTGCATGCCGTGGAGTGAGTTTGAAGCGCGCGCACTTGCAGTGCCAGAACCCCCTCCAGCCTTGCGCGTCGCATCCGCAATCATTGTCCGCGCTTCTCGTTGCACTTTCCAGGCTCACTGGCAGGTGAGCCAATAGTGCCATTCCTTGCTGGTCATAATGAGGAAATTCAAGATTCGACAGGTCGCATAGTTTTGAAACAGCTCATAGCTCTCGTTTCGCGTACGCTTCATTATCCCCTGCAGGTAGAGACTGTTGGATAAGCAGTATGAAAATCGTGGGCGCCACGCATCTGACAGATCTATGCCATGATCCTCATCGTTAAGAGGCATTTCCCGGGAGGATCACAGACCTGCCTAGCGTTGCCGATTAGTAGGACCAAGACGTGCGGCATACTTCCAAATGATACAGCATCTCCACGTGGGCAATGGCAACATCATCGTGTGGCTTGACCCTAGGGGTGAAAATTCATATGAATGACCACAGGTGCGGATGGGCCTCCGCAACATACGGCGTCCAAAATTGAAGATTGATGTACTTACGCAGGTGATGTAAATCAACGCGGCTGACAAAAGTGGGGCTGTAAGTCCGGCGGCCTATGTGGCGGAAATGTGCTCCTAGTGGCTGAAATCATGGACAAAATAACGACATCTCTGTACCCCGTATCGTTCGTAATCCAGATACACAGCAAGAACCTCAAGCTACATCTGACAAAGATTGTTCCAGAGAGTAAATTATGTGGCCTTGAACGTTCTGGTGAAGCCCGCACGTTCTTGACGAACCTGCAAGTTAACCTTCGGCGCCACGTTATGCTTCTATCAAAGACCTTCGCCCGCACCATGTACAGCCTCCACTGAAGTCTCCCGAAAGTAGCCCCGGGTGTCTTGTAGCAAAGATTTCAGGAACGGCCGAGTGCTGCAATTCGGCTCTCTGAACAATGCTGTTCTGATTGATGGGTGAGACTGGACCTAATGATGTCCCAGGGTACGTGCAGATTATTGTGTCACCCCGCAAATGTTCGGATCGTAGGTCCAGGCTGGGTCACGTGGTCAGGGCTCCTCCCGCCGTGCGAGCGGTTCCGCACACAAAAATTTATCGGGCGTGCACGCCGCAGCCATCTTGACAAAACACCAAGCGGCAGCTGCCAGGTAAATCCCACCCAACCTCAACGGCCGGTCGCCAATCTAACCCTTCTCTTCACACAGTAACATTACAAGTGAAGACTAGCCGCCATGGGTCGTGTCATTCGCAACCAGCGCAAGGGGCGTGGATCTATTTTCAGTCAGTCTTTTTCAACCTCGAAACCGAATCTCGAAATCGACGACATCAAAATCGCCATCGAGACTTTCGAGAGCCCTCTCACTCGCGCGCACAGTCGCTAACCTGGAATGCAGCTGCCAACACGCGCCTGAACAAGGCTCCCGCCAAGTTCCGCAACCTCGATTACGCCGAGCGCCATGGCTACATCCGTGGTGTAGTCCGTGAGATCGTCCACGACGCCGGCAAGTCTACCCCCGATCCGATCACAATGGTTTCTCGAGTCGGCAGACAGAGATGGAGGAGCTGCATAGGGAACAATGGGCTAACGTTTGGGATTTTACAGGCCGTGGTGCTCCTCTCGCCAAGGTCGTCTTCCGCCACCCTTACAGGTTCAAGCAGGTGACCGAGACCTTCATCGCCAACGAAGGCATGTACACTGGCCAGTTCATCTACGTCGGCAAGCGCGCTGCCCTTACTGTCGGCAACGTTCTCCCCGTCGGTGAGATGCCCGAAGGTACCGTCGTTACCAACGTTGAGGAGAAGATCGGCGACCGTGGTACCCTTGGCCGCACCTCCGGCAACTACATCACCATTGTCGGCCACAACCCTGATGAGGGCAAGACCCGCATCAAGCTCCCCTCTGGTGCCAAGAAGGTTGTCGCCTCCGGCTCGCGTGGTATGATTGGTATCGTCGCTGGTGGTGGCCGTACCGACAAGCCTCTCCTGAGTATGTCTCCCTCGAAATGCATGGTCAATGTGATTCACGCGCTAACAAATTTACAGAGGCTTCGCGCGCCAAGCACAAGTTCGCTGTCAAGCGCAACAGCTGGCCCAAGACCCGTGGTGTTGCCATGAACCCCGTCGACCATCCTCACGGTGGTGGTAACCACCAGCATATCGGTAAGGCCTCTACCATCTCGCGGTACGCCGTCCAGGGTCAAAAGGCCGGTCTCATTGCCGCGAGGAGGACGGGTCTCCTCCGTGGTACGCAAAAGACGAAGGAGTAAGGAAGGCTATTGGTTTCATGGTCTCATTGGGATGGTGTTACAATTGGCTGGTTTATGGCTACTGAGGGTACTTCTAAGAGAGAAGTCTGGTAGCTAGGATGGCTAGCACTTTGATATTTGGCGCAATAAAACCGTCACGACCACTCATGAATCAACTCCAGCGACAACCGCGGATGAATGTGATGCTAGCACAAGAAGACATGAACAACTCCACGACATCTAAGGGAACGAAACTGTCGCAAAGCCTCCAATCTGATCGTCATCTCTCAACAGTGAAGTCACGCAATGTTTCAACACTCTTCATCGAAGCAACCACAGGAGACAGGCCAATTCCGGGCAAAGCCAATTGTCAATCAGCCCAGGTAGCAATCTGAACATTTTCTCCTCTCGAATGAATCCTCATGTTCTTCAGATCCCTGGTGACTGAAGGATGGTTAGAAAAACGAACAATTCTAGGATGCGCCACCCAGCTGTCCATCCGAGTCCCCTGGCGGGTGGAGAACGAGCAAGACCCCTCCCCCACTAGTAGCATCACTGCTGCCTTCGCTGTAGCCAGTTGCCCCTCCATCCGCCACCAAATTGTCTCGTTTCCTCGACTGTCCCGACTAAATCCTCGCAAACATTCAAAGAATTACTGTCACTGAGAAAAAGATGGCTGCTACTAAGGAATTCGGTCTTTTGTGCCTGGAGAACCCTCTCCTCGGTGAGTCGATTGGATCCAGCCTGTCCAACAACCTTGCTGAGCTTCGTTCCAGACATCCAGGCCTTTGGAGACCAGGCCCTGCTCGACAAGTACGGCCTCAAGGCCAACGACGCCATTCTTGCCGAGGAGAAGCACAAGCCCCTCTACGAGGATCTCCTTAACAACTACGACGCCAAGCTCATCGCTGGCGGAGCTGCCCAGAACACTGCCCGTGGCGCCCAGTACATCCTGCCCCCCAACAGCGTCGTCTACATTGGTGGCGCTGGTGACGACAAGTACTCTGCTATCCTGCACGATGCTGTCAAGGCTGCTGGCCTGCGTGTCGAGTACCGCGTCGAGAAGTCCGTCGAGACTGGCCGCTGTGGTGTTGTCATCACCGGCCACAACCGCAGTCTCTGCACTGACCTCGGCGCTGCCAACCACTATGATCTCGACCACCTGAAGAAGCCTGAGATCTGGAGCCTCGTGGAGAACGCTCAGATGTACTACATTGGTGGCTTCCACTTCACTGGTATGTCACCTCCTCCCAACCCCTAGGCGTGAAGCAATTACTGACCACTACAGTCTGCCCACCAGCGATCATGGAGCTTGCCAAGCAGGCCGCCCAGAGCAACAAGCCCTTCGTCCTCTCCCTTTCCGCCCCTTTCATTCCTCAGTTCTTCAAGGAGGTCGTGGACGCCAGCGCTCCCTACTGGGACTACATCATCGGTAACGAGACCGAGGCCGCCGCCTACGCCGAGTCGCACGACCTGCCTTCCAAGGAGCCCAAGGATGTCGTGGTCCACCTGGCCAACCTGCCCAAGGAGAACAAGCAGCGCAAGCGTATCGCCATTGTCACGCAGGGTACCGACCCTACTCTTGTCGCCATTCAGGGCGAGGAGGGTGTCAAGGAGTTCCCCGTCCATGCCATTGAGGCTGAGAAGATCAACGACACCAACGGTGCTGGTGACGCTTTCGCCGGAGGTTTCCTCGCCGGTCTCATGGAGGGCAAGCCTCTCGAGACTGCCATTGACATGGGTCAGTGGCTCGCGCGTTTGAGCATTCAGGAGCTTGGTCCATCGTAAGTCTTCCATTCAACGCTACCAAAGATCATGGCTGGTCATCCAGATGACCACAGGCCCACGATTATCTCTCTCCTCCCACTATCCGCGAACTGGTTTCAAAATCTGACTCTTCTTGCTAGGTACCCATCTCCCAAACAAACATACCAGGGTTAAAGCCCATGGTTCAATGAACTAAGGATGAGAGGGCGTGATGTCTGTCGCTGCAAGATCCCAGCAATGATGGGCAGCAGGCAACAGAACGGTTCGGGAGGGTAAAACTGGGTAAATGGTTTCAACAACGGGCGTTATGCTTCCTAGGGTGACTCGCATCGCATAGCGACCAAGCATCCTCCACGATGCTGTAGATTTGATCAAAGCAAAATGAACACATTCCGAGACGACATGACCGCCGAGCGAATGTCCTTTCTTCCCTGACTGGCAAACAGCAGGGTGTCCCAAGGACGCAGCAATGCGCGAGAGCAAGTTTCTTGTCACACCCATATTTAGCCATGCCATACAGCTCCCAACGCCGAGGATTGCATCGAGTCTGCAATTGTCTCCAAATGATGGCAGCGCACTCTGGCAATCTGGCTTGACCGCCATGCCGTCCTTGGAAGCGTACTCGAGATACCAAAATATGGAGCCAGGCAAATTGCGAGTCTGAATTGCAGAGATTCTTGAAGCACGCAAGATGTGCTCTATAGAACGTTTCATCCGCGACAAGACCTGGTGGTAATATCGTAGTAGCCGCTGAGTCTTCACTTCTTGCCTTGCATAGCCGCCTCAAAAATCCTAGAATCATATGTCGATGCCGAGGTCTGCGTGCGGTCCTGTCGAGGCTGTATTCGAGCCGCACCGGGAGATGTTGCCTTATGTCCGTTGGGATCACTGGCAAACTGGGTGCCATTTTGAGCGGCAGGGCGGTAGCTATCAGCATAGCCAGTACCGAACACAGGGGTGCCCTGGTAGACGCTGCTCACATTCGTGAAGGCCGAGTAGGCGGACGAAAGAGGGTACGCGGTTGAGGCTTGTTCAGGCGGGTCAAAGTGGTGCGCCGCATGCAGGGGCGAACGAGGCCAGTCATAGGAACCGGATGGTCCGATGCCACCGCGAGAACCTACAGCAGTAGCCGCGCGACCTGGTGTGCCGTATGCGTTCGCATTGGTGTACATGGTGCTCGACGCGGCGGCGCTGGGCGCGTTGATGTACTGATGCTGAAGGTTATTGAATGAATCCTCATCCGCACCCTCGAGGTAAGATCCTCGAGGAGACGATACAGAGGGCACATTCACTGATGCGGACCTTTGCCCCGAGCCTGGTTTGCTTTGAGTCCCTGGCGAGGCACTTGAGATGTACTGGCCCCACGGCGAGGAATGATAGGTACCAGGCGACAGAGACTGGTAGTAGGGAGTTGGTCCGTCCTTGGCGGGCTGGAAAAGGTTCAGGAGCTGCTGCGCGACGTCGTTGGCCGACGCCGTGTGCATACCGTACGACGACGACTCCTGGCGCTCAGCTCTCGAGCCCGGGCTATCCATGAATGGAGACAGCATGTCGGCCACGGTCTTGTCCATTTGTTCCATGTGCTTATCCTCAAGCGATGACTGCTGCTCTGCTGGATCCTGTGCCATTGACGCAGCGGCGGGCGCAACGGTGTTCTGGACTGTGACCGTATCCTTCGAAGGTTGCGAAGAGGGCGCTGAGACGGTCTCTACATCACTGCCAGCTGTTGTCTGCGCGGTCACGGCCTGTCGCAACGGCTCATCAGCCTGCGAATCGGGCTCGTATATGAAGACAAGGTTGCCATCGATGTATGGATGAGCCAGAGGAACATCGACTTCCTTCGCCAAAATGTAGCCACAACGGAGAATGTCGAACAGCCGACAGCGAGACTCTTTCACAGGGTCTAGACGTTGGTCTGTCGATTCAAGATGGGGCTTGATAACTCCTTGCCGCTTGTAGTAGCTCAGACATCCCAGGGGTACTCTGTCAGCATCAAGAGGTCGAAGCCCGCGAATCTCAATGTCCTCCTGGAGGAGATACGGGCATGTATCCAGGTCCTGGGTGTTGGCGTCCACTTCTCGGCAGAAGAAGGTGAGGATTTTTGCCAGACTTCGCATAAGAGGCGGCAAAACATTGCGAGGTGCGAGCGGTGACCGGAACAGCTCAGGGATATGCCCAGCGATCCACATCCCATAGACACGGAGTACGGGCAAGACAGCCATGATCACAGCTTGGTGCTCGCCGGTCTGTTTAGCCGCGGTAGGGTCGTCCGGCTGGAGTGCGTGCATTGATTCGAAGGCACTCTCGATGACTTCGCAAATTTTGAGAATGAAACGAGCGTTGAAGTGAAGCGTGTACTGAAAGAAGGACGACTGTGTGGTCTTGTTTGCAGCTGTGAGTTTTGTTAGGCATGGTTGGCATTCGGCAGCAACGACGATCATACCTGTTCCAGCGGTAGAAGACGCAGTGTGACAAGCAGACATGTTCACAAGCGCCATCTTCAGGATAGACAAGGAGAAGCTGGAATCCTTGATAGCTGAGCTGAGCCGGTGAATGACCTCTCGCTCTAGCTCGTTATACTGGGTGCTGACAGGCTCTCCTTTATAAAACAGCGCATGGAGCTTGAAGAACCAAAGGATCAGGGCATCGTGTGCAGAAGAAGGTGCTTTGCCGCGAGGACTGGCGTGCTGCCCTTTGATTGCCTTGAACTTGCCCTCGAGGTGTTCCCGTGCCTTTGGGTGCGGTTCCTTCACAGCCAGCGCGCGGTAGATATGGTACAGTAGGTCAAGGCGGTTGTTTTCGTCTTGACTCACTATGCCCATTTGATGATATGCATGCCCGGACTCGGGCATGAGGTCATGCGCAACACTGTAGAAGGCTTGCGCTGTGTCGTACGTCTTCTTTTGTTTGGCCTCGACTCGATAGCGCGACAGATCTCCCAGGTGAATCAAGGTCTGGTAGCAAGACACGAGCACCTTATGGCCAAGGTCGCCATCGGGGGAGAGGACGTCCTTGGCTGGAATATCCTCAGCTTGGATACTCTTGGCCACTCGCTTGAGCTCCTTGATCTCGTATCGAGCCGACAAGTGTTGAATGTAGCCTTTATAGAACTTCTGGGCGATGCGCAGGAAATGACCATATTTGGCCTCGACCTTGCGCTGCTCCACGACACGCTTGTCGGTGCGCAGCGCGTTTACCAAGCGCCGGTATTCGGCTCTTATGCTCACATGGAGACCCCAAAGGACGTCATCGATGTGTTCAGTCGCTGCGTATTCGAAGTCGAGAAAAATAGTAGTAACACAAGCTAGCCGACACCTGTTGCTGGTCAGCAAAGCGATACGATGCAGCGATCGGTCCAGTGCTCTTTACTGCTCGAGGGATTGATCGACCGCGTCGAGATGCGCTGTATCCAGGCCGTTTCGCGATTTCTCCTTCGATTGCTCCAGTAGCTTGAGCAACTGCTTGCGGTATTTGTGACCTTGGCTGTAGGGTGTGTGAGCTTGCAGCCCGACGTTGGTAAACGGTTTGCAACCTACTGCCACGCTGCGCGCGCCTTCTCGGCTCCCTGATCCTTCGAATCCATGGCCATGTGCGTTGAAGAGAGCCGCCTCACTCTTGTAGCTGGCGTAGGTCGTATGCTCTCGGTGGTGCGCTGCTACAAAAGCGTATGCGCGGTGATTGATTCAGTGTCCACAGGGCCTTTTAATCATGACCTATGTATGGATCGAGCGATACTAGATGAGCGGCGCAGTCCATCACTTGTTCGTCCTAGAGGAGAGCTGGCAACGGGCTCGGGGCGGGTTCAGCAGCGATGGCAACATTGGTATCGGTTGGGCGTTGAGGTGAAAAGTACGTGAGGAAGGCCAAATGCCAGGGCATGTGCGCTTCACGAGGTTTCGGTTTGCGATGCTGCGTCTGTCGCGTAGGACGGGGGCGCGGGGCTTAGGCGCACTGGAAACTCGAGTCTGGGGACTGGAGGTTTCTCGCCGTTCGTCTTCTTTGTGATGCCCAAGGTGTCCAGATGCCTGACAGTCCAGGAGGGCCTTGCAACTGCGTGACGCTGGATCGCGGGACGCAATTGACTGGATTATTGGAATTTCCTCGGCTGAATCGCTAATCCTACAGGCTACCGTACCTTACCAGAGGGGGTCCGTGCGCCAACCACTAGCTCCCGTCCCACGCTTGAAGTTTGGTGATCTGCAGTCAGGATTCCTTGGCTTCCATGAGCCAACCCAGCGCAAATCACACCAGTAAAAGATTTCTAGCTCTTTCTCATGAAATGGCTTCCTGTGACGCAGAACTAATGGAAATAAATAAAGTGCTGCCATGGGGCTGATAATGTACACCTTGCACGTCGGGCCCACGCAGCAAGCGTCGAGTTCCAATATTTCTTGGTGACGAGGATACAGCACCAGTGTCAGTCAGGGTTCAACGATGCCCCGCCTACATGTACCCAAATACAGCGTACGTATCCGTACTCAGCCTTCAGATAGTACAAACAATCTTCCTACCGAATACGTCCGACCGCACAGCCATACTCGTGTCAACGAGTCAACAAGGGAAGAGACAGCGACAGGCGACGACTGCGCCTTTTGGTCGAACAAGCGAGTATTACTGGCAGGAGGACGTTTGAACAGTGGCAGAGGTTCTTAAAGTAATAGCTACCCCACTAAGCTCTCTCTCACCTTCACCGCAAAAAGATGAAACGCTCACGAGAGCCGGAAGGAGATATAGAACACAGCAGCGACGACTCTGCAGACAACACCGATACTCAGCATATCAGCAAGATCTCCGAGCTCGATCCTGAATCACCTGCTCCAGCCCACGATAGCACAACGTCCATCATGAGATGCACCTTGCCGCCGCACAAGGAGCCCTTGTCCTTCAGGAGCTACGGCGAATACGAATCACATTATAACAATGCCCACACAAATCGTTGTCTGGAATGCCGGAAGAACTTCCCATCGGAACATCTCCTCACTGTCCATATCGAGGAGTTTCATGACCCTCTGGTAGTAGTGAGGAGGGACCGGGGGGAACACACTGTACGTGATGAGTCTGCCATTGATGCGCCGGTCCGCTAACATGTTTTTATGATAGTACTCATGCTTTGTCGAAGGTTGTGAGCGGAAATGCTTAACGTATCAGAAACGCCGCATGCACATGATCGACAAGCACATGTTTCCGAAAAACTACTTTTTTGCAGTCACCAAGGAAGGCATCGACGGCCGCCGGTCTCTCCTCATAGAGTCAGGTCACCATCGGAGACGGTCCTCCAATGCTGCGCAGTCGAAGGAGTCCAAGCGCAGGGAGAGCTTGCAGGGACTAACGGAGAGCAAGGGACCAGCGGAAAAGAACGTGGAGGACCCAGGCTCTCCGAAATCAAAGACGCAGCAGGGATCCCCCAAAGCCGGCACAGTGAGCCGAGAGAAACCAGACGAGGAGATGGAGGATCTGACGGGAGCTATGTCCTCTCTGCAGTTCGTTCCGTCCAGTGTCAGGTTTGGGAGGGGCCGGGCAGGGTTTGCAAGACGATAGGACAACTCACTTGGTCAGTGGAAAGCTAGAACGATGTGATCAGCAACTGCGATAAGTTGTCAAGTTTTTCTCAATGAAAAGGAAGGTCTACCTTCTGATTCCACAATTCAGCCAGCCTCCAAATCCTCATGTGATTTTGAGGGGGGAACAAGCCGTTTCCATTCGCCGAACGCCTTTGCTTCCCATCGAAATAATCAGAATGCAGTAATCGCCCAACGTCTAGTCACTGGACGCGCAACCCCGGCAGCCGCAGCTGAAGCACTGTATATCTTGGCCTTCCTTCATCTGCGCTCGAGGGATGCGGCAGATGCAGGTGCTATTGAAGTTGGTTTCTTTTGTTTGAATGCATCGGAGGCAGCATAGCTATTTTCGTCAGCGATACGATCCAGGCGCGCTTGCTTGGAGGACCACAAACCTTCTCGTAGCCTTGTTTCTTCCACTTGGCGATCAACATTGCGTCCGCGTATCCGTTCTTGAGCAGCCAGTCATACAGTGGCTTGCTGATGGCTTCCTTCTTATAGTACAGGTCGTACACGTAGCGGCTCCTTTGGTGCGCAATCTGGAAGACCTCCCACTGAGCCTGGTGCTTCGGGCCCGCTGGCGAAGGTTTGTTCTGCGCGTCCTTCATCTTGTTGGCAAATATGAGGAGGTCGTCTTCGATGTCACTGAAACCCTCCGGGGGTGGCTTGCGCTTCGAAGCATGACGGATAGCGGGCATGGTGTTCTTTGATCGTGTTGCAAGGGTCTTGGATACCACCTCCGAAGTATTGATGCGCAAAGAAAGCAATGATGCTAGTCTGAATGTTCCTAGCCTCAAATGCGGGTAGGTTGCGTGTGGCGCAGCGACAGGCCTGACTTGGGAGTGCCTTAAATTGTGGCGCACTGATCCACGTGACAAGCCAAAGCTCATCAATCGACCTCCAACGTCAGTGTGCTCTGGATTGCGAACAAGCTAACCACAGACGCGCAGCCATTGACCGCCCAACATGGCCATTACGCCGACGCAATTCGCCAAGAAGACGACGCAGTGTAGGTTTTGGTCCTTGGCCGGCTCAGATCATTGCTAACCGACCTCAACAGCCGCCAACTGGGGGGACGCGAAACGTCGAGTGATCTCTTCCTACCGAGAATGGATGCGCGCTGTATGTCACCATGTGCCGAATTCCAAGCGATTCTTCGAAAGAGACGAATGGTCTCGGACTTTTGGACTCGGGTGAACGGGCTGCTGAATGACTACAGGCTCCTGAGATGCAGACCATGTACAACCTTCCGATGCCCATCTCTACCATCCGCACGCGGATACGACAAGAATTTGAACGCCACCGATACGTCAACAAGCTCCCCGTAGCTGACGTTCTTCTATTCAAGTCGCATGCCGAATATCAGGTCCGGACCTCCGCAGGACCCTGGGGCTGCGAGCATGGCTAATACACGATGTAGGAGATGATGAACTTCTGGAAGCAGACCACGCACGTCATGTCATATTTCAAGGAGGAGAACTTCAGGGGAGACAAGAGACTTCCTTCGGACTTCATGTCCGGATTCCTTGAGGTGAGGAAGATTGGGAATGAGTGCAGACGCCGTTTACTGACAAGGTATAGGGTCGAAACTAAGCAATTGATGCGTCCTTTTGTACATACGATGTCTACACCGTTGCTTCCAAAGCAGAAATTCCCAAAAGATCCTCAAGCGCCCAGAATGTTGTCCGATTCTTCATAAGTGCCGCGTGCTGCCGTGCTTGTACTTTGACTACCGGGCGATCCCATGCTCAGCATTGTACTCTTCCCGTTTTGTCCAGAACTTCTCAGCTACGACATCACACACATCTTGCAGGTCAGCAAGCCCCTTCTTCAGCGCGTCGACCGCATGGCCATCTGATGCCGTGTTAGTGGTGTGCATGCAAGAGACGATGACACGCGGACTAACCGTAAGTCTGGATGCGAATGTTCATCTTAGGTTCTGAAGGATGCGGGATAGAGTATGCGCAGAACTCGACGTCGGGGCTTGATGTAGTTAGTATGTATCATCAACAATGGCCGTGGTCTCACTTCTTCATGATTACATAGCGCAAAGCATTGCCTAGAGTGTGACCTTCGTCAATGAACTCGAATGAGGCGGCAGTGTCTGTCGAGCCGGGAAGCTGTGATGTTTTAGATGCGCCCGGTAGTTTCGGCGGTAGAGTGCACGTACGATGCGAACTCTTTGCGGTTCGACTTCTTCCTCCTGATCCTCCTCGATCTCATCCTCGACCTGCGCTTCGCCAACCTGAGCAGATGTAGGCGCGTCCTCCATTTGGGCGTCCTGTGGCGTATCTTCCTTCGTGGTCCGTCCAGGCATTGTGAGAAATTGAGATGCGCTTTGAGAAAGAGTGCTTTAAATTGAGTAAAGTCGTGGATGATATGAGCGTGAGGTCACGTCTTGAGGCATGTGGATTCTGATGTGCACTTCTCTCAAATTTTTGAGTGGCGCCCTCCAGTCACTTTGCGCAGTAGACGCGCTTGTCAAATTAGCCGCGATCAAGCGCGAGCACCTGGCTACCCTATAGCATAGCAATCGTTTTTCTCTTTCTTGGTTGCCTGCTCGAGAAACGAGCTCTTGTCTTAGCTTTGTTTCATAATCATCAGTTGATACACAGCCGTTTGCATATAAATTATCTTGCATTGCTTCCATGCGACGAAGGAGAATGAGGAACTCCGTGCTATCATCGTACGTACTAAGTATACGTAGTGTTAATTGACCGTAAAGTAGCTCTTGACCACATCTGTGAACAAACGATGCATGGGGCTATGCAAAAAAAAAAAAAAAAAAAAAAAAAAAAGAGCAAGCCTGTTCTTCAGTAATACGGCAGCACTTGCGAACGTAATTGATTCTCGAGTATTCGCTCTCACCACTCCGCATGTTCTGATGTTCAGTCAAAAAATCAGTTGCCTAGACTAGGGGCATTTTCGGAAACAGAAACGTCCGGTTTCTGGGGGGTTGTGTGGTCTTGGCATCTTGAAAGAAGGGTGTGTTGCAGCATCGCTACTGACACACTCACACATTTTGTCCAATCAGATATCCTCTTGAGCTGCAGCCCCTGTAACGCCTGAGACGTCGTCTCAGGTGGGCGCGCCGCTCTGCCACCTTTTGGTTAGAGGCATGGCAATTCTCTTGGGGATCTATCTGCCAGTGACATTCAGAGGCTCGGCGCGCAAGTTTACAATTTTGACAACAGCCGGATGGGCCAACGGCCGGGCGGTCTTCGGACCGTACTTGTACGAGTTGAAGTGCGTACGCTCAGGTGATTGGGAGAAATGAGAGAATGGCTTGCTCACCAGCGGACGGCATGCGAGCTGGATACTATCACTGTGTTGATAGGCCACCGTTTTTCGTTGATGGCGTCTTCGTGCTCGTTGGGATTTTGTTTGCTGCATGCTCGCAACATCATACTACTATTGACTACTCCGTATGGAGTAGAAGAGGGGGTTCGAAGCCATTGGCGGGTGCAATAGTACATAGTAGTGGATTGTTGTTATGTTGATATTTTTCGTAGTACTGTGACCAGAGGCTATCGAGACGCCTGTCAGTGTCGCTGATGGCCTGGCGAGGAATTCAGCGCGGATCAGTGATGCCTCGTCCAAATCTAGCATGTATTATCATGAGTACCGATATCTTGACTTGAAGATTCCTTTGCTTTGCGTGGTGCTGGTTTTAAAGGGTGTCATCCCACAACCGAATGCTACAATATTTTGTACATCTACCAGTCGTCAAAACATCTAGTTCTTAAGAGCTATGCGCAAATGAAAGTACGCGAATCTTGACCAAGTATTGTCGAGAGAAGAATATACAGGTATTAACAATGACATTGCGAGTTTCCAGTCGTCTAGATATTTGCAGACTCCAGGAGTCCAGGTCCGTCCTCCTCCTGCGGGCACGCCCGGCCGTGTGTGCATGCCGCCAGCGTTCGAGTCAGACCCCTCCTCAACCCCTGGCTCATGATGATCAAGGGCTCTCTGGAGCACCTGGTTCGCTGTATCCGTAATATGGGGGATTGGCTGAAAGCAACCACCGCTTCAAACAGAATGGTGAAGCATCCGTTGCGTGGGCTGCTGCTCTGAAGCCCCAAAAGAGGAGGAGTTGTGCCAAGTCCCCGTATTCGTGCCCCCTGGGATAATTTGGTGTAGCCATCAGGTTTGCTGGGGGACTTGAGGGTCTGATGCAGCTACCGCGACAGACTATACCTGACACACGCTGGCAGATGTACCATGGCTAGCCTGCATGTACCTCCTCCACCTGCTGATGCTGGCTGCGACGACCGAAACACCAGTCGAGGCACAGGGGAAACAGAGGAATCGAGCGGACAGACCAGAGTCACCAGACCGACCGGACGCTGGAGGCGGGCAGTCATATTATAAAGCTACCGACCCCTCTCGCAGGCGCCTTGTTGCTTGTCCTGTTCCAATTTCTGCCATTTTCGCATCCGTCACCATCGTCAGTCGCACGCGAGGCGGGTTCCCCGAGTCCAGTCCAGCAGGCCAGGCCAGTTCCCGTGCCCCTCATCGCAACTGCCACCCGACAAGACAGAAGGACCCCAGCGGCTCAAGTCCAGTCCAGTCCAGTCCAGTCCAGTCCCGTCCACGCCTTACCTTAAAAAGTTGCCTTACCTGAGCGCACTGCGTCCTCATCACACCTGCCCGGCGCTTGGCTGCACTGCTTGTGCAACCCACACCCGGACTGGATCTTCCAATCCAGTCATCTGCCGTCTCGACATAATACTCACAGTACATGCTTACTGCTGCTGCCTCACTCCGACTTTGCAGAGAGCTTCAAGTCGTCTCCAACTGGCTTATTTCGCAGCATCGCAGACGATCCTGTCCCTGCCCAGACGCATCGATACTTTTTGTGACTTGAAACGGTCGATCAGAGTTTCACAGTTTGGCGTCGCTCTCAGCAGTCAGCAGTCGTGTCGATCGGGCGTATCCGCCAATCACCTACAAAACCCCTGTCTGAGCGCGCGCGCTGCACCACCAAAGTGCGCCCGTGTCAGTGCCACTCTTCGCGAAACGCTCCGTCAGTCCAAGGAGACAGACAACTCAGGCCAGTCCCACGTCGTCGGATTCCAGACCAGGCGCAGAGAACACTTGAGAAAAAACCGCAGTCGATCAAACCGCGCAGCCTCGCAATAACAAGGACGTTGCGCTCGTGATTCTTCATTAGCGCACAGGTCCTCGAAACGGTTGCATTCCTCCACCCCAAATAGGTTCGGCGCGCGCCAAGTCGACTACGGCCCAGCCTCTCCAATCCGATCCACCATCAATCACCCTCCGACTGAAGTGCCAGACAGACAGCACCCTGCAAGTTCGCCATTTCGCAACTCCCGCTCCTGCGACGGCATTCTCGTCCTTCCCATAACTATGAGTGCCGCAGTCGCCATGGCCCCCTCACCAGCACCTCATGAGAGGGCGGTTGCATCTGCATCTACAGACATGCCGGCCCCTGCACCCAAAACGGCCTCAGCGCAACCCCAGGCGCAAGCTGCTCCCACATCCGCGCCCAATGGCTCATCCCCCTATGGCCAGAGGACCGCACATAGGAATGGCAGCAAAAGTCCCAACGGACCCTCAGCTTCACAAAGCTCACCATTGTCGTACGTTTACAGCATTCTCTTAAACTTGGATGAAAGAATGGCACTGACACTTCACTCGAGTAGCTCGCGAGGCGTCAACGCCCCCCCGAAAATCATCGTCAAAAAGGAGCCTGGCTCGCCCACCATGCCCAGCTCGAGACCGCGCCCTTCGCGTCTCGACTTGTCGAAGAATACCATCAGCAACAACTCAAATAACCCTGCATCTGCGCGCCCATTGACAGCCCGTGATCCCCTCAGCATTCAAGATATGGGCATCCACTGTCTGTCACCAGGTTTCGTTACCGACGACCCTCACATGAAGGACCACATCCAGAGAAGCATGTCAGTGCGGGAGCAACAGCGCCACATCATCGAGGCTCGGTTACATCAACAATCTGCCAAGGGCGACGGCCCATCAGACAAGGACAGGGAACCTGGTTCAGCCTTTGCAGTCAGGACACCTGGTATATCGTCTCGGCGCAACAAGGTGCCGCCAGGCTTGTCAATCGTTGCGCCCTCCCACAAACAGTTCGCAAACGAGAGAGTGATTCAGTCTGCGCCCCTTGGCCACAGCTTCACTGGCCGCCAGGACATGGCGCCCTCGAGCAGGCATTTCAACCAACAGCCGTCTTATCTGTCCAGCACCTCACACATACATCACGTTCCTGCTCATCAGACCGAGAACCGCCTACCCCCGATTAGTGATGTGTTTGGTCAAGGGTTGTCTGCAAACCCCGAAAATGCAGCCGCATCAGGGTTCCCAACGGCCGGAAGCGCGCGCGCTGTTCCCCAATCGCCCAGTTACCCCCCGCCACCTCCAGGGCCGACGCCGACGGGGCGATCGAGGGAATACAAGTCCGCTGAAGAAGCCCAGCAAGACATGGCTGGAGGTCGACCAGAACTACTGCCACGTCTAGTCCACTATGGTGGACACCAGCCACCCACGCCCCCATCTCCTGCCCCGGGCAATCGTCCATCTGACGGCAGCCGGAGTGCCACCAAGAGGAGAACCAGGGCTGAGTACGAGGATGGCGCTACCCCACCGTTGGGACATGGTCCGAAAACCTCTCGCCGTGGTCCTTTCGATGCCGGTCGCGATAGCCCCGAGACTCAACGCCAGAAGCGCGAGGAATTCTTGGGTCTATGTGAGCGGGCTTGGGATCTGTTCCACTCGTAACACGGAACTCGTTTGCTCCGAAAGCACCTCCAGCCCAGACTGTCACTGGTGCTCTGGATAGCCATATAAGCGACGTTATGGGGAGTTGGGATGAGCGCGCGTCATTTGATGACTTATTATACCTACATACACTCGGGGCTGTGTGCTCTGCGCGCGCAGGCCTCTACGACTCGACAAAGAGCTGGAGTGGACTTTTTTTTCTTCACTTTTACAAGGGTAATTCTGGCAGGGCTTTCGGGCAGGCGCCGGTCTTTTTCGGGGGACATAATACCAACGGATGTATTCGGGGTGTGTTTATGCGGCCCTCATTGTTTATAAGGGCGGACGGGCATGGCTTGGGCTTCATGACAACGACGACATATATCTTTTTTGTGGACCTATGAGTTGTGTTCATACGTGAACAAGGTGGATTTTGGCTCGATGAGCGGATGAGCACATTGCTACAGGACATGGCCCGTTTTGACGTGGTAGACGAATCATTGTCACGGCAGCTTGGAAGAGTATTAGAGGATGAATTGATATCGGCCCTTTGGGGTCGTATTACTTAACCTTGCAACACGATCAGGCCAAATTTCCTTTACAACGTGTGAATGTACATCCTCCGGGGAGGTTTGGTTTGCCTCCCCCAGCCGCTTCATACTGTCATCTCCCAAACATGCACGGCGTCGAGGGGCAGAGAAAGACCCACGACCTCGCCTTGGTTTGGGACATCCGTACGCTTTGTATTCTATGGCGCTGAAGTCATCATACAGAATCATGTCCCTTTCTTCATAACCGTAAAACTCCAATGCTGTGCAGAAACAAGTAGAAAAAAAATAGAAGACATTTGCTGCTGAAGGACCGTTACGTCGTCAAGTGTGGCCCGCCGCACCTACAGCGTGCGTGGCACATGGTCTTTGCCCCCCCCCCCCCCGGTCCGCGCCCCCTCTGTTACAGGCCTTCCTCGCCAGCCTTGCAGAGTGTGATTTCTCGCACCCATTCCGACTTGAGGACCTGGCCAGCGGTGAGACGTCTGGTGGGGTGGGGGTCGAGGACCGAGTAGATGACATTACGACAACGAGCCTGTGAGTCGGTGTTAGACACGACGAAAGCCCCGTGTGTAGGGAGGTGGGGAAATACGTACCCTCGACAGTGATTCAATGGGGCCGTAACCTTCTTCGTCACGGCGCCCTTCGAGGTAGCGAGCGTAGAACTCGTCCTCGTCCTTCTTTGCTACGCGCCACAGGTGACGACCGGTGCGCATTGCCATGTAGATAACACCGCAAGCCCACACGTCGACGGCGCGCGCGTCAAACTCCCTGTCCACGTACTCCTCGGGGGAGATGTACGGGGCGGAGCCGCAGAGGCCCGAGACCATGTGGGCGTCCGTCTCCCAGGCCATGCGGAAACACTCGCCGTTGCCAAAGTCCGTAATCTTCAGACTACCTCTTGTGGTCAAGAGTAGGTTCTCGGGCTTCAAGTCCCGGTGCGCCACGCCCATCTCGTGCAGGTACTGGACGCCCCTCATCATCTGCTTGAAGAAGCAGTCGGCCTCTTGGACCTCGAGTTTGCCACTGGAGAGCACGAGGGAGTATAGATCACCGCCCGCGCAGAACTCCATGACTTCGCAGTAGTCGCCTTTGGCGTCCTTTAAGAGGTCGAGCGTGTGGATGACGTTGGGGTGGCGCAACGAGGACGAGATGCAGAATTCGGCCGTGAGGCGCTTGCTGTACTTCTTCTCCGTCTCCTCGGGGCGCCGGCGGAACTCCTTGACGGCAAACAGTCGTTCACCGTTGGGACCGATCTTCTTGTGTGAAATGCGCACGATGCCAAACGCACCGCGGCCCACGATTTCCTGACACTTTCCGTACTTCTCGACCAGCGTGGGCGATGCGTTGGGACCACCATGCTTCTTGTCCAACGCGGCGTCCTCTCTCTCCTGCTTGAGCGTGTCGACCCAGCTCGAGACGAGCGAGAGGTCGTTTTCTGGCGTTTCGTGTTTCTTGCCGATGAGGCTGCGCCAGAGGTCGCTGAGCTTTTCTTGACGGCGACTTGACTTTAAGTGATGCTCATGACCACCGGGGGCACTTGGGTTGAGCATGAAGCGCTGCGTCGGCTCCTTCTTCGCAACGGCGGGCGTGGCCACTGCCGCTTTGCCCTGATCGGAAGCAGACTCTTTGCGTGACATGGGCTGCGACGACGTAGGGGGCCCGTTCAAGGACGCCCCTCTAGGCCGCCCGGCGGAATCGCTGGTGACGCTGCTCGCGGCACTACTGGTCTTGGACACCTCCTTGCTGGAGAACATGCGCGTAAGTCTCTCCTTCAACGGGGCCTTCTCCTGGTGCGGCTTGAGCGAGGAGTCGGCGTCTGGTGGCGAAAAGGGCGAACCGTTGGGGGCACGACCCGAGTGGTCAGGCGTCGTCACGTTGGATTTGGCTGCATCGTGGGATTTGATGGACGAGGGCTTGGAGCTCGGTGTCGATGCGGGCTTGGAGTCGTCGTGGAGATGACTATTGGTGGTCGACATGGCGGGCGTCGTGTTTGCGTGGAGGGGCACCTGGCTGGCTGGCTCAGGTAGTATGTCGCACAGCACACTAATTATGTCTGCTTTGCAGCGTTTCCGAAGCCCGGTGCAGCGCTCCGACCCGCGGCGCAAGCGCTGAGGTTGAACTGGTGGTGTCGCACTGGGACCACCAGGAAGACGAGGGCGTGATGGCAGATGGTTGAGGGAGGAGGAGGATGGGGGCAGGGCAGACGAACTGCACACTGCGGGCAGTGACGGCGTGAGGGACAGGAGGCCGAAAGCTGCCTTGCCTCGACTGAGGGACTGACTGAGGGACTGAGACTGAACTGAGCTGGGCTGTCGATCGAGGACTTTCAAAACCTCTCACCCACTGGAAGGGCTGGGGGCTTATAGGTAACTCGGGTGTGCTGTGGTCGAGCCCTGCAGGGGCGGGGCGAGCGGCTGCGTGGGGCAAATCGAGCAAGCCTGTTCGTGCGTGCGTCCCAGTGTTGCTGTTGATGCGGGACTTGCAAGGTGAAGTCAGAATGACTGGAGGCTCCAGTCGGCTTTATTAAATTAGAGAGGCAGGTTTTGTTGGTTCAACGGGAGGAAGTGGACGGGGGAGGGAAATTCGCGTTGCAGGTTTCTTGAGTGTCCCCCCAAGGGACTAGGATTGAGGCGAAGAAGAGATAATTAAGTTCTCGGATCTGAAATGGCCCCGATCGAACGTCTTCAGTCAAGACTGGAGGCGGCGAGGACTGGACGCGACCTGGAGGGCGGTACTTGTCCGCAGGTACTTGGGTACGACTTTACAAGGCAGTGCATTTATTTGTAAGGGGGAAGGCACAGCAGCAGTGGAAAGTGACGCTGCCAGGCCGTGGTTGTGGTGGTGGTGGTGGGGTTGAAGAGGCAGCCCGCCGAGAAAAAATCCCCAATACAACAAGTCCGCAAGGAGCCAAGGACCAAGAGGACCGGGCGTGGGTACTACCGTGTCGACTTGTAAGTAAGTACTAACTTGCTGCTAATCAGATACTAATAATACTCAGATAATGACAGTGTGATCCGGAGCCGGACGCAAATTGCAGGGTTCGTGGTCAAGGTACCTGTCAAACAGAGTAGCAGTTGTCGAGTACCGGTACTAGTGGACTATTAGCAGGCTGACAGACTGACTTGAACTCTCTCTGGCAGTGGCAATGGGTGGAAGCTTCCTGTGGTGCTGACAAACGAAGAGATCCGAGGGTAAGCCCTTTTTTTGAAGGGATTGTGCCCGCAGACAACCGAAAACAATGTTAGTTCTGCATGGTGATTACCTTATCCGTATTGAAGATATTTAATGGCAACAGGCAGTCTTTCCTAGACTGGGTCTTCGACTCTTCCTCCTTCTTCCCGGACACATATCACTCGTCAGCTGCAGCCTGCTAGCCGCTACAGTACTAGTGGATTGTGGAGATCCGACTGGAGACTTGCAGTCGGTAGGGGACTATGTACACGTACTCATTACCTACTACGTACGTACAGTTTCTTTGCCGCATACATCAAATTCATAAGTGATGGGTAACGATAGGTACGACGAAGCTTCTGCGAGCGGGCGGCAAACTGACCAAGGCTGGTCATTTCTCCCAAGTGAATTGACTTGGAGCTTGCAGCGCGCGCGCAAAAGCCAAGCGCAGAGCGAGATCGTGCGCCCACCACTTCTGCACACCGTAAGATTGTCTGCTGCAAATCATCCATCCCCCATGCGGGACAGGCAATCTAACTAACGTTTCCGGCTGGCAATCCTTCTGAGACTAGACTAGGGCGGAAGGGTATTCTCGGAGTCGGAAAGACACGAGGGACTGGACTGGACTAGACTCCCGTCGATGGCTGAGACAGCTGATGGAGGGGGGGCCTCAGTGCGATGACGCAGTGCCATCAGCAACCTCCCGCAACCAACTGATTCGGGTCGCCCAAGTCAATCTGGTGGCTGTCAACGTCACTCTGCTATTCACTCTAGGTCCCATGATCGAAAACAGCTGATGCCAAGCAATGGCGCTCTTTGCGGGCTCGTGTAATTGCGTGCCTACTGCCTAGTACTAACTAGTCAGTGCGTACTCGGTAGACAGCATCTGACAGATGTTCAGCCAAGCCTTCACCCCGCGTTCATGGGCGTCTAGGAATATCTGCAACGTTATCTGCACACAATCTGCGCCGTCAACTGTGGCTTCTTCTGCTCGCATGGTCTTAATAATCTGCCCTGATCGTTGACGAGACGCAGACCGACGTCGACAGACAGGTGTGCTCGGAAGGCTACCCTGCAACTCGAATCTAAAGCAAACATTACAAGTGAATTAATAATCTCCCAGTCTCCCAAAAGCCCTCCATCGAAACGCGCCGGCCAAATCGTCAAACCAAGCTTCCGCTGCAACTCGGATAACGCGTGCCGTCCCCAGGTCGGGCGGCCTGGCGTCGCAGCATGCTGTTGGTTGCGTCTAAGTCGGACATCCATATTATTGGGGTAAGGAGGCACCTCTATCCGTCGTCCATGTGGGCTGGACCGAGGTATTGTTCCATTCACAAGGTAGACACTTTCCAAGGTGCGCCATTTATCTCCTAGACCAGCAGTCTAATTAGACAGGTATTGGATAATGGTGTCGTCGTGAGCGGTGCTCACCGAATATCTCCGCCAAGCAAGCACACCCTCTCGGCGAGTTATTCAATGCGTGAAGCTCTCGGCTCATTGTGCTGCAGGGTCCAGCTGTGGTTGGACCATGTCACCCGTTGATTCAGGGGACCGGTTGATAAAGACAAGTCGTATATCAAAAGCCCAGGTTTCACCGCTCTGTGAATGCATAGAGCGGTGGCACGGCTCCGGCCCTATTGTTGAAACAGACGGTGAACGCGACCGCCCTACGAGGAGACGGCATCCAACCCACGTTGCGCCGGCAAAAACACGACTGGCTTCCCCCAATCCAGGGGCAAGAGCTTGATAGACGACAACATGCACTTTATTGATTCGAGGGTCGTAGTCGCGCTGCATTGCAACACACAGCATGTAGTGTGGCGTCACTGATAGACAAGGATCTGTGCTTCTTGAGAATTATTTGCATTAGCTGCCGTGATACAGAATCCCTAATGCCTGACCCTGTCTCCCCTGATAACATTAACTCATGGGTTGTACCTACGGCAATCGCTGAGAAAGGGGATCAATTGGCTGGCCCTCGTCCGTCCCTGTGTCTTCGCGCCCTGCCAACGTACCTGCGTTCAGGCACTGGGGCTTGGCTTCGCTTCGGACTTGTCACCCGAGCTCGAAACGCCTATTTTCGATACCAGATCGGCAAGTTTGGCGGTGGACGGTGTGGGCAAGCCCGTACCGTCAATCAAGTCCCCCAACTTTTGGAGGTGCTCCTTGTCTCTGACGAATCGTGTCAAGTATAGCGTTGGCTTGCCCTGGCCCTGTGCGTTGGCATTAAGCCTCTCCTCGACGGCGTTCAGATAGGCTTGGTCGTACACGTCAAAGTCCACGGCCGTGGGCGAGTCGGCCACAATGTTGGGTGTCGCCTCATCCATGGCAAAGTCATCGCGGGACCCCGTGCCAATGCCCAGAAAGAGCGGCTCCTGATCGCTCACATCGTGCGCTTGCCCCTTGTCCGCCTCGCTGGCTGCCCTCTCCTCTGCCGCTTCTTTCTCTGACGCTTGCACGCGCCGCCGTTTCTCGATGAGTGCCTCGATCTCTTCCGCCCTTGCTTTCTCTGCAGCGGCGTCGAAGCTTTCCTGGTCTGCCCGCGTCCTCACGACCGAGTCTGAGCTGATGCCGGAGACTCTAGCTCGCCGCCGGGCGCTGAGTGCCTTGAAGCGCTGGAGCACCTTCATCACGCACATGAGGTGATTCATCTTGCGTGTGAATGCGTGGTTGAGCTCAAGCTCGTTCGGAGGGTCGACGTGATGCGCGCAGTTCTCCTCAGCCGATAGAAGAGGGTCGGCGCCCTCCTTGGTGACCCAGGGATGTGTCTACGGGGTCAGCGGAATCCCGACGACTCGACAAAAGAGACAAACTTACCCGCAGTTCTGGCATTTCAATGCGCTTCTCAGGATCCTTCTCCAAGATCTTGCTGAACAAGTCTATCAGGAGTGGTGACTCATCTTCTGGTATCCGCGGCTCGTCACTCTTAATCGCCTCGTACATCGCCAGCATGCCATCCCTGTTGAACGGTATGCGGCCATACTTGAGGCAGAACAGTGAGACGCCCATTGACCAGATGTCGGCTGCCTTTCCGGATACCTCAGCGTGCTTACCACACAGCTCTGGCGGCAGGAACGCGGGCGAGCCTGCGGATTTGGCGGTCCGCATCTCGCTTGACTTCTCAAACATTTGGGAGACGCCAAAGTCCACCACCTTGAGCACGTCGTCTTCTGAGAGGAGAAGGTTGTCTGGCTTGATGTCCCTGTGAATGACGCCTTGTGCGTGTACTGCCATATAGTCAGTACTGCGATGTCTGTATCGTCATGTGGCCACCTACAGTATTCGATGCCCAGGACAAGGTCGCGGAACAAATGCCGGCACGCTTCTTCATCATAGGGCGTCGCATCGTTCTCGAGACCGACCTTCATCACCACGCCCTTTTTGCACATTTCCATAACCATGTAGAGCGAGTCTTCCTCAGGGTCGTCCAGTACCTCGATGAGCTGCACGAGGTTGGGATGGTTCAGCTTCTTCATGATGGCAATCTCCTCCCGGATGAGATACAGAGCGTCATCCTTCTCGCCAGCACGAGCGCTGCCGCCACTTGACCATGGCATGAGAGGGGCATCGAGCCCGGAGCGCCTCAGTGGTCGATGAGGTCCTTGCTTGAGTATATTGGACTGTGCTCGCTTGCGTAAGCGGACCTTGGAGAACTCTTTGATAGCCTAATAGGATAAAACTTTGTTAACATGCGTCGAGAGTACGACCGTAGTGAAGACGACCCACGTATTCAGTACCAAACTGATCAGTCCCCAAGTGGACACTGCCGAAGGAGCCTCGGCCGATCTCGTCTTGAATCACGTATTGGTTGATGCGATGATGCGTCCTTCCATCCGTTTCATCACTCATAAACTCCACATGTGCATCCAAGGTTTCCTGCAGACGGGGTCAGTCTAAGCTTAGCCTGGGCGTTGACCCATGTCCCACCTTGACTTCACGATGGGTGCTCGGCTTGCGCTTGTGATGGCGCAAGGGGCTGGCGAACTGCTGAGCACCGGGAGGATCCGAGCTAGACACTCTCATCAGCGAAAAGGGCCATGATGCGCGGTTGCGGGCTCATACACGTGAGGCGCAATGGTTGGACGGGGGGCCGTGATAGGGTCGTCATGGTTCTCGATGGTGACCATGGGTGAAGGGGTGGGTGTCGTAGCTGCAGACACATCCTGCTCAGTAGGAGAAGATACTGGCTCCGACATGGCTGCCTATGAGAAGATGGGCTATGGCGGTCCTGGCAGATGTTGCGATCCAGGCTTGTGAAGCATGAGCGAGCCTATGTGTCGGGATTCGATGACTAGAGCTGCAGAGCTTAGGGGAGAGCTGGTCCGTGATTCATCGTACGGGCCCGGTAACACTGAAATGTGTAGACTTGCCGTGCGTACACCTTGACAAGCTCAGGGGCGCAACGGGCATGTGAATTCTGGTATGCGAAGGGGAGATAAGAGGCGTGGACGACTGGATGAGGGTTAGATCTCAACTCCATTAGCGACGTTTTTGTCAAATACCCCCCACCACAGCAGTGACTACTACTACTCCGTAGGACCTATGAGCCCCTGTCGTCAGCTGGAGATGCTCCAAATGCGGGGCACTCAGCGCATGGGGACAGCCACTGGACCTGAGCCTCATCCTCAGCCTTCCAGTCCTCAGTCCCAATTGGAGATGCGCCACAGAGGCTCAGCTAAGGAACCTCCCTCCATCTTCATCTTCCCCAACCTCACGCACCACACCCCATGCGCCCAAAGGCGACGGCGGACGAATACGAGACCACGACATGACGAGCCCATGATTCGACGATCGCACTTCCCACCCAGCTACACGCCCGTCAAGAACCCCCCCCTGAGGCCCGTCCGACCTCCCAACCCGCCATCATGGTGGTCTACTCCTTCTACATCTTCGACCGGCACAGTACATACCACCATAACCTCCTCTCAACCCTTGCGGACGGGACGCTGACAATGCCGTAGCTGAATGCATCTATGCCCGGTCATGGCTGCCCCAGTCCCTCAGCCAGCACCACTCCTCCGCCCCCTTACAGCCATCCACCGCCTCGGACGACGCCAAGCTCATCTTCGGCACCGTCTTCTCCCTGCGCAACATGGTGCGCAAGCTCGGCGGGGAGGACGACGCCTTCATCAGTTATCGCACCGGCAACTACAAGATGCACTTTTACGAGACCCCGGCGAATCTGCGCTTCGTCATGTTGACCGACACGGGCACGATGAGCATGCGGAACGTCCTGCACCAGATCTACATCAATCTCTGGGTTGAGTATGGTACGTCTTACTCATTTGTTTCCCTCAGGTGTGCTGCTGGAATGGGTCTAACTGTTCGACAGTCGTGAAAAACCCATTGGCACCCGTGGAGCACAAGAATGGCGCGGGTGTCAAGAATGAGTTATTCGAGCTTGGACTAGACCAGTTCATCAGAGGACTCATGTGACGACGTGTCGAGTTCACACTCTTGAACTACTAATCGACCTCGTCATGCGGGCTAAGGCATGCAGAACGTAGCCAGCAACCACCTGCGACGAATGACAGAATGCTGTGCTTTGCTCAGTCAGTCACTGGACAAGGTTTTGTGCGAGACGAGCGCTTCTGAAACCGCCAGGTCAGGCCATACCAAACCTCACGCACATTATGATAGCGGCGTCCGAGGACAAATCACTTTTAACGCTGTGGGAGACACCGAGCGAATTGTAACCAGACCTCTTTGTATGTTTGGCTCGTGCCAGTTATCAAAGGCCCACGTTAGATACCCGCATGCAAGGACATGCCAATCCTCAAAACCACAAACCCGTCCATGCTCCCCGTTTACTCGTGATCAAGAGAGACTCAATGCAATGTACACCACAGCCCAAAAGGCCTTCCTGAGTGACCCAGGTCCTAATAATCATACATCAACAGTGTGCTCTACGCCTGCTTCTCAATGGCCCGCTCCCAAGCACCCTCCAAGCCACTCTGCTGGTTATCCGCCAGCACAACGCTCGAGTCGGCCTGTGCCGACTTGCCTGAAGATGTCTCCGAGGGCTTCTCCACGTAGACCGCACTGTCCATGAGGCCCTCCTCACGAACCTCGTTCTGCCAGTTGCTTGAATAGACAACGGCTGCAAAGGCCTCTAGGTCCCGTACCTTCTCCATGTCCTGGAGATACTCGTTCGGCACACCGTTCCCGATGACGTGCGCTTGGCGGGTCAAGACGGAGAGGATCTTGGGCAGCAGGATGTGCTGCGTGTGTTTGAGCTCACTGTTGTCCGTGACCAGAATGCCGCCTTCGCTCGGGGCAGGGAACTCAAAAGCCTCGTTCGCCAGCTTCCTGTCCACCAATGACGAGAAGCCCGCGTCGAGGAGAAGAGTCAGAACGTGTGAGAAGACTGGCGACTCGATCAGATCGGCCGTCTCATCGAGCAACCTCCGCAGCGAGGCAGTCGAGGAGTGCGAGCCCTGCGACTGCTGGGCCGGATTCTCCTCCAGGACCCCGGACTCCCTGATCACCTCATCTTCCTTGTCACGCGGGGGCAGCAGGAACTTTAGCCACTCCGCTTCCTGTCTCTGCTGCGGCGTGGCGCCCTCGACGAGCTTGCGCACCTGCATGGTCAGCTCCGAGAACCGATTAAAGCTGACGAGATCCCTCGGGCTGAGACTGCCAAACACCGTGCGCACAGCACTCTCGACCCGCGCCATAATGTCGGCGTACCCGCGATGGAGCAGCCACCAGCTAAAGGTCAGGTACTTCCGGTTCGTGTCAAAGTCGTTGCCGTACGCCTGGTCGGCGTTGTCGTCATCATGGTTCTCGAGGCTGATCGTCGCTTGCTGTGTGCTAGTGGCCAAGGCCACGACGCTCGACAGATAGCTCCGTCTACCCAAAAGGTTCAGCTGGACTCGAGTGAACATGGCCAGCAAGGCAAGTGTGTAGATGAGAGTGAACGATCTTGTGATGGCTGCGAAGCATCAGTATCCTGCCAGGGGAAGGTCTGCGCTGTGATCCTACCGCTGATGGTGAGGTCATCCCATAGCTGCCTCTTGGATTTCTTCTTTGGCGCAGTCACAGGCTGCTGAGGCTGCTGCTGCTGCACTCCCTCACTTGTACTCGGCGCACTGGTCGTGGAAGGCGTGGCGACGACCTGGCTCGCATGCACGCCGCTGTCACTCTGAAAGCTGGCCATGCTCCTCCCTTCCTCTTCGGTCAAGGTTGTGTCGGCGATACTGGGCGGCGGCCCATTTGACTCTCCACCCCGTACGCCCTTTGTGCTCTTCATCTGTTGGATCTCGAGGGTGATGCTCTCCGTGTTCATGGCCTCGAGGATGTTCGTGGTCGCAGTGGGTAGTAGTGCAAGGACCGTAAACGTGCAATCCTCCTGGTTCTGCTCGAATCGTCGCCGCAAGCTATTGATCCCCACCGCGTCAGCCTCGGTGTGTCCATGTCGAGGGGGGAGGATGGGGCATTACTTCTCCTTGGAGATGCGCTCACTGCTCATGCGCTCGCGGGCGTCGTTGATCTTGTTGAGGACATACTGCGTGACGACGTAGCCGGCGCCGACGACGCCCACGCCAATGGCAATGGGCGTCTTGTTCCTGCGCAGCCAGCGACGCGCCGTGGAGAACATGATGGGCTCTGGGCGCGCGTATCGTCAACGCATTGGCGAACTATCGAGCGGGTTATCGAAGAGGGAGGATATGGAGAAAGAGAGTGGGTGGAAAGTCTGGGGAAGCAAAGGAGAGCTTGGGCCGATGGCGCTGGGAGTTGTTATCCACAATGTCAAAGGTAAGGCAGCGTGAGCTCCATGTCCATGTCAGTGTCCGTCGTTCAACCTCGGCTTTCGCATGCAATGACGGATGGACTGGAGAATTAGGGGCCCAGCTGCGCCACACTTTGCCCTGGGCCGCCTGGGGACATGGAGCCACAGCGGACATGGACTCGAAGCCACCAGCCCCACCTCAACTCGGCGGACAGACGACTTGATGCCCCTCATTGTCCCTCACTGCCAGTGACGTTGATTGATCGAGGGTTGCGACGGACGTATTACACCTCAGGTTAGCGATAAGCTTCCGGATGCGTGAGGTGCGCGTTGAAATTCCCACCCTCGACTGGACCCCAAAGGTCGCCGCCCATTCCGTCCAATCCTCGTCATCACAAATGCATCCCGACGTAGGTTTCCCGGCCACTTCAGCAGGCGACGGCAACATGGAGGCCCAGAAGCCCACCGAGTTCCATCTCGAAGTCTTTGCGGACCCGCGCTCCGTGCGCGACGTCGTCAAAGGTACGATCGAAACACCCACCCACCCACCAAATCAGAGCAAGAATGCAACAGAAACTGACATGACTTAACCAACAACAGCGGTTCTCCACGCCATCTTCTTCCATCGCTTCTTCCCCTCCATCGTGCCCCAGACCCACGAAGTCCTCGACCTCACCCTCCCCTACGTCCCGGACCCCGAGCTCGAGACCCTCATTGACCAGCGCGCCGCTGCGCTCGAGCGACACATTGACGCCCAGCGCCCGCCATCGCAACCGACCGGCGCGAGCACGACCTCGAATCCTGCGAACAAGGGCGGCAGGGGCCAGTTGACCGTCCAGTTCTTCGAGAAGAAGAGACGCAAGGGCACATGGCTGTCCCGCGGGGACGAGGAGGTCTGCTGGGAGTCGTGGACCGTCAAGGTCACCGTCTCCGAGCCTCGGACAGAGAGTGGTACGTACGCATATCGGTGGTGCGCATCTTTCTTCACACACAGTCTAACCAGCATGTAACAGAACGCGCCAAGGTGCGCCGCGCCATGGAGCAGACCCTGCAAAAGGCCGCCTTCAACATCATCACCTACATCAACCAGCACAAGGATCACATCCCCCCGATCACGACGCAGACGTCCAACCCCTTCCCTTACAAGATCAACGTCGATCAGCAAGAGACGGGCTGGGCCTCCAGAATGCGCATATACTAGGACGGCGCACTCCACTAGTTACAGTGCCCCTGCTGGGTATTTTCAGCGTCGGGTTTTTGGGACACGCCACTGGGTGCGGTGCTACTCCTTGGTGTCGTTGGCGTAAGGCGTATAACGGGATACATGGGGGGTTAATGGCGTTTCAGGTGCAAGCCAGGTCACCAGACCTCAGGGTTGCGGGTGCTGTTGAGTCCATTGTTGGGGTTTGGGGTTTTGTTTTCGCGTGGGTTTACTTAATAGACACGACGATACCCATGTCTCGCTGACAGCGAAAGCTCCTTCACTTCTGGGTCACAGGAGGTGCAGCGGTAGTGTTGCGGGAAGAATCAATAATAATCCTGTTCGTAGCAAAAGCAATAAAGCATGTGTAAAAATTGCGGTAGTGCCTCAAAAGACGACACGGTCATTTCTTCTTGGTCAGATACAGTAGGGCTGTTAAACAAACGCCAAGCTTGCCAAACCATACTAGCTCAAAACAATGCCAAAAAACATACAAGGCGTAATGGACACGCCCGTCCAAGGCCAAGTCCCGACGCTCGCGTCCATCCAACCAAGAGCAAGAACGATACGATCCAACCCCTGCGGATTGAGCTAAGCAGCACTTGCAACGCTCAGATCCGACGTGCGTCCAGCTAGACGCCCTAATATCCCAATGTTGCGAGTGTGTGTGTGTGTGTGTGTGTGTGTGTGTGAAAGTTGTCCGTGGAAAAGTGTGCATTATGTCGTGTTCATCGTGTCGCTCACACCGTGAGCCATTCCTTGGCCGCGAAGCCTTGTTGTTCTGTTTCTTGTAGACCGATAATGGGAAAACCCATGGTCCGGAAGCTCATTATTCGTCGATTCATCGTCAAGTGTTCTTCTTTGAAAGCAAAATGGAGTTAAAAGACGCCGTGATCATCCGATCTGCGCAAACCCCTGGGTAATGTCAAAGTCAGACCCCTCTTCCTCTGAGAAGCCCGTTGCGATTTGTTGATGACCAGGTCCGTCCCAGTTCTCAGCGTCGTCATCCGCCTTGGGCGCGGGCAGCTGAGGCCGGGCGAGCTTTGACTTGCAGGGAGATGCCTCCTGCGGGCCTGTTTCATCGAAAGCCTCCAGTAGAGACCCCCCCAGGTATTTGAACGGCGAGCTCATTCCCTCAAAGGCCTTGCTGGGGGTGTCGAAGAAATCAAATGCTTGTTCGTTCAACTGAAGAGCGGGTGCTGAGGTGCAGCCCCGCGGTGTGCCGGTAGACAGTTTCAGAACAGAGCTAGGCATCGGTGGCAGCAAGTCGGATTGCTTGAGCGGCGATCTCTTGAGTGGCGACCTTTTGATGGGTGACCCGCTGCCACGCACATGGAAGAACGTGGAGTAGGGGTCTAGAGTGTTGAGAAAGTCATCATTGACAATGGCATCTTTCGTGAAGTCAAAAGCGTGAGCGGTGGTGCCTTCTAGACTGAACTCGGGGCTGTATGGCACCTCCTCAAGGCCGTTGTTAGCCCTGCCTGGTGAGGCAGTATATGCAGCAATCTGCTTGCGATGCTTGAGCAAGTTGGCGCGGGGCGAGACGGACTTGGTGATTGGCAGCATCTGAGCCAGCTTGCTCACGGGTGTCTTGGGTCCCATCATGTTCATATTTTGCTTGTAAGGCGAGGAGAGCAAAGACTGGTTGACAGACTTTGATCGGCTCCTAGTTGGACTGTGCGGTGATGACAAGGGATTGCGAATTTGGCGGATCGCATCCTCAGCACGACCACTGCCGCCCAAGGCGCGAGCGCGCCTCCGAGGTCTGCCGCTCTCAGCTGTCCACTGAGAGATCCATTTGCTGGGTCTTTGAGCTGAGGAATCAAGCGAGGAAATGTACCCGCTGTCTTCAGGAGCACCGCGTTTGCTTGGTCTAGTCACGGAAGACTGGCCAGGGACAGACGTAGCAGAGCGTGTGCGGCTGTGTCTTGCCACAGGGGGGGATGAATGGAGGCCATGAGGAGCAGGGGACTGGGCAGGTCGTCGAAAGCTAGGGTGGGCGACCGACTGCCTTTCACTCAGTTCTTCAGGGGCAGGGCCATCGCTTTCGGGGATAGTGGCGTCAGATGAGGGCAAGCGAGGCTCCTCTGTCGCACGGGCGGGTTGGCGGGCTTGAGGTACTGGGGGAGGAAGGGAAGGCTCGAGAGCTGGCGCTGTGGCTGGCCTCGAGGGCTCCAGTCGGGTTGACATGACAGGGAGGTTCTCTGCGCTCTGTGTGCCCTTTCGAGCCGGTTTCCTTCTCAAGAACTCTGATTCGCATCCTGGTACGATCATCCAGTAATGGCCCTTGCCCGGGTCCTCCTTAGGCCTCTCAACCTTCTCGAAGCCTTTGTGCAAGCTAAGGTTGTGACGAATGCTGTTTTGCCAGCCGGTTTCTTTGATGTTGTAGAAGGTGTATGTGTCGGAGATCCACGTGTAAATTTGGTTGAGCGTTAGCCTCCGGTTGGGTGAGCGAAGAATCGCAGTGCCGATGAGCTGAGCATAGCTCAGTGGAGGTTTCTGGCCGTCGTCGACAATGACGGGGAACGAACCAGGATGTGGTAGCACATCGAAGCTACTGGACGGGGCTGGAGAAGTTGCCAGTTCGCTCTCTGCCTTCTTTGACTTTTTGGCTGGCCTACTGTCCATGATGGGCGCGGCGTCAAGGAGCTTCCGTTTTCCATTTGACGAAGATGACGGCCGGGGCGTTGGCGCAGATGACGATGCCGAGGAGGGGAAAACACCATACGGCATGGAGTTCTCATCTGTCAATCCAGGGAGGTTCTCTGAGTGCGGCGGCGCCTTGAACTCGTACAGGAAAGGTTTCTTCCAGATGGTGTCGGTTTGCGGTCGCTGCCCTGGCGGAGGCATGGAAACATTGTTGAGTTTCTTGGCATTGGCCGTCTTGAGAGGGGACCTACGGGCCGCGTTGCTCATCTTGTGTGGTGACAAGGCTTTTTGTTGTTGTGACTGGCTGGGCTTGAGAATGGCATTTGAGTCAATGGCACCAAGTGCTCGTCGGGATGGTTTTGCGACTGTCGTCGGCATGGGCGCGTGGCTCGTCATGGCGTTGTGAATATTGCTGAATGCGTTTAGGCCGTGGGTGGCGTTGAAGTTGTCCAGACCGTCGGTGTGGCTATAGGTGTTCTCGACTGCGTCGAATGAGTCGAAGCTGTCAAAGTCCTGAAAGATCTGTGGCGGCTCGTCAGCGCCGCGAAACAGCGGGCGGTTGGCCATTGTGGCCTTGGTCGAAGAGCCGAGTCGTGAGAGCTATGCGGAAGCAGTGTCGTGAGCGACTACTATTCGGGCCACGTAAAATCGCGATTTATTCACGCGGAATGAGAAAAGAACGCGCTGCAAATGGTGCGGGAATGTAGTGTGCAGTAGAGCTTGACTTTGTGGTGCGAAGCGCGTATCGGTGAGCAAGAAGCGGTGTCGTCGTGGGCGGGCCGAGGCGTTGAGGTGAGGCAGGTTGCGCGTATTGCGAAAGTCGAAAAGAGTCGTTAATGGAGGCGCCTGTTCTGTTGTTCAAGGAGTTTTCAGATCGGATTGAGGCGATCAAGGGCGATCAAGGCGGCGATGGTGAGCGTGAGGTGTGTGGGTGTGTAAGGTTGAAGATGTAAGACGGAGCGCTCAAGGTTGAAGATGGGCGGGATGAGGTACCAAAGTATCTTGGGGGCCCAGTGCACTTCCCGTACCAGCCCAACTGCACAATGTCAAGGGCGGGTGGGCACGAACGGGCAGGTGCCGGCAGGGGTTGGTCGGAGCGAATGGCCAAGGCCTGGACAAGCCAGCACTCAGCACCGGTGGCCGTGGGCCAGGTCTCTGTCAGAGGTCGAGGCGCGCGAGGGAGGGCTCGATGCGAGGCGCGGATTGGCCAGGCAGCGTCTGGGCTGACACGAAAGCTTGCAGGGGTCTGGCACTCATGCGAGGGAGGGCGCGGGGATGTCTCTGGCGCGATTCCCATCAATCGATAGGCGGGTTGGGCCACGTACGCCACGTCCCTTGCCTTTACTTTTTGGCGCGATGATTCTTCCCAGTGCAAGATCATGCGGTGGAAATTATCAGTATCGATCTGATCCCGTAGACAGACGTCGATCTAGGTTCGCTTGTGTAGGTATTGTAGATGGACTATCAGATGGAAGGGGACATGGAAGAGCATCTGCGCACGTAGAGCAAGATGTCGGGTCCTGTGGATGCGCAGCACACACACACACATGTACGAGTCTCACATGGTGTCGCGTTGGACGAGGCCAGGTCGAGGCAGAGGAACGCGATACAGCGCGTGCAAAGTCGATCTCAACGCTTTCATAAATTCCTGCCCCTCCTTAGCGCCGGTGTTCCTCGGTGCGCTTAGAGGTACGTGCTGGGGCTATTATGTCACTGCGCACAGTAATGGACACACTACGGCTTCCAGTCGAGACTGATCTTTAGGATCAAAGCGCGGTCTAACGTCCGCATCACAATTGAACGCCGAACGCAAAGAGAGAAAAAAGGCTTTGAATAGTGCCAAAATTCAGGCAACACGCGGACGAGAAAGAGGGGTTCTACAATGCACGCACGTGTGGTTCTGATATGGTTGGTCAGATGGTGCAAGATGGTGTGAGCTGAAGATGTGAAGCCTGGCCCAGGTCGCATGGAGATTGGCCGTGACGCGTCGCACGACGCGCCGGGATTGTTTTGACTTGACGCGTCTTGAGCCAATCAGAACGCCCTGACGGCGGTATTTCGACGTACCACTAGGCACCCGCTGGACCTCACGCTGGCTTCCATTACAAGCCACTGAAAGCCATTAAACTCTGCAGTCAGAATCTCATCATCATTGATCCTCATGCTCGGATTGTACAGGAATGGCAAGTTTAGGGCACTCGATGCGATTTCATTCATCTCAATGCCATCAGGCTACGACATGCACGATCGTGGCCTTGTGGACAAACTTCAAAGAAAGTCAATTCGGACAAGACAGGCCGGGGCTGGCACCTCGGAGGCCCGTAGCCAGATCAGAGACCCATCTTTGTTTGAGCTTGACTTTTTCACGTTTGATGAGTCCTGACATCATTGTGTAGGGATCTAAAGTGTTGCGAGCCTGCTTAGCCCCGTTTGTCTGCCATCCCGTGTTCCGTCTTTCTTGCTTTTTGGGACACACTAGACGTAGACTCCTCTTCGATCGTGATGCGTCCCGGAGGCATCCGGTTTCCCGCGATTGCAGGCACATCACAACCCAAAAGTTCCGAAGACGGGCATGGAAAATCGGACCATGATCACCCAATGTAACTCATCACATTGCTCTCCAGTGTCCAGGCAAACCTTATCGCATCATGGGAGATTCATTCCTCCATCAGAGAATTGGGTGATTGAGTACGTATGACTGGGAAATCCAGAGACTTCATCCAGACCAGAGTGAGTCAGTGACCCTCCCGGTCCCGACATGGACATGGTTCTCTTCGGCATTGGATCTTTAGCTCCAGCGGTCTAAAGAGCTTGCATTTTCACAACTCCCGATCTCGTTATTAAACAATGCATAAAAGTCTAATTTAGCCAGAACCGGCTTTGGTAACGTGAACAACGCATCCAATCAATACGACCACGTAGCTCAACGCGCTAAGGCGACCTCATCCAAGGCCATCCTTCGTCCTCAATGCCATGGGCTTCGATCCACGGCTCTACTGTCGGCAAGTGTTGCATTGAGGTTCCCATCATGCAGAGCGCGAACGATCAGCTGTTAAAATCCTCCCACAGTATGTCAAAGGCACAAGGGACAACAAAGTCACTATCCAAAAGGAGAAGCATTGTAGACTATGTAAATCGCGATTCTATCGCAGCGAAACGAACAAACTGAAGCTGGTACATGACTCTCCCCGTGCGTTGTTCTACAGGACGCGACCAGCAACGGCAGCAGCGCTGGTGTCCTTGGTCTTTGTCTTCTTAAGGGACTTGCCTGCTTGAATCTCCCCGAGGAAGCCAGCTGGCCGGCCACCACCGGCCGCAGGTGGTGGAGGCGCGCCTCCCGGAGGAGGGGGAGGCGGCCCAGGAGGACCGCCAGGGGGAGGTGGCGGTGGAGGGCCACCAGGAGAGGCCATGCCAGGCATAGGAGGGGGAGGAGGGGGTGGTGCGCTGGGAGCGTCTGATCCGGGCATGGGAGGAGGCGGTGGTGGTGGCCCAGAAGGCGCATCGCCAGCAGGCATCGGAGGAGGCGGTGGTGGTGCAGCGGGAGCATCACCAGCAGAAGGTGGTGGAGGAGGTGCAGCAATCGGTGTATCCTGAGCAGGTGTGGCGGGCGAAGAGTCCCTGCCAGCAGCAGACAACGGTCGCGGGGGGGCCATTGTGCCGAACAGGATGGACGCGAGTTGAGCAGCGTTGCCGCCTCCAGGACGATCGTCCTCGTCGTCGGAGCTGTCTTCTTCCTTGTCAGAGCCCCAATCATCGGAATCAGCACGCTTCCTGGACACAGGAGTGGGTGCTGGGTGAGGTTCCTGCTTCATGCGGTGGAACGGATTTGTAGAAGCGTCCGGAGCAGGAGGCGCTGGTGCTGAAGGATCTGCGGGCGCCGATGGAGCAGCGACAGGAGATGTCGTCTCGGGTGCCTGGGACATCATCTTGAAGTAGGGGTTCTTGCTCTCCGTCTCGGCCGGAGGCGATGTCACGACCGAGGGAACAGTGGCAGCGGGAGCAGCATCGGCAGCGGTCGTAGGCGGCGACGCGACCTTGCGCTCAAGCTCCTGGCTGGCAGCTTGACTGCCACCCATGGTCGGGGTCGAGGCCTGAGGGGTGATCTGCTGAGGACCTTCATCGTCAGACGATGAGTCCGAATCGTCGTTCATGGCTTCCAGCTGTCGCTGCAGCTCGAGCTCGCGCTGCCTGGCTGCCTCGATCTCAGCACGACGGGCTGCCAGCTTGGCTTCCTTGTCCTTGGCCTCGGCCATGGCGGCCTTCTTCCTCTTCTTCTCCTCTTCCTTGCGCAGTTTACCTTGCTTGACCTGCTCTTCGAGTGCCTTGAGGCGAGCATCGGCCTCTCTCTGCTCCTTGGCGAATTCGTCCTCCTCATCCTTGACGTCGTCCCTGTTAAGGTTAGCTCAGAATGCTGTACATTGCACAATGAGACACTGATAGACTCACTCCAATTGCTGCGTCTCGCGCTGTTGCTGTTCTTGTGCTTGAGCAAGGCGCTGCTCTTCGGCGGCTTTGATCGCCGCGTCGTCCTCCTCGGCCTTGGGCGCCGCCCCTCCCTTGCGAGTAGGAGGCGGAGGGGGCTTCTTCGCAGAGGCCTTGGCGGCTTCAGGCTCCGCGGCAGGAGGCGGGATGCCCTGCTCCTCAGCAAGACGAGCCTGGCGCTCTTGCTCGCGGCGTGCGTCCTCTTCTTCAGCAGCGCGCATCTTTGCTGCCCGCTCAGCCCGCTCTCGCTCCGCGCGCTGCGCAGCGCTCTCGCCGGGCTTCGATGGCGCCTTGATGCCGAGGGCCGCCAGGCGTTCAGCCATACGCTGCTCGGCTTGCTGCTTGATAAAGGCAGCGCGCTCCTCGGGCGTCTTGTAAGCCGCATATGAGCCACCGGAAGCGGCGGGGCTACCGGTGCGAGACGTCGAGACCGGGCTGTCCACACGAGGACTGGCCACACGCTCAGGTCGCGTCTCCTCAACAGGGGCTGAAGGGCGAGCAGTGCGCTTGTCCTGGGTACGGACGCGGGCAGAGCGACTTTCTCGCTGGAGATCAAAAATGAAGTCGCGGACATCATCCTCAACGCCAAGAGCGTCCTCCCAACGCCGCTTTTCGTGCTGGCTGGACTCATCCTGAGTACCTTCCTTGAGGCTGTCCTCAATACCGCGGGCAAAGTCACGAACACTCTCCTCAACGTCACGGACCATGCTCTCGTTACCCTCGCGCTCGTTCTTGGCCTTGATCGACTCCTCCTCGAGGCGCTTCGAGGCAGCGTCATCACTTTCGACGGGGTTGTCGATCTTCTTTCCTGTCAAAGCAGCAGTCCGCTGCTGCATCATGGCCTTAGCGCGGGCCTTGAGGCGGTCGGATTCGGTCACGACACCGCCAGGGCCAGTGCCAACAATCGAGGCTGCGCTGCCGGGGTTGGCCTTGGCATCACGGAGGCGGAACAGCTCCAGCTTGGCCTCTTGAATTGCCTTCTCGGTCTTGCGAACCTGGGAAGCCAACTGAGGGATTTTGTCCGTCAGATTCTGGAGCTGACGCTTCATAGCACGCCTCTCGGCCTCAGAATCACCGGAGGACGGCGAAGCATCGGGATGGGCGTCAATGTCTCCTTGGATTCGGCGGATCCTGCGATACAGCTCCTCCGCTTCGGCACGATCGCGGCGATCGAGAATGTCATCTTCCTCGGCGTGCTTTTCGTCCTTGAAATCCATCGCATCAAGCAGCACCTGCTTCTCGCGGATTTTCTTCCTCAGCTGGTCCAGAGTCAGGTCGTCGCTGGAGTCAACAGAGCCAGGTGAGCTTGGTCGAGGCGAATCGTTGCCGACCCTGCGACGTGCGCTTGACTTGTAACCAAACTCCTCGTCGTTGTTGCGGAAGACAGTCGCATCCTTGCGACCAGCAGCTCCCACATTGGCACCTCCGCGGAACGACCGGTTCTTCATGTAGCTGACACCAGTCTTCTGGGGCAAGAGGGCCGCTCCAGAGTTCTTGCGGTCATCCGACTCCCTGCTGAGCATGGACTTGACAGTACCGATGGACTGGCTGAAGTTGCGCGTAGAGGGTGGCACAAGCTCGGGAGGGAGCGAGTTGGGCAGTGGGTATCCGTTGAGCTTGCGGTAAATCAAATGCATGGCTACCGCGAACTCATCGAGATTCAAGCGACCCTTGTTGCCGTGATCAGCCAGAGTCCACACACGCTCCAGGTCAGGCTTCTCGAGTCCACTTTGACCCATGATCTCAATGGCTTGATCGCCACCAATGTAGCCCTTGCCCAAACCGTCCCAAGCTCGGAATAGGGAGTCGTAGCGAGTCTTCTCTTCTTTGGTGATGCCCCAGGGAATCACTGCATTGCCCTGCAAGCCCTGCGTAGTGAAGTTGCCTGCCTCCCGTCCCTGCTGAGGCATCATGCGTGCCTGCAAGGCGTCAATGTTCGGCAGACCACTGTCGGGCGCATTGACAAGACCCCATTGACCAGGTCGACCCGTGGGCTGGGCGTTCAGAGGGGCAACCGGCTGGTTGTAGCCAGTAGGCATAGGAGGCATAGGAGGGCGAGGCCCGGAATATCCAGTAGCCTGGGGGTTCTGGGCACCAGGAAAGCCAGTCTGCTGAGCCTGCAGGCCTTGTTGGCCGGGAAAGCCGGTCTGCTGGGCTTGCAAGCCTTGCTGGCCAGGGAAGCCTGTCTGCTGAGACTGAAGACCTTGGGTAGGCTGCTGCCCTGGGAACCCTGTCATTTGCGATGTCAGGATCTGAGAGTTGGACGGCTGCGCCGGCTGCTGCTGCTGAGCGCTGGGGGTCGATGCGCTTGGCGCAGAAGATGGCGCGTCTTCTGCAACGCTGAAGCTGATAATGTCCACCATGCTCGAAACCTCGTTCTTGATGTTTTCGGGTAGGGTTGGGGGCAGGGACTTGCCCGTAAGCTTCAGGTTGCAAAGATACATGGCGAGCGCGAATTCGGGAAAGTAGAGCTGACCAGCCCTGGTGGTATCGGCGAGGGTCCTAGGTTAGATATGTTAGCGAACTACACTCCGACATCTCTTTCGCATGCAAGACATACCAGATATGCGAGAGAGAATCTCCATCCAGACGCGATCGCATCAGAAGATCACGCGCCTTCTCACCCGACATGGTCATTGTCGATTCGCCCACGGCGGAAGCGAACAAGGTCTCGAACTTGGCCTGATCAGGGGCCGTAATGAATGACAACCTGATGTTGGGGATCTTATTTGGCTTCGGCTTGGTTTCGCCTCGGCGCCCCGCTGGCTTGGGCGTGCCGCCGGTCTGGAACGAAGCGGCCATTTCGTTGAAGCCAGTAGCCTGAGGCTTCATTGGCGGCGGGGGAGGCTGCGAAGGCCCGCTCGCCGGCTGAGGCGAGGTCGAGTAACCAGTCTGCTGCGGCGGTTGGCTCTGGAAGGGGGAGCTTTGCTGCGGAGGCTGTTGACCCTGTTGCTGTTGCTGGAACTGCGACTGGAACTGCGGAGGGATCGAGGGCATGGGAGGCGCGCCCGTCTGGAAGCTCTGCTGAGGCTGGGGCTGCTGGCCCGGGAAGCCAGTGTACTGCTGTTGGAGCGGCTGCTGCTGAGGCAAGCCAGTCTGCTGCGCTTGCATAGGGAATCCGGTGTACTGCTGCTGCAGCGGCTGTTGCTGGCCAAAGCCTGTGGGCTGCGGCGCAAAGGGGCTCGGTTGCTGCTGCCCAGGCTGCTGTGTGGCCCCAAAGGCGCCGCCATACTGTTGCTGCTGGGCACCAGGACGCTGGCCGCCACCTCCGAGGAAGGCGTTCGAGTTCGAATACATGGCGCCTAGGTGGTAAGCAAATGGCTCGCGGACCGGCAATGTCGTCAGGGACGTCGGAGCCCTTGGTCGCGATGGAACCGCGGGAGTCCGTCCAGCGACTGAATTGAGGATCGATCAAAGGTCGATTCCAATCAGCCGTCGTTCTCCCGATGCAAGACGAGTCTGCAGATATGCGAATGGGTTGGGCTGTCTGACTGTATGAGCGTGCCCAGTATGGAGGACTGGAGATGCAAGTCGACAACGTTGCCAGATGACGATAGCTTTCACTGGGGCTGAGCAGGTCAGGCAACGCAATTGGGCTTGGAACGAACGGGTGGCCTTGCATGGTTGCGTGGCTGGTGCCTGCTGCCCGTGCTGTAGAATTAGGCGGGGTCCGCTAAGCCTGTGGCGCAGCGACTCCATCACATCAACAACTTAACCGTACCCCCTTTTCCTTTCATCCAGTTAGGTAAGTAGTACTAGTACGTAGACTAGCACGCACAGAAGCAGAAAGCATCGTCGAGAACACAAGCGTATAATCAAGTTACTCTAACTGCGAAAACGAAGGGTATCAAGTCCGTACAACTGTGTCGCGACTCCAAACAAACGCCGATACTCTTTCTGGTATGGTATCATAAAACCCATGCGCCCTGCTGTCCCCCTACCTGTTAACGACAACGAATGTGATCGATCCCCCATCTATAGACTCCGTCTGAATGCAGACCTCGAAAAGAACAAGAAATAAGAAGTACCGGGTGATATACGAAAGATAGATCTGGGCGCACGCAAGGACGGACATCACTCCTCCTCTTTAATGCACCCTACCGTCTCCTTCCACGCCCGCCTGTGGGCCTTCATGTGCAAGCCTTGGTCTGTGGCCTGCGCGTCAAAGTACGTGTAATTGCCATCAGTGTCGTGAAAGGGCGCTTCTGGGATAGAAGCAAATGAGCCTCCGCGAGGGCTCTCCGCCTCGGGAGGTGTCTGGTCAGGCGTGCTGAAACTGCCATCACCAATGCTGGTCGGACTTACGGCTGCGCTCGAGGCAGCAGAGTCGGAGCGCCGGAGCGCCCCAAGATGGTGTGCGCCACGGGGGCTCTCTGGGGCGTATTTGGGACTCGGCGACCCTTGTTTGGATAAACTGTTGCTTCGTCGGGACTCGTGTTCCTTGATGGCAAGCCCTCCGAACGAGGCCCAGAAAGTTCCGTCCGTTGCAGCAGCAGTCTGGGACTCGACCTCATCGTCTGAACATTTGCTTTCTTCATACAGTCGATTGTTCCTCTGGAGAATCTGTTCCAACTCTGCAATCACCGTCTCCCATTGGTCTTTGAGCTGTTGGACGAGAGCCTTGTCGCCCGATGGAGCCGGTCCCTTGTCATGCCGGAACCTCGAAACCACAGATGAGCGCCGTTTTGGCGTCGTGATGCTCACGCTAGAGGCAACCCTGCGCATGGACCGGTCGAGCTCCTGAGGCGAAAACGCCGAGAAGTGTCGAATGACCGTGTTTGACTCCAGGTACTTGACGAGGTGGCGGAAGTTGGAAAGATTGAAGTCATTGTCTTCACAGTCCAGAGTGTGAAGCGTGTCATTCCCCCCAACAGCCTCGGCGAGATCGCCAATATTGACGTTGAGCATCTGGCTGCGCACACGCAGGTGCTCGATCCGCCTGTTGGAACGCATGCCGATCAAGGCACGTGAGAATTCTTTGCCCAGTCTCCCTTCGTCAAGCTTGGCATCGTAGCCAGATATGTCCAGAAAGCGTACAGTGTCATTGTTGACAAAGAAATCGGACACTGCCTGGCACGCCTCAGCGCTGGCTGCGTCCGGCGTCGATGACCCGGCCAGACTGAGGCATTCGATGGTCTTGTTGACTCTAAGTGCCTTCCACAGCTTCGTGTAGCTGATCTCGTGGTTGAACTCCACCATTTGCAAAAACAAGCTCCAGGGGGCAAAGCCACATGCGATGGCCCCGCACAAGTCATCAATTCCTTCATCGAGGCGATTGCCGTTGGCATGGACGGTCACCTTGCGAGCCTGACCCATGGACCGCAGAATTCTCGCGAGCTGCCGTCCAGTGAGCCCGCACTTGTTCAGACGCAATGTCTGCATTGACTGAGACCTGGCCGTCTGTAGATAGCCTGCCAAGACATCCACTGTGGCCTCATTGAGCGCTATGCATGACAGGTCCAGTTCGGTCAATGACCAATTATGGATAGCCGCCTCATCGACAATGGGGTACCGACTGTCAAGGCGCGTGCTGCTCGCGATATTTAGCTTCCTGAGTGCTCGAAGTTGGTTGAGGCTATGTCGAAGAACGTCCGACTTGACAACGCCCTGATTGTCGGAAATATCCAGAACCTGAAGTGAGTCCATCTGCCCCGCTAATCCAGCAGCGAGCTTGGACAGACCCGCATCTCCTAGACTGCATCCCGCGAGCTCTAGTTTCCTGAAGTGGACGTGATCGAGGACGAGCAGATTGGCAAGCTCGTCAAGATCGCTAGCTAACAATGGGTTGCCTGACATGGTAATGCTGTGGCACGTGCAGAGCTCTGCACGCGCCAGAGCCAGGATCGGACGTACAATCTCGGAGCTAGTCCGTCGGCAGCTTGCATAATCTACGGATACGCGCGCCTGGGACGATCGTTTATCCCGGATGCCAAGACAGTTGGTGAGGTCGATGCAGCGAATCGATTCGGATGCAAACAGCAGCGCATGAAATTCTTGAGTCAACACGGGTGAGTCGATCAGATCATCATAGTGTTCTTTCGTTATCTTGCAGCCTGAGATTGTCAGCGTGGCGCGCAGGCCGGGGATCAAGGCGCTTACCGTTGAGAGAGGTGTAGACAACCCCTTCACCGTAGGGCGAATAGTCCTTCCTGGCGGCAAGAGGCGACAAGTCTACATCCCGAAAGGAGATTCCCTTGAAGAAGCTGTTGTATCGCAGTGCACGAAAGACAGCCATGAGTTGCGCTGGGGAGTACGGCGAGCTTTCCGACTGTATCAGCCGGAAGACAGGCTGCGAGGATGTGTACCATTCAACTGTCCAATGTGGCATACTTGTGTGGAACGCCGCACAATAGGCCTGGAGGCTGCGCTCGATCCCTCCCAAGTCGTTGCCCGATGTCAATTGGAGAGGTGGCGGTAGCCCCTTGATGTCGAAAATGCTTTGTTGGAAGTGCTGAGGCCACATGGGCTTGAGAATGCGATCGACGCGCAGCAATGCTTCGATGATTCGCCTGTAATGAACACTCGCAAGGTCAAGACGTGCCTCCCGTCCGAATGGTGATCTAAAAGTTGTAAGCAGCTAGCTCCATAGGGCTCGTGCCAGCAAATAGCTCACCGAAAGCTCATCAAGAACCTCTGTTCGTGCGAGGCCACAGAGGCCCGGAATCCAGCCATAGTAACCGTGCCGAAATGGCTAGATTTGACGCGGAGCTCTCCAGCAGGCGTGCCATAATCTGCTTTCAACACTTCGATAAGATAACACATGTAGGGCCCAATAACAAAGTAAAATGATGATCCGTCTACGTGCTGCTGGCTGTCCTCGGCAGCGTGGGGCTTCTGGGCGGTGCCGACAATTCGCTTCGCGACGGGGAAAATTAGATTCTTTGATGGTCCATCGGCGAACGGTGTCTCGTGGTGAGCCACAATGTGGTCAATGCGAATCCTCAAGTTGTCTGACACCACGGCGTGCGCATTCGATTGACGATGTCGCACCCTGCACATGTTGTGAATCGATCCGAGCCAGTCGTTCCTCTCCTTGGGCGTGGAGAAAAACAGGTGAGCCTTGCAATAAGCCAAGCGTGGACAAGGCGAGAACCACCACAGCTCGAGGCCAAAACGTGGGCTCGCTCCCTCCTCCACGAAAGCTGCGACGAGCGAGTGTAGAGGCACCTCGAATCGAATCTCCGAAACTGCTGATTTGGCTGTCAAGGCGGATCGAGCATCCGACTGCGACTCATAGGCCTCGGATTGTGCTAGCTGCGGGAAAACGCCTCGCGCAGCCTCAACGCTGCCGACTTTGACCAAGCAGTGGTCCGTCAGAATGAGGTATTCTGTGCGCGCCTTCAGCAAGGAAACGTCAGTTTTGAGCGGCCCGCATTTGATGATCTCCATGGACGAGAAGGAGTGATCTATCGGACTTCCGGGCATGTCCGCAGGCGAGGCCGGTATGGATGAGTCTCTCGACACCCGGCGATGCAGCCTATCCAACATGGTACTGGAACTAGATGGCACTTTCTGGAGCCTGCGCGTCGAGCTTGATCGCCTTGGGCCGCCATTGTTGATGGAATCGAGCGAGGAGCTGCTTAAGGACCGCAGCGCTCTGGTGAGAATTCTGGGGGCCTTGGCCTCGACCAGGTCGGCTTGTTCCACCAGCGGCTCGTACTGCTGTGCCGGGGGCTGCGCCGTCTTGAGTGACGGCAAAGTCCTCTTCTTCCATATGTCCGCAGTCATTGTGGCGATATAGACGGCAGAGGCCGGCGACGACCTCGAGGGCACAGCTCGAGATGATGGTAGCTGACGCTGACACTCGAAACTTGTGTTGATGACTTGCGGGCCTCTTGTCCTTCGCGCCGCTTGCTTTGTCCGGGTTTCAGAGAAATGTCGACTCGAAGTCAGCGAGTGGCCTGGGGTTGCGCGGATGTCTCAGCCACGGCTTTTGTCCCACAGCAGCAAGCAGGATGATACGCCCTCCGCATCCGTTCACTCGGTAACGGCCGATACAATTCGATGATGAGCGTTCCGTCCGTGTTGGGTGTTTCGGTGCAAGCCAGATAGATAACTGTTCCACCAATGTAGGACAAAATGCTGCACACCGGAGCGAATGTCTGTGGCGACTTGTGTAGGGTCAGGTATCACAGACGATGGTGAGAGACCAATCCTCAACGACTGGAGCCCAAGGTTCGTGCGACGCAGAGTGCTTAAGGCCCGCGATTCACTGTGAAGCAATTGGCTTTGGAGCTGAAATATGGCGGGACGGATACGGTTCCGGAAAGCAATTGGAAGCTTGCGACGTCGAAGGTTTGGTAGCTGGAATGCGCGCCAGCGCTCGGGAATGCGATCAAAGGTAAATCTCCGATGCGACAGGTGCGGACACCAGCTTCTGCCGCGTAGAGTGGGCCGGCCGGCTTTCCCAAGTCGAGTATTAGTCGCCTAGCACTGAGATAGGACAGCAGACGGTGTGACAAGCAGAGAGAAGAGGGAAAATCAAGTAATTATCCCTGATGCGGAGGTTGAGGCAGCGGGAGGCGCGGGCAAACCAATTGGATGGAGGGTCCCTTGCAAGGAAGGCGCCTGCCTGCGTTTTCGCCTGCCTGCCTGCTTGCTGCTATCGGAAACGACAGTCGCAACAGACGGAAGTAGCGAGAGATAGGTGGCGACAACCCATCTAAGTTAATTATCGTCCCTCTTCCCAGTGTCACGGCAAAATGCCAAGGTGGCAGCTATACGACCCGGTCGGGGCTAAGCAATGGGACGTGATGAATGAGGAAGAGAGGGAGGGAGGCGAAGCTGCTATCAACCACCTGGGGCGGTGCGTGCGTATTCGTTTGGCGCTGTCCTGCACGCTGATCACTCGCTCATTCACGCTCGCGCCTGCGTAAGGTAGGCAAGGTGGGAAAGACTGAAAGACAATGAAGACGTGAGGTATGAGCGAAGCAGCGACGAGGTTTGGTTGGTTGCGAAGGCCAAGTTCGAGGCATGGGAGAGACAACGAGCGCGTTCCGAATCGCACATGGCGATGTCGATGTCGATCTAATTGCTTGCCAAGGGTATGAAATAATAATTCGTTGGCTCGGCGGCATTGACCATCGACGTCAGTGGTAGCGCAAGCTGCAACAATAGCTCCGAGCTAGGCTGGCAGGGACTGGAACCTGCCTGGGCTCTTGACCACCTACAATGTTGGGCGTCTCACACGTACCTCGCATTGTACGAGTGCTTATAGGAAGAAACGAGCACCGATGCTACAGTCAACATCTGTAGATACGCGCTAGGCATAGAGATGAGCGTTGAGCGTTGATCCAAGTCTGCTTGTGATTTCTGCGTTCTCTCACAACAGGAAGCACAACGCAGACAGACTGCCCACCTCTGCTGTCCTTGGTCCGGTCCGGCCCCTCCATCTTGCATCATCAAACCCTGGCAAACCTGGGCTAGCCTCCTTGGCCCATGAATATGTTTGGGGGTTCAAGTTTCAATCCCATCCCACGGATCCAATCACATCAGCCAACCGTGCCAAGGGGCGCGGGTGGATGGCTGGCCAGGGCCCAGGCTGAGCTGCGAGGTGCGGGCCCGCGAGATGCGATACTGGCGGACAATTGACGTCGCTGGTACGGAGTAGACTAATTCTCAAGCATCATTAATCACTAAGGTACTAGTTATGTGCGACTGTCCCTGGATGCCTCATATGGCTCTACTCTTCATGGCCCAGCAAGCGCCAAAGTCAGTTTAGGTACCTAAGTACTTAGTTACACCCTTCGTGCAGGTATCTAGTTCGGGCTGTAACCAACGCCATGGATCGCGATTACGAATGTCGATCATCCGGATCGCAATTCGCAAGTCCTGTCGTAAGAGGGCCTCTGCGGCTGTGCATTGACTGGCCTGGCCGTCTGTGTCAGTCGCGACAGTTTCACACTATTATCGGGGGCCTAGCCACCAGATGCTCCTTAAATATTTAAGGATACAAACGCCAAAGTCGGCAGGACCTTGCAACATGACGCTATCGCGATTCGCGCTTCGCCTACGGGTCCGTGCTCAGTGGTCGCCGTCTAACGCGTTTATCAGACATTTGTTAACCTCGCCGTTGACTCGCGATTCTCCGAAATGCCCAGCACGCATACAAAGTTTAATGCTCCATCGCGCTTTGGAGAGGTGCCGACATGCTTGCTGCTGGCAGACATGCCTCCGCGTCGTATCCGTACCAACAAATGACCCGGCCGTATCCATTGTGGGGAGGGATATTGGGGAGGCTCGTTCAAACCCGAACATACGAGCAAGACTTATACTGCTACACATAAGAAATCAATAGATCACCTTTCTGCCGCGACGAACAAGCATTATCGCGCTTAGGCCAACCACTCCGGAGCAGCCAAAGGTACCATCTTCTCAAGAGACCATGGGCTGGGTCTTTGATGCCTGGCTACTATTCTGCGTGCACCAGCCATGAGCAGCGAGGACGGGCGCACCCTACGGGTATTTTTGGTATACCTGTGCAATAATGTCCGCATTTATCTCCTGTTTTTGGTTGCTGTGGTCATGCTCGCTACCTAGAATCGTCTTTACCAAGCACAACGTGATTCTACCTTCGAAACTCTATAGGGATATCGAAGTGCAGGGTAATATAACTTGCGTTATCAACAGCACGTCGCTGTATAGGGTAGGCCTCATTGTTGCTCAGAATTTCGCCGACATGACTGACCAGAATCACCAGACGAGGACCGGCGAGTCAGTCGAGACATTGCGACATTCTTCAGGGTTCGCCGCCTATATACGTATACTTCACGTGCACGATTCTATGATATGTACAATTTCATGCGGTGAAAAGAGGCTGCTCATTGGGCGACTAGACTACTCCAGGGCTTTTCCATTGGTGACCTAGACTTAAAGGCAGACCTCAACAGTTACTACCACCGAATGTCGCCGAGGCTACACGTAGGTTGCTCGCGTCACCGGGAGTCTCATTGAACGCTTGAAAACCCAAATCGCAGCAAGAGTCCTCCTGCAATTGCCTCACGCTCTGCAGAAGATAGTATTCGCTCTTTGTGCTGCTGCTCACCGGTGCCGCGACTCGCACAAGCCTTTACCGCCCTATCTGTCTAGCCCAACCCCCCCCTCCCCCAACCCTTCGGCTCTTGGTGGGGAAATTTCGCAGAACATCCGGTCTGGTCCCTCCCTCACTCTTCAGTCGTCTCCTGAACGCAGGAGAACCCCTCGAATCCCCTCCATCGTCGAGTCGCGTGCCCCTCGAAAAGCCGATACACGGTCGATAGTGCCAGCCAATTCCACAGTAGAACCGTCAAGATGAGTGCCGCGGACGGCGACGCCTTCAACCTCCAGCGGGACTATGTCTACATCCCAGCTTTCATGCTCGTCGCGGGCACCCTCATCGTCAAGAGGGAGTGGACAATCTACGCGCTGCTGATTGCCCTCGTTTTTGGTGGCTGGAACATATGGACTCTCCGTGAGTGATGGTGTACCACAATGTGCGGGCGGCGCAGAAAAGAACTGACGTGCGGTGACCGCAGAGATCCGGCCTGTCCTGAAGCCCAACGTTTTCCAGGAGTTTGAGCTCCAAGAAAAAACCATCATATCCCACAACGTCGCCATGTGAGTCGTACCAGCCACTCAGACCAGCGTCCTTCCAGACACCCGGACCCTAACAGCGTACAGCTACCGCTTCAAGCTCCCTCGTGCCGCCGACATCCTCGGCCTGCCCATCGGGCAGCACATCTCCATTGGCGCCCAGCTGCCCCAGCCCGATGGCACCACCAAGGAGATCGTCCGCTCGTACACTCCGATCTCTGGCGACCACCAGCCCGGCTTCTTTGACCTGCTCATCAAGTCCTACCCCAAGGGCAACATCTCGAAGCACATGGCCTCCCTCATGGTCGGCCAGACCATCCGCGTCCGCGGCCCCAAGGGCGCCTTTGTCTACGAGCAGAACATGTGCAAGCACTTTGGCATGATTGCCGGCGGCACCGGTATCACCCCCATGCTCCAGATCATCCGCGCCATCGTCCGCGGCCGCCCCGAGGGCGATGTCACCCAGGTCGACCTCATCTTTGCCAACGTCACCGAGCAGGACATCCTGCTCCAGGAGGACCTGGACGCGCTCGTCAAGGAGGACTCGGGTATCCGCGTGCACTACGTCTTGGACAAGCCCCCCGAGGGCTGGACTGGCGGTGTTGGCTATGTCACGGCTGAGATGATCCAGGTAAGTTGGGCCTGGAATGACAGTGCTTTGTGTGAACCAGCTCGCTGACCCTTTCCCCCCCAGAAATGGCTCCCCAAGCCCGCCGACAAGGTCAAGATCCTCCTCTGTGGCCCTCCCCCCATGGTCAGTGGCCTCAAGAAGACCACCGAGAGCCTCGGCTACAAGAAGGCCCGCCCCGTCAGTAAGCTCGAGGACCAGGTCTTTGCCTTTTAGACGAGAGTGGTATATCTCCACTGGGCCATATTTTCACCGAGAAAACGGATCGACAATGATGTCTGACGCAATCTTATGAGAATGTACGAGTGCCTGATGAATATAATAACGCGAGTGGTGAGATGAGGAGAGGAAAGGGAAGGTGGCGGAGTATATGACCGACCAGGAGGAGTGACGGTGGAACGAGGACAAAAAAGCATGTTTCTCGACATTGTTGTTGTTGTTGTTGTTTAAAGACTAAAGAGTAAATCATGAAGCCCTATTTTCAAATGATCGCTATGTGGCCAAAAAGTGCGCCTTCTTCCACCGTCTTGAAAACCCCCATACTGTACACAGAATGCATCAGCCTTGAGCCGGTCCCTCACTCCTCGTCCTCGTCCTCTGCTTCTTTCATACTAGTGTCAGCGGCAGCAGCAGGCGATCCGGCCTCGTCTCCTGATTCAGCAGCGACGGGGCTCTTCCTCGCGGGCTCATCATCTGCGTCAGCTTCCTCGTCGCTGTCGACGACCCGAGCGCGCCTTGCCCTCTTACTCTGCTGTTGCGGGGCGTCGTCCTCGTCTTCATCCCCAGCGTCTTCACGCTTGGTCGTGTTGGCGGCATCGTCCACGTCCATCTTCTCACCAGCTTCATCCTCGTCCAACTCGGAGAGCGGCGAGTCCTCTCTCTCCTCGAGATTCTTCTCCGCCGCCTCGAGGGCGCCGTCGTCGTCTTCCTCATCGCTGTCCACGATGATCTCCGAGGACTTGAACTTGGGGTTGTCCTTCCTCTGTGTAAGGCGTCTCTTCTTCTTTGCCGGGCTCGCCTCGTCGTCTTCATCGTCATCGTCGACGTTCTTCTTCTTGCGCGACCTCGGCTGCTTGGACTTGCCTTCGCCACGGGGAGCAGCCGGCTTGCGCTTGCGCTTCACCTTTTGACCAGTCTCCTCGTCGGTAGTCATCTCAGCTTGCTTGCGCTCCTCTTCCTCCTGTCGCTCCCTGTCTCGCGCCGCGGCGAGCTCGCGATCTCTCGCCTGGATTCTCTCGCGTTCCTTGCGCAGGTTGTCAAGACGCTCCTTCTCCTGAGCCTCGGCAGCCGCACGAGCCTCGTCCCGCTTCTTCTTCTCAGCCTCGCGAAGACGTCGCGCCTCCTCGATTTTGTCCTTGTTCGCCTCCTCCCATTCCTTCTGCTTGCCAATGGCACGTTCCAGCTGCTTGCGCAAAGTATTGCGAGCCATGCTGGCGCGTTGCTCAATGTCGTGTTTGGGATAGGGGAACTGTGTGCCAGCGGCGATCTCGTCGAGCGAGGTGATGGCCTCCTCCAGGCCCTTTGCTGCCGCCTCCAGTTGCTCGGTGGACTTTTGGTTTTCAGGCAAACCTTGCATGAACGTAACAAGCTGGATCTGCACGAAAGCGACGTTGAACTTGCAGTTAACCTGCTCAGGCTGAGCCTTGAGCGCCTTGCAAAGGTTAGTTTCTCAGCGCATAGAGAGGACCAGGCTGAATGGACTTACTAATTGTGCACACTCCAGTGCCTTCTCATAAGCCTCGAGCTTGCGCTCAGCGCGGCCACGGTTCAGACAAGTGCGGCCAAGACAAGCAAGAATTGTCGGATCGTTCGCTTTACCATCCCGCAACAAGGCCATCTCGTAGTTCTCCACCGCCTTCGACCATTGCCGTAGCTCGGCGTAAACGTGACCGAGGTTCATGAACAAGTTGGAGTCCTTGATGGTGTCGCGCACTTTGTGGAACACCTGGAGGCCGTTCTTTGTATCCTTCTTGTCTTCGACGTTGGCGATGGCAATGCCCTGCGCAGCATAGGCATTCTTTGGATCCAGCGAGAGGGCCTTGTCGAAGAACTCGACCGCCCTTGCATATTGCTGGCTACGCTTTGCTTTGTCGTGGTCTGTCTCGCGACGCATCTCGCGCGCCTGCTGCAGGTTGAGATTGCCCATAGCGGTGAGGGCATACCTGTCATGCTTGTCGTAGTGCTGTAGCGTGTGCTTGTAGTGGCGGTACTCGTTGTCCTCCTGGATATTGGCGGGTCGCTTCCTGCTGTGCACTTTGCCCAGGTACCAGCCGTAGAGGGCTCGCACGTCAAGATTGGCGTTGTTCTCTTGGTAAAGCTTTGCGACCGCGTCTGGGCCTTCCTTGTTGGGGTTCTTCCGGAGCTTGATGTAGGCGAGGCGGATCCTAGCATCAATGTAATCGTCGTGACGCTTCAGCAATCCCTCGTACACCTCGACAGCCTTGTCAGTGAGCCCTTGGGCTTCGTAACTACGACCCAAGTTGTAGCTGATGGAGGACACCAAGGCATCTGTATCAGCGTCGGGGTCCGCGTCGCTGATGCGAATACACGAGCCCAAAGCCGCCTGGAACATATCGCTCGCCTGATCGTATTTCTCAGCTTGAAAGTGGAAACAACCAATGTTGTTCAGCAGTTGCGGCGAAAGGTGCTTCCGAAGAGCAGCCCTTATCTCTGCTTCATCAGTGACCCCCTCTGGGTAATGCGAGGCTGGCAGGTGATCGAGCTCTAATTGCTCAGCTTGCTGAAGGCACTGCAACGCCTTCTCGGGGTTGTCTAGTTCATAGAGGCGCGCCAAGTTGAGCAGAACCGAGCCGTCCCTTGCATGACTTTTCTTGGGGTCTTTCCATGAAGCTCGCACATTCTCCAAGAACGAGATTGCCTTCTTCATTTCCGCAGACTTGTCTTCGTTGGTGTCGCTGCTTTGGCTCTCAAAAACCTCCTCGGCGTAGATGGTGCCCAAGAGAACCATAGCCTCATAGGTACGGGTCTGTTGGATTATCTTTTCCAGTCTTAACTTGGCCTCGCCGAGATCGTTTCTCAGGACAGAAAGCTGCGCGCCACCAAATTTGGCTGGCAGATAACCCCTGTCGGTGCCTCCACGAGCATCATCGGCACGTCGGTAGTAATCAGCAGCCTTGTCGACGTTGCCCAGAGAATGTTCCTTCCTGGCCAGAATGTACCAGCCGTCACTGGCTATCGCATTGACGTCGGTGTAGTCGATAGCCTTGTGGGCCAGCTTGTCCACATTGTCCCAGTTCTTGCGAGACAAGAAGAAGCTGGAAAAGGTTGCGCAGGTCAAGGGCATGTTCTTGTCAATCTTGAAAGCAGAGTGGGTGAGTTCCGTCATGGCTTTCTTGTAGAGCGACAAGAACTCATCAGTGTCCACAGGAAGATGGCTACTGGCATCTAGGTAAAACTGACCCAGGAGAATGGTGGCCACCTTGGACTGGGGGTTGAGCTCCAGGCTGCGCTCCCAGGCCGTCCTGGCATCGTCTTTGTAGCCCAACTGCCACAAGCAGCAGCCAATGCCAATGCGGGGGTCTGGATCCGTGAGATCGGGCATCTTGGTAAGGACGTCTTGATACGCGGCCATTGCCTCTGGGTATTTTTGCATGGAATACAAGGTGCGAGCCTTGCCCATCAGCGCCAACATATTCTTGCCGTGTGAAACGCGGAGTGCATCCTCGAAAGCCTTTGCTGCCGTCTTCAGGAGGCCATGCTTCTCTGAGCCAGCTACTGAACCCGTCTTGGATGGAGCATGCAAAGAAGCCTTGAGGAGCAGCAACACACCTCGCGCCAGGTACATGGGGGAAAACGAGGGGTTTAAGCGCGCGACGTCGTTGAGCGAAGACGTTGCCATCTGGAGGTACTGCTCTTTCGTCTTGACCTCCGAGGCCGAAACGCCTTCCGGCACCAGGCGAGGGGCCTCGCGGCTCTTGTAGAGGTACAGCCAACACAAGCAGCATAGCATGCTGACCCTGTCCCTCTGGCCAGTGCTGCTGCCAGAACTGTTAGCCTGAACAGCATTGGAGCCTCGGATCAAGATGTCAATGGCTTGGTCGACGCTGCCCTTCTTGGCGTAGGCCAGGGCGCTCGTCATCCAGAACGTCTTGGCTGCTTGTTCATTCTCGAGAAGCGTGCACAGGTCTTCGGGGTCGTCGTCGAGGTTCTCTAGACCAATTTCCACACCGGCCAGGTCCTCATCTTGCTCGCCGTGCGTTGGAATCAGGAGGGAGTTGGGGATGTCGCGGAACCTCGTGAACTCGGAGTCATCCTTGCCATTGATGCCACCATTGGTGACGATGCTGTTTTGCGTCGTCGCCATAGCTCAAGATGCGATGTTTCGGTCGGCAGAGCGCAGTCGGATGGAGGGTGACGCTGAACTACGCGTCGATGGGAGACGATGCGCAACTGGCTCTAGGCCGCTGCAATTCGTGATGCGCACTTCGTTCGTCGCTTTCACGGGGACTTGTGCATGTTCAATATTCCGTCGTGTTGAGATTCGGGACAGGTGATCGCGAGATGTCGGGTTTGGCGCTGAACAGTGATGGTAACGCGGACTGAGATGTGGTGCCGAGCAACTGTGAAAGCTTCGAATTCTGGCGACAATGCGCCGCGTCGAATGTGGCCCGTGCGCAGCTGAGCGTACCTGCCCTGTAGCCTGAGGTAGTTTTTGTGGGGCGCCGTCCAACTCCAGTCCATGTCGCTTCAGTTCATCCTTCGAGTCCCTGGAAGCGTAACAGCCGCGACAATACCGAGATACCCTGGCCAACCCAGCTCAGACTGTGACGTCCGAGAAAACATCACGTACAGGACGTCCTTAAGTCACTGCAGAACGCTGCGATCTGAGAAGCGGGATGCCATTGGACACTACCTATGCAATGCACTCAAGTGCTAGCGACGTCCTGCTAAGTATGCCCTGTTGCGGGACCCGAGAAGATGCGCTTTTCATACATTATAAGACAACGAACTGGTATATTCAAACGTTTGGGCGTGCTGTGATCGCCATGAACGATGAGGGTGAGATGTGAGGCAGTCAAGCGAGCTGCAGGTGAGAGGGAGCTGGCAAGGTAAATCAGACGAACTGAAGAGCACACTCACCCATTGTCGGGTCTAGCTCTTGAAAACAAAGGCGGCTTCTGCTTCTTCACTCCTCCTTCATTCAAGGGACTCCCGGACTGACGTCGCTTCCACCATGCCGGCCCTCCCAAGACGCCATGACCACTGCGTTGGGTGGCATTGCCTGACTGATGCGCAGAAATTCGGCATCATCTTCACCTGTGTCGTTGTCACGGTTGGTATCATAGTCCTCTGTCTGTTCTACATGGGCCACGCAGCAAGCTCACGCAAAGCCCGCAATCTCATCAGGCTACCAGGGGGTCGCCAGGCACGCCGGCGGCCAGGTCTACCCTCCGACATAGCACTCGCACCTTTGCCAGTCGCACACTACTGGCCGGGCTATGGTCACCAGGTGACATACCAATCGGCCATCTATCAGCAAGGCCCTCACCAGTTGCGAGCATATCCATATACCATCGGCGGACCGTGCCGCCTACCATATCCAGGCGTGACGATGCCTTGGACAGCCCGGCTGGTCACAGATGATCAACACCAGGCAGAGCCCCCTTGCGTGCCATATGTGCAGCCGCCAAATTCGTACCAGCCATACCCGATGTTTGAAATGCCCCACCATGGACCACCAGGGCACCCGCATGCTTCTGCGCATCACAGTCAGAATCAGACTCGAGACCAACACGTGCGACGAAGCCAGTCCTCTCAAGTCCGCAGACCGTCGAATAATGATACCAATGACTACCACCACTCGTCCTGGAGACAACGCTTCTTACACTTGCTGAGGCTTCCCGTCGGCCGGGCCTCGACCATTGCCAGTTCAACTACGGCAAGACGCACCACATTGCGATCGTCTTCGAGCAGCTCGGAGAACGATGGGCATCAAAGAAGGCAAAATGCGAGCTGGCAACGTACATCGAACCCCCGACGAGGGTCTGCAGATCGACCGGCTGCGTCTGCACACGTAACGTCGGGTGGAAGAGGAGATCCTGAGACTGACTCCGCAGATACAGGAGTAGCAACCGTTCACAGCGATGACTACGACCCACCTGGTCGGCAGTTTCCAAGCCCACCGCATCGACCTTCTGAGCGAGAGACGGAGGCGAAGATCAAGGAGCACCGTTCAGAGACGCGAACAGTCAGCCCGATCGGTAGTGATGGCGAGTCCAACGAAAGCCGAGCTGCCTCGCCCACAATACTATCGGTGTCGTCTGTCTCTCCTGCAAGACCATCAGGGTATACGCAAGACGCCTACAGCTTCCAACCAGGGCAAAACAGACGAGGCAAGGCGGAGACACTGAATAGCGAAAGGCATCCTCGCGGAAATATTGAACGGGAGGCCGTGCGAAGAGCTATGGCCCAGAGGTAAACACATTGCTTGCGTGGCCCAAAAACGAGAACTAATCATGTGTCAGACGGTCGAGCACTGACGCAAGCTATGAAGGCCACGTACCAGAGCCCCCTGTTGCTATATCGTGATCGATGTCGTTCAGTCAGGATGCAAGCGCGCCGCGCGTTGAGCTTGGCGCAAAGGTTCACGCACACTTGTCACACTATGGAGCACCCAGCTCCAAGGGGCTAGCGTTATGAAGTTGGTTGGTAACGACGATAAACAAATAATAAGCATTTATTGTTCATCATTGCACTGGTACGGATGCGGCGTTCAGTCTTACGCAGCCAAATGAACAGGGGATGCCTAGAATCCCTAGATGCTAGCCTAGGTGGTCCGAGCGTCCGTCGTCATCATTGGGAAGCTCCAATGCGTCGACGTGCGTCCCTCTCCGTAGCTCCACTACTACTAAGCAACCCAAGTGCTACCATCCCCAGCCTCACTCCGACCTCAGCTACATGCGATATACCACAGCTGACTGCGGGCTGCACTATCGATCCGGACTATGGCATCATCTGCTCTCTCTTAAGTGAATCATCATCGCCCAAACTGCACAGACGCTGGGAGCTTCCGACGGCAAGTATGCGCCCCTCCCCCACACCGGCTCATTGCGAAACCGCAACCGGCAGAGCTGGGAACTGATTCCAAGGCCTTAGTCATTTGCATTCGCCAAACTGCACTGCGGGTGCACGTCCGTGGAACAACTGTACTCGAGAGAAAGCGTCTAGAGAGCCATCATGTGGAACGACGAAGACAACAACCCGTACGGCACGAGCTTTGACCGCCGCGATTCGAACGCTTCATCCTCAGTGAACCCAACCTCACCATCCGGAACACGCGCGTGTGAGTCGCATCTCTGCTGTCACTCAGAGGCTCGCGTGAAGATACCTGAAGCTGATCCCTAGCGCGACCGCAGTCCGCGACGTTGAGCCCGCGCAAACACCCACTTCTGGTAGCGACGATGAAGGGGCGGAGCCGGCCTTTGGGCCTCGCGGGGACGACATGAACGACGAAGACGACGATTATCCAGCCGAGGAGAGTGTCCCGCCGCGAAAACCCGGCGGCTATGACAGCCGCATCGAGCAGATCCTCTACGAAAACCCAAAGCTGTCCATCGCCATTACGGACGCTGGCAAGAGTCTCGAGAGTGGAGGTAGATATATCGTCTATACGATCCGCACAGGCGTACGTGGTCGTGGTCGATAGACTGTCTGGAACTGGAACTGACGACTGCATAGGACCTCGAAGTTCGCCGTCGATATTCCGAGTTTGCGACACTGCGCGATGCCCTCACGCGGCTTCACCCGACACTCATCATCCCTCCTATTCCAGAGAAGCATACAATGGCGGACTATGCTGCCAAACCGACGAGCGCGAAGCAGGACCAGCAAATCATCGACCTGCGCAAGCGCATGCTTGCCGTCTTCCTGAATCGCTGTCGACGAATGGACGCCGTGCGCACTGACGGCGTCTGGTGGAGATTCCTCGATCCCAACGCGAGCTGGGTGCGTTCTGATTGCCCCAAGGTGTGATGTTGACTAACGCGCGTGGCAGAGCGAGGTATTGCACTCGCATCCGGTGTCCTCGATTCCCAAATCTATCCTCAAGGCCCCTCCTCTAGATACGGCAAACCCGTCGGCTGCGCACAACTACTTGCCAGTCCCCTCGAACTCGGCGAAGCTCAAGACAACAGGAGGCGCATCGTATGATCTGGCCGCGTCAGCAGTCCAAGGAGCCCCTGGCGCCGAAGGCAAATACCCACCCGAGCCCAATGCTCTGAGCGAACAAGATCTCGATACTTATTTCATCTCCTACGAGGCGTCCATCAAGGAACTCGAAAGTCTTCTGACAGGACCGATGGAGAAGGTCAATCGTCGATCACTCAGCCATCTATCGTCCCTCGCGGCCGATCTCTGCGAGCTTGGCTCACGCTTCAATGCCTTTGCTCTCTCTGAGCAGGCCCCTTCGCTAGGTCCGGCCATTGAGCGTGTCGGCCAAGCGGCCGACTTGTCATACATTGCCACGGAAGAGCTATCAGGTTCACTGGGCGCCAGCTTCGCGGAGCCGATGAGGGAGAGCGCACAGTTCGCGGGTGTCGTGAGAAGTGTGCTGAGATACCGCGCTCTCAAGCGCATCCAGCAAGATCTGACTGCGGAGGAGCTGAACAAGAAAAGAGCGCTGCTGGACCAGCTGGAGAGGAGTGAGGCCGAGGCAAGGCGGATCGAGCAGTATCTCTCGAGCAGTCAGCAGGTTTCGCCGCCACCAAAGCGCTCGACCAGCCTTAAGGAGCCGTCGACGCAACAGCGGCGAGATGGAGAAGATACTGAGTCGATTGACTCGGATTTCAGAGGCGCCACCCCCTCTGCCAGCCAAGGACTCCCCGAGAGGAGCGCCAGCGTAACGCATAGGAAGCTTCCAAGCGGGAACTCTATTACGAATAAGATCTTTGGCCCCATCCGACATGCGGTACAGGGGGTGGTTGACGTTGATCCGGAGCGAACTCGGCGAGACACGATTGGCAAGACTAGGGAATCCATCGGCCAGCTCGAGCAAGCCCAGGTCGCTTCAGAGCGGGACGTCAAGGAGGCGAGCGCCAGCGTCCTGCGTGATTTGAGGAGGTTTCAGCATGAGAAAGAGGATGATTTGCGGAGATACATGGTAAGTCGCTCTCTTGTTTCGTAGTGCAGCACAAGCTAACAGGTCTCGAACAGCTGGCGTATGCACGCAGCCAGATTGAATGGGCAAACAAGAGCAAGCAGCAGTGGGAGGAAGCACGAGCAGAGGTCGACAAGATAGACGAGAGCTAGCCTCAGTCTAGCTGGCTTCGATTGGCACGACGCTGACGGCGGTTTTAGTCTCATACCTTGTTCTATTAGTAGAAATGGAAACTGGGCTGCTCATGACCCGTATGAAATATCATTATTCTTTGCAACGGACTCCTCATGATCAGACAGGTTAGGTAGTATGTCGTAGCTGGAGTAAAGTCGCGTTTACACATGTTATCGCCCGAGTCTATCTGTTGACGTTCAAGTATTCCAATTAGTGCTCTGAGCGCACTGGCGACCACTGCATTGTGGAAAGAGTCGCATTGGACACCCTGATGGCGACGACTGAGAACATTTTCATTAACATGAGAACATTAATGACCAGGACAAGGGAATTGTCAGTTATTTTGATCATGGTCAGTGTTCAGGCTACCCCGCTTTTTACACTAACTGGTCTCAATGGTTCTTGACGGCGATTCTGTTAGTGACTAAGCCAGCAGAACGGCGAATTCTCACCTTCACTGAATCCGCTCACCATGAGGACGGTCCACTCATCTCATGCCGCTCCTACCTTACCTTACCGTGCCGAATGTTGAATCACATCTGATGCCCATGGGAGGCGAATTCCACGGACCTCATGTCGACCAAACCGGAACGTGTCTCCTTGAAATTTTGTTGGTCTGACAAATTGGCCTTGGTGCGACAAGGACTCTTGTCTGACAAGTGCGAGAGATAACCACCATCACTCCCCAGTGCCTAGAACCAAGGATTGCAACACACAGATACCGCGAATTGATCACGCGAGATACCCCCGCAAGGAGACAGAGCGAATACCATGGATCATAATGATCTGCCGCCCGGGGCAGAAGGGCCTTTGCGAACAATAGAGGAGCCAGGTATCAAAGCCGAAGGGGATTTGCTGCAGACGCTGCGCAGGGAGGTTGCCGAATTGCTTGGTCGCAACACACTCGGGTTCCCAGGAGCGCAGCCCGTGAGCTTCGGGGCACGTCATATAGAGGAGCTTTCAAAGCAAGAGTATGTGGTTTCCCCCCTCCTCCCCGGCGCAGAGACGAGGTTGGATGGCATTGATGCTAATGAACCGTGTTCAGCTACTATGTCTGTGAAAAGTCTGATGGCATTCGATATCTCTTCTACCTCACCCACGACGGTAAAGGCAATGGCGCAAACTACTTCATCGACCGGAAGAACGACTTTTGGTTCATACCAAACCAGTATCTTCGTTTCCCCCTGAGCGAGAATCCCACAGGCTTTCACCAAGACACCATTCTCGACGGGGAATTGGTGATCGATACCTTGCCCGACGGTCGCCAAGAGCCTCGCTATCTGGTCTTTGACTGCCTCATCATTGACAAGAAACTTCTCATAGAGCGCACGCTGGACAAGCGGATCGCCTACGTCAAGCAAAACATTTACGATCCCTACAAAAAGGCCCTCGCGTCGCGTCCGGACATGCGTCTGCTGCAGCCATTCATCCTGCAGATGAAAGATTTCCAGTTCTCCTACGCCATCGACATGCTGTTCGCCACTGTGCTGCCGAACCTGCCCCACGGGAACGACGGGCTGATCTTCACATGCCGGAACACTCCATACAAACATGGCACGGATGAGCACATTCTTAAGTGGAAACCGCCCGAGGAAAACACACTCGACTGCCGATTGAAACTTCACTTTCCCACCGTGGAGCCGACCCCGGATGAGATGGCCGAGGGTATCACCGAGCCCTTTGTCGACTACGACTCCGTGCCCTCCGCAGACCTGCTTATATTTGCGGGTCGCGAGCGAGGCGCGGATCAGTATGATCACTTTAATCAGCTGTACATCACCGAGGAGGAGTGGGAGACACTCAAGTCACTCGGGGACCCGCTCGACGACCGTATCGTGGAGTGCAACTTGGACGACCAGGGCCGCTGGCGGATCGTGCGATTCCGCGACGACAAGAAAGAGGCGAACCATCGTAGTACGATGCAAAGTGTGCTCAGCAGTATACAGGATCGCGTGACGGAGAAGGATCTGCAAAAGGCGGCGCCGGAGTGGAAAGTGCAGTACAAGGCACGCGCGGAGGAGGCGAAGAGAGCCGCCAAGCGGTGATTGCTGTGTTTCTCTGGCGTTGGAGTGGGCATGGAGTTCATTCAGGGCGCTCGCGGTGTGGATCAGTGAACATCGGATACACGTTTGTCTCGGTCAATCGCAATATTTGGACGTGTTGATGTGATTGTGACTCCTAAGATTCACTCCAAATGACACTACCAAACAGTCCTTCTCGCACGCAATTTTCCCTAGATGATCGTAGCAACGTACCAACACTTGTCTCCTTCCTTCGTACAGTGACCAACCCCTTGTCCTTTACCGAACACCATCTTGGTACAAGCTAGGGGCCCGTGCGGCACCCATTAGAGCACGTACATGACGGCGGCAGCAAGCATCAGCGCACCGCCGACGTTGCTGAAAGCCTTGCTCTGTTCAGCGCCGGATCCAAAGACCGGCGATACCGTGGGGACAGGGGCGTAGGTCATTGCCTCCGAGGGCATGACGATGACGGTGGCGTTGGTAGGGTAGAGAGGCCCGCCTGTGACGATTACGCCATCGCCCTTGGCCGCCGAGGTGTTCTGGGGCTCGTCAGGGGGCAAGAGGGGAGAGAACAAGTCAGACACCGTGATAGTGGTAAAGATGGACATGGATGTGACGGTTGTGGTCACGGTAGACGGCGCGCCGGAGACGGTCACGTCGGGGTAGCCGGTGATCTCTGTCTGGAAGTCTGTGACAGTCGAGGGGTCGCCAGAGACAGTGGCATCACAAGTATCAGACGTGTAGGCAGTCTCCGTGTTGAGGTCCGTGACAGTGGAAGCGTCACCGGTGACAGTCTGGTCCTCGCTTGGCAGGGTAGGCCACAGCGTCACTGTGACCATATTGGTCCTCGTCTGCGTTTGAGTGACTACCTCAACAGCGCAGGCATCTTCCTCCATGGAGGACGAGGTAGCCGAGGGCTCAGGCATGCTGATGGAGTAAAAGGTCTCGAGCTGCGTCTGGGTACTACGAGTTGTCAGTGTCTGTCGACAGTGTCTACCGACTGGGGGACTCACGAGATTGGGACCATGATGCCTCCATCGACCAGAGTTGAAGTGACGTCGGACTCTGGCTCATCGCGAGCAACCAGGGGATCGAAGTGGTCATTGATAGAATCCTTGAGGAGTGTAGACTCAGCGAGCGCCACTGTTGATCTGTTAGAATTTGTCTCAAGTACAAGGGCAACACTTGACGCACGAGAGGGAAGGCTGCTGCAGAGAAGGAAGCCACCGACGGCACAGACAAAGGTTGCGATGAGCATGGAAAACGCCATGCTGCTGCGCTTGGTGCTCGCAACGGTGCGTCGAGTCGCCATGTACTCGCGTGGTTCGCCGGCTTTTAGCTCGACGTGGTCGTGGCCTCGCATGGATGACACTTGATCGACGCTTAGCATTGGAACATGAACAGCGCGTGGATCTGAGTAGACTTACTTGTGATTGAGTTCAAGGATGGAACAGTGTCTCTGAGAATGAAAGTTGACTGTTGGGCACCTGTCAGAACCCGTTTGTGTTGAATTGGGTGATGGCACGCGTCGCTGGGGAGGCAGATCGTGACTCACACGCGAGGCATGATAGTACACATCTGGGTCTGGAACTGACCAAAGGGAAAAGGGCAACTTACAAAGCTGAAGGGCCTAATGAAGATCCAGCGGAAGCTCTGATGGACAGTGGTGCTGCGAACGAGCGGAAGCGGTGATGCAGAATGCCTGGCAACGAGCGTAGAGAAGTAAGTGATGAGGGGAAAGAAGGAGAAGGGAAGGTGAGCGGCAAAACGCGAATGATAAACAAAGCGTTCGTCTGTTCTTTGGCCACATAGTTTGCATGATCCATCGCGTCGCGGTGGTTGATTGCCTGAGCTTGAGGGACTCGTCGCCTAATGATAACTTCAGACGGGCCACGACAGGGGGGAAAGGGGGCTGTTCACGTTGGACAGGTACCTGAGATAGCACTGGGATCACTCTTGAAGCACTGGGATCTGTGGCTTTCATTTGTGTGTCAAGTCTCACTGGCCGCTCAGTTTCTTCTCAGTAGCATCCTCGGACGTCGAGATTGGACGAGAAGGCATCATCACGACCTCTTAGTTTTTGGGAGAGTTAGAACGTGATAATACTTTCTCAATGTCACGAGAGGCTTAATAGGGTGAATCAAAAGATTGTCTTTGCGCTTTGTTACTTGGTTCGTCTCAGAGGCGAGTCAGGCCACTTTGTGTGACATGACCAAGATTATCAGGGGGGAAATCACAACGTGAGGCACACAAACAGCTTGTGTACCCTTTCAGAGACAGGAGTGGGGGCACGTTCTCTGCTTATCATGAGCCTGTAAGGGTGCAGGCACAATCACGGAACTGCTCTGTCGAGTCCGTATGGTACGTAAAGCGCTGTAATATTGCTAGAAGAAAGACTTGCTTAACTACGTAGTAGGGAGGGGACAACGGTGCGGCTTCCTAGCGAAACCCTCGCAAACCGCGGCACGTGGCAGCTTGCTCGACTGCTTCTAACCGTAGTAGTAGTCGGTGTCCCAGGCAGTGATGTCTGTCTCGCAGCGGATGAACTTCTGGCCATAGTTGGCGTCGCCGGGGCCACACATGCAAGGGCCAAAGTAGTCGTCAGACTCGAGGAAGCACTGGCCCAAAAGGGCGCCTCCATCCGCAGGGGTCATCATGAAGCCGCCCGACTCTACACCGCCGTTAGATACTGTCCTGCCAACATCAAAGGGGGCGGTGGCCGAGATACTCACTGTAGAGTGTAAAGTGGATGTCGTTAAGGTGGACCTCAACCTCGTCGGGGTCGTCCTACAAAGGAGTGCCATGTCAGCTGCATCCGGTCGTTACGGGACATGGAGCCTCAACTGTCCCTGGCTTGAGACTTACATCACCACAGCCCTGGCAGCGAATTCCCTCGCGGCTGCCGCTCGCATCGTCAACCGAGGGGATAAAGTAAGTGCTGCAAACGTTGTTGCAGTTGGGTTCGCCAGGGAAGAGTCTGTAGCCGGACTGAGATGGAAAGGGTCAAGTATCAGCATCATGTACGGTAGATCCAGCGATTCAGCAACATTAGGATGGAACGCACCCAGCTGTTGTAGCCGCCAACACCCGAGTACGAGTCGGCTCCGTAGATGAGAAAGTCGGCCGCGGCGAGCTTGCGGCAGCGGCGGAGGCGATGGCGATGCTAGTCTTCATGGTGGACTGGAAGTTGGTTGTCTTTGAGACTGGCGTGAGCTTGGAGTGAAGTATGGAAGGCGAGGGATGGTTTGAGCGTCTGTGAGTTCTTGTAGATACGAATTTGGAGCAGACAACGGGCCTCTATTTATACATGTTGCCTTGCCCTTGCTTCCTTCGTGAGATTAAGCAGTATACGGTCTCTTGACAGAAACCTCGATGGACGTGGCATCTACCTCGCACGAAGGAATGTTGCATTGAGGTCTATAGCCCGCCGCCAAGGCGTGCTATGATGCTACACTCGACATCAGACTCGCCATGCCCAGATATTAGGATTGCCAAGATTGATCGATCTGAAGAACGGCCAGTTCACACTGGCCATCAGTGGTGGACATGGCGGCGAGGGGCTCAACACAGCCTGACTGGGGTCGGAACACCGTCGAGGACTGCTACACCAGGCGATGGGGCAAGCCTCTCTTCTTTGCTCTGCACTGGATGGTCTTATGGAGCACTGCGAAATAGTTGTGTACGGGCTTATCCAAGTTATCAGTGCCGACTTTCATGGACCGGCCCAGTCGCAAACACACTTCAACGGCTGTACCCTGTGCTCTTGCTACGTCAGTTCTATGCTGTATTCACCGACCATATGTCTATGCCGAGATGGTGTTTCATGGACGAGCCGATGTCTCACACGCACCAGAGATGATAACCGTAAAGGGCGTCGTAGCATGCCTCGGGAGGCATACCTCGTCGGTCCCGTATGCACTATGCAGCACCCGGCCCCCGGGTATCGGCCTAACTTCTAGAAAGGTCTGCCGAGCATGGCTCTGCCGAGACTGAAGGAAGAGAGACGCGGGGCGTGTGGAGACGGAGGCGGCGGCGGAATGTTCAACGCAGTCTATTCCAGTACTTGGCGACAGCGGAATGGTAAAAGTACTCCCGATGTCTTGCTCGATCCAAGCGTATGCGCATGGATACATGTAGACTGTGAGGGGCGGCAACCCGAACAAGCCAGCTCCTCAAACGCGCCCTTGTTGCTGGTCTGAATGAATCAGTATCTGACTAAATAGACGCAGTGTTGGATCTGGGGAATACACACGATCGCCGTTTTCAGAAGAGTTCGACAAGGCCGGGATGCAGATCCGGGACCTACCGCTTCAGTAGCATGCGTGTGGATTGCCAGCGTCATCAGGATTCAGACTGGGCGATCCGGGACCTGCCACCGACTCATGCATGGGGCTGACATGGTTAATATTATACCTATTGATCCTGCCCAAATCAGCACCCGAGAATAATTCCTGATCCAAGCGCCATCGGCCGATAGCTTCTGCTCTATGGCGGAGGAGCTGCTCTCTACAGGGTAGGCTTGGTTGCCCAGCCATGTATCGTACCTTAAACTCACTTCAATGGCAAGTCTCGTCAATCGAAGTGGTATGAGTAGACACGGGCACCTCCAGTCCAGCCGTCTTTGGATTCGTACCAGAGTCCAATTGATGCTGGATTGACTGTGTCGCGGCGCATCAATGTACATGTACTGTTCAAGAGGCGAGTGATGGAGGAGTTCAGTGACCACATGCAGTCGATCGAAAGTGGGGGTAGACCAGTCTCCCAGGTACCGGGTAGGCTAGCACTGCTGATGCGCGCCTCGACTGGAGCTCCTGTCGCGTCGCGTAATTATTATAGCATCACTTGATCTCCCATTGCCAGCTTGGTCTCCTCTGCCTATTTACTTGCTTGCCAAAGGCAGCACTCCCCTCCAATTACTCAGTTAGCATTGGAGTCGCATTGAACGCCCATATTTATTGCCTATTTCCAGTGTACGAGGCCAGTCGCCTCTCGTCACCCCCGAACCACGTTCGAGCTCACCACGCGTTGACCCTTCGCCCCGCCACTTGGTAATCCTAACCGCAACCTCGACCTCGACCTCAACCGCGACCGCGACCCAAACCGTGACCTGCATCATCGGGATCCGCGCATCCCAGCGTAGCAAAGCACACAAAACCGGCGACGATGGCGCCGGGTCGTCGAACGCGAAACAAAAAGGCCCAAGAGCCAGTCGTGGAATCGCCTCCACAACAAGAGGAAGATCAGGATTCATCAGAGCTGGAAGAGATCGCCTCTCCAGAACCCGAAGAGGCGGACAATGATGAAGACGCCCCATCTCTCAAGTTCGACGAGGAGCTCACATGGCGGCCCGCGAGGCCAATTGCAGTGGGAACCCTCATAAGTCGGCTGGAAAAGTTGTCGGAAGAGCTGGCCGATTACGACCAGGAAGGAGTCAATCTCGAGTCATTGAGCGAAGTCTCTGCTGCATTGGCGCACCGGAATTTATTGCAACACAAGGACAAGGGAGTCAGAGCATACACAGCTTGCTGTCTGGTGGACATCCTACGCCTCCATGTCCCAGAAGCCCCCTTCACAGCGGATCAACTCAAATTGATATTTACACTCTTTATCGGCAGCATTATCCCTGCGCTATTCGACCCGACCAACCCGTGGAAAACGCAGAACAAGCATGTGTTGACGTCCCTGACCGAAGTCAAGAGTCTTCTCTTGCTGAACGAGGTGCCGGGAGGCGATGACTTGACGGTACGGCTCTTCAACACAACATTCGACGGTGTCGAGAACAGCGCAAAGGCGAAAGCCGGTGAGCAGCTGCCCAAGGATGTCGTCACACATTTGACGGAGGCGCTCATTCTACTCATCGATGAGGCCCCGGGCAGTGTCCCTCCGGCAATGATTGATTCCGTCTTGACGCAGTTCCTCCGAGCCCTTCCACCTGGCGGCTCCCGAAACAAAGAGCACAGCCAGAACCAGGCTACGCTACTGCCGAAGTCCGAGCCGCCCGCCTACACGATTGCCAAGAACATCTGCAATGGTTGCCCTGACAAGTTGGCTCGATATGTTAGTCAATATTTCGGCGACGTTATCCTGAGCGCCTCTCGATTCGCAACAGCACCAAATGGCCACAAACACGATGGCGATTCGGACGATGGCGAGCCTGCAGGAGATTCGGGCCCTTCAGACGACGACATCAAGAACCTGGAACGCGCACACATCCTGATTCGCGAACTGTGGCGTGCAGCGCCATCCATCCTGTCAAACGTCGTCCAGCAGGTCGAGGCTGAGCTGAGCGCCGACAATCTGCACCTGCGGCAGGTCGCGACAGAAACCATCGGCGACATGATTGCAGGCGTTGGTGCTGCTGGACTCCCCCCTTCCCCCATACGGGACGCGGCAGTGCACCCTCCTGTGCGCTTGATGGATGAGCCTGCTACAACATATGCGCCGAACGCGTTGACCACTCCCCAGTCACCATTCTCGTTCATCCAGACGCACCACAGCGCCTATCGCAGCTTTGTGGGCAGACGCTTTGACAAGAGTGCCAGCATCCGCGCCATCTGGGTTACGGCCGTGGGGCGCATCCTCTCGACCTCAGCTGGTGGCCTAGGTCTCAACCCGGTCGAAGAGAAGGAGCTCCTTCAGACCCTGCACGCCAAGCTCTCTGACAGTGAGGAGAAGGTCCGTCTAGCCGCCGTCAAAGCCGTCGAGCTCCTCGGGTTCAGAGACATCGTCCTGAAACTAGGAGCGTTCGGCGGTGTTGATGGCGACGAAACCTCCATCCTGGCGACGCTGGCCGACAGGATACGTGACAAAAAGGTCGCAGTTCGTGTGGAAGCCACCATTCTCCTGGCTAAGCTCTGGGCGGTTGGCGCTGGCGAAATCGCGGATGGTCAGGAAGCTGTGACTGCATGCCTAGAAGGGGTTCCGAACAAGATTATCAGCGCTTTCTACGCGAATGACCTGGAAGTCAACCTGCTCCTGGACCGGGTGCTGTTCGAGTGTCTAATCCCCCTCAAGTACCCGCAAGTGAAGAACAAGCATGGGTCTTCAGCATCCTCAGACAAGAAGGTGGCTCTTCCGACCGCTGAGCAAGATGCACTGCGCGCTGAAAGGATTCTGCTCATGCTCAAGTCACTCAACCCGAGTTCGATGAAGGCGTTTTGGGCCATGCAGGTACGGCAGACCCAGTTCGCAGTGGCTGTGGCGGCGTATATCAAGCACTGCGAGGCATACAATGGTGGCGTGTCTGAAGGGGACGCGACCAACGTCAAGAAGCTACTGGGCCAGGCTATCGACTGGATGGCTCAGCAGTTCCCAGACGCGGTCAAGGTCCGCGGCGACTTGCAAAAGTTTGCGAAAATGAACGACAGACGGGCGTATCAGCTGCTCAAGTTTGCGGTAGAGTCGGAAAGCGACTTTCAGAAAGTCAGACGCTCCATCCATGAGCTCATATCGAAGATTCAGGGGGGGTCGGCAGGGACTATTGCAGAGACGTTGCTCGCCATTCTATATCGCGCAAGCTCCCTCATGTTCAACCGGAGTCACCTCACCACGATCATGGACACTTCAAAGGACGAGAACAACAAATTGGCGGCCACAGCGCATGCCGTGCTCAATGAGCTATCGGCGCGCAACCCAGCGCTTTTCAAGGCCCATTCGGCCGAACTGCGCACGTCCATTGTCGAACAAGCGCCGTCTGCTACAAAGTCCAACGATCCCGGAGTCATGGACATGCTCAAAGCATACTCCTCCTATGCGAAGCAGTACCCCGAAGAAGTCGAGGTGGACAAGGCATTCACACAAACACTGATGAACTACGCTCTTTATGGGCGGCCACACAAGTCTGCCAAGTATGCGGTCAACCTGATTCTAAGCAAAGATGACGACAAGGGCCGAGTCACAGCCACAAATCTGGTCAAGAAAGCGGCGAAAGGTCTCGATTTCGGCACACCTAACTTCCTCAACAAGCTGCAAACTCTGTGTCATTTGCAGCGGCTGGTACCAGAAGTCACGGCAGACGAGGACGAGAATATCGACAGAGTGGCAGTCAAGGACGTTCTCCGCCAAGTAAGAAAGCCTGCAGAAGAAGATGATGCAAGCTGGGTTAATGACCCCGACATGGATGAAGAGATTCAAGCCAAGTCACTCGCAATGAAACTGCTGGTCAACAGGGCTCTGGCAACCGCCGATGACGAGGGGGCAGAAACCAGGGGGAAAGCTCTGCTCAAGCTCCTCATGGTCTTTGTAGTGGAAGAGGGCGAATTCTGCAAATCGAAAAACACACCACTCCACCACAAGAAGCGCCTTCGCCTGCTCGCCGGCCAATGCGTACTCAAAATGTGCAGGGTCAAGAAATACGACGACCAGTTGGATCCGGCCAATTTCAACAAGCTTGCCGAGCTTGTGCAAGACAGTGAGCTGCAAGCGAGGCGACGCTTTATGGAAAAACTCCAGAAGTATCTCCAGGCTGACAGCTTGCGACCTCGCTTCTACACGATGCTGTTCATTGCGGCATTTGAGCCCGTGGCCGATGTCAGAATCAAAGTCGAGACGTGGCTCCGGGCTCGAGCTCTGTACTACGCCGACAACAAGAGGACTGTCATGGAGGCCATGATTGGGAGGTTGATCCCGCTCTTGGCGCATCATCCTGACTACAGCCCCGCGCTGGAGGACCTCCTTGATTTTTCAAAGTACATCCTTTTCTACCTGGACACGGTAGCCCGTGAGAACAACATCTCGCACATTTACAAATATGCCGAGCGGGTGAAGCAGACTCGAGATATCCTCAGTCCTGATGATAGCGATAGCTTGTACACGATCAGCGATCTAGCACAGACGTTGATTCGCAAGTTTCAGGAGAGACGCAACTGGAGCTTCCAAGCGTGGCCGGACAAGGTTGGTCTGCCCGCAGGCCTTTACGTGCCCTTGCCGTCGAGCGAAGTCGCACACGAGATCGCCACCAAGCAATACATTCCCGAGGAACTTGACGAGAGGCTCGATGACTTGTTGAAGTCTCTCGAGCGGAAGAAGGTTTGTTCAAGCATCATTGACATGGCATGTGCGCACTTTCACTAACTGTTATCAGAAACGCAAGTCAGCTACAGACTCGTCGGATCGGCCCAGTGGCAAGAAGGCAAAGAGCCAGATCAGCACCGTGATCCGCGAAAAGTCAAGCACAAAGGCTAAACCCAAGTCGTCGTCATCCAAGCCTAAGAAGAAGAAGACGACGAGCACAACCCCATCGAAAGCGGAGAGGCCAACGATTCCTCTGTCGGAGCGAAGGCGAAGTGGGCGTGCCGCTGCGCCAACAACCAGTTACAAAGAGGCTGACGAGGAAGACGACGATGCTGAGATGGGAGATGGTTCAGACGCTGCGTCAGACGAGGAGTCAGGGTCCGGTTCTGATGCGGAGGAGTCTGGCCTGGATTGAGGCAGCCGAAAAGTATAGTAATATGCACGCTAGGATCCCTATCTTTGAGGTCCGTACGTACATAGCATCCTCCATCGTCATGTGGGAGCAGTGATGGCTGTGTGGGACGACGATGTACTTCTTGTGTCTTGTTTTGGTTTTGAAAATACCCAAACATCTTGTGGATTTCGCAATGGGCTTTCTTTTTGTCTCCTTGGACTGCACAGGATCACAGGCTCCGATGGATGAAAGCAATAGCAATGAACATTTCTTCTTGTCCAGCTATAAAGCCGCCTCTATGCATAAAATCTCGCGGTATACAAGAACAGTTGGGGGAAAAAAGAAAAAGCCAACTCGTAGTAGCAAGTCAACAACACCCCAGCTAGCCACCGAAAACTCCTGCAAGGAAACCCTGATATATACCTAGAGCCGAAACAGCCGCATATCCATACAAAGGCACACCCTTCCTGCCACAACACTCTTTTTTTTTTTTTTTCATCGCCGTTTACTGGACCGTGTGCAGCGGAGAGACTATCCCTCGATGCGTTGTTTGACCAGCGCCCTGTGGCTCGAAAACTTCAGATGCGCCTCGAACTTCTGCGCTGTCTGGTCCGGACCAGGCGTGTAAAGCTTGCTAGGACAGTCCTTGCAACGGATGCGGGGAAGCCAGGCATACTTGACGCCTGGAGGGTGCGGTCCTGCCGGTAGAGGCACCTCGGTTATGGGGTCTAGGTAGGAGTACTTCATGACAGCTTCAAAGAGGTCGTCTGGATAGTCCTTTTGGAGGTCCTTCAGAGCTTTGACGAGCCACTCTGGTGGTGGCGGCTGGATTGGTCTTGTCAGTATTCGCCGTTACCGCGCGATCCTTCATAGAGCAGAACTTACGGCTGGTGGTTGAGGCTGACCTTGCGCCACAGGTGGAGCGGGAATGCGGCCAATCTGGCCTTGCGGGAAAGAGTACGCTGGTGTCGACGGCTGAGGCGTCGCCGAGGTGGGTGTTGAGGGGGGCGGCATGGATCTCGAGTTGCTCGACGTGCTGGGCGCTCTCGTATGCATCGGGGGCGGGACAGGTGTCTGGTGTTCTGACGGCGCCTTCAAGTCACGATAGTCGCCGCGCAGGACGCGCTGAAACCTCGGCCGGTTGTTGAACTTGACCGTGACCCACAAGTGCGCAGGCTCCTCTGTCTCCTCTCTGAAGCGGCGTGAGGTACGCGTCTCGTGGTGGTGCGCAATGCTCCCGGCGTCCGGTGTTTCGGAGCGACCCAGGTTGGCCATCCGCTGGGCGGCTGCAGAAGCAGCGCCGCGCATACCTCTAGTACGAGCCGTGCCCTGCGCCAGGAATGATGTTGGTGCTGGCGATTCAGGTGCCGAGTCGTCGCTCTCTTCCGAGTCGGAAACCTCGCCATCACGTGGATAACGTTTCTTTGTCCGTGCCGCTGACTTGTACAATCTGCTCTCCTCAACATTGGGGGCGCCGCCGGGTAATGTCTGCGAAACAACCATGGTGCGGATCGTCCTCTGTCTCTCCTTGAGATCTGGCAGTTGAGGGCCGCCTCGCCGGTTGATAGAGCGCTTCTGTCGCCTCTGCTCGCGGGAGAGAATCGTCTCGTTTCGGTCCAGGTCGGCGTCGGTAAGTTCGTACAGGTATGGTGCATAGTCTTTGGCTTGTTGCATTGGGCGGAATACCTGTGGTAAAGGCGTCTGGAGGAAGGCGTTGACCAGATCCGGATCTTCCACAGGCCTCCCGTCAAAGGGATGCCCTACACTGTAGAGACTCCGTACGAACAATTGGGATTGCTCGTGGATGCAGTGTGCAATGGCAGTGGTAAATTCCCCACTAAGGGCAAGATCTCGGGTCATGGCGGAAGCGAAATCCTCTGGCGAATTGTGATGGTTGTTGATGTCCCATTCAAACTGGTCCACGAGGGTATGCTGGCCGATCGTGATGTTCAGCTTGATGAGTATGCGCATCTCGTCGTTTTTGTAGGCCGAATATGGTAGCTCCGGATCCAGGGCGTCCTCCTCCGAGTAGACTAGGGGGTAGAAGTCATTGAGCTGCTCGCGCATCTGCTGGACAACCTGCTCATAGACTGGTTGGAGCGCCGGTGGTTTGAGGCCCATGTCTTCCACCAGCTGCGACGCGAACAGCTCCACGTGAATCAATCGGTCGTGCAGGTTCCAGGTAAAGGTATCTCGTAATCGCACCTTGTCCCACTCCACCTCCAACCGTATCGGAACAAGCTCCTCATGCTGTTCGGCCTGCTTCAGCATATCCTTGCGCTTGTACTTCAAGGCTGGGGTCTGCTTCGCGCCACCTTTGCGAGGCTTCTGGCTCGGGTAGACGATTCTCGGATGCTGAAACTCGGTGTAGCCGTTGCCGTAGCCATTGTAGCCTTCTCCGAAAAGTTTTGCTGGTGGGAAGTAGGGTCGGTATTCGGTGCGGAGTGCCTTGTAGTCTTGTACCGTCAAGCGCAAATCATTCATGTATTCCTTGGTCTTCTCCAAGTGATCGCTCAGGGCAGCAGCTGCCAGCTGATCACGCTGCGTGTAGCGCTCGATCATCAACTCGTTGAGCGACTCCTTGGTGCGGACTGGTATCCCAATCTGCTTCGCTTCGTCTGGCGAGGATGATGAGGACGCTTTCTGACTTCCATTGTCCTCGCCCCGCGATGCCTCGCCAGCTGCCTTGATGGGTTCTTCGGCCATCCTGCCGTGATGGTCGTGCCTGCCGGGGTCGCGTTGCGACGTGGCGTGGTTGATATCGAGACTTCGCTGATCACCTCGGTCGCGCGTCCTCGCCGCGACGGGTTAGCGCTTCGTGCGCAACAGTCAATGGGCGCGCTGAAGGGTGTTTGCCAATTATCGAGAGTTTGTACACGGAGTGAGTCCTCGTCTCGCGCGTATGGAGAAAATGCGGGTGTTCGGGGTCGTGGTGGCTTGGCTGGATGCGGCTGTCGTGTTGCGCTTCGCGACTTTGATGCAGTCTGCTGTCGCTACAGGAGAAGGACGACAGACCTGATAGTGCGGATGTAGGTCTACCGCACCGAAGCTGCGTTTGCGGCCGTAGATCGAGTAGCTGGACAGCCTGGCAACCTGGCCAATTAGAGCGCGTCAGTCTCTAATGTGGGTCTTCCATCCATCATGAGCTTGCGGTGTGTCTAGGGTAGCCGTAAACAGCCGAATTTGAGTACGTACTACGGCCGATTGGGATGTGTGCGCTTTCTAAGTAGAGGTTATGACAGGGACCGGAAACTTATGAGTATCTGTTAACGTTGGGTCTATATTCATTTCTCATGTTTGAGATGAGTGGCATGTCACTGCACGGGTAGTCATGGCCGTCAGTGTGCTATTATGCCCACGGTGGAAGCCAATGTGGAAAACAATCACGAGGGACCAGAGCTTGTCATTGCATTGAGTCTGGCACACACAGATGTATGTTGATACTGAGGATAAATAAATAAAGACAGACACACAGCACAAGTAGCCGGATTCTACCTACTAGACTCAGCTCGCACAATAGCTCTGCACGTCTAGACAATGCGTTTTGTGCATTCCACATTGCCGCAAAGGAAACCCGTCGTCGCCGTCGGCTATTTCAGCTCAACACAAGGCCGAGACCAACAACACGCTCTCCAACTGCTCAGGGATCACTTTGAATTTCCCGAGAATCATTGGCGATACGTACAGGACATCGTCAGTGAAGCAATGACGGCACAAGGCAGCCCAGGACATGGACCAGGTGTAGTACGTAGGTAAGGTACTTAGTAGCGTGGACCTCAAAAAAGGCCCCTCCACACTGCCTCGAGCCAAAGCTCCAGTCGAGTCCATTTTCGTCACTTCATTGCTCCCGCCTCATCCTCCCACCCCACAACTCCCTCCCAACCGCGAAAAAAACCCAGCAGGGACACACGATAGCTCTACCACGTCCCCAATCACACAATCGCCATCATGTCCGAAGCTCAGGAGATTGGTATGTCTCGCAGAACACAGACAACTTCCGCTTGGAGATTGCGCTGCCCCTCATCGCGGTGCCTGAACTACCCCGCCAAGTCCCAACCTACAACGGTTCCCGCGTCATGGACGACCAGCGGCCCCAGACAGCCCAATACCGCTTGAGAGAGGATGAAGAAGCCTGGGCTGACATCTGTGCCTCGCTAGATTACACCCTCAAGAACCCCGATACCCTCACCAAGTACAAGACCGCCGGTCAGATCTCCGAGAAGGTCCTTGCAGAGGTTGCGAAGCTATGCGTGCCGGGCGCCAAGTTCGCTGAGATCTGCCAAAAGGGCGATGACATCCTCGCAGAGGAGGTCGGCAAGGTCTACCGTGGAAAGAAGGTCACCAAGGGTATGTGCGCTCCCCAGGACGAGACAACGGAACGATCTGTACTGACGACGCACGTGCTCAGGCTTTGCGCACCCCACGACTGTGTCCCCCTCGTCATATGTCACACCCTACACTCCCCTAAGCTCGGACGAGGCCGAGGCCGCGCGTGAGATCAAGGAAGGCGAGGCGATCAAGATCCAGCTCGGTGCGCAGATTGACGGCTTTGGTGTCATTGTCTGCGACACTGTGTTCGCGGGCAAAGAGGGGGCCATCACCGGCCGCGAAGCCGACCTGGCCCTCGCCACCCACTATGCTAACGAGCTTCTCCTACGCTTGATGATCCCTCCTGGCACTCTCGCTCAGGGTACTGATGAGGAGAAGGCCAAGGCGGCCGCGCAAAAGGCTCCCACGCAGAGCAAGATCACACAGCTGCTGGAGAAGGTGTGCGACGCCTACGAAGTCAAGCTCGTTGAGAGCACAACCTCATGGCTGTTTGACCGCAACGAAATCGAGGGTGCCAAGAAGATTGTGCTGGCCCCGGCCGAGGGCACCAAGGGCGACGGTGTCCCCGAGGCCCCCGAGGTTTGGGGTGTCGAGATGGGCGTGAGCTTGGGATCGGGCAAGGTCAAGAAGCTCGATGACCGCGCGACGCTGCACCGCCGTACACTCCAGACCTACGGCCTGAAGCGTCCTACCTCGCGCAAGGTCCTGTCCGAGGTCCAGAAGAAGTTTGGTACCTTCCCCTTCTCCCTGCGCCAGCTCGAGGATGAGCGCGATGCCAAGGCCGGCGCCGTCGAGTGCGTGCGCGGCAACGTGTTCAGGCAGTACGAGCTCGTTGGCGACAAGGAGGATGCCCCTGTCGCTCGTTTGTTGACCACTGTCTGTAAGTGAAAATCGGAGCTCATCCATTTCCGAGGGTGTGTAGGCTACAGGACTGACGAAGAACACAGCGATCAGCAAGAACGGTTTGACCAAGCTCGGCGGGCCCGCTCCCTTTGATGAGAGCAAGTACCAGTCTGACAAGAAGATCACCGACGAGGAAGTGCTCAAGATCCTTGAGCAGCCCCTTGCCCGCAACACGGGCAAGAAGAACAAGAAGAAGGCCGCCAAGACGGAGGCTTAAACGGTCAAATGAGGAGCTGGAATATTCATCTGTTTGTGCGTGCTGAGGGAGCTCGAGAGGGTTGATACCAGCTGTTTGAGTCGTCTGCTGAGCTGCTCGTCCTGCGGGTAGCTAGCTAGCCCGGCTCGAATGCAGAGATGGCACCGCGATGGAAATGCCTCGTTGTGAAGGTGCGTCGGTCTCGCGATCCACAAGCAAATCGCGGTCGAAGCGGGGCCGTGAAGACCTCTCAACCCTTTAGCCAGCAGCGAGGACATGAATGAATATTTGACAGACTTTTTATCGCTATTAAAGAAGAATTCAGGCATGCGCGCTGTGATGATCAAGTCGTGGCTGGAAACCAGTAGCCTCACTGGGCGACGTGCATAGGTGAGGCGTCGAGAGTCAGGACTGGACGCTGGTGTGAAAACTGAAAACTTGCGATATTAACGCTCGCATCATCAATGCGCGCAAGGCATCGCCGCCCGGTCATCCCAGCCCAGTTATAATGAGGAAAAGCAGCATGCCGATTATCATCCCACCGATTCCACGCTCAAAATGCCAAACAAGACGCTCAAGGACCGTCAGTAATCGACGGCAATGCGGATGGCTGGGAGCGCGTGCGCGCTAGGGGGATAAAGGGGCAGCCAGTATTTTGAGAGTGAGTCAGTCAGCCAAGGCTCAGGTATCTGTGCTATCTGCATGACGTGAACGATGACTGAAGCGGCCATCATCAGCCGGATGATTGTGACCATTGGGGGGGGGGGGGGGGCATCTCGATGCTTCTCGCCAAAACTTTACCTGTCTTCGTGCCGCTCATAGCGTGCACCTTTTGCATGTGCCTGGCAGCCTGTCTCTCTGCCTTGTCTTTCAGGAGCACTGGCATCCAGCTGTGACTAAAGGGGGTCCGGAAACAGAGATTCGGTCTTGGGTGGATCAGGGGGTCATGGGACACAAAGTCTGTTTGGAGGCGTTGCGATCCAGCAGCGGGTGAAGAGTTTGAGGAGTTTCATTTCTGTTGAGGAGGGACTCGCTGTAAGAGTATTTGGCCATGCGAGGCTACTATTATTGTCTTGCGTCGTGCTCGATGAGCGTAGGCTGCACATGCAGCAGAGTCCAGTCCGCCCTCCTTATCTGCAAGGTTTCCGACCAAACTCTTGCCAGCCTTATGGCTTGAGGGTGGTGGCACGGGACATACAGTACGGCGTCGTCTGCCTTGAAGTCGATGCAGCGTCCACGCGATGCCCTGACTGTCAGTCTCGTCATGTCGTGAAGTTACTCTCCTCGCAAGTATCGTGATTCACTCTTGGTCTCAAAACTCGGACCAGGTCGACTGGAGGTGCCGCGGGCTCCGGGCCAGACAGACAGACAGACAGCAGCTACAGTGGGCAAGTGCCCTGCAGCGCGCGACTTACAGTGCACCTTGGGGCGGTTGCTCCAGCGGGCAACGCCTGACATCACCCACTAAGGTGCCCGCAGCGTCCAGTTCCTGGCGGCCCAGCCAAAACTCTCTTCGCCGCTCCTCCAATTCTCCTCCTTTTTACCCTTTGCTGCCCCCCAAAAAGGAGGAACACCGCGTCGAAGCACCCTCCTCCACGCGACGATCCGATTGTCGCGCATGCTGTAGCTCCGTTGAGCGGTACGTCACGAAGCCGTCGAGTCACCGCTGCCCGTAGACGCGCCCGTTGCTGACTTTTGCGTCTTGCGCGCGACGCCATAGACCCGAAAAGAGCGAGGGTGCTTGTAGCTTCCCCCGACCCAGCAAGGGGGGGAATCTCTGTTTTGGCTTTCGACATACCTTACCGCCCACCAGAATAGCCGACGCCAGCAACTCGTGTACGACCTGGACACGGACAGCAACCATCAGCTCGGTTTATCACCTCCATCCGAGGGCGCATTGTTGATCATTGCGGCGCCCCCCTTTTTTACTCAACGTCCAAGACATCTTGGAAGGAAACGAAAGGGAAGGAGGAAGTAGCGGGAGCGCCAGGGTCAAATCGCGCTGTCGTCATGATCTCGGCCAACTCGAACCGGTCGATGCGCTCACGCTTCTCGAGTCCAGCCCAAGGGTCCGGGTCTCCGCAAGCCAGGGAATCGAGGAATGGAAGCGTGGAGGATCCATCTACCGCGGGCAAGGGCAACTTGACTACCGAGGGATCTAGGAGTATCATGGACAAGTGGCTCGAACCGGCAGTCCAGAACAAGGCCAGCCACGAGGAAGCTGGGCTGGCCAGGCATGGGGTTCTTGAGGGCATGGTCCCGCTAGGCAGCCTGCCCAAGGCCCGGAAGACGGAGCCTGGGAGCAGCGGAGGCGTTCGCAGGATCATCCTCAAACACTCAAACAGAGGTGCCAGAGAGGCGTCACGACCGCAAGCGAAGAGCTCGCTGGATACGGACATTCGGAGGAAATCTGTCTCTGACTCAGCCCCAGCATCAGCTTCGGCATCAGCGTCAGCATCCGCCTCCGCCTCCGCAACACCCACACGTGCAACCCACGAGGCTGCTGCGTCCGATGTAAAGTCAGAGGCCCCATCTGCGTCAGAAACAACAGCCGCTGCACCAGCGCATTCTCCTGTGGCAAGACCGGCGCTTCCGCCTCTGGTGGAATTCCTGCCGCCCTCATCGAATCGCGCAACCACGCGCAAGTCGCTCCCCACACGCGATACATCAAAGGAAATGGAGGAAGACGACGAGTACGAGCCCAGAAGCACGGGCAGACGTCGATCTGTCGCGCGTCCAGCCCCCCCTAAGCGAGGCAGGCCGCCAACAGCCACGCGCCGAAGCTCCATGCCTTCCTCAAAAGATTCGCCCGTGAAGCAACTCTCACCAACTCCACCTCCACTGTCGGCTCAAGCGCCGGCACGCCTTTCTCAGCGCCCTCCGTCAGCATCCAGCACCAAGATGGTCTATCGAGGCACGGAGTTTGTTGAGAAAGTCATCGAGGCTGCTGTGGACGAGGCGCTCAGCCACCATCGCTACCCCACTGCGTGGGCGCTGCGGACATTCTACGACGACAGGTCAGAGGACCCTGGCTTTGTGCGCATGGTCGAAGAGATCTTCAATCAAACAGCCGACGCGAGCACACGGAAGTCGTTCTTTGAGCAGCTGGCACGCCGGAAACACGACGGGCGCTACAGGAACCAAGGTCGCGATTACTTTGTCCCTCCCGCGGACGACGGTAGCTTTGAGCCTCACCTCCCCAAGAAGGCGCCTTACGCCCATCTCATCCTGCATAAAGATCACGACGACGCTGATCATTTTGAGCCTCGCGAGGCTCGCGCCCCGAAGCGGGTCAAGGTTACTCAGCGATGGACTGATACCTCACCTCGCAAGGCATCCTTGACAGGAGCAGGTCCTGCAGATGTAGCAGAGTCAGCGGACACGACCGTGCCACTTGACCAGGCAGCAATAGCGGCAGCTGGAGCAGATGAGGCGATGGCAGAGCCAGAGGCGAAAGAGCCAACGCACAGAGCATCCACACCCGCGCAAGCCGAAGTCGCACCGGCGCGTACGCCTGCTCGAACGTCAACGGTCAAGATCAAGACTCCCGCATCACGGAGGCGAGCCAGGAAGACGTCTCATTCGAGCGAGTCTTCGCTTTCGTCCGTAGAGCATCTCCCTTCACCCGAACTTCCGGATGACAGCGCGCTTGTGACAACGGCCGCCGAGGAGGACGACGAGGGTGAGGACGAGGTGGCAGCCACGAGCCCCTCGCTTCGAGGAATGGCTCGCAAAGCAGCGTCCAAACCCAGGAAGACGCGAGCCAAGAGAGCGAGCACGGCTGTGGGAGGAGGCATGGGCGACGGGGGGGACTCCACGTCGCCAGCACCTCGGGGAGCTGGCGCGGCCCAGCCAATCAACACGCGCCGCAAAGCACTGGCAGCGTCCAAGCAGCACAAGGAGACTTTTGCCTCTGCCTCCGTGTCTGCCTCAAACTCACCCACCACCACCACCCTCCCCCAGTCACCCACGCAGGATTTTCCTCATCATTTCCCCAACGGTCGTTCGTCAGGCGACGGCAATAGCATGCCAGGCCTTGTCTCGAATCCACCCGGCCGAGGCAACGCAAAGGACAAGTCCTCCTCCAAGGCGAGCCTCAAGATACATATTCCCCTGGCTGGCAGCCGCGACGACGCCTTTGAGAAGCGCAAGATCGCCAAGCAGGTCACCAATAGCTATCGCGGCCTGGAGAGCGCCATCCGTGATGCCGACGATGAGCGGGAGATGACGCCTGTGCGGTCTACGAGGAAGACCAGGCAGTCTACCGGTATCCCACCGTCCAGCGTCGCCGCCAGCGTCACCGCCAGTGCGCGAGCCACGCGCTCTGCGAAGCGGACCTTTCTCGATGAGCTCGACCAGACCGAATGGCCAAGCTCTTTCCCCTCGGCCATCAACCTCGATGGGAGAAGCTCAACCGTTAACTCGCGTGCTGCGACGCCTACCAACCTCAGACCCGCCAAGAAGCAGAAGAGCGGCCTGCGCATCAAGTCATCGTAAGTCAACTTCCATTTCCGCCGTCTCCTGCTCGTTTGTTCGATTTCATCACGGTTTGCCGGGGCGGGAGGACATGACGTGGATGAGTGACCGACCGGGTGAGGGCAAGCTGAACGTCTCATCGCTTGCTGGCGTTTGCTTGCTTGCGACCATGGTCACTCTGCTCTGCATTTTGCCTACCTTCTTGGTCGTTCCTCTTTCTCATTTCAAAGCATCTTCTCATTGCTTCTTGATCGGTGTGCTGACATGCTTGGACACAGTCCACAAAAGAAGAAGGGAGGCACAGCTGCTGGCGTTCCTCGAACGATCGGCGAAGCCCAGGCTGGCGCTTACGGAGCATCTCGTGAACAGGTAAGTCATCTGGTCCGCCCTTCAATTACACTCTGTCCAGGATCGAGGGAGCTCGCGATTGTACTGGTTCCCATTTCATTTCACGTACTATCCTCTCCGTGCGCGGATGCATGCGACTGGACCTTGCAAGTGCATCGAACACCGGCTGCTAGCGAAGGTAGGCTGGCTGGATGTCTCGGGATCGCGCGCGCTCATCCGCCTCCCACACATGGCGGCTTGTGATGAAATTGGCGCACCAACACCCGACAAGGGCCCCCCTACCCCCAACCACAATGGGTCCACGCCCAGCATCACGGGCAAGCCACACCACGCCAAGCATATGCATGCAGCATGGTCAGGATCCAGCGATCCTTGTCCCACGGACCATTCGGATTCAGACCCATCATCGTCTGCCGTTGAAGAAGATGTTGACTAACTTCTGCTGTCCAGGGGGGTGAAAATGATGAGTATTGCTCGGCGTGCGGCAACGCTGGGGAGATGGTCTGCTGCGATGGTTGTCCTCGAGCATTCCACTTTGAATGCGTCGGCATCAACCCCGAGGAATCTCTGCCCGACGAATGGTACTGTAGTGAGTGCCTCGTCAAAGGGAATCCCACCCACGTCAAGGTGCACCGAGGCGCTTTTGGCCCTGCATTGAACCAGCTCGACAAGAGCATTCATCGGGCCTTTGCTCTGCCCAGGCGCATCCAGGAGCGCTTCGACGGTGTCAGGGCTGGCCCTGATGGAGAGTACGAGGAGGTTGTCCCTGCCAAGCCTACCGTGACCACCAGGTAAGCGCATCTTGTTCTGAACAGTAGTCTTCGCATCGGATGTCACTGACTTTTATCCCAGGCGCAAGAACAATGGATATGAAGAAGCACCGGACTACTACAAGCAGATTGAGTCGGGCGAGCCTGTGCTCTGTCATGACTGTCAGCTGCCGGCTTCCGAGGGCAAGCCCATCTTGTCCTGTACCGCCTGCCCGCTGCACTGGCACATGGATTGCATGAATCCGCCATTGGCCGTCCCTCCTCTGCAAAGGACATGGAAATGTCCGGCCCATCTTGATGATGCCCTGCAAGAGAAGCCTCCGCTGGCGCCAGCCCATCGCTGGCGCAAGGTCAAAGGCGCGCCAGTCATCATCCCAGCTCTTTCACGAGGTCTTCGCAACAATGGTCACATTGAGCTTGACTGGGGCTCTGAGCCTGAAGCTGATGCCTATGATCGATCTGGTTGGATTGATGACCAGTCTGGGTGGAAAGACGTGGCCTCCTTTGGGCGCACATTCAAGGTTTCAGCCACAGGAGTTCGTCTCGATTTCATTGAGCAGTGAGTGCCAACAGTCCGCTGAGTGACTCCCTTTTTACTGATTGCCTCGCAGGCTTCGTACACAAGGAGCTGGCTTTGCCCCTCCAAAGGATCAGCAACCTGCAGGCCGCCAGCAGCCGTATCTAACTCCTCCCGTCGAGGACATCACTCACCCTCAGCCTAGTGCACGCAGCATCGAAGAAATGCAAGCTTCGCTGGTGCTGAGCAGCCTGAGCACCTCGGAATCACGAACAGGAATGGAGCAGCTCATATCCGCTCTCGTGGTAAGTCATCATCAAGACAAGCAGTGGAAATACCCAGCGCTAACGATGGTACAGTCCGAGGCGGATTCAAGCGTGCTCTCCTCTATTGCTGACGCCGATGCCGTGAATATCGCGAACAAGGAGCTGCAGCACAAAGACAAGGCCAGCCTCCGTGCTCTCCTGGCGCACATGGAACGCATGGGCTCTCAAATTCGGGCCATGTTGGGCGAGGACGTTACACCGACCCTCCCATCGCTGCCCGACCAGGGCCGCTCCGTGAGCCCTGACAAGGACGAAGAATTTCCCGAAATGAAGCATGATTCTCTCGTCACAGAACCCACACCGCCGTCAACCATTGATCACGAGGGTGGCATGGATCTGGACTAGAGACCATGTCCCCACACCAAACTGACCAGCGATCTTATCCATGAGCACCACCAAGCACACGAAAGCGATGCTCGCCGAATCATCAACTACCCATCATACCTATGTAGCAGCGCCTACCATTAAGCCTATAAGATCACACCATATCACACGCCCGAATCTCCCGATCAACGGGCTTCTTATTCCAGCCACCCATATCCGTCTCTTTCCCTCTTTCTTTCTTGCTCTCAGACCCGACGACACCTTTCGGACATTAGGGGCGTTCGGGCGTCGGTCGCACGACCTGGCATTTTGCTTTTATAGACGAGGAATGTATTTCCTCCGGTGGCGTTATCTGGATCATGTCAACTTTTTTTCTATCGTTCGGCTACATGGACGGTTCGCCGACCTGTTCCTCACTGTCACATCACACAACGCAGCGCACAACCGAGCGTATACCCTTATCATATAATACTTCGCCCCTACCACGGCTGTCTGGCGCACGGCTTGCATGGAATTCGACAGATTCGGAGAGCATGGATACGAAGGAAGCGGAAGAGGCTTTCATCGAGAGTGAGACCACGAGGGAAGAAAACCTTTTGGTGGCTTCTCAATGACGAGGAGACGGGCATTTCTGTGTTGTACCATATGAATCTGGCCAACCACCAAAGCGCCATGATTCGTCCCTCTCCCGGATCTTTTGATGTTTGACCTTGGAGGTGATGAGTGACTAGAGCAGGGATTGAGGAAAAGTGAGCTCTTAGTGCAGAACAGAAATTATGCGTAACAAGAATCGACGCATCCACATATGATCTTATTGTGCTGATGATTCGACCGTACGTTACATTCATCCTAGAAGGAATACATTCAGTCATGGGCTTTGGAGAGAATAGTACTACGTACAACATATATCCAAAATGTCTCTACATGTCCAATTTGCACGGCAGTCACACAATGACACAGACAGGGTATGGTCACAAGACATTTAGTTCATCCTGCTCGACCCCAAGCTCTCCATGAATCCTCCTCTACTATACAATATTTAGCCACGCTGTTCACGCCTCGCTATCTGCGCTACAGGATGATGATGATGCCAATCCTGAAGCCAGGTCTTTTTTCTTTCCTTTTTCCGTAGACATGGTACCCGTGACCAGAGAGACATACAATGTGACGAATGACAAGTTCCCCTGATCACACGACCACGCCAGGTCCTCTCAACGTAAGCAACGGTCGAACAGTAAAAAAATTGAAAACTGTTGAAGCACACGTCAGAAGACCAGCGAGGTCTCTGCAGTGATGAAAGGCGTGGCCGGAGTTATAGCCCAGCTCAGCCAAATAATAGCAGGAAGTGTCGTTCAGTCGTAAGAGGGCAAGAGCCAAGAGGAAGTGAAGATTCTAACTATAATTCAGTAGTAATGATTTCGCTGAGAACTTTTCGTCTCATCGCTGCACTTGTCGTTAGTCAAAGTCGGAATGAAGGAGAAGGAGAGCTGCCTAGCAGTCATAGAGGGACGTACCTGGTTCCGTCTGCCGCCCTGGCCCTGCTGGCCATAACCGCCCACATTCCGCATGCCGCCGGCATTGCCGTATCCGTAGCCAGCGCCCATGGACATCCCAAACCCAGGCGGGGGAGTTGCGTAATTGCCCGCTGCCGGACCTTGTGGGATCTGAGGCACAGACTGATTCATGGGACCACCCGGAGGCACTGCCATGGGGCCATTGACGTAGCCACCATAGCCTCCGGGTGTCGTTTGATACCCGTAATTCATCGCTGGGCCGCCGCGGCCCAGCATGTTCTGCTGATACGGCATCATGCCTGGGGGCATTCCACTGTTACCAGTCGGCATCATGGGCTGATTCATCTGAGGGTAGCCGGCCATTGGCTCGCCCATATCACTGCGCTGAGGCCCAAAGCCACCGTCATAGCTGCCGTGTGGGCCTTGTCCGCCGTAGTACTGACCCTTGCCACCGCCTTGAGCCGCGTGGTGTCCGTTGGAGTTGGTATGCCTCGAATTGGGACGCTGTCGTTGTTCAGGATGGGCGCTAGACTCCCTGCTTCCCGGTCCGGTCCGTGTTGAAAGGCCAACCTCGTCCATAAGACGCTTGTAGCCCTGGTTGGGCTGCGCCTTGATGCGAATCAAAGTTGTCTTGATGGACTCGAGACACTGGACGCGATACTCTTCATTGAAGAATGGCGTGGTGAGGACTTTGAAAATGAGGGTCGCCCCATAGTTGGAATCGCGGAGGATAGCTTCGAGAACCGGCTCGTTGAAGAACATGGCCTCCAGCATGGTGTCGCGAGCTTGAGGCTCAGCCTTTTGGTTGACGACCTTGAGCACGGTCAGGTAAGCCACCTTGTGCGTACAAAGGTGAACCAGATACGGCACTAGGCGGGGGGCTAGAACTGTGCGGCGCTGTGGCAGCGTGCACGTATCAAGGTACCATGTGAGGAGAAGGGCGCCATTCTGGTCGGTCGCAAGATGAACACTGTGAATCGCAATTTGGGCCGCCAGCAGTCGCTGCTGCTCCTTGGTGGCATGGTGGCTTTCGAGACAGGCTCGCATAGCACGGGCGCCGAAGCGAGCGGACGACAGTTCCGCCATGCGCGCCATTATCGTTTCAAAGATGAACTCCGTGTACGGAGTGCCAAATTTGAGACAACCTTGAACAACGTAGTTGCCGAACTGGTCCAGGAAGAGGGGCAAGGTGTAGGGATGGATGTTCTCAGTAATGGTCGCCATTTGGTGTGCAGACTTGCAAACGTCGATAATCTTCTGAGCAGCCCATGTGCCGTTTTTGTGGCAACCAACAACGGCTAGATGAGGAGCGACCTGGGCCAGCATTTGGTCCTTGACATTGTCGGAGCAATGATCGAACAGTTTTTGAACAACAGTGTTGCCCAGATAATCAGACGACAGCTCGGCAATCTCGGGAAGCATGTCGATGGCCGCTTCTTCTATTTCCGAGACCGTCAGGCTTTGGTTGTCGATGCGCTTGCGGAGCTCTCGCAGCTTGGGGGCATCATGGACCCGAGCTTGAGTCGCCTCTCGCACAGGGGGAATTTCGTCAATGTAGTCGTTGTAGGCGATGGCCTTCTCCAGCACCCCTGAGCTGCGTGCGACATCCTCATTGGTGGCACCAAGATCTTTGATCATTCCGAGAATGTCGTTGGCAATGTCTTGAAGCACCGGAGGCGTGGGCGCCTCGTCGGATGGAGGAGCAAGCGAGGACGCCTCAGCGGTGGCGCCGGTATTGGCCTGGCTAGACGTGCGGCCTTGCAACGGATCTGGGCTGGGGGATGGGTAAACACCATCATGGCCGGGAGTGGCAGAGGGCGATGGAGGCTTTGCAAAGTTGATACGGACGGGACTGGCCCCAGGGAATATCTCTTTCCCATTCATGGCAGCCTTGGCCGCAATAGCGCTCTCGACGTTTTCGAAATTGACGAATCCGCAGTTCTTGTTTGTCAACACTCTTGCTGATTTCACAGGACCATGGATCTTGAACATCTCGGCCAAAGTTGTGTTTGTCGTAGACAGAGGAACGTTGCCAAGCCACAGAGCATTGGTCGGACCCTCGAGCCCACCCTCGTTGACGCCAAGTAAGCCATTGTTGTGGCTGTTGGAGCGGTGGAGGCTCATGTTGGCGACAGCCTGCGGGAGGTCATTGTGTTCCTCCTGTAACCTCAAGCTACTACCACTGAGTGAGGGTATAGTTGGCATATCGTTGGCAAAGTAGTGGCTCATCAAGTGAGCCCCGGGCCCGTCGAGAACATTAGTAGTGTGGGCGCGGCGACGAGTGGCGGACCGCTGGTCGTTCAGTGCTTGGACTTGTGCGTTGTGATAGCGAATGGCAGCGTTGTTAGCAGCGACTTCCTGCGCTAGCTTGTCGTGCATCTGCGACACGTATTGAGGGCCGTCCATGCCCAAGGTGTCTGTCTCGTATCCATCTTCCGGGTATTCGTCGGCATGGACATCTTTGTTGTTAACAGAATAAGAGCGGATGCGGTTGGCTTGCTTTAAGAAGTGGAGGCTAGGTTGGGCCATTGTGGACATAGTCGCCCGCGGAGGCTGTGGTGTTCCGGCGAGTCCAAGATAGTCCAGCGTTCGCATGTGCACGTCAGACTCGTTTCCGCCCTCTCGGGAAAACTGAGACTGTGATGGCGAGCTTGGTCCGTTGGAGGGCACACTCGCGATACTGGCAAGAGTTGAGCCTCTCTCGCGACCTACGTGCGAAGGATTCCAGCTGCTGAAGATTGAAGGTCCAAACGGGGAGGAGCCAGCCGGTACAGGAGCGAACTGGGATCGCTGTGGCATAGACCCTGCGCGCAGTCTCGATAGCAAAGCTGAGCCACCCGATGGCGCGTCGTTCAGTTCGAGCCCTGGTGATGGCGATTTGTTGTAGGGAGTTTGCGATGGTGTGTTGCGCGCTGATTGTGCACCGAGTCCAGGAGGAGCCAAGTGACCAGTTCCAGGACCACCGCCGGGAAATCGAGAAGGTACAGTGCCAGCACGTGCTCGACGGGGCTGTAAAAGGCTTTCCGGAGTAGGGAGATGTCCGAAGTCTGGGAAGCCATCCGTTGGGGATTCGGGAATGTTCTCACGGAGAGGCGTCGAGTTTCCGCTCGTTGGGGGGCCGCCCCAAGGGTTAAGCGGCATGCCCGAGACACCTTCCTGCGCTTGAATTTCTCGAGCCCTAGGCGGAGGGAAAAATGTCAGCGTGAGCTTCAGCGTGAATTCGAGCCAGTCGCGCCAACGAGGGCAGTGCGCAGGCCGGTCTGAAGTTTGCTTCTGGTGACACTTACCGCTTCGAAAAGAGCCTGCTCGATCCACCGAGGTCGTGCGACGGAGAACCAGCTCCAGAGCGCGAATTCCCTGACATGATGCTGGATGAAGATAGACCTCCAACGATTCCGAAAGATGGTCGGGAGCTGCCGTTCGAGGGATGCTCGATGGGCGAATTATTGGCTGATGGCGACGTGGACCGCGGCTGACCGGGGGGATGCGAGACATACCCGAGCGAGTAGTCTCCAGGTCGCGCGGTTGACATTATAGATTACTTAGCGTCTCGTGCGACGGCAAGCGTATTGTGGCTTTGCTGATATCAATTAAAGGTATTTGGCGGATGCCGATGGCCCGTGTCGAACGAGCCCTCGTGTATCGTCCGTTTCCACACGTGGTGCGTACTTCAAGCGACCGGGCTGTTCGCCTGCTGTCCCCTTGAAGGAATCAACGGCGAATGTTGTTGGGATAGCGACCGACGAAAAGTCTTGGCTCTGTGCCTCGGACGTATGAGCAATGACTGTGGTGGACTCTGCCCGAAAGCGCCTGTCGTTGAGGACAGATCGGCTGTGTACGAAGCTGGTGTCCGCGCGTTCTGCTCCCGGCAGCGGATCGACGCGGAACCGGGCAGCAGGTCTCAAGCTCGTCGGGAGCTGTATCGAGGAGCAGGTTGGAGCAGGCTGGCGCAGTCTCGGCAATCGCTCGTTCGATGGGTCTCGTTTTGTCGATTCGCCCGAGGCAATGCCAACGGAAGGGAAAGGAACGATGAGGCGCAAGCACAAGGAGTTGAATTGTTAATAGACAGGCCTCATTGAATATACTGGGCGGCCTGGAGAAGAAGATGACAGTGGTGGAAGGGGAGTCGGAGGGGAAAAGATGGAGCCGGCGTGGAGGAAACGGGTGTGGAGGGAAAGTAAGGTCGGTCCTGCTGCGTGAAAGGAGAGGTGGGAGAAAGGACGTCTGTCGAGATTATTCCCACAGGCAAGCTGGGCAAGCTGGATCCAGTCACGTCTGCCAAGCCAGGCCACTTGAGGCCAGCCAGGCACAGCCTGAGGGCAGGGCAGCAGCAAATGGGGTGGAGGGATGCACCTGTGTCTGGCTAGACAAATAACCCTGTCAGGAGTGGTGCCAATATTGAGCAGCAAGAGACTCGCACCTTTGCATAGGCGTATGACTGGAGTTAGGATGGAAGGAGGCTCCTAAGTTAATAAGATACCAACGCCAGCCACTTCCTGAATTGCACTCAGAGCTCTATGTTCTGTTCATGTACGGTACGGGGCCATGGCCGCTGAGTACCACCAACAGGCACCTGGCAGTTGTATGAGTGCTTCTTCGCCTGTTGCTTTACTCCTTTTTACCGTAACGATACATCTACTAAGTAAGTAGGCCGGTAATTATGATTAGAGCTTTCACACTCGTTCCCTACATACTACCGTACTCACTCGACAAAGTCGCTGGCGCTGGTGTGTCTGGCTAGACAATAACCCTGTTAGGAGTGGTGCCAATATTGAGTAAGAATTGTAGCCTGTGAGCGTTCAAAAGCCTGGGCTCTACAAGGCCGTCAAGAGATTCGCACCTCCGCATAGGCGTATATCCAGCATTACAGTAAACCAGGCGGCTAGATTTTGTTCACCAGCGCTACGTAGTAGCGACTTTGTCGAGTGAGTACGGTAATAATTAGTACTTGCATCACGTCGTCCCATATCATGGTGCGACACGTTCGTGGCCTAACGAAGATCGGCTGGCAGCATCCGGTGGGGCGCCCGGCCGGGGCTAGGTACGAATCCCTTCATCAACCAGCCCGTCATTCGACAAGAGTTCCAACCTGGCTGAAATAAATCAAGGCAAGACAGTGGATGAGTCGCCAGGTCAAGCGCCCCTAGACATATATTTAATCCGACTTCTTGCCAAAGAATGTACGAACTCGTTGTCGAGCCGCCGACGAAAGGTACGGTACCTTAAATAGGAGTCGAACCTCCAAGTCCCCCAATGAAGCTCCTGGGCACAACATGGGGTTCAGGGGCACACCATCCACTTCCTCCCTCCCTCACATCCCGCCCACCCAACCGACACGATAAAAAAAGACCTATGCGAACGCGTACCATTCGTAGTTCCCAACGCTTGCGCTTGACTTGGAAAACCCGTACGCGTCACCCTTTGCTTGCCGCGACTCGTAATACCCCCCCCCCCCCCCCCCCCCCCCATCGCGAGCCGAGAGCTTCACGTCTCGGCAAAAGTAAAGCGATTTGCCGTCACGTGTGGAGAGCCACTGCCCAAGCTTGATGCTCGAATCGCTGCGGACAAATGGCTTTCGAAACAAGCCCAACACACTCTTCTCTTCCCCTGCGCGTTGGCCACGATGCCAATCATTGCTAGCCATGAGGGATGGCAAGGATCTTGTCGCAGACATGCGTACCCCCTGATAACAATGTGAAACATGCCTGGGGGCCTCGCCCGCTCTGTTGAACTGTTCGACTGGGACATCACAAAATTCGGTCCATATTGTCTACGAACCTGCGGGAACGGGATGGGAGGTATATTAAATCACGTTCAAGATGTGAAGCAAACCGTTTCAACCACATTGACTCCTTTGTCTATTCCCTCTGTGTGGGCAGTCGCCCGGTATCGCCAGCCTCCGACCACAGAAGTCCATATGCAAGCAACAATTCTCGAAACAGATAATGCCTGCCAACCAAAGCATACACCAGCGCTTGCTCCTTTCAAGAAATTCGTCATCGCTTCCGTTTCGCTGAGATACGCTGCTCATGTCGCGCAACTCGTCCTCATGGCACTTCCCTACGTCAAGCCGAAACCCAGTAGGATAGATAACTTCAACGCCAACTGCACATCCGAGGCCACATTGCACGCATCCAGAACGGAATAAGGCTAGACCAGGCCAGTGAGGCTGGCGACGTATCTAACACCGGCTCGAACACAGGAACCAAAGGCGGCAGGCAAAAGTCGTCGAGAACAAAGTTCAAAAAGTGCCCAACCAGGTGCCTATTTCGGGTGCTTCTTGAAGGCCAGCAGATCAGCCAAGCTGTTCAAAGCACAGCCGTGCTTCAAAAAGTCATGCGCGAGGAGCTCGTCTGCCGACGCTCGGCTCTTGATGTCGACACACAGGCAGACAGAGAGGAAAGCCTTGAGCTCCTTGCTCAGCTTTTCTGGTTTCTTGAGCCTGGGCGTGCCATTGGTAGCAATCAGGTACAAGGCCTTGAGCGGCTCCTCGTTGAGGTACGGGGGCTCCGATTCGATCATCTCAATGGCCATAATGCCCAAGGACCAGATATCGACCTTGGGTCCATATTCTTTCTGTTTCACGACTTCAGGCGCCATCCAGTAAGGCGTACCGACCATGGTGGCTCGCTTGGACTTGGTTTCGGTCAGTTTCGCGCAGAAACCGAAATCAGCTGCCGTACGGTTAGTACAAAATCGATCCATAGGGAATGGCATGCTCACTGATTTTGACGTTGCCGCGAGCGTCGAGCAAGACATTATCGCTCTTGATATCTCGGTGAATAATGCTTTGGGAATGAAGGTGATGCAGCCCAGAGCAGGTCTATGGTCCTCTGGTTAGCATTTAAAGTCACACGGGTTAGCGGTTGCAACATACCTCATGGCAGATTGTCGAAATCTGATCCTCCGAGATGGAGGGATTGTTGTCAATGACATCGGTCAACGCACCACCCTCCATGTACTCCAAGACCAGCCACAGCTCCGCATTGTTGTTCCGCAGAAACACGTCAATGTAGTTGACAATGTTCCTGTGCCTGCTGTCCTTCATGACCATAATCTCGTTCACGATCAACTCCTTGCGGGGCTGGTGAGCGAGGTCCATCTGCTTGATAGCCACTTGGGCCCTGCTGCCCTGCTGGCGAAGAATTTCACGAGCCACGCCCTGGGCAGTGTCCTTGATCTTGGCGACGTAGACGGAGCCAGATGCACCCTGGCCAATCTTCTTCTGCTTGGAATATGACATGTTGGGGTCGTCTTTGGACACGGCTTCCTTGAGCTTGGCCATGACCTCGCTCTCGGACATGGTTGACATGCGGACGTCCTGCTTGCGCTCGCTCGGCGAAGGCTTCGCAGTCAACGCAGCTTCAGCAGCCTTGATGCCGTCGGCAGGTTGTTCCTTGTGACCATGAGCGTGACTGGGCTTCGGCGCCACGTTGAGTGGCTTGGGCGCGGCCGCTGGCACCCTCTGAGATGCCTGGGATTGCTGTTGAGATGGCTTGTACTGCGGAGCGCCATTCTGGTGGCGCGGGGCTCCTGGAGAGCCCGAGGGCTGATTGTCGTTGCGAGGTGCTCGGGGTGCCTCCCTGGGAGTTGAGCTGCCGGACTGCGGCTGCATCGGGGGCCGTTGGCCTCCCGAGGTCGAGGGCGCTGGTGGTGCAGGTCGCTGGGCGCGCAGGGAGCCTTGCTGTTGGGCCGATGGCTTAGGCGCTGGGGGAGCTGCTCTGGATGGGTTGAAACGCTCGTTCTGTGACGGGCTGGAACCTCCGTAGCCGCCTCCGACTTCCTGTTTGGCCATGGGCACCTTGTGTTTGGGCAGGGAGGCATTGTAAGCCTCCAGCTCTCGACGCTCCTGTTCTTCTGCTTCGCGACGCTTTTGCAGCTCAAGCTGCTTCCTCCGTTGCTCCTCACGCAGTGAATCTTGCGACCCGTGACCACCTTGCACTTGCTGCCGCTGTTGGTCCTGAGGGTATTGGTCAGGCCGTCGTTGACCATTTTGGCTCGATAGCGTCGGTGGTGTGTTGTAGCTCGGCTGACGCTGGGCGGCCCCAGGAGGCGGTGGCCGAGGGGGGGCAACTCCGCTGTTCCCTGGATAGCCGAGCTGTTTGTTGCCGAGCGAGGACGCGGGAGGCGTAGGTGTGAGGCTGGGATATTGGTTAGGGTTCTCTGCTCTCTTGGCCAAGTCCGTGGTGTAGAAGTCCAAGACTTCAAAGACCGCCTGGGGATTGCGCTCATAGTCCTCCTTGGTGATGGCAGATGAGTTCAACAGACGAGACCACTCAGGGGGCAAACCAATGAATTCACCCGTCGTAGCATCGAATCCAACATGAACGGCGTGGGAGAAGTTGGTGGGATTGCTGACGCCGCCCATCCCTGGGCAGGCGCCGTATATAAAGTCAATCCATTCGTACAGTTCGTCGTCGCCTTTGACCCGGATCTGTAGCGTTTTTGTTTGTCCGTCGTCTTCGCCTGGAGCTGTGGAGTTCCCGTCGGGCTTTCGTTTGACCTCGAAGATGGTGCCAGCCGACTCAGCCCGAGCGACATTGACCACATCTTTGAGCAGGATTGTGTATGCGACTTTGCCGTCCGGCTGCTTGTGGAAATCCAGAGACTCCTTGCGAAGGATCAAGTACTTGTTCTTCCACGTTTGTATGAAGCTCTTGCTTTCTTTGACAGACGCCCAGCCCTCCTTCTTCACCGCAACTCCGCCCATGCCGTCTGTACTGTTAGATTGCTGACGAGCGATCGGGAGGGACACGGTGGACCCAGTGTAGGTTGAGGTGGCCGTACTGCGGATGGGAGAGATGGCCATGTTGGCCATGCTTCCGGGGAGATTGGCATTTGGTGTCAGAGCGAGACGAGGACGATCCGATGGAGGCTTAGGCGCTGGGCCAGGGTTCATGAATTGACCCGTTGAGTACATGCTATGCCAAACATTAGCTAAAGGAGTCAAGGGTTCGCCTAGCGATATCGCGTTGCGACCTAGCGGTGGCAAGAGCAAGCTCGAAATTCTCCCGCAAAATGTACGTACTTGTCTTGAGACATTTCGCCAGAGATTGCAATGCTGAGGGTATCCCAAAAGAAATGCGACGATTACAGATGCGCCGCACCAACCAGGCGCGGTGAAAACAGAGAAAGCTATTGATGAAAAATCGTAGATCCAGGTCCCATGGAGTGGCTTCTGTCCGGCGAAGGGTAGTGTGGTCGCTGGCGAGAGAGCGTTGGAATCGAGCTCGACAGAAGCGCCCGAGCAAGCGATCGTGTGCGGAGCGGTGTTTCGAGGGGTATCCAAGTCGGCCCTGAGAATCACAAGTGAATGTGGCCGCTCTGGAAGCTTCGCTGGAGTAGCGATAGGCCGCCGATACTCGAGAGGTCCGAATTGTCGGCGGTGGTCGTGCAAAGGCCCCGGGCGAGGAGAGGTGGTGAACGCCTGATATCGGACACGTCCAAGGTCACCGTTGCCCCTGACTAATGGAAGGTCGCGGCTGCAAGCTGGCGCGATGCTGGCGCAGGAAAAGCTGCTCCAGCTAAGGTATTATGGTGGTAAGTTCAGAACAAGGACAGAACAAGGACAAGCAAACACCACGGGAGACGACTGGACGATGGGAAGGGGCGACAGATAGAGAGGGGTGAGGAGCAAGTACTGGAGGACGCTGCAGGAGTAGGTAATGAGGACAATCCAAGATCCAGGATGCCTTCGGTCAGGGATCTGTCTGGATCAGCGCCCACTCCAGGGGAAGCTGACTGGAGCCTGAGGTCCAGTCCGGTCCGGTCCTGTAGTGCGGGCAGCAGTGGATTGAAGGGCATGCAGCGGGCTCGGGACGCTTGGCGCCTAATTATTGATCGTTCTGCCATCCATCTCGGGCTATATTCAGGGCGGGCGGGGCCTCAGACTCTTGGAGCTCACTCTTCAGGAGGCGGCAGCGCACCTTGCTCAGCGCTGAGCACTTGGGCGCTTAACCAATGACGATTGTTGTGGTTTCTCCAGGTCATGAATACTTCTTTTGGTATCCATAGCTGCAGGGCGCTCTATTCCATTTCACTTGCTCTCCGAGTGTGAAAGATAGTCCACAATGGAGCTGCGTACACCTAGCACTGCGCAGCAGATGCCAGAGATCTACGTGTAAGACAGAATCCTAGTCTTACAACCATTGGTGCGAGCAGTATAGTGTTGACTTATTAAGTACTACTTGAGTATGTAAAGTAACAAGTACACCAGCTGGTGTCAAATTGTAGGCACATCACATATCTCAACTGCGCGTGCTACTGCGCCCAATCAGTTCCCCACCGCCAGTCGGCCACTGCCCAAGCCACTATGAGCCATGGTGGATCTCAGTGAACTTCAGGTGTCGCGAGCTCAGGCAGTCGGTGTTTCAATCCCCAAGGAAACACAAGTCATGCAATCGGAGCCATTCATGATAATACGAAGCAACTTCTCTACGTACAAGTATTCTGGTGCGGCCAGTCTGATCAGGAGCAGACCGTCCATTCCGAAGATTCAAATGAACTTCTGCATACGGCTTCTTGAGATGTCACGTAACTGCGTCAAGTACGCAAATCCTCAAGCATATTTAAGTAAGCGTGTTCATAGAAATACGAGCGATAAACGTCGAGTGTCGTCTTTCGCGACCACACGCCGATAACACTGACTTGATAGCGCTCAAACGATGTCTTTCCCCTTCTCAAAGCGGCACCAAGGCCTCGCCCTCCGCCATGTCCCATATGCACTAACAAGATTACCTGACAAATGGCATAGGAGTGGGCTGCAATTGCTGTCCCTCTGTTAACATGACGACTACGGGTGTGACGGCTCCCCCTCAGACCGTGCGCCTCAGTCATTGCGCGTTTCGTGTGACTTCGCCACCCGAAGCATCCATTCCCTTTACTACGTAGATTTCAGGTGCCCTTGCGCATTCCAATCATTCATCATCGCCAAACCATCTTCCTTGGCTTGATTTGACGTCTTCCTTCTCATTGTCCATCAGAACCATCGAATCTATCATCTTTCCAGCAACTTGCACATTCACATACAACAAAAACAGCGACTGTACGGCCAATACACACGCTGCCCGCCATGATTCTGCACCAAATACTCATGGCGGCCTCGGCTGCCGCCTTCCTCGTCGTTCCCGAGACCATCGATCACGGCGAGGAGGCCTTCAGCGCGCTCCCGTTCAACGCCGTCACCGGCGGCATTCCCGTCCACGCCATGAGCCAGATGGTGGATGTACCATGCCGCGGCTGCAAAGGCGACCAAACCCACCTCAGCATGGAGCTTGCCGTGGAGGACGGCACCCGGCTGACCATGAACGGCTTTGAGCTCTATCCCAGCACCGACCCGTGGCGCGGTGACCTGATGGCCGCGGTGGTTGAGGGTGAACAGGAGGAGGAGCAGAAGCTTGGCTATGCCTTGGCTGTCACCCCCATGGGGCGTGATGATGATCAAGCCCTGGAGGTCGTCAAGATCTCCTTGAACATCATCGAGGTCGGGTTCCAATTCATCGACGACATCCCCAAGATCAACATTATGCTCATCAAGGCCCGCAACAATGAGATCCTATTGGGCGATGTGCACATGGAGGAGCAGAGTCGACCTGCTTGCGAGAGCATGTTCTGCCAGGTCAAGCAGAGTATCGATAAGGCGTGGAAGGGTCTCAAGACTGGCTGCAGGAAGCACCACGGCCATCACGGCCACCACGGCAAGCCTCACGCCCAAGTCGATGGAGAGCATCCCCGTCCTGGACGCCATGGTCACCATGCCCACGCCCACAACTGGCTTGGTCTGATCAAGTTCGTTGCGATCGACATTGCACTCCCCGTCCTGACTTTAGTCGCTGTAGGCGTCGGTTTTGCACTGTGAGTTTATATTGGTTAACTACCTACGTTCACTGCTAACATCATTTAGTCTCTTCATCGGCTTTTGCGGCTTCATTGCGGTCATCACGAACTTCCGTCGGATCATCCGCAAGTCTCCTGACTCCAAGGCTCGCCCTACCGAACCGGCTGCCGAGGAAGAGAAGACTGGTCTCATGGAGGAGACCGAGGCCGACGACCAGGAGCCCCCGCCTCAGTACGAGGGCCGCCAAGGCCACATTCAGCTGTAATTCGTGTCGTGTGATCGTATGAGTGGTGACATCAGTGTTTCTAGGCGAGGGTCAACCCGCATCTCTTTTCCGTTTGCTGCGGTTCCAATCACCCAAGTCTGCGATTGCTGGGGATTCGTTTGTTTTGGTTTACCGCAAGAACCAGCGTTCACTCATGTCGGGCGTTTTGCTATGTTGCCTTAGTACACACACTCTCCCTGAAAATACCAGTTTTCTTTCTATGCGTAAAGCTTCTGTGCAAATAGCACGAGCATTCCAATCGCCCTGTGCCTTGACTACTAGATGAGAATGGCGCATCACAATGATCCAAGTACAGATTTACATTCGCTGAAGACATTCAAAATTTAAGAGCATGAAATACAAACGCTCCATCGCTGTGTACAGAAAAAGCCCCTACCATCGCCACAACTGACTTGGGATCCTTCTCAAGGCCCGAGGGAGCACTTCTGTCAGCGTTTCCCCTTCTTTTTCCCTTTCGCAGGCCCTTTCGCAGGCTTTGTCACAGGCTTTGTCACAGGCTTTGTCGCCCGGCTTGGCTTCTCTGGAGATGCAGGATTCTTCACGCTCGCCGGCTCTCTAATCCGAGGCCCAACCTTCTTCCTCTCGTCATTGAGTGCTTTCATGGCGGCGTTTGCGAGTTGGTACTTTGTCGTCCGCCTGGCCTTGCACTTGACGTGTGGGCTCCATCCGTCAAGCTCTGCCTCAAGTTGGAGCTTCTGTTCCATGTGGACAGAAATAGCATGGGCAAACGTAATGTTATCAAAGTCGTACTACTCCCTCAACTTGCGCCACTTGGGACGGCAGCGTGCCATCTCTTCCTTGGAGTATCCCAGAATGTATACACCTACGCCTCCGGCTTGTGCGAAATCACGCAGCCGCAATTGCCACATCTCCACTCTCCGGCGGATGAGCTCGTTCTCCTTTGTGAATGTGTCCAACCACCTTTCATGTCGGTCTGCGAAGGCCTCCAAGGCATGGTCAACATCCCTTGTGAGCAGCGATACCACGACAGCATACTTGTAATTTCTCCACAGACGGAGGGTAACGCCATCTGAGTCTACTGAGGCAAGATACCCTAGCATGATGTTTATATCGTCGACCTTGAAGGGGAACTGTTTCTTCATCTCCAGGAGCGCCTCTCTGTAACCAGGCACAGCTTCTCTCCACGGGTTCATCTGCCAGAAAGCGTTGGAAGCGAGTCTCGCCATCCGCCGAACTGTCGGGTGCCATAAATCGAGACCGTCCGGGATGGGGCGTTTGCGGCTTTCCTCTGTGGGCAAGCCCAACGTAAGCTCGAAGCCAGCAGAGTCTGTCTTGCCAATACGTATTGTTAACCCTGAGAGCAATACTTGGTCGCCCGGGGAAAGCCCTGCGTCAAAGTTTTCGTTGTTGAAGCACGAGTAGACGAGCGGTTCATAAAGGCTTAACAGCACTGAGCATTGCGTGTGAGTCATCTTGCTTATCTCCCCATGGACATGATGCAGGGGGAACGCCCTCAATGTGACGGGGTCTGTTCTGAGGTTGATTCCAGAATCTGGGAGGTTGTCCAGCCATATAATGGTCTTGGTCAACATTTTCGCGGCAAACACGTGTTGCGTCGTGAAGCGGATCTGGCAAGCCACAGTGCACCATCGTGCACCTTGTCTCTGGGGCCGTTGATGACATCCAAAACAATCGACAAGCTCATTGCGGCGTACGCAGTCGGTGTGGAAGAGACTCTGTCGTAGGCAATGAAGGAGCGCATTCTTTTGGCTTGGCGGCAGCGATTGCACTAGCTTCCAGAGTCGGGGTTCAAATCGATATGTGAAGAGGCAACGGTCCAGCACGGCGCCTGGTGTGGAAGACGCAAATAATTGAGTCTCTGGCATCCAACTGGAGTCGTCCCCGAGTGTAGCAAACAGGTCGGCGCCAGGTGTGTGAGCGCTGGTCCTCAGCTTCTCTCGCAGTCGTGCAAGCATTTCAGCCGCCGGACTGCGTGGTGGCGCCATTGTGACTCCTGGGCGAGATGTTGATATCAAGAATAAAGGGGGAAACATATAATGCGCTAAAGGACGTGGATGGAGGAATGGTCCGAGTGGAAGGGGGAGTGATGGCGGATAACAAGAATAGGTAGACTGTGAGAAGACGGAGCTCGCCATCAGCCGGCTACCTTACCAAGGAAGTGGTGATACGATACCTTACCTTCGAAGTAAGGTAAGAGGTAAGGTAAGGTACCTACCTTACCTCCTGTCATGGTGGCTGGAGATCCTTCCTAGTACGTGGTGACAGAAGGGCACAAGGGCTAAAGGCACATACTCGCACACGCTCGGAAGCAGCCGGTGGCACGTTCGTGATAGCCAGAGGTAGCTGCACCTTGGGTCATACAAAGGATAGATTCGCGTCAGTATGCGCTCGAATATCAGGGCGTCGGTCGCACAATGATTGTTATCGGGCTGCTGTACACTATTTCTATGGCTTCAGATTCATTGGACTATGCCAGGTCTTGGATACCGGGCCCTGTGCCCATGCCGCTAAATATGCATACATGATCCGTTCCTCTTTCTACTTCTCCCTCACAGCAACGTCAACCTCCTGACCCTCGAATGCGGGAAGCTCCTTCTGGATATCCGCCCAGGTCTTGCTCGAGTCCACCAGCGACTTGATGGCCTCGACGATCTTGTCTTCCTCAGCGCGCACCTGGCTCGTCGAGTCACGGTCACGCAGAGTGAACGTGTTGTCTTGGAGGGTCTGGAAATCAATGGTGATGCCCAGGGGGGTGCCAAGCTCGTCGTTACGGCTGTAACGCTTGCCAATGCTTGCTGACGAGTCGTCCACACGGCTGGAGATGCCGATGCTGCGCAGGCGTTGCGAGAGCTTCTTCAGATGAGGCTTGAACGACTGGTTAGACGACAAAGGCACAATCAGAACCTTTGTGGGAGCAACCGGGGGTGGGAAAGACAAGACCTAGTATCATATTAGCACAGTTCCTTCCACAATGTCTTGTAGGCCAAGACTTACACCACGGGCCTCGTCGGTACCCTCGCTGCCACGGGTCCAGAAGTTGTGCTCAATAAGCGCATACAGAATGCGACCAATACCGAAAGATGGCTCGATGACGTTGGGAGTAAACTCGCGAGTGTGCTCCACGCGCTTGCGGAACTCAATCCGAATGGCATCGCTAGGAATCTCCGCCTTGCCGTCGCCGTAGCCTTCCACCGTGATGGTGGCCTTGCCATTGTCCTTCAACTCCTTGGCAAGCTTCTCACGGTCCTCCTGCGAAGACGCCATGAGGGCGGCTTCGACGGTCTTTGCGTCCTTCTTGAACAGAGGGCCAAACTTCTTCTTCTCGACGTCAACCTCCCACTCCTCAATGGTAATAGGCTCATCCAAACGAGACCGTACAACAAGAGCAGCGCCGGTCTTCTTCGCGTGGACATTCAAGTCGTATGCGCTGCGGTCGGCACAACCAACACACTCGATCCAGCCGGACGAGGTCAACAGCTCAGCATCCCAGCAGTCCACAGCGTAGTGAGCCATCTCATTCTGCATGTGCTGACGGAAACGCAGCTTTGACTGGTCGACACCAATCTTTGCGAGGAAAAGATGAATACGGGCGAGGAAGTAGCCCAGAGTCTCGTTGTCGACGAGGCCGGACTTGACAGCCTCACCAACAGCCACCTTCCTCGTCTCTGTCTTTCCAGCCAGCTGGGTCTCGCGGTCGAGGAAGACGAGCTCGACGTCCGCCACGTCAGGGAAACGGTGGTGTTTCTTGCCGCCCTGAGGGTCGACAAAATGCTCAATCTCAGCCATCAAGAACTCGCGCACGCGCAGAAGACCGGCACGGGGCGAAATCTCGTTACGGTACGATTTGCCAATGGATGCAGAGGCAAAGGGCATACCACCCTGGTTAAACTCGAGCAGCTTGGCAAAGTTGAGGAACTGACCCTGAGCAGTCTCGGGGCGCAGGTAGCCGGGCGAGTTGCTGCTTGGGCCGATGGTAGTCTGGAACATCAGGTTGAAGGAGACGGGATCCGAGGGCAGCTCGCCCGTTTCGGGATTCCGCAAGTCGTACTTCTTGATCAGCTCACCGAGCTCGGGACCGCCATAGTTGTCGATCCTGGCAAGAACCTCCTCGTACTCCTTCACAAGTGCGTCGTCCAACTTGATGGCCTCCGACTTGGCCTTCTTCTTCTTCTTCTTGGGGTCGTCCTTCTCTTCCACCTTGAGGCCACGGGCCTCCTTGTCACCCTTGAGCCTCGCCTCCAGGACAGCCTCGACAAAGTGGTCGGCTCTCAGGATCTCGCCGTTTTTGGGGTCCTTGCACATCCAGTCGGCGAACTTGTCCACATGGCCAGAGGTCTTGAGAACTTCGTGAGGGGTCAACACAGTGCAGTCCACCTCAAGCATGTCTTCCTCGAGGATGAAGTGCTTGCGCCAGATGTCTGTGATGTTGGTGAGGAGAGAGCAGCCTGGGGGGCCGAAGTCGTAGAGACCACCGACGCCACCATAAATCTCAAAGGAGGGAGTGTAGAACATGCGCCGCCTCAACATGGCGTCAAGGACGGCCTTGTCGAGAGGCTGGCCCTTCAATGTGGTTGCAGACATGTTGGCTTGCTTGACGTCTTTCCGTCTGTTGACTTGTATCCGTGAGAGGTGTCTCGTCGAGGAAAGGTGTCGGCGGCACGCGTTTGTCGATGTCGATGTCGACGAGGGCAGCGAGTGGAATGCACGGGGGGCTGTTGCTGAAGGTCGTTGACGTGTCAGGAACGCGAGACAGGGACCGGTCAGTCGTCGAGGCGGCGTCATCCACTGGAATACGATCTTGACGAGGAAGTGCGCGTGAGTCACGAAAACTCGAAGCGCAGCGATTCCTCTGGAGGTGTCCAACAAGTGGGGGAGGGGTACCAGTTGCGGTGCTGGCAATCGTCGGGACGACCCTAATTGCTGGATCTTTCGTGATTGGGCTACGTACTGGTGGCTCGCGTGCAGCTGCTCCAGTCCTTCCTTCCAGGAAACGGCCGAAGCTGTTACGGAGCCGGAGCAAGCTTCTTCCGAGAAGCTTTTCCGGCCCGCAGAGTTTTACCCCTCTACCCCTCCAGATCTACGTACTACTGGCTACCCCTGGGCAGGCTTGAGGGTGTGAAATACCCCTCATTAGCACGCCTTGGGGGCCAAATCGAGCCTGAATGTTCATGAGCCCTGCCGGTTGCAACGTGAGCGTGGTAACTCGTCAAGAATTGGCCAGCCGAGTTGAATGAGGAGAACATTGATCACTGTAGCAGCAGGAGAAGCCGTGAAAGTTGCTTGAGAGTAAATCATTCTTAGATTCAATTGGGTTGAAGCCTTGAGAAATCCTTCATGTGAAAAAGTACTGTACTTGATCATTGTGTGTAACTTTTGTGGAAGCATGACACACTTGCGTAGCCGTGTCCAAAAATCAGTATGAAAAAATAAACCAGCAAATCCATACTCCAAACACCGGGGAAGAGGGCAACTTTTTGGAGTCCCATCTCACTTTATGCAAATGCATCGCTGCGCTGATGAAATCAATCAAGCTCCAGGGGTCTGGAGGGGTGTCTGCCCAGGGGTAATGGCAGGTGTCTGCGCAGGTGTCTGCACAGGCGTTGGTGGCCTGCTATCCTTGCGGAAGAAGACGACGTGTTGCCTGTTTGCAACGTACTCGCTGTCGGCATAGCCGAGAACCTCCTCGATGTCATGACTCTGGTGACCCATGATACGGGTGATCTCAGCGGAGGCATAGTTGACAATGGCACGGCCAACCTCTTCCTCAAGCTCGCCGCGCATCTTGCCGTCAGGTCCGGGTGTAGGCAATCTGTTGACCACCACAATGCGGACTGGCTCATGGGATGCAAAGTTGCCCTCAACATCGACGACACCAACGGGGAGGAGACCAGCCTTATTGACCAAGGCGCGGTGGGCGCCCTGGTCAATGTAGATGGTGCCATGGGGGTTGAGCGTGTGCAGCAGCCAGAAGTGACGATCGCGGATGGGCTCTGAAGAGGGAAGGAAGCGTGTGTGGAGGGGCGGCCCGTCAGATGGGCCGGAAGGTGCCATCAGGTTCAGGGACGTAGAGCTAGCGATGAGAGAGAGCTCTTCCACCTCATCGTCTGGCGTGCCGGCTCGCGACTGGAGGGTAAGGTAGTTGACAATGTTGAGAATGTTGCCGGGGTTGGAGGATCTGGTAATGATGACAGTAACACCGGCCGACGTTCCGAGCCTGGCGGCGATGAGCTTGGTGCCCATACCACCAGTGCCTACTGACGAGCCAGCACTGGACACATCGGCGACGATCTCGCTAATGTCCTCGACAACCTCAATGGGCTTGGCGTCAGGGTTCGAGCGAGGATTCTTGTCATAGAGACAGTCGACATCAGTCATGAGGAAGAGGTGGTCGGCGTGAATCATCGCCGCGGTGATGGCCGACAGGGTGTCGTTGTCACCGAACTTGATTTCAGACACAGCCAGAGTGTCGTTCTCGTTGACAATGGGAATGACGCCCATGTCGAGAAGCGAGTTGAAGGTGTTCTGAGCATTGAGATACCTCGTACGCTATGGATTGTGTTAGTGTGTCCAAGTCATTACGGGATAACAAGGCACGTACGTCGGCGATATCATTCTTAGTCAGAAGAATCTGAGCAATTGGCTGCTCTAGATGTTGGAAGAGACCATCCCACAGGCTCATTAGACGACATTGTCCAATGGCGGCTAGGGCCTGGTCGCGTGTTAGTCTTCGTCCATGTGGCAATTGGGATGAGGCATGATCATGCTTACCTGAAGTTGGGAGAGATGCTTCGGCCTGTGGTCGACGTCCATACGACGCAAGCCGACGCCAATGGCACCCGAGGACACCAGTACGACTCGGTGTCCGCTCTTGCGGAGCTTGACTGCCGTGTCGACAATCAAGGTCAAGATGGGCAGTAGGGGCTCATGTGTCTTTTCGTCCACAATAGAGCTTGTGCCTGGCAAGTATGAGAGTCGTGCCTTTTAGTGGAGAGGTGTGGAATAACATACCAAGCTTGATGACTACAGTCATCGCATGAGGGGACCTTTTCGTCATGGCTGTGGAGGTAAAGGAGGTATCGTCAGTGTAAGTGAGGACAGGAGGAGAAACAGAGTGGACGTGATATGGATGCTGAAGCTAAAGCATAACAGGCATGGAAGCAGATGAGTTGAAGATGGGAGAAGAAACGAAGAACGAAGCAAACAAGACAACAACGGGGCGCGGCGAGTATAAGTAAAAACTGTCGAGAGGGCCGTCACTGACGACTCCCAGGTCGGATCTCCTGACGTTCATTGAAGCGTTGCAAGGTACATGAGTACATGACCCTCGACTGTGGATGAAAGTGGAGTGGAACCCTGACATATGCTTTGCAGCTGAAGGCTCTGCAGGTGCACTGGCACCAGGGTTCTCAGGCTGAGGGCGACCCCTAGGTCTCTTCCCGAGGGTTCATGGTGTGGACTCACCATCCATCTCATTCGTCATCAAGCACGCCAAGCAGTGGCGCGGTATTAACCTGGTTCGTGAATTGAGCCTGCGGCGGTACTGTCTCGCTTGTGGGACTCTTGGCCAGAGGAGAATATGTATGCGAGCGGGTGCAATTCTGGGGGAGAAGGGGTATGGTTCGCGGGTTGCTGTCGATGCGAGGTGAAAACTTGCATGGGATGTCTGACGTTGCGTCCGAGGCTCTTGTGCCCATGGCCGCTGTTGGCGCTGCGACGCTGTTTGGCTGCTGGGTGCGGCGTAGCGCGGGCTGATGCTGAGGGCTCCACTCTCGACCTCCGCAACTAGTCTTGACGTAGCGTGCGGTTTAAACATTCTCTAGGCGACGTGGGCACTGTAGCCAGGCTGGGCCAGGCTGTAGCCTGCCTAGAGGCAGGTAGCCGTGCATAATGCGCGACGACTGGAAAAGATGAAAGGTACATGCCTTGCGCTGCACTGTACGGTACCACACTGTACGAGCTCATCCACTGGCCAGAATCCGTTCCGCCCGGCAGGTGCAAAGGCGCGCCCTGAATGGTCGCTCTGGGGACCCCAGCGTCATTGCTCACCAGCGGGCCCGCTCTTCCTGCGCATTACTCGGCGTTGGTTCGCTCACCGCCCAGCATGATGCGCGCCACGCATGGGGCTGCCCACGGACATCGTCCTGGCAGAATTTTTGACTTCACCTGGATGCTCAGCGAAACTGTACCCGTGTCGACATTTGCGGTCGAGCCGGACACGACCGCTCCCGGAAGCACGAAAAACTCGTCAATTTCGCGCCCATTTTGCGTTTCAGCGCCCTAGCCGTCCGTCTGTCCGATTCCAGCCACCCCTCGTCGCATGTGACGAAGCGATTGGGTCCGCAGAGCGTCCGTCCCCGACATTCACACAGACGCGCAGACCACACAGAGTCGACTCCGTCCACGCCCGCGCCTCTCGTCAGCCGTAGATTTCCCTTTCATCAGCCTGCAGGCTCGGCATTCACGCCATCTCCAGGGTCTTGCCAAGTTGCCCCTCCGACTGGAGACCCTTCCACGATCCTTTCTGCCGCTATTCCGTCCTTGGGCAGCCCGAGGGTCCATCGCATCGTCAACAAGCTTGGCTCGCTCCATTTCCCAAGATACTACTACGTACTAGTACCGCACAACAGACTATCGACGAGAATACGCTTGGTGACGACAACAGCGACATCCCACCTCCTACCTACCCTTAGTCTTCTGCATAGCCCTGCATATCGCCTCCCGGCCCAAATCACCAGCATGGGGACCACCGAACCGTCGTCATCCTCCTCATCATCGTCACCGTCCTCATCGACGTCAACACCACCCGCCACAATTCCTACCGGCCAAAATGTCAACGTCTCCACCCCCGCAAGCTCGTCTTCCCCAGGTTCTGCGCCAAGCGAGATGGTCAACGACCCTGCCCGAACGGGGTTTGACCCGCAGATGAAGTGGTGGATGAACTACTTTAATGTCCTCACAGGCAAGATGACCAAGGAGGGCATGTTTCATTTCCGCGAGTCGCGGTACAAAGTGCACGAGGAGAGAGACTGCAAGCGGTGCGATGAGTATCGTGACTGGCTGTTCAACTATTCTCCCATCATCCGTTTCTTGTCCGAGAAGACGGGTGATCTCAATGGACGACTTGACAAGAGCAATGTCGTCTGTAGAAGATGCCCTGCTAGACTAGACGAGGACGGGAATGTGCACAGGCAGTCGGGCGGCTTCAGCCCTGACCATGGCATCTTGCTTTGTGCCAACGAGGTGAGAGACCGCAAGCATCTGGAGGACACGCTGGCCCATGAGATGATCCACGCGTGGGATCACCTGCGCTGGAAAGTCGACTGGGTCGGTGACAAGGACCTGAAGCACGCGGCTTGCACAGAGGTAACTTGCCTTGAATGACATCAAACTATAGTGGCGGTATGCTAACAAGTTGGCAGATCCGAGCTTCCATGCTCAGCGGCGAGTGTCGCTGGACAAAGGAATTCTTCACCCGGGGACAGTGGGGCGTCACACAGCAATTCCAAGACTGTGTGAGGCGCAGAGCTGTTCAGTCTGTCATGGCCAGACCTCGTTGTAAGGATGAGGAACATGCCACCAAGGTCATTAACTCGGTGTGGGATTCTTGCTTCGCCGACACCCGTCCGTTTGATGATGTATATAGATAGCGAACGGTCCGATGTATATGTATCATGTAACATGTCGTTAGCGAGCTCCTGTTGTTGCTGTTGGCATCTCCATTCTGGCTGAAATTCAAAGATACCCATGATTCCACACTCTCCTAGACTATGGTTTGAAGGTCTTCATTCGCTTTGTTGATCAATGACTATCAAGTTCATAACGCCGCATCCTATGCTAACTCCCATCATGTGTCCATCCTGTCTTGTTACCGTTGAACGCCAATTTCATCCCTATGCTTTGATCGACTGAGTACCAGTACACAACGCTTCTTCCTGTCTTTACGCTACAACATCACCTCCTGCTGCCCCGGCTGCTGTCGCAGTGCTTTGTAATCCACGGGTGCTTCTGAACTTGATCCAGTGGAAGACGCTTCGAGGGGTCCAACACGAGAAGCTGATCAGTCAGTACGGGAGCTTTCGTAAAAGGATTGGCATGCAGGAAGACTTACCTTCTTGATCAAATCCGTAGCCTCGGGGCTCACGAACTTTGGCACCGTCATCTCGGCCCTTGCGATTCTCCTCTGGGTCATGACAGGCGTATCCTCGAATGGCGCCTCGCCGACGAGGAATTCGTACGTCAGCACACCTAGACTCCAGAGATCGATCTTCTCGTCGTAGTAGTTATCTGAGCTGCCTGGCCTCACCATCTCGGGGGGCAGGTAGTCCAGTGTTCCGCACATGGTCTTGCGGCGGCTGTTGGGTGCATGCACGCTCCATCCAAAGTCAGAGATCTTGATCTCGCCGTGGATGCCCACCAGGATATTCTCAGGCTTGATATCACGGTGAATGACGTGCTTCCTGTGAAGGTAATGGAGGGCAGAAGCCATCTGGGAAATGTACTGCGCACCCTTCCACTCAGGGAACCGATGCTCCTTGCGCAGGTGCTTGTAGAGCTCGCCCTTGGCGGCGTATTCGAGGATCAGGAAGATGCGCTTGCTGTCGTGGAAGTGGCCGTACAGCTTGAGGATGTTGGGGTGGCGCAGGTTACTCTGGATCTCAATCTCGCGGCGAACCTGCTTCTCGACACCGCCACCGGCCTGGAGCTCGTTCTTGTGCAGCACCTTGAGACCGCAGATGTAGCCGCTCGATCGTTCCCTGGCGAGATAGACGCGTCCAAACTTCCCCTTGCCGAGAGGACGGCCAATCTCGAACATGCCGAGGTGCCATTGCTTGATGGTGGGCTGGTCCACGAGCTGGGGGTTGCGCTGCAGCTGCTGCTCGTCGATTTCGGCCGAGGGACGGGAGCTGCTGGGGAGTGCCTTGCGTGCGGGGGGTGGTGACGCTGGGACTGTGGATTTTGTGCGCTGGATGGCGGCTTGGGAGGGTAGGGTAACCGAGGCGCTGGACGAGGGTTGTAGGGCGACTTTGAAGAGAGGCTGACGCGCTGTTTGAGCAGAAGCCTTCTTGTAATCAGTACAGATTACGCGAAAATGAAGAAGTATAGCGTACCTTGCTCTTAGAGGGGACCTTGGGAGCATCGAGCTGGTCATAGTCGTCGGAGACGGTGAGCGTCTCGAGACGAGCTTCTAAGGTCTGGCTGGCCATTGTTGCGGCAGTCGGTTCTCGAGTCACTGTAGTGAATTGAAACGACTCTGGAGGAAGAGAAAGAATGTTGAACCTAGTCGAGTGAAAGGTTGCAGGTCGTGCTCGTGGTATGATGTTCAAGTATTGAATCCCCCAGTGCGCTAGTGCGGGCGGCTTGTTTAGACTGCAAGGGGGAGATGTTCCCCTGGTAACGGCTGGTGGTGAGCCACCATGTGTCTGGTGGCTGAGTCAAGGTCACTTCCGAGTCGTGGCTGAGGTGGGGGTCTATACTCGGTGTGCTCGGTGAGCGGCGGGGCCGTCGTTGCACAGGGTCACTACTAGCTGGAGTTGGAGCTCCCCACTACAAACTCATCATGCGAACTTGTCTGCCATTGTAAAGCACGAGACAGTACGGAATAAGAGAAGACCTTTCATTTTGTGGACTGATTCATTTAACTCGGGCGCAGCTCCAGTTTCAATCAGTCCGCTGGCTGGCGTGCTCTGAGCTACCCTACAAGAATCAGCCCAGACTCAGTCACCAGTACTCACAGACATCAAGATGGCATCTTCCGACACGTCCAGTCGGCTTCATCAAGCCCCTCGAATGAATCATATTTCCTCGCCCAATGAACCTTTCCCTTCGCCTCAGGCCCTCTCCGCAGCCACATCATCTCACACCCAGGGGAGCTTCACGATATCCACACGCAAGCTGCCTATCTCAAAATCCGGACCTATAGACGCCATGACAGAGCGTCTCGGTATTCCCATCCCGGAGATGATCTTTGGCGACAACATGGTCTCCATTGCGCACAAGAATGGGTGGTGTCTAGGTTTCGACGCCGAGGGGGCGCTCGATGCCGTGGACAAGACGGGAGGCAACATGCTCAAGGTAGCCTACGCCCGCGACTGGGAGAGCACGCGCGAGGGGACGACACAGAAGATCAAGGAGGTCGTCAAGCCGTACGACTGGTCGTACTCGACGACGTACGGCGGGTCGCTCCAGCCGGGGAGTGCCCCCTTTACGCCCACCGACAAGACCATTCCGATTGAGCTTCTCAAGAGGCGCGATCCGATATTGTTCTTTGACGAGGTGGTCCTGTACGAGAGCGAGCTCGACGACAATGGTATTTCTGTGTACAGCGCCAAGCTCCGAGTCATGGAGAAGAGGATGTTGCTGCTCTGTCGCCTGTTTATGCGCTTGGACAATGTGCTTGTGCGCATCCGAGACACGAGAGTGTACGTGGACTTTGACATGCAGGAGGTGATCAGAGAATACACAGCGAAAGAATCGCCCTTTGAAGATGTGAAGAGAGTATGTATCCTGCGGTTCCGCTTTGGTACCAGCATCCCAATGCTAACGTGTGCAGGGCTTGATGATGTCCGGCCGCTTGCCAGATGACGTGACTATTGGGCTACGAGATCCGAATGTACTGGACCCCTTGCTCAAAGTCGTCGAGCACCGTACAGAGGCAGTGGATCTATCTTCCTGATCTGGTTCTGGGCCGAGTGGGGGACTCCCGTGCCTTCACTAGTGTAGGTTGAATTGCATCAATGTTCAAAGAGATCATATTCATGGACACCGTACAATCGGAGACTATCGCTCCAAACCACCCAAAAGGTATAAACAGAAGCTCCACGCACCGCCAACTCCTCATGTTCCCGCGTGAATCTTCCAGCCAGCTACCGCGCCTCCAGCTCCGCAGCGTCCTCCTCGTCGGCACTCTCAAACTCCATCTGCCATTGATCCACGCGCTGGAACTTGGCCGCGGCAGCTTTGAGCTCCGGGTATTCCCTGACCTGATCGTCCCCATCAAATGTCTCATCCGGCACCGGATCATATCTGCTCTCGTCCACCTCTTCGTTCTCATTCTCCTTGTCCGACTCCACGTCACGCCGAGAATATGTCTTGGTCTGTCTGCGTGATGTCCCCCGTTTGCGGCTGCCACCTTTTGACTTGTTCCTGGCGTTTGTGTTGCGAGAGGCCGATCGGGCTGTTGATCGATTCTGCATTCTTCGCGAATCGACAAACGAGAGCTCATCCTCACCGTGCCTGATGCCTGTGGTGTCATACTCGTCGTTGTCCTCGTCCTCTGCGAGTCTTTGTTGCCTTCTCTTGGGCATGAGATTCGCCAGATCGGCTGTGGTCAAGGGTGGAGGCGAGCGCCTCGTCCTTGACCGTCCCCGCGCTGCCCTGGGCTGATGGTTTGGCGAGTGAGTCAGGGATGGGGGGGACGACACGTTCGACAGATCGTCGTCTGCGTTGGCCTGGCGCGCGCGGCGCTTAGCCAGGTCGTGGATGTCGGGCCACAGCTCGTCGGAGACTTCAGAGGCGCTAGACAAGGGAGGCGCGGCGTAGTTTTGATCGGGCGTGGCAGGACGGGCGAAGAGGCGCGCGGGGAGAGTGGTCGGTGAAGGTAGTTCTGAGAGGGACGAGTCGGTGTCAGGGTCGGAGTCGGCGTCGCTCTCAACTGTCATGACGGGTGCGGCTCGAGCCTCAGACTCGAGCTCTGGCTCATCTTCTGACTCCGACGAGGACTCCGCGGCCGCAACCATCCGGGCCGCCTCTAGCACATCGATTCCAGGGGCGGGTGCCGGAGAAGACTGCGTGCGGGGAATGACCTCTTCCTCTTCGACGTCCATCTGCCGTGTGGGCTCCTCGGTGCGTGACATCTTCTCAGGACGATCGCTACCACCGACCGCCTCATCACCCTTACTCTTCCTCTTTCTCGATCTGACAGAAGCCTTGCTCAAGTCAGGCAGCTCCGGGGACGGCTCCTTGTCCTGCCGCAGAGAAGCCCTCGTCCTCCGCCTATGGCTGATGGGCGTGCTCTCCGCTTCTGGCTCCTCGAATCCCTCCAGTTCCAGTGTCAATCCTAGGTCCTCCTCCTCGTCGCTCTCCTCCTGGCCGCGCGCAAAGGTAGAGGTGGTATTGGAGGCTGTGGTACCCGTAGTATCACCAACCGCCTTCCTGCTTGTGCCCAGAATACTCGGTTCCCTGGGTCGTCGTTTGAAATTGCCAAAGTTCAACGTCGAGCTCATGAGCGGCGTCGCGCCACCGCGGCTGCTTGGCCGGATGGGAGGGTCGTTTCTCCCAATGATGCTGGAGGCGCGTGAGCGGGGCTTGATGACTGAGCTGCCGCCTATTCCTGCCGCCAGAGAGGAGTGATCCAGATCGCGCGGCAGATCAAAGGACTCGTCCAGGTCCCCAAACATGGAGTCGCCCAGATCGAGGCCTGTGGTGTCGCGTCGCGATGGGGTCGTCGCACGGCGGCCGACCTCGATGGACGTGTCATGTTCGGTGGATGTAGGATCTTCCGTCGCCAGCGCGTAGAGGGCCTGGTCGCGCGTCTTCTCAGCGGCCTGCATCGTGCTGGTGCTTCTGCGTGTGGCGCGGGATCGTCCTCGTGGTTCTTCGTCGTCTGGGGCCGCGACGGGCTGGCGCGTTCGCTTGGGGCGAGGCATTGTCGCCACTCGCGCGCAGAGAGTCTGCGTGAGGTGAACTGAAAATGTGGTTGCAAGTTTTTCTAAAGCTTTTCCCGTAGATCGAGACTCGATCGATATATGAATGCTTGCTGGTGAAGATGTGGGCGGTATTAATTCTTAGAGGAGGGTGGTGCATGACGGGGGGGAAACAACTATATGATCCGACGCGTCGAGACGCGATGGACGCGCCCCACCTCAAAACACTGGACTGGACTAGGTATGTATTGGGCTTCCCAGCATCAACACTTCTCCTTTATATCACAACATCCCTCTGATAACCTAAATTTCATTGGATTTGGACAGAATAGTTTATACATGATGAGAATGTCTATGCCAGAACGCCTCTGAGATATGTGTGTCCTGAAACGCTGCCCACCAACAACGCCAGCCATGCTGCCACTCTATCCATACAGTATTGTACACGCCAAATTGATTACCTTACAGTCTGAACCATGGTGATACCGCAAGATCAGATTAGGGCCTGTCCCATGAACATACTCCTCTTAACCTCGGCGATCACGTCCTTGCGGTCATCGTTGCCCGCCAGGACAATACCCCTTCCTCGCCTGCCCATCCTACCCGCCCTGCCCAGGCGATGGATAAAGTCAATCGACGTGTGCGGCACATCGTACAGGATCACATGCCGGACGGCGAGCGTATCGATACCCCTTGAGGCCAGGTCCGTCACCACCAGCGCCTTGACGTTGGGCAGCTTCATGGCGCTCGGCTTGGTCGGCGCCGGGATGGTGAGGGCCTCGTTGCTCGTAAACGTCTCCAGGATCTCGCCGTGCCGCGTCTCAGGCGTGTCCCTGTGCAGCGCCTCGGCCTGAATGTTCTTGCTCCGCAGGTACTTGGCCACCTCCTCCGTCTTCTCCCGCTCGTTGACAAAGACGATGACGCGGCGGACGTCAATCTCGCTCTTGTTCAGACCCTCGTGCTGCGCCGCCTCGCGGCCAATGGTGAAGAGCGCCTCGGCGCAGGCGACGTCCTTATTGTTGTGGTACGGCGGCTTGCTGACGTCCATGACACCCAGCTGCACGCGGCGTGGGATGGCGTGCAGATTGGGCGTCGTGATGCGGTGCATCTTGGGGTAGTTGGTCGCCAGGTAGTTGTTGAGCTTGCGCGGGATGGTGGCCGACACGCAGATCAGCTGCTTCAGCGAGGGGCTGGCGCGCTCGATGATGCTGGTCGTGACCGGGGAGAAGCTTCGGTCGAGGAGAGAGTCGGCCTCGTCAATGATCAAGTGGTTCACCCTGGACAAGACGTTGGGGTCCGAGTCGGCGATGGAGGCGAGGAGGTGGGGTGTTGCGATGATCATGTCCACGCCCTTGGCCCCGTACACGTTGCGCTGGATCTGCTGGGGCTTGAGGTCCGAGGATATCATCTCCGCCTTGTACTTGATGACGTGCGACAAGGACTTGGACACTCGGAGCACCTGCTGCGCAAGCTCAGACGTCGGCACCAGCACAATCACCTTGGGTCTCGCCATGGTAGGGTGTGGCTCGTCAAAGGGCCTCGCCTTGCGCTTGACCTGGCCAGCCGCCTGGAGTTCCATCTCCGTCCTGCGTCGCTCCTCCCAGGCCTTGACATCCTCATCCATGGCCTCCGTCTTCTTCATCGCGTTGATCGCCGGTAGCAGGTACGCCAGCGTCTTGCCCGACCCCGTCTCGGCGGCAAGCAGGTAGGAATCAGGGCCCGACTCGCTGCCGGAAGCCGACTTTGTCTTGGTGTCCTGTCCCAGGAGTGCTGGCAGCGCGAGTCGCTGTACAGGCGTCGGCTTCAGATCCGTCATGCCCCTGAATACCTCCCCCATCAACGCCTCCTTCACCACCGGCAAGAGGTCAAACTGATCAAAGTCCTCATACCCAGCCATCTTGTCCTTGATGACCTGGCGCTTCGTATGTGGGACGCCGGCCAGTATCCGCTGCATCTTCATCGCCTTGCGGTCGTCCTTCGGCTCGTCTTTGCGCGGCGCACCCCTCGAGGGCCTGCGGTCGGCAGCTTCCCGCTCGTTGGCCAGGCGTCGTGGGTCGACGTTCGCAGTTCTTCTATTCAGGTTACCGAAGGGACCCTCGCGGCGGGTCCGGGAACCAGAGCGACCGCGCCCAACGTTCTCAGCAAGAACCATGCGGGACGGGCGCTCTGTGCTGGCTCGAGCGGCGGCGTGCGCATGGCGGATTTGTGGGAGCCATGGCTGGGTGATGCGCGGTGTGAAATTTCGACTGGCCGACAAGCTCGCCAAGCAGGACGAGCAAGCTGGGCTGGAGGCTGCACGTCGCATCATGGACGAAGTTGGGATGTGGTCGGTGGTGTTTGCTAAGATGAAGTTGGTCAACGGAGTTTAAACGCGACGATCCACGTCGACGGCGACTTTTTTTTTGTGTGGGGCTGTAACGGTACGTACCGCCAGGGGGGCAAAAGTCGCGACTGACGGGTTTTGGAATCTTGGCCATGTTATCATATTATAACCTGGATCAAAGCAAACACTTATTGATCGTTTGTAAGTATGTATTGCTAATTATGCTGGCAAGGTCATTTCCAGTCTTTGCGAGGCGCCTTTCCCTAGTTACCAAACACGCGCGATAATTGCCACCAGGCAACCCCTATAACTGCAACCACGAGGCCCATCTTTACAACGCTGGGAAAGGTCAGCCGATAACTCAGTGAGAGTTTGAGTGCGGCCTACTTCACTGCTCCAGGGCCACAAGCCACATACGGGCCACCAGGGCAAACTCGCGTCCCGCGAGCTGGGCTTTCACCCTCTGCTCTGCCCATGTCTCTCCTCACTGATGGCGGAGGTCTCAGTGTGCGGTCCTATCCGGTGACCCCGAACCACTTCTTGACTTGATGATTACTCTCGTCGGTCCGAGCCTGTGGGGTGTCAATATGACGGGGTTCATACCAACATGTGCGGGCATGGTTGGGTGGGTATTACCTTCGCATTCTTGAGAACGACGCCCTCGTCTTCGTCACTCGGCCCGGAATCAAGGCCCTCAAAGACGGTCTTACGCGGCTGACTGGCACCTTTCCCACCCTTTTCCAAAGTGCGAGTGACTGATCTTGGCTCCTTGGAATCCTCCTCAGCAATGGAACCCAAAGATGCGGTGGACTTTGTCGTGAATAGACCTGAGTGTGCGGGCATCATATTCTGCTTCCTCAGCATGGAGTTATTCGTCGGGCTAAGCGATTCGGTCGATACAACGTCATCGGTCGCAGAGTCAACGCTTTCGCGTCTTGGAGCCATAAAAGGCGACATGGATGCCTTGATTGCGTGCAGGGAATCATCGTTCGAGCTGGACTGGATCTTGCGCAAGGCATCCATGACAGGTCCGCGCTCAGAGGGAAAACTTTCGACCATTGGATCGTTCGGATCGGCCTCATTGGCAGCGAAATCCTTTGACGCTGTTTTGGAAAGCCTCGGTATCATGGCTACGGACTCGTCTTGTTCGAGGCCGTCATTGGCAAACTCATATGCGCCAAAGGACTCATGCGCGAACAGCGGCGACTGTACTGGGTCACAGTCCTGGTATGAATACTCGTCGTCTGCATTGCGCGCAGACGTATCCACTGGCTTGGTCAAAGGACTGTCCTCAATGTTGACGATCCCCTTGTCGTTCAGGACCTTGCCCGGCATGCTCTTTTGAGCTGGCTGCGTGTACTCCGGTTCGACTTTGAGCAAATTGTTCTGATTCCCCTCATCGTCAAAGGCTGCTTGGTCAGATGATTTCGATAAAGACGAAACATGTTATACAAGACTCACTTGTCGGATAACGATGGCTGATCGCCCATATATCCATATTCCCCAGCCGGAACTTGAATTGATACTCACGCCCTGGGACTAAGCGGACCTCTCGGGTGAAGACATACTCGCCATCCATATCGAGAGCATATTCCATGTGCAGTGGAGTCCATGCTGGCTCGCTGAAAGACCCAGCAACGAAAACGGGAGGCAAGGTGTCGGGTTTGCGGTAGGTGATAGTCTGGGTGACTACAGAACGAGACATTGTTATTTACAGAGATGCGTGGGCCGATAGGAGATAGGTTATGTCGCGAGTGATCGATGGCTTCGGCCTCGGATAGCTTAGTTTAGGCCGGACGGAGGGAGCGGATCACCGAGAGATTGATGCTGCGCGTTCGTGCAGACCGGGCTGGTGAGTGCTGATGAGTGAGTGGAACCCACTACTCTGTTTGACTGGAAACGGCACGAGACAAATGTATATTGGTGACGGATGTGAGGAGGGAGCAAGATTGGTGTTTTGCGTGCTTGATTGTAGGAAAAGGTCGAGATGCAAGAGGAGGACGGATATCCATGGCCCAAGGTCAATTGGGCGTCGAGGAAGGGGTGCTTGGTTAATACTTGCCCAAGGTACCTACACTTATTCAGTATTCACCCGGGATGACGACAACTTCCCGCCGGAAGGGAAGGTCCGTACGTATTGCGATCGGGTTCGTAGTTGCCTCCTGTGCCGGTGATCAGGCACGAATTCTTCATCATTATCACGTCTCAGATTGTTTGTTCTTTGAATCCAGTCTCACTTCGATTTCCCTGGTCTGCAGCGGCACCTGAACGCGCAGCTGGCTGGCCCCTGCATCGCGATACCTTACCCAAACCACCTGGACATGACTTCCTCGATTCAGCTCAGCCAGCGGCTTTCGAAAACGCCTGTGATGCGATCAGGCATCACGTCTTTCAACGAGGGGTAATGGCTGCCTGCTGGCCAACCCAGAAAGCTGCTCAGCCGGCCATGGGCCAGTCTGGAATTCGGCTGAGGAACAGGTTGGCGCACCTCCAGCAGACCGAGTACCCCAACAAGAAGGGTTCAGATTGCCGCTCGAAGCCCTGTTCTCTCAGGGACAGTTTCGCGGGGTAAGGCATGGTGGTGGACTTTGGGTTCAGCGCTAGCCGGGCCAGCCAAAGTATACAGTCCCTTGGCTGAATTGGATTGGCATCAACTCACGCACCAGAGGAGACAATTGCGTGTCAAGCTCCAGGCGATGATTGTGTCAGAAGCACGCACGAACCACGATCCCCGTGGACCACATTTCGACCGGCCTCCTCCGTACGAATAGAATCGAAAGCTTCCCGGCCGTTGACCGGATGGCCGGCCCCACCACGGACCGCCTGTCAGCTACAAGTACACACTTGTAAGTTAGCTAGCTGTCTGAAGACTCGGATATTGTCGCTGTTTCTATTGCGAGTTCATTCAGAAAACTTAGTGAACGATAAGACGGCTGATCGTTGACTTATTAAGCTACATTATGCTACTGGAGGAAGGACATGTCTGGGTCGCAGTTCAACGTCCACGCCCTGCTTAGAGCCCAAAGCAGCTTGCTGACGTTTTTGCAGCCTGGGACAAGATCTATGCAGGCTCGCTAGATCACAGGTATGATAAAAAGGCTCCTCTCCTACACTCCTCACGGGTGAGCTAATTATACAGAGCACTTCTCGGGATCTTAAGGAAGCTCAAAGCTTGTTCAATGCACAACTCTGTTTAAAGTACCTTAAGTTAAGGTACAGGTGGTGCTTTATCAGGACTGGACCCCACCAAAAAGCGATCTAATAAATATCCACCCAAAAACATCCAAAGATGACGATGCCCACTCCCTTGATCAGCAACAATAACCATTCACATCAACGTCTGATCACTGCCGTCGACTGCCACAACGCGCACAAGATACGACATACAGTTACATCACAGACGTCGAAATGTCTCTCCCGCCTTCGACGATTCGCATCAAGCGCAAGCGCGACGACAGCGAAGCGCCCGTAACCTTTCTCCGTAAGAAAGTCCTCGCTCGCCCGCTGCTCGGCGCAACAAACAGATCTCCTGGTTTCTAACATATGTCAACCATAGAACTCGACGAGACTGTGAAACGAGCGAGGAATGGTAGTGGCTACATTTACCAGCGCAAGCAACCTACACTCCCAGCATCCGTCGACGCGCCAGCGACACCGCGACAAGATGCTAAACCAACCATCCACGTGTCCCCATCGCCCATCCCGCCGCGCAAAACCCTCTCGCCGAAACCGAGCTTGTCAAGACTTCGATCGGAGACACAAAGGCGTTTTCACCTGAGTAAATCGAATTTGTCCGCGCAAGGGAGCGGGGTGCTCAAGAAGCGCCCATCGGGCCCGGCTGTCTTTGTCGAGAGGAATCGCAAGAGGGTGGCGCAACGACTCAAAGAGCAGCGAGGGGAGTCTGGTCTCGCCGACGAAAAGAAAGAGCATGCTTCAGTGGGGGAGACGGCGACGCCGCGCAAGCTGAAGCGACCAGGCACAAAGGCCGTTGCGGCGCAAAAGCCAGCAGCCAGTGCCACGCCCCTGCCGGCTTCTGTTGCGAGACCGCACGCAGAGAATATGGAACGCATCACGGCAGACATGAATTCGTGGGTCATGGCGGAAATTGGCGCTACTTTGCAAGAGATGGACCGGGAGAAGCAGAGGACAGCAGCGCGGGCGCGACCGAAAGCACCAGCCCTGCGCTATGCGGACCGACATCCAGAGTCGAGGACACACGCACCCGGGAACAAAGGGGATGACGATGCCATGGCGATCGACTCTAGCGACGACGAGGATGGCGACTGGGTGATTGAGGAGTACGTCCGGATCCCTCTGCAGAGCATGGCTGTCGACGTCAACCCCGGCGACGTGGGCGTCCTGGTTCTCGAGGGCGAGGAGGAGGACGTCTTCTTCTTTGGGCCGGCCCATGATGAGGATGATGACTACCTCGAGGACGATGAGGACGAAAACGGTACGTCAAGTCCATGGCATCTCCCACGGAAGACAAAAGCTAACGAGAAAAAAAGCCGAGAATCATTATACAGCCGACTACCCCGAGGACGAGGTGGATTCTGATGATGAATACAATCGTCACGCCTACTTTTACCGCACTCAGAATGCGTCTGATGACGAGGAATATGACAACGACCGGTTCGAGTATCGCAGCGACGACGGAGAGGACGGTTTTGTCATGGAGGGCGATGACCACGAGGAAGTCACCATGGCACGAATCAAGCGGTTCATGGAGAGGTCGCGCGAAGCTGAGTACCGCTAGGATAGCTACCCGACAAGAGAACGACAGTTGTGGTGATGGCACGTTATTTCCTGCGCCGACTTGTATGAGCGACTGGACAAGGATGATAAACTTGAGAAGTGCACAATCATTGTAGTATCCCATTAGCGTTCGTATGGAGTATGGCGCCTATTGAAAGGCGCCCCCATTCATCCAGAGTCATCTTCCGCCCGCCCTTGAAAATGAAGTATATAGTAAAGAAGAAGGAAGAAACGAGAAGAAAAAGCACGACTTTTTAGTGTACAGTCGATTCGGCCGCTCCCAGTGGTATATAAACACCATCGCAGTCCCAAGCAACCGCCCATAGTCATCCAGATATATAGGCTCCAAGGAAAAGTAAAACAAAGGGGAATATCCGCGCGCAACGAAGGAGAAGAACAGTCAGAACAAAGAAAACGTTGTACATGAGTATCGTGTCGTGTGATCGTGAGATCATAGGTAGTTGGTATCATAAGGCATGAGGAATCTAAAACATGACGCGTGGGGAAACCAGTTCATAGCTTTGATCGTGCGTTGGGGTGGCCAACGTAGGGATGGCGGTCTTGCCTCAACTGCTCCCTTTCGCGGCGCCTAGCCTGGCGGTCATCGAGCTGCTGCTTGCGCTTGGCGGCTGTACACAAAGTCAGTTGACATGTTCGGAGGAGGAACGGCAAAGGGGGACAACTCACCCCACTCGGAAGCTTGCTCCTGATGAGCTGGGTCGACCCAGTGATAGGTCACGGCGCGCTCGGGATAGCGTTGGCACAGGGTGGGCAGGGCGTCGCGTTCGCGACACTTGATCTGGCGGACCTGCGGCGTGATATCGTCCTCGTTGTCGAAGACGAGCCAGCCATCATCATCCCAGACCGGGATGTTCAGATTCGCTCGGTAGTACCACGCTTGGAGACCTTGGGTTGAGCGGAGAGGGCCACCAAATCGGCGTCTGAACTCCTTGCAGACATCCTCCCACTTGAGGCCCTTGTCTGTCCACATGTAGATGATGAAGTCGCCCTCCTCGTTGGTGTACTTCTTGTTGCAATGCTTGCCCTTCTCGGACGAAGGCGATGGATAGCGTGAGGCATCATGCCGGCTGGTATATTCTGAGGTGGGATAAGGGCTGTGGTAGTAGTGATGCGATTGTGATGCCTGGGTGTTCATGTAGACTGGCTGGTCATATAGGGTCCTCGGTGGCGGCAACGGCTCACTCGCCACGACAGGCGTCCTTTGCAACGGCCGCACCGGGAAGGGAGGTCCAGATGATTGGATGAGTGACTCAACGCCGCGGTCAAACTCAGCGAGACTGGGAAGCTGGACAGGTGAACTGGCCGGCGGACTTGAGCGAGCCGTGGTGTAGCTTGAGGAGAAGCTTCTTTGTGTCAATGTAGGTGATCCTTGATGTTCATGTTAGTGTCGCTCTTGCATACGGGAAGGTTGGCAAAGACTCACCCTCGACCTTGATATGAGGGCTCCCAAAGTCCGACGCGGGTGGTGTATGCGGTAATCGGGGGATCTTGTCCACATCTTCGGTCTTCATGGCGGATAGGAGGTCCTGGAATCTGCGTGCTGATGGCCTTGCGGGCAGCATCAGTCTGGGCACATCGTCCAAGCGTCGTCGAATAGCTGGCCGATCTGCTGTGTCGGCTGTGCTCTCCATGTCCATCTTCCTCTTCAAACCCCGAGATGGACTCAAGGCCGCATATTGATCTTGGGTAATCGACATGATTCAGACCCTTGGAGGCTGGTCCTCCCTGGCTGTGGTTGACGGCTGTATGTAAAGGGTCGTGGACAGTAGCGATGTAAGGTACAGCTGACTGGGCGAAGGGGCTCTGCAGCAAGACACTTGAGGTCTAGGATTATTCAAGTTTGAGCAGAGGGCAGTTATGAATAGTAGATTGGGAGGGGAGCGTCGTGGTATAATAATGAAATGCGGCGGGGCTGATTATGGACGACCAAGAACGGCAGACGTCGCGATGATGTTGCCTATGCTTGGTTGCTTTTTCTGGTAGATATCGGTACCTGAGTCAAGGGTAAATGAAGAAGTGGTCAGAAAAGTGGGAGGAGGTGTGCAAGAGAAGAGGAAGCGTCGCTATTCATATCTCCAGAGTGACTGATTGTCTCGAGTCCTGGTGTCTAGGTCCGAGCTGTGTGGCGCCGCACTTGGGATGTGACGGAACCAACATACAGCTGGACACACCCCATCGTCTGGGTCCCATGCTGTGTGCTTGAGCGGATGGACCAGGAGCATGTACCGGCAATCCCTAGCAGCAAGGGACCGAGCGCGCAAATCTACACGTAGAAGGGTACCTTGCGGCAACCCAAGACAGGGGCGAGTTCCCAAGCTTCTTAGTCGATACAGGTCGATGCATGTCTCCGAGAGAGCAAGAGACATCCCCATGAATGACCCAAGATGGCCAGTACTAGCTGCGCCGTCCCGCAGAAGACATAGTAATAAGTCGTGCATCCAATACATAGCGCGACGCTCATGTACGTACTTAGTTGAGCACTAGCAGCCCGCTGGTGCAACAACATGGACGCGGGTAGAGCAAACGAGTGCGCGACTTGGGAGACTCGCACTAGGATCGCAGTAAGTCCATGTCTAGGGTATCAGGGCGCCGCGGTGGGAAAGGCTTGGTGCAGACTGTGTGCAGGGCAAGGCGAGGCAATGTGAGGCAAAGCAAAGCAGATCCAGGCAGGGGCAGCCTAATCGAGGGAAGGTGAGTGGCTCGGAACCGATGCTGCAGAAGTCGAGGCGATCGTCAACGACAATAGGTGACCGGGTATAACTGATTCGGCTTTGAGTTGGCAGGTCCAGCCTGGTACGTACTGCTACTGCGTGCGGCTCTGGTGGCTTTGGCATGGGCCATTGACCATGAATGAATGAATGATGGGTTGAATAGAAAACGCGCGGCTTGGCGGGCACTGTCGGAGTCTCCAGAACGGCGGCCGTTACGAATACTATGCCCTGCTATTGGCCAGGTGTGCAACCGTGTGCCATTGTTGTCCAGGTCCATCCAGGCTCGAACGTCTCCAGCAATTACGGCGAACCAGAGATTTGGAACGAGCTGATTTCACGAGGATGGCGCGCAAATCAGAAGGCGTCAGCTGTTGGTCGTGCAGTTCGGTCCAATGTTAAAAATCCTCCACCTGTCCTAGCCAGGCCAATCGACCAGAGTACATAATAATTACTGCTTCCGGTTTTTCGGGTCGCACCCAGTTTGAGTCTCTTGTTGTTGGCTCGATTGCGGCTTGGAAAGGTGGTGATTCCGACGAGCGCTCAACCAACACCCACGAGCTGACGTAGCAGCAGTTCACCAGCCAGCGGTTTGTAGATCCTGCGAGAACTCTTGGCTCGCCCAGTGGGCTAGCATGCGTACTGCGATGACAGAGATCCGAGACTCTATGATACGGACAGTTCCTTGATCTATGCAGTAGGTGCAGTGATTAGGTGCAGTAGGTAGAGGTCTGAGCACGCGGGACAGTCTTGCCCTGCGCGACAGCGCGGGACGGTCTCGGGGAATGTCTTGACAGCAGCATCAGCCAATGTCAGCACCTCGATTGGCTCTGGTCGTCAGAAAAGCTGCGCACCTAGTCCCTGTGACTCTTGCGGGGGGGGGGGGGGGGGGCAGGCAGCCGGCTCTCTGGCCGTCGTGAGCAGCCAAAGAGGTGGACCTGGACTTCTGAAGGGTGCAGAGCAAAAAGCAAACATGCATCGAGACTGCACGGCTTGTCTGATGTACGAAGCCACCATGCTTACTATGAGCTGGCACAAGACCTCGCTACTGCAAAAAATTACTTGAATGCATCTTTTGGCTCTTGGGCGACGCACTCGAGGGCTCGATGGTGATTGTCCAGCATGGCTAGGTCCGTGGGTTGAAGCTGTCTGATACGACCGGGGATCACCTCCGAGGACACGACAGCCAACACGTCGAAGAAATTCATGGGTTGGGTGCATGGGTGCCAGAATTGCCCGGCTTGACTTGCGGCGTCCGGGAATGTTCGCACCATATCCGGGAGCAATGCTTGTCGCCGTCGTGGCTGGCAGCTGGCAGATCACCAGTCGTGGAGAACCCTGTTCAACAAGACTTAGCGCACCGTCCACTGTTCAAGTTCGAAGCGGGGTGGGTCGGAAAGATCGTCGTTCATGCGTACTTACTCCCAAGTAGGTAGGGCACGAGTAGCTGCAGCATGATGGCAATTGCCGGTAGACAAAAGCATCGGCGAGGTTCGCGGATGCCCTGCCTCGTCCGTGACGCGAGGGACTGTGATAAAGGTGACGATGTGGATGGGGGTGGAGAAGCGCACTCGCACGAGTGTTGATTGCTACTACTTTGGTCGACAGGGGTCCGCCTACGTATACCAGGTGAGGAAGCCTTGAAGTACGAACGTACCTTAGGTACGAATACCTCTGCTGATGTTAATTGATATCCAAAGCAAATTCTATTGTTACATGAGCTAAGTAAGATAGCACCTGCTGTACGCACGTACCTGCTGACCAGGGCACGGATGAACGCACGGATGAACGGGAAAGTGCATTGTTCTTCATCCTTCCAGTTGGCCGCCTATTATCACGTGGTCTATATCACAAACTTGTCACACTGTGATAGCCCAGGATTAGTGCCAGGGTCCAGGGATGCAAGCCCAGTCTGACTGGTCACTTGGACTCGACATCTCGCTTGTCCGTCGATTATCATTGCAGCAACTCGACTCATGCAGCACAGAGCTCGCCCTCTCTTCTACTCGCGTCTTCCCACTCATTGTGATCGCAAGCACCAACTGACTAATTCACCACCACCGTATCCTTTTCCACTGCTCGACAATGGTTACGTACCGAAGCAGCTGAATGCGCACTGCTAGCCTACTACGGCACGATACTAGTCAACAGTATCCCTCGCGCCCACGAGTGCATGCTCTTAGCAGTATTAGCTTCAGTACTGCTTTCTCTTCTTTTTTTGCGCGTCCGTCCGTCCGTCCGCCACTCTGGGCAAGGCCAGGCAACACACACGCCCCTCACTACGATTTTGCTCGATTAATTAGACATGACTTTGCTGCAGGATCTCGCTCAGCGTGTGGAGAACCCGACCTTCGCAGCCGTGCTAGACTAGTTAGGCAGATCGGGTGGATCATGCATAGTCAAGTGAGCATCAAGATGGCATCGGTGGGTTCGGCGATCTGAATACTAGCCACTGCGATATAGTCTGGGCGACGACCCTGATGTTTCAGCATGGCCGAGAGATGCTTCAATTACGTGTGTGCATGAGTTCAGCAGCCCGTCGTCTTGGCTCCTTGCCCAAGTCGTCAAGCCCAAGCGCACCCTTTGCCTGTCTAGTCTAGCTTTGGTCTCCTTGCCTTGTCTTTCTATTTCCAGGCAGTGGCCATCGTCTGCGAGGGGGTCGTCGAGCGTTGCCGTCGGCACAGGTCCCTGATCCAGTCTCCCGCAGCTATCATCTGACTCCGCCTCTCCCAGAAGTCTGGCACGGCAGATCCCAACGGTGGCTTAATGAAGAACAGGGCCACTGCCAGCGACGACATGGCTGCCTCCGTATCTGGGTCCGGCACACAGAGGGCCTCGCGCAGAATCCCCTCCTGGATCAGGTCGACGCAAGGGGGTTTCGTACCTTGCAGCCAGGAACATCAGGGTCCAAGACCATGTTGTCGTCACTGTGCCACTCATGTGTGTGCCGTCCGCGTGTTCGCATGCACTGCCTTCACAGCTTGGGGTCTTCCTGGGACATGGAGCCTGTACCTGGAAAGGACTCGTCCCCTGAGAAATTCCTGCGGCACTCAAGGTTAGCTCACCCCCTTTCCGTGAGACAAAACAGTTGCTTGTGGAAGGCAAAGACAGCCAACGTACCATCCACGCTCCTCTCCGTGCGTCAGGAAGCTGCAGTCGCTGTTCAGCTCGCAGTCCCACGCGTCGTCATCGCCTCCTCTTCTTCGGTACGTGCTCAGACCACACGTGAAGGCCTTGAAGTCGACGCGGTCTGGCTCGTCGGGTATATCGCGTGTGAGTATCCTGCCTAGCGCAATGACGACGGCAGCATGGGAGCACAGCACGATGGCACGGTGGCCCTCGACATCTGCCTTTGCGATCAAGGCCTGCACGGCAACCGCCACTCTCTCATACAGCTGCGGCAACGTTTCGCCACGGCGTGACGCCTGGCGCGTCGACACGTAGTCCATGTCATACGCTGGGAACATGCCCTTCAGGGTCTCGGCGTCCGCTGGCTGGGGATGATCAAACGGCGCAGCGCCAAACCATTCTGCTATGCCGTGCTCTGGGCGGATTAGTGTGTCGCGGCCGGCAAGCTCAACATATGGTGTGATAGTTTGAAGACACCGGTAATAGGGGCTGGAGTAGACCGCGTCAATAGCTGGCCGCAGTGTGATGAGGTGGCTCGCTAGCTCAGCAGCCTGCTGAGTGCCGTGAGACGTGAGAGGGGGGTCGGCAGCAATGCCGGTGGGTGAGCGAACACTTGATGAGTAGACACCTGTCTTGTGGTCGACGGACCAGGCCGTGCGGAACTATCGATGGTCAGTCCCTCTCCTGCTCCTGCTCGGTGGGCGACTGAGATTGATCTTCAGGGAGGGACTTACGCCGTGGCGAACCACGTAGATGACTTCCAGAGGCATGGTTGTGGCAGTGAAAACGCAATCGTTGCTGGCGGCAGATCCAAGAGCAGAGGTTCAGGGGATCATGTTCGACAGTGTACCCGAGGCAGGAAGCCAAGGCGGTGGAGGCGCGACTCCGCGAGACCTTCGAAACATGTGACCCACATTGGTCTAGTCACAGTCGTCACGGTCGTTGCAGTGCGTGGCGTCGACTCGATTTCTAGACAGCATGAGCTTCTCGCCGGTATATCCTTTGAATGCGTTCGTTAAGCGTCCGTGTGTGTGTGTTGCTAAGGATGGTTAAAAGCATATGTGGACGACTAAGTCCTGTTGTTTAGAACCGGACAAATTACGAGCAATGAATTAATTGATTTTGTGTCAAACAACATTGACTACAATGACTACAAATTAGCCACAATGACAAACAGTTGAATGTAACTACGCAACAATCTCCTCAAAATCTCAAAGTGTTTTACTGTGACCTTGTTAGTGATATCAAGGGAATTCAGACGTTCAACGTGGATGCGAAGCACCAACCTCGGCACATCCAAGATCTATAGGGTAGCCATTTCTTCACGGGGGAGGGAAACGAAAGACACGACAATTAAATGAGAACAGGAACGTGAATACGTACATCTCAAGAAATCGCTGACATGTAACGAAGGAAGTCGCCAGATGAGCCTAAGAAACGCCTGCCCAAAACCCGTCCAAGGGACAATATACAAGAACCGATTACGCCCCCTATTCCACATGTCGAATTCCAAGACAACCGCTTTACATCATAAAACAAGATCCCATTGTCCGAGCGCGGCGACGAGCATTGGGCGCCAACCCGTCTTCCTCATTGAGATGAAGAGCCTGTGCCTCCCTAGCACGACGGCGTCGACGACGCCGCCCAGAACCTCCAACACCTGCTTCCTCCACGGCTTGCATGTAGTCGGCCCATTTCCTCTCCAATTTGTTTGCCGCCGCGAAATCGCCCTGGAGCACGCGCTTCTGGTGCTCATCGATCGTTTGCTGGAAACCATAGAAGCACTTGAGTGCTACCGTCTCAGTCGGCCATGAGATTTGCCCGGGAGAACCACGAACCGGTCGTGTCTCCGCATTGCGGAAAAGAACTTCTCGGATACCCGTCCAGGTAACGTTTTGACAGTCATACGCAACCAGCTTCAGAGTGACCTGAGGCTTCACCCCGGCCACGGTAGTTCTTTGAGACCTTGTAGTGACCAGCAGTGCGGCCTCAGTGAGCGTGAGATCACTGATGCGGGTGTTGTCGAGATCCACGCTTCGTAGGCGCACGCAGTTCTGGAGAAGAGGGATCAGTCCCGTGTCACTGAGATGCTCGCAGTAGCTCAGCGAAAGATGCTCAATGGTGCGTGCGCATGGAGCCTTGGCCAAGTGCTCAGAGAGGAGGACATTGGTGATATGCTCCAAATCCTCCAATTCGAGATGTGTCAGGCGAGGCGCCGACGCAAGGATGGGCTCCAAGCCCGCATCGCCGACCAGTCTGCAGCGGGAAAGTTGCAAGCCTTCGAGATCAGGCGTGAGATGCCCCATGGAGCTGATGCCTGCATTTGTCAGACGAGCGCAACGGCTGACGTCCAGATGGCGGAGCTTCCTTGCCGGCACAACAGGCCTGTCCGTCAACACGTCAATCTCTGGATCTACACCGTGCATCATCGTGCGCAAGGCCCCGTCATCCAGCTCGGCGCAACCGCTGAGAATAAGCCTCTCCAGCTTGTTGGTCCTGAAGATTGCCTCGGCTAGATCGAGGTTGTCAAACCCGCGGACTTCGCCGGCCCGCAAATCTCGCAACCTGGTACAGCCCTCAATGACGGCCTTGATTCCTCGAGAATCGACCTTACCACACCAAGAGACGTTGAGTGATTCGAGCTGCGGACAAGACTCAGCGATGATTCTGCACGATCGATTCGAAACCGCCGTCAAGCCTGTTAAGTTCAACGCGACGAGCCGCTCGTTGCTTTCGAGCAGACTGTGCAGAGTCGTCTTCTGAAAGTTTCGGCACCCCTCCAACGTAGCATTCATCAGATTCTTGCAAGCCTTTACAATGACCTCGGCTCTCTTGTAATGCTCGACTTGGACGCAACCCCTTAGATTCAGGTCCTTGATGAAAGGTCCAGCAGACGTAATAATCCGCGCAAGCGAGTCTGCAGGAATCTCTTGGTAGAACTTGGAAGCATCCAGGGACATCCAGAGCTGGCCGTCGAAGCAAAACTTGTGGAAAGATCTGCTAACACGAGACGCCTGGACAAGCTGCTTTGGTTGCAAGAAGGAGAAGATGTAGATCCGGATTTCGTGGGGAACCGCATCCCAGAATTTAAAAGGAGCCTTGTACACAGCAAGAGGGGAAGTCTTGGCTTTGCTAGAAAGCCTGGGACGAGACAGACGAGCCTCGAGCGGTAGTGGCGCGGTGCCCGGTGTTGACACTGCCTGTCCATGACCAGCGGGACGGGCAGCTTGTTCAACGTCGAAATCTCGGGGAAACGGGAACTCGTTGGCCGGCGTTGACGGCCTCGCAGACGATGGCTGGACAGCATTCGATAGGGGCGAGGAGTAGCCATTGCTCGGGGTTGGCGGCCCAGTGGCCGCAAGGCTCACGCACGATAGCGTGCCCCTCGCAGCCGGTCGATACGGAGCGCTGTGAGACCGACCACGCGATAGACTGTTGAGAGATGTGACGGACGAAACTCGCTGAAGGCCTCGGAGCAATCGTTGTCGGTTACGTCCCTTCCCGATGGGCAGCTCCCGAGGTTGCTGGGCTGGGTCCTCCTCAAGAATGGGGAACGGGGTGGAAGAGCCCGACGAGGATTCGCGTACGTGTGACATGGCGAACTGAACCGGGACTGAGGAAGCGGAAATCGAGAGAGAAGATGGGTTGGAACTTCTGGCTGGACAATCGAGTCGTTGGTCAAAGGGGCTGGTACTGAAGCGGCGGTAGTTTGGTGCGGTTGAGTGCGGCGCTGCGGATGACTGGAACCATCAATGCATTCTCAGTTCTCACCGAGGAAAGAATCGTTGATGTGCCGTTGATCGTGCCTGTCTAATGCACAACGACGGGCGATTGACGAACCAGGGTCCGAAGGCGCCGTTGCAACTTCAAGCCGCGCGAGCACAATACCTGTGAGCAGTCGAGGACGAGGGCGAGTGCCGGTCGAAGCGGATTCACATTGACATGGGAGCGATGGTTAAACGTGTGTGAAGAGACTGGAGAGACAGGGACTGGACTGGAGAGACCGGAGGCCATTGAAGGAAGAGGAAGGACCGGTTGAGAGATCATTCTGCCCCTCCATCCATGTCCATGTCCGTGTCAGTGGCCGGGCAAGCCAGCCGGTAGGTTGAGGCTGCAGGGCCATGCGGGCGGCGGGGGGGCTCCTGCAGTGGTCCCCAGCAGCCTGCGGACCTTATCGCTAGCACCCGCTAGAACAAGCCCCACCCGTTATGTCCTGGCCTCTCAGGGCTTCAGGCTGGCACACTCAACAGTGTTGGGGATTGGGTGTTTCCTAAAGTTACATTTTCCCAAGAGCCAGGCCACGGACCTCTGGCTATCTCAAGTGCCCAATGCCGTCCCACTGACGGTGAGAGCAGCGAGTCACGCCTCCAGATGGTCTCAAGTGCGCGCTCAGGAGGACCGGTCATCCAGCATTTCCAGCTGACTTTTCCCCGCAAACACTTGTGCCAGTGAGGAAACCCCCCTGTCAGTAGCACTTACCCCTGTTCTATCGATAAGCAAGTAGCCCCTCACTCCTCCACGCCGCGTGGGCACTTGGCGCTCCGTAGCCGAAGACCGAAACTCCCTGGCTAATAAGGCGACTGGACCCTTGATTTGTACGTAGTACACCATCTTCAGTCGTGCCTTGTGTTGCAGCAAGGCTCACAAGCCACCCCGTGTTGTGGTCATCTGAGCGGAACCTGTGTCTTGCCCATCAAGCGTAACGAGTATTGTGAATGTACGTACAATCACAAACATTCTGCCAGTCCCATGTGCTGGGCAGCCTGCTTGGACCACCACGACGACTGAGCGACTTGGTGGGTCCGTGCGTCTTTGTTCGGCCCTTGTTACCACTCGTGAAAGTGCCTCATGCTGAGGATCCGACAAAAGGCCTATGTAATTAGCCTCTCGCGTCCTTCTCGAACGGTGACACGGAACGCGCTGCCAGTGGACCGACCCGTTTTGTGACCACCCACAGGCACTGCGAGGCGCGATTCTGAAGCAGTGGCGGTTGTTTGGGCCCGCATTCTGACTCGGGCAATCCAGTCCAAACATACGTATATTATCATGTGTAGCACGATTTTAGGGGTTCTCCAAATGGGTTGGTTTGCCACCAGCGATACTAGACTAGGGGCGGTGTGGCCCCGCGACCCCCGAGATGCCCACTGCCCCTTTGATGGACCTGGGTTGTTTTGGCGTTGTCTTCCGAGGAATCATTGCAGAAGATGTACTCGACTCCAACTCGAGTAGGCCAGAGAGAAGGCCGTCGCTTGATGGGTTAGCGTTGTCTGGACTGCAAAGTTGTTGTTCCCGACTCTCAGCAAGGGATTATCGACAACACTACATACTAGTGCAGCATTGTCTCGAAAGTATCCACTTCCAGTCTTAAGTAGTCTATAAGTCCCCATCAGCTAAGAGGATGAGTCCACGACCGGGCACGTAGTAAGTAGGTAGCTGTCAATTTATACATGTATGAAACGTAAATCATAGGCTACTTGTCTTGCCGTGCGCCAAATCTCATAGCTCAGACATGATGGCCAAGGTAGATCACATCAGGGAAGGACGATCTTCTGCTCGAAATGCAGGCCACCACAAGTAATTACGACACTGCGTTGGCGATCCGAGATCAGGTCACACGAACCCCAACTTTGATATTATGCCCCCAATTTGGCCAGGACGACCGATCGAATTTTAAAGAAGGATGTCGTCTCGACTTTGTTGACAAGTACATCGATGCACGCTGCCGCAGTGGGACAAACGACAAACCCACCTCGTCTACGTAGTATCCGTAGTGCGATGAGCCAACCCAGGTATAATAGGCGCAGATCATCGTGAACCCCTTTGCACCTAGCGAGGAATTTATTAGTCGACACGTGCCGCGAACCCTGACAGCCAGCCGCAAGCGCACCAGCTGCAATGGTTGAAGTCTATCTTCACCAGGTGAATTAAGCCCATGGTTGAGTACTTACGTGGCATGTGCGGATCAACGGGAGACGTGGCTCAACAAGAATGAAGCCTTGAGCTTCCTTAGCTTGGTAAGGTACATTTCCTTTCGTCACACCCAGACTCGAACTGCTTGTACTTGGTCAAGCCGAGGAAGCTACGAAACTCGGCGCCCAAATCGCCTGTAATAGTGCGCTATAAGGTACCTTGCCTTATCAAGGTACAGCTATTACTTGTATATTCGAGCAGGGCCTCAGAACTGCAACATCGACCTCCCATCAACATTGCTTCCCGTTGCTGAGCTATTACACCTACCTTACCTTAGCATTACCCCTCTGCCACTGCCACTGCCACTGCCACCAGACCGCTCGCTGCGCTTCCTGCGCTTCACTCTCTCACTGGCTGCCCCGCACGCCGAAAAAGCTTCACATCCTGCGAGTCCAGTCCCTCGTCGCCGTCATTGAGAATCAATCCCAGCCGTCCTTGCACTTTTTCGCGACCACATGAGACACCGACTCATACACACAAAAACGGAGATCACCACAGCCTTGGACCAACACGAACCACCATCCAGCTCGGATTGAATCCACTACCGAGCCAACGGTGTCGACAAACCCTCACTCATTGGTCCGTCTTTGTTGTCAACAGTTTGGCTTGTGTCAACCTACTACACAAGGCCACTCACTGTCCGAGGTCGACATTCGAATCGACTAGTCATCCACTTCTCCGCGACTGGGAGACAGACTGTCACAGACACCATTTTTTTCGCTCGTCTCCTGCCAGACATCAGCAGTACCCTGCGCGGCTGGCTGATCCCAAGACCAACGACTGGACCTGACGAACCCCACGATTGGAGGCCCTGTGATCCTGCCCACCACTTCCACAGCAGCCGACCCGTCAGCGCCTTCCCGGCGGCGCCTGTCGCGACACATCCGCCTCAATTATGCCCGAGACGCATGGCGGACCTCACGACCAATATGGTACGCCCTTCTCCCCCAGCTGAACAGGTAGTAGTCAGCATGCATGCGATACGATACGCTGACACCGATCCTACACAGGCGCCGACAATACATCAGAAGGAGAGGAGCGTGGGCGAGGCAAGCTGTTGCAGCCACTCTCGTTGCCCAAGAACCGCAGCACTGGCAACCTGCCCATCTCAGCTGGCCCTTCCGACAGAAGTCGTGTCAGAATGTCCCTCGACGCATCGGCTGCCATCCTCGACCATGACGTCCTCACGAGGTTAGTTCCCCGGTCACCCTTCGCCTCCCCATGGGCGCCCTTGCTAATCAAGCTATGCGACACAGATCCTCTTCCCTCATGACCGAACACGAGCACGGCTTGGGCCTGTCTGGCCTTCATCGTATACGGCAGCAGCAGCCTCCATCGCGAAAGCCCACCATCCCTGGCTCGAATGCCTCCTCCCGAAGCCCCTCCGTCGTCGCACTCTCCCGAACGCCCTCCTTAAGCGCACTATCCCATGCCAACAGCATGCCTCTCTCTGCAGGACCGACCTCTCCTAGCTTCGCCGAAGATCTGTCGAGATTTCCATCCGAGTCGTTACATTCCTTCTCCTTCGCTCACCAATCCGAGGATTTCATCCACAGTCGACAAAATGTTCTCAAACGATCGCTCGAGTTCATGAAGGACCGCATGGGATGGCCCATGAACTCTGCTCAGGCTGGTCTTGCCAGTGCGCAGGCACGCGTGACCGGAGACGTGGAGGCGCAGAACATGCTAGAGCTTCTCGCACGAGCACAAATCATCGGGGCTGGCAATCTTCCCAATCCTGACTCCACGATTGATACAGGCCCTTTGACCGGCCCGGCCACTGTTTCCAACCAGAATGTATTCGACCAGCATTTTGTCCCAAGGTCTTCCAGTCCCGAGCCCATGTCTCCGATTCTGAAATCAAGGTCGAACGTTTCTGCGGCGTCGCCGCCTACAGCGAAATTCCAAGATGCGTCAATAGGCAATGCTGAGACTGCGGTGGGAGCCCCAGCAGATGTGGCCGTGAACAGCCAGGCCATGTCAGAGGACTCGAGGAGAAGCACCCCCGACGAGAGTGTATCCTCGAGGAAGAGATCCTCCCCACCAGCCCTGAGGCCTACAACGTTGAAGCGAACGATGACCGACACCATGCACATGAGCATGGAGAACCGGCTCATGGATACCATGGCGCAACCCTTCTATTCCGAGACGGTCGCTTCGCCAACCCTGACCCATTCCACTACCGCCTCCGCGAATTTTCCAAGTGCCCTAGGCACCTCTGTTCACGGTCACACGAACAGATGGGTGCCGGCCGCCCAAGCAATATTCACGACCGAAGCGAAGCCACCGTGGACCATCATCGCCGCGAATGACCTAGCGTGTCTAGTTTTCGGGGTCACGAAAGCCGAAGTGCGCAAAATTGGTATACTAGAGGTTGTGCAAGAAGAGAGGCGGGCATGGCTCGAGCGGAAACTACTGAACAACGGCGACGATGATGTCGAGGAGGAGAGACCCGAAAGCCGCAAGGCAAGTCCCGCTTCCTCAGCAGCATCTGCGCTTCTGGGCGGCAAGTCTGGCATCACGGCGCAATTGCTCAACAAGCCGAACTCGCGCGCGCAACCCCCAAAGTACAAGGAACGAAGGTCACAGACGGTCCACAGCGGCGACCCCAACCCTCCCAAAACAAGGGGAAGCGAGCGCCACCGCAGCACGCTTTCGAGAGGCGTCCTTTTGTGTGGTGATGTGGTCCCCATTCAGAAGCGTAATGGCGCGACAGGCTCTGCCAGTATTTGGGTGAAAGAAAAGAGGGTTGGCCTTATTTGGGTACTGGAGGAGATCCACGAGGACACAGCCTACATCACCATTGATGAAGAAGGTGTGGTCAAGGAGACCGCCGGCGCGACACGGGCGATTTGGGGCGTCGAGTCACCGCAGCGAGGGTGCGACGTTGGCTCGCTCATCCCGCGCATCCCTCGCCAAGGCATCGACCCGAACACGGGCGAGATTGACTTTGCTCAGATTAGAAGACGCAAGTTTTTCACGTGCCCGAACCTGAAGAAGGTCAACGTGCCCTGCACCATAGAGCAGGTCCGCGGGAAGCTGGAGCTGCGTGTCTCATCCTACCCTCACATTGCGGGTATGATTGTCCTCGACCCGCGCACACTGCATATCCGCAGTTCCAACTCGGTCTTCTGTGGTGCCCTATTTGGTTTCGAAAAACCCGATGGCATGTCCATCAATGCTCTGGTGCCCGGTTTTGACAAGATTCTGGAAATGCTCACTAACGAAGAGGGCCTGGAACTTCTCGACGGCATGGTCATACCTGAGGATAGATTCCGAAAAGCGTCTGGTCTGCTGGCCGTTCGTGAGCACAGACCCGATGTGTCTGATGTCTTTTTGAAACCGGACGGTCTTCCCGCGAGACATCGAGACGGGTCGGATCTCAAGATCGACGTACAAATGCGGGTGGTCAAGAGCGAGAAGCAGGGCAACGTCCTCGAAGAGACCGTCATCGAGGGCAGCGACGAGGAAAACGACTCCAAGAAGGACGACGCGTCCTTGGTGGTGCATCAGTCCGAGATGGTGTACGCTCTGTGGATCACATACTCCAGGCATCTCCATGGCGAAAAGCCATCGGTCAACGTTGGGACCACCGCTCAAGCCGAGCCAGATTCCCCGTTGCATCAACCGTCTCCCGGGCAGGCGCCACCAGCGCTCTCGTCGACCGACATGGAGTCCGACGACAGCGACCCCAAGACGGAACCAACAACATCCAAAGGCGGCCTTTTCTCCAAGAACTTCAAGGACGTTGCCAAAAACGCTGCCGCTAAACTTACAGGGCACAGTCAGTCTTTGCCCAAGACGAGCGACAAGCCAACGCCGCCCAGATCTGTGGAGCCGGCAGCCAAGCCCAAGATCGAGGACTACACCATCCTTGAGGACATGGGCCAGGGAGCGTACGGCCAGGTCAAGCTTGTCCGTCATAAGGTGACGGGCAAGAAGGCTGTGCTCAAGTATGTGACCAAGCGACGCATCCTTGTCGACACTTGGACGCGCGATCGAAAACTCGGCACCGTGCCCTTGGAGATTCATGTCCTCGACTATCTTCGTCGCCCCGAGTTCCGGCACCCCAACATTGTGGAGATGGAGGGCTTCTTCGAAGACAGCGTCAACTACTACATCGAAATGAAGCCGCACGGTCTTCCGGGCATGGACCTCTTTGACTACATCGAACTACGAACGAACATGGAGGAATCAGAGTGTCGGAGTATTTTCAAGCAGGTCGCCCAGTCCATCCACTTCCTACACACCAAGGCGATGGTTGTCCATCGCGACATCAAAGACGAGAATGTCGTGCTGGATGGCGAAGGGAACATTAAGCTCATCGACTTTGGGAGCGCGGCGTATATCAAGAGCGGGCCCTTTGATGTGTTTGTGGGCACAATTGGTTCGTTACAGAGTGCCAGGCAGAGTGCGTGAGATGAACGACAGCTAACCATGTCTAGATTACGCAGCACCCGAGGTCCTCGCTGGCAAGCCCTACGGCGGCAAGGAGCAAGATGTGTGGGCACTCGGCATCCTCCTCTACACCATCATCTACAAGGAGAACCCGTTCTACAGCATCGATGAGATTATGGACCGCGACCTGCGTATACCGTACGTCATGAGCGAGGAGAGCATTGATCTCATCCGCTGCATGCTCGACCGGGACGTGCCACAGCGCTACGATATAGAAAAGGTCCTCGCGCACCCCTGGCTGGCATGATGCGGACGAATACGGATATGAAATGACTATTAGAAACATGTGACAATGGGTAGACGAAGCATTTGAGACACGGAGTTCTTGTAGACGTTGGGGACTGGGGCGACTGAAGAGGAGGAGGGAGACACATTATGGATATTTTCACCATGCCTGCCTCGAGCAGGAGTATCAGAAGCGATGAGCGCTCTTGTCATTACCAGCAGCGGCGGCGGCAGCAGAATAGCCTTCCTTTAATAATTGAGCGTTTGTACTTACAGGAGCGCGCATGAATAAAAAAAAAAGACAAGAATTCCACACGCGTCCCACCACACCCTTCTAATGATAGCTTAGTTCCGGATTGGCCCTAAAGTTGCAGCGACAGCGACACTCGGGGACCGGACATTCTGTATGCCGCGCGAACCATTGCCGTGCATGATCCAAGTGCAAGACGTGGTCGCAGCGCAGGCAGAATGTAGGGAAGCGTCCGGCCATCTTGGTGTCGGGGTGCTCCTCGGGACGATCGCTGCGCGGCACGCCGACGACCTCCAAACACACGATGCACCGCGGCAGGTGACGTCCACAGTTGGGGCAGCTGACGCCCGCGTTGATGCTCGTGGTCAGCATGGGGTTGCGCGCCTCGCCGCCGGAGGACGTGCGCTGGTGATGCTGATGCTGGTGGTGATGGTGGTTCGCCAGGGACGTCTCGGCGTCGCAGTACACGCAGCGCAGGGCAATCTGTCGCGACGGCGGCTTCAGCGTCGGGACGCCCTCGCGCTTGGAGCGCTTGGTCGACTCGACCTCAAACTTTGTGCGGTGGTGGAAGAGCTTGTGGCGCTGGAGGTGGTCCCTGTACGCGCGCCGCCAGGCCCGGCAGCGAATGTCGTCAATGTACTTTGGGTAGCTTATCGACAGGACGAGCGTGGCGGTCTGAACGTCGCCAAACTTTTGGATGTAGCGGGCGAAGATGTCGACCGTCGCGTCCGTGATGCCGGTGAGGACGATGCCCTCGATGTCGCCCTCCTGCACGGCGCGCGCCACCTGCTCGTGGAGCCAGGCCGTCAGCTGGTCGTCCGGAAAGTTGCGTACGGCGACAAAGGCCCGGTCGGATAGGGGAAGGGAGAGCTGGTTGGCGATGGACGTCCAGTCGCCCGTGGCGATGAGGGAGGACATGGCCTGCAGGTACGGGTCCGTGTTGGAGGCCACCGTCGGGTCAAAGTCCAGCTGTTCCTTGGCGAGACGCTTGTCGCCGCGGCCCATGAGCTGGAGGGCCAGGGACACGAAGAGGAGCTCCGGGTGTGCCTTGCTCGCCCGCTTGAGGATCTGGACCGCTTGGGGTGTGTCGCCCCTGAACAAGGCTCTGGAGGCGGCCATGGTGTGAATCGTCGCTGGGTATTCCGGGTCGACATCTGCGGTGGGATCGTGACGTTGCAAGTCTCCCCATCCGCAGATCTCGAGACACAGTTGTCTGTGGTGAGGGCGCTTTGTCGTGACACCGTCAAACTTTGGCAGATGCCGCTTCTTGTTGCAGTAGACGCCCAGGGCTCGTTCCCAGTGTGAAGGTTCCGGGACTGAAGGTGCGCCCCCGGTCAAGCGTGAAGTTGGATTGCGGCCAAGGTCGTTGGTCCAGACGGACGCGATGCCCAGGTAGCTCAGGTCCATGGTGGAGATGAGCATGCCGCCATCATCGGCGGCATGTTCAGCGTCCGCAATCCAGTCCCAGGCGAATTTCACCCACGGGTCGTCATTGACGACGTGGTGATTGGTCGCGGCATCGAACAGATACCGCTCCTTTGCGCGTAGGACCATACTGTGGTCGATGACGGACTGTGCTTCTCGTGGCAAGCCGGGCGCGTGGTTCAGTGTCTTGAGAAGGGCTTCGTGAAACTCGCGACACGACCCCACGGCGCCTGTCGCTAATGGAATTCCGCTCTCACTGCTTCTAGCAATGTTGAGGTTCCCCAGCTGCGGCTGTAGATTGCCCAGATTTTCGTCGTCGTCGAATTGCTCGCGCACAAACGCCCGAAGGGCACGCAGCTTGCCCGACACGGTCTCCGCCGCGTAGAAAGAGTCAGGTAGCTTATCTTGGATCCCGTTGACGAGGTCAGCGCCGACAGTGGAACAGGCACCCGGGCGCAAGGTGCGCTCGATTGTCGCCTCGATGTCGGCCTCCTCTGGCCCAAATATGGGTACGTTGGCTAGTGTTTTCTCTATCAAGAGAGGGCCCATCATGCTAGGGGCCTGCGATGGCTCAAAGTGCATCATGTCCATATAGGGTGTTCCCGCTGTATTTCGTCAGTATTACACAATGTAGACTCACACACTCCCGGTGGCGTCCACATACCTTCGAGGCCACGATGGGGCGCGCTCCAGGGCACCATCTTGTAGACGTGATCTGCCGTTTGCGACGGTTGTTCCAAGATCTCGAAGTTTCCGTTGGCCCGAAGCACCAGCATCCGGGGTCGTAGGACGGGCGAGCCGAGCGTCACCCAGTCGAACGACACAATGCTGTTGTTCCTTCTTGACGACTCCGCATACAAGGGGTCCATCTCGTGTGACCGTCCAACCTGCAGTAGTTCCGGGTTCTCGGACACTCCGGCGCTCGATGAATCCCTCTCCCTCTTGGTGTCCAGTACGCGCAATTGTCCCGTTCGGGAGAGCACCGCTAGTAGACCACGATGGTCGCGGCAGTATCGTAACGACCTGACCATGGAGTATTTGCCTTCGGAGGAGAATGGGTCAAAGTCGGAGTCGATCACCTTGTCAAGCCTGAGTGCGCCGCCCCATGGCAGTTCGTCTTCCTCCGTAGCCTGAATGTATGAATGCTGCGCGACTGCGCGCGTGGTCACGCGTTTGTCCCAGACCATGACACCAGGGTGGTCCAATGCTGAGGAGGCAAAGTAATTCGGATCCGCATAGTCAATGGTCAAGTTATTGTTGCACTTTGTGTGGAACAGTTGGAGTCCCCTGTTTCGATCTGCCTCGAATTAGTTTCGTGCGGAAGGGAAGCCACTCGTTCAGGAGCCGATCAACGTACCCCTGAGATCATGCAGACGCAGGCCTTGGGCCTTTATTCCAGCCACCAGTGTCTGGGGACTATCCTCAAAGAACTTGATGCTCGAGACGGAAACACTATGCTCGACCCGGTCCCTCGGTTCTGACAGGCCAGGGACATCTTTTGGTAACCCTTTCATCTGGGTCTTAGCCAGCGAAGAAAGACGAGTTACGTCCCATATGTGCAGACTAGAGTCCACCCGAACGCGGTCAAGACCTACGGCGAGGAGACCTGTGGTGTTGAAGGCCACAGCTTGACAGGTCCGCGTGGTCTTTAGGCCAAGCTCAAGGTAGGCATTGGAGCCATCGTCAATGCGGAGAAGGTTGACAAGGCCTGTGCCTGTTCCCACAGCGAGCAGACCAGGGTTTGTGGGAGACCAGTCGTACGTCGTGAGTGGAGGGAAGTCATCGTGTCGCGTGAGCTTGTCGTAGTCGAAGCGCCCATTGCGCGCGTGACCTGTGGGTTCATACAACTGAACAACCCGATGCTGCAGGTTGATGTGTACAAAGCTATCCACCGAGGAGCTCGGCGACCATTTGACGAGGCCGGGCTCCGGGCGATCCATCTTCCCGGCCGTTGCGCGTCTGGCTCACTGACGATGATGAGGTTGGGGGTGAGTGAGAGGCAGGGGTTTGCGTCTCAAGTGTCAGGTCGCGGCGCCATCCGTCCGGTCAATTGCAGTCGCATAGCTCTGGGGAGTAAGCAGCTAGGTATTTCTGCCTTGATGGGGTCATTAACTCATGTGCAAGGGCCAAGGCCATTGATACATCAAATGGCAATGAGTACAGTTGCTGCATCCATCGGCGTCGCGACGAAGTCAAAGTGGATAACCCTAGACCACGGCAGAGCCTCGTCATTGGCTGTAAATCCGAGCGACGCACTAAGCCTAAATGGTGTGAACCCCAGGCTACCCCCACTGAAAAGTTACTAGCACCTGCCCAGATGCCAAATAATATTATAGGTGAACATCGCGACCAGATTCACTTTTCTTCCCACGTTGAGCTACATCACCAACCACAATACCGACGCATCGAGCTACCGTCATGATGGCGACCAAACGCTCTCACACCGAGGCAGAACTCGACCACATCCACCCTGATCGTGTTCGCGGCGATCTTGCCGACGCCAAGAAGCGCAAACCGAGCCTTGCACCGACTGCAAAGTCCCACAAACACAAGGCCAAAGAAGGCAGCATAGAGTACGCGAAGAAGCGCAAGCGCGCAATTGAGAGGCTGTTCCAGAGGGATACCGAGCTGCCACAGGATGTGAGGAACGACATGGAAAGAGAATTGGCGGCGCACAAGGCTACGATCGAGGACAAAACATTCCACAAGAGGAGAAGTGCCATGATCTCGAAATATCACATGGTTCGATTCTTCGGTAGGTCTTCTTCGGCTCGACAGCCTGTACCATGCTATGATTTTGGGACTGACTCGGGGACAGAGCGTAAAAAGGCCATGCGACTGGCCAAGCAAATCCGGAAGAAGATTGCCCAGGCAGAGGATGAGGACGAATTGGCCCAACTACAAAACGAACTACACGTCGCCGAGGTCGACGAGGCATACACAAAGTACCACCCGCATGCGGAGCCGTACACTGGCTTATACGGCAGGACAAAGAGCAGTGACGATGACGAGACGTTGGCGTTGGCGGACAAGGTGACCTTGGATGCAGAACGACCGCCTATGTGGAAGACGGTCGAGGCCGCCATGGCAGAGGGGACCAATGCGCTGGTGAAACTCAGGGAGCGACGGTCAGCAGATGGATCGGACGTCAAGCCAGGCTTCAAGCCAGCCAAGAAGCAAAAACAGTCGAGCAGGACCGATGCGCCCAAGCCTGCAGCACAGAAGCAGAAGCGCGAGGAGCATGGGACTCGAGCACAGAATGGCGCTGCGACGCCGATGAATCGTCGCGAGAGGAGGAAACTCATGCACCAGCAGAAGGCGACGGCGGGTCCTCAGAGTGACGATGAGGATGGCGGGTTCTTTGAGTAGCAGAGATAGCAGCGTGAAGGTGGTGGTAGGAAGACGGGTGCGCATGGTGCGTAGCGAAACACATGCAAGCCTGCATATATTTTTTGGCATTTTCCGAACCCAATAAACAAAGCGCTTGCCAACTGCATCTGTTGCTTCCTGCAGAGGTGGTCGAATAGCCCACGTGAATGCATACTTGGTTGTAGCCAGCTCACATGAGTGACTTGCAAGCTCCAACGACTTCAACTCAACAACACCCATCCTGGTGAGCTGCGAGAATCGACAAGGTTCGAGAAGTACCAGACGAAATCAGACGTCACTGCCTTTCTTTTTTATTCTCTGTACATTACCTTAAAGTAAAGAGCTGCCACGACCATACACATCGGCGCCCAACGCTCACTTGGTTCTCACAACCTTCTTCCCCGCATTGCTCACCACAACGCAACCACAATCATGTCCTTTGCACCGGCCGCTCCGTGGGACCGAATCCGCGCTTGGATCGACGAAAAAGAGAGAGAGGAGCGGACATTCATCAGGCCCGCGAGGCTAACGCAGCGCGAGCTCACGGCCATCAGCAACCTGGTCCCCTTGATTGAGGAGCCGGACGTGAGCGGCAAGGACTATGTCAGCGCCTTGCATTGTACGTACCTGGCAGAGAGAGGCAGTCGTGGCTCTTGTCCCATCCAGCTGACGCTCGTGTGCAGGTGCCGCGCAGATTGGACAATGCTTCATGCCCACGTTTGAGGATGAGTCGGTTACCCTCACGGTGAATGGGATCGTCGAAGCGAAATGGCGATGCTACTGCAACATAGGACCGCAAGGTACCTTTCCAAGGCAAGGATTCGGGCTGGATGAAACAGGCGGGGCGCCCATCTTTGCGACAAAGAAGAACGCAAAGCAATACGCCGCTCAGCAGGCGCTGGCCTTCATGTCCAACGGAGCTCCCACCACTTCCACTGCTGCTGCGTCCTTGCCCAAACGCTCAGAACGATCGCAAGCAGCATCGCCAAGCCTGTCACAGGTCAAGAAGACCAGAACAGACGCAGGCCCGACCGAAGCAGCGCAAGCCGTGGCTGCGCCGGCGGACGAGACGAGTGGCTTGTCCGTCTACGAAAGAGTGGTCTACCTGTCAAACAAACTCGGTCTCCATCCACCCACTTACGAAACGCCTCCCTTGCTCGGCATGCCCAACTTCTTCTCGGGCAGGACGGTCTTCCCATCCGGCGCGGACGGTCGCATCCCCGACAAGGTCCTCGTCGTCAACGGCGTGCTGGGCAAGCAGCAGGCCAAGGACCAGCTCGCGCGCCAGGTGTGTGACTGGATGGAGAGGGAAGTCCAGGAGCGACAGAAGCTAGCAAAAACCCTCTTACCACAATGAGGGACACTGGTAGTAGGATAAGTAGTTAATGTATAGTACTTAGGAGCCCCTACTGCCTCTACCTCCTCTCCCTCGCCCTCTACCCCTGTTGGTCCCTTTGCCCTGTGGTACACGCATCTTGAGGTCACTCGGTAGATCAGCTTGCCATTCCCCGTCGGCCCATAGCACGCCAACATCCTCCTTTCTCCCCGTGACCAGCTTGAACCACTTGGTGCTGACCTCGCCCCCGGTCAAAATGACCCCATTATCGCTCCTCCACCACGTCAAACCGCCCTCCTCCATGCTCCTCCTCACATCCACCTCAATGACCAGTTCCGCGTCCTTCCTCATGCCACTCGCCACGCCCTCCTCCGGTGTACCCGTCGAGCAATGCACGTGATTCCGCCCCATGGGCTTCAACCCACCCGACTCGACAATCGCCCCCCAGAACGCAAAGTACGTCCCGTGGAGGACCTTGGCCGGCACCGTGTCGGGCGTGAGCGGTGCCAGATGGCCCTCGTCCTCAATCTTGATGCTGTGTCCCTGGTTCGCGCGGATCATCCACTCCCCCTTGTCGTTCTGGCGCGTGCTGAACCGCTGTTTCTCGTTGCTCTCGACCTCGCGGTGCACTTCCTCCTCCGTGGCCTGGAGCGACTTGATGGGCCCGTAGGCGAGCACGGCTGTGAGCGGGGCGTAACCCTCCGCGTCGAGCGTGATGCCGGCGTTGGTCGCCTGGTGGCGGAGTAGACGGGATAGGGCTTTGGAGATGAGGACCTGGCGTGACTGGCCGCTTCCGCCTTTGCCATTGTTGTTGTTCTTGCGGGGGCGATTGTTATTGTTGGGGCGGGCTTTTGACTCTAGTGAGTCTTGGATTGAGTCTGCCTCCATGATCTTCGAGATGTGCCGTAGCTAAACAGTGTGAAGGTGGTGAGTTGGTGTATGAGAAGAGTCGCCAGCGGACCGTCCTGTGTATCTGAGTCGAGTCTGAATGCACTTTAGACCAATATGTCCGGCTTTGTGAAGTACTATGTTGTGAGTTTGATGTTTCGAAAGAAGAGAAGTGGAGTGAGACTAGGGTAGACGCCATCCCCGGCGTGACTCAGCGCCAGCCTCATCACAGCGCCACGACTACAGATGCTTCTTACACATATACGAATCACACTCGATCAAGCGGCGGCACAGATCAAAGATTATGGCTGTAATACCGGAAATATACATTATCTCAAGACAGTGCCAAGCTACCTCTGCTATCTCCTCCTCAGCTCGCTCGACCCAACGATCTCCCTCACTGCACAAGGACAATACAGTACATCTCAACCCTCTTCAGACAACAGGAAGACCCGTAAACAAGAAAGCAAGAAAACAGAGAGCGCCGCCTCATGATTCGTGAAATCCAACTAATGCAAGTGCACCCAGACAGTCCAGTTCTATCCATCAGAACCGTGTTGGCCGCAGAAGAAGAAAAAAATGATATGGGGGGAAACAAAATGCAGCGCCTGCCATCAGGGAAATCGAGTAAAGATGTTTATACAATCATTTGCGGTCGTTTAGGACCGATATCCTCCCGCAGTGGCTGTGCTCGACACATTCGTAATCGTGCTGTCGCGGTTCTGTCGCCTCGCGCTGAGACTACCAGAACGATTGAGCGACACGTTCTGCCCGAGCGAGTAATAGCGCTGTCGTGCGCGCTCGTCACCGCCTCTCTGAGGTGCCTCTGTCGTCTCACCCTCGGGCGCCTGCACCTGGGGCGACCTCTCCAAGTACTTCCGCGAAGGTAGGGCCGTGGGCAGCGCGCTGATGGATCCCGGCGCTGCTAGGCGGGATGTGGGCGTTGTGCTCGTCGATCCAAACCGGCGCCTAGGCAGGGCCGACTGCTGCTGCTGCTGCGGTTGCGAGACATTGTCTCTCGTGGGCGCATGGGTTTGAGGCGCGAACTCGCGTGTCGGGCCTCTAGAGGTTGTGGCCACCTCGGTATACTCGCGGTTGCTACCTCGCGTGGCATTGACCTCGGTGTATGCTCTGGACGGGGCGCCCAGGCGAGACGCTCGCTCGCTTTCATCCACGGTCCCGCGTCGGTTGCGCACGTGTAGCATCGACGTCTGGCGGCCCTCTTCAGGCTCTTCGGTATCTCCACGACGAGAACGCAGCAGCATCGACGATCTTCGACCTGCGACGGGGGCTGACTCTTCAGGCTCCTCGGTGGCAGCTCTGCGGGTACGCGAGATGAGCAGAGAAGACCTGCGCTGGTGGGCAGGTTCCTGCGGCGTTGTGGGAGTAGAGCCTACGACGCGGGGACTCGGCAATGCGCTGCTCGCCAGTATGGTGTGTCTCCGCTCCTCAAACTTGGACAAGGCCCGGCCGGGACTAACGTTCTCGGACTTTGGCAAGGTCTGCTCGGAAACAATGCTCGGCCGCCGAGCGTGTATGCTACTGAAGGATTTGGCAACCGTGGGTGTTGACGGCTCCTCCCTCTGCGTGGACGAAGATGAGGGATGATACTGGATTGGCGCGGGAGCTTGGGATGCCTTTGGTGGCTGGCTCGACTCTCTCGTACGCTGGGCGTGAGCAACATCCTCTCCAAGTGCAACGCATAACTCGGTCAGACTGCGGCAGACACTGTCCGCCTTGCGTCGCAACTGACGATCCGTCAGGTTCGTGCCGACCCCAATTGTGCTTCCGCTGCTCGAGACTGGCCCTGGCTGGCCCGGTTGGCCCATCATCGTTGCCAGAGCCATCGCGTCGTTGGCGGCAGCTTCGAGAGTCTTGAAAATATCAGGGCTCAAGAAAGGCTTCGACTTGGACAGGGCTGAGTGCAGTATAGGATAGGCCTCTTTTTGGGTCGAAGCGTTGCTTAGCGATTCCAGATTCTGTGACTGCTGGTTGGCACCCGTGCCCTGTCGTTTGGGAGAAGACGACATGGTTGTCACGGTGGTGGTGGCTGTGGGTGGTCGGTCTTCGGAAAGCCTCGAAACGGCAGCGGCCGATGTCGACGGTAGCTTTCCGGTCAGCTCAAGTCGATGCAGCCGGGACTTGAGGTCATCAAGCTCATCCCACACGGTCGATGGGGCTGTCAAGGAAGCAGTGGATTCGGTGCCCTCCACGCCACCGGCGGCCTCGGTGGGTTGATGCTGTTGCGCAGCTTGGTCAAAGGATCGGACCAGAGGTGAAGAATTGTACGATTTTTGATAGTGATTAGCAGCCGCGGATTTGAACACGGGTGTCCGCCCTGGCGATGTTGAGTTTTGCTCTGTGACAGAAGAGCGTCGTCGCGCGTGGTACGGATTCTCCGATCCCATATCCTGCTGCGCTTGGGAGCGTGGCGTCAATGGCGAGGCCCGTAGACCGACGCCTCCCGGTCGCGACGAGCGATATACATCTTCAGATGGGTGTGCAGAGGCCGCCTTGTGATCCCTCGAGTAAAGCCTCTGGGTCAATGATCTCGTGATTTCGCTTGCGCGGTCGTCGATGTATCTGGTGACACGGCCACCGTCCTGGTCGTCGGACATTCGTCGAGCGATGGACGGCGGCGACCTGGGATTGTACGAAGCGACATTCGTTGAGAGTGGCCGGCGATGTGTTCGATAGACACGAGACTGGACATGGTTAGCACTCGGAAACGCTGTGCAAGCCTGTGGTGTAGGGCGTTTGTGTTGAGCAACGAGGTGAGACTTACCACAGAGCTTCTGGTCTCATCCTGAGACTCGCCATTACGGCGATCGCCCTCCTCGCGGGCAATTCGAAGAAAGACATCCCCACCATCCTGGCCGTCATAGCCCTCGTGGCGAGCCGATGCGGGTGGAGCTCTTTGAAACATGTCTTGGGTTTGTCTTCCTTCTAGAGCACGCAGCGTGCGGTCATGGTCAGGATCGTCAGAGTTGTCGCTCGCGTCAAACGAACGAGCTCGGTGATTCATATCCAGTGTCAAGCTCTTGCGCGAGCCAGAGGATCGAAAGCCACGGATGGGAGGAACGCGAACAGGGGCTCCGTTGCCGTTGTTTTGCGGGTTGGGTACGTTGGCAGGCGGTTTATAGGACACTGGGGGCCGGTTCGTCGAGACGCGTCGTTCATCGGTGGGACTAGTGTTTGACAAAGTTTTGAGAAGTAGCAGCTCGCGCTGACCCCCCGAATCCCTCGGATCTCGTGGTGAGAGTGCGTCTGGGCTTACTGCAGCGCTCACGCTCGCAGATTCCTCCACCCCGTAACCGCGCTGTGCTCTCGCAGCTTGGTGCTGACCATCCGTTGTAAGAGTGTCGAGTGAGGCACGGGTAGTGTGTGCACGACGGGTGTTTGGAGAGGTGAAGTCTGTGTTGGCGGGCGCGACGACTTGATCAATGCTGTCGTGGGCGGGTCTTGGGTAGGTGACGGCTCTTTTGAAGTGATCGTGGGGTAGGGTGGTTCGTGGTGAGGACGGTATGATGTCGTTGTTGGAGGAACTTTGCTGTGGACTCGAGGGCACTGCGGCTGCAGTGGTCAATCGTGCTGATTGTCGCGTTGCTGATGGTTGGACCTCAGCTTGACGTTGTACAGAATCGGGTGCAGAATCATGCAAGACACCAGAGTTTGTCTGAGAGGTGGTGACGCGACGTTGTTCGTCCAGTTGCGACTGCGGCTCGGTCGTCTGCTTTTGCTGGCTTAATTGATCGGCGACGCGAAGGGCTGCGGTAGACGAGCTAGAAGCCAGCCGTCTCGAGTGTAGGGCTGAAGGCGAGTCCGAATGGTTGGTGGCGACCGGGGCCACTGAAGGACTGGAATTTGTCGGTTCTGTTTGGATTGGGGCAGACTCTGTGGTGCTGCTGTTGCTGTTGTTGTTGCTGTTTGCGGTGCCGACGAATCTGATGGTGGAGGAAGACTTCTGGTGGGTGGGCAACGACAGACGCGAGTCCAAGGCGAGAGAGAGCGACGCCAGCTGGGCCCTGGGGCTGGCGGTGGTGCCATTGGCGCTGGATTCAAGGGGCGTCTCACTCTGGTGTGATACAGTAGCTGTTGAACGACTGTTGCCTTCAGCCTGCTGCTGCGACTCGCCTTCATTGACACTCATTTTCGGCTGGTTATTGACGTCGTCGCCAAACACATAACAATTCTGATCCTCTCGGCCTGGACTTTTTTCGCTATCGTTTCTCTTCGCTCACCTAACCTCCAGACCGAAGGACAGACACCCCAGTGCCTCACGTGGGGCCCAGGGACAGCAGCAGCCAGGCAGGATCAATGCACCTGACAACGTCCTGGTCGTACGAAACCTGGCTGGGATGCTGATTGCATCCAAAGCGGGCGAGTCTGAGCAAGTGAAGAAAGAAAGCGAGCAAGGCGTTTGGAAGGGTACCATGCGATTGAGTGTGAGCGACTTTTCTGTCGACCTTGATCGGTGCGGCGCGACGCAGGCCTGATGCTGCTGTGCGTCAACGAACAGCGATGACAACACAGTCGTGCTTCAAGCTCCAGTTTCATGCAGAGCAGAGCAGAACAGAGAAAAAGAGTGCTAGGTCTGGAGTCTGCCAGGTTTGAAACAAATGGGCAAAGGAGGATAGAATGATGGTGCTGAAGCGAGCAATGTTGGAAACTTGAAGCCTCGCGAGCTATCAGCAAAGAAGGAGCGGGCATGGATGAGATCTTCCAAGGAGAAGCAACTGTTACGAGGACTCCGTCGTTGGTCCGTCCTGACCCTGTATCCTCGCGGATAGGATAGACTTGGAACCGGTATTTTATTATCAACAAGGCATTGTGAGTTGTGAGTTGCGCTGGAGCCAGGGGCCTCCACAGTCGTCTGCATCTCAAGCAGTCTAACAGACGCACGTTGCCGGATCTCAGCTATTGAATTCACCACCAGCCACCATCGCGTGCCGTCTGACTCGCAGCCTCCAGTCTTTTTGCTTTGGCACCATCAAATGCTCGCGGATCGTGGCATACGGATTATCTATCACCAGTGCTCGTGGCAAGTACCGCGCCTTTCACGCTGCTATTTGCACAAATGTACGTATCGTAACGATGGATCTCATCTCATCCATGATGAAAAGGTCTGGTAACGGGAGTGATGGAATGTGGAGCTAGCGAAGCAACGAACCCCAGCTAATAGCCGGCGAGACATCGCAGCACATTCCTGATTCCACGCGTTAGCTCAACCATGGCCCGCCTGGTCTGTGGTGATGCGCAGCGGCCAGTGAGTCTGTCATTGGCCTCAATGCATCATATTGGGCCTTACCGCTTCGCTTTGACTGCAGTTCTAGCGACAGTTTCCAGCCATGAGCAAAGATACCGCGACGACGAACATGAGGAATTCGCAGTCGTTGTTCCCCAGCCTCAGTTGACTGATTAATTACAGGGCCGTCTGACGCATGCGTCTCACAGGAGAGCCAGGATGTGGGCTGGGGTTTGAAGTCTAGGGTTCCTGAGATGTCGAGGGGCTGGTTGGTCGTGCGCTCCGTCGAAAGGGGCCTGCAGCGCGACTAGTCCTCTTTCGCCATCTTGAAACAGAGGCTCCGGGTCGGCAAGTTGCGCACCTTCTACAGACTCATTAGCAGTTTTTTTACATACATACGTAGTACAAGCAAGTACAGTACAGGCCTACAGGTAATTGTGCAAGAGATGGGAGGAGCGTTGCTGTCATCAATCAGTACGAACAGGAAACGCTGCACTTGTAAGTCGCCCAATGCGCCAACTGCCTTCTTACATTCCAATAATACTTTATTTAAAGTACGTTCTACGTACTACAGAGCAAACTACCGGTATCCGTACTCCAGTCCGGGGGCAGATGTCCGTCTTTGGGGTTCGACACGGAATCCCGTCGACAGTTTTAGACTACCCTGTAAGCTACGCAAGAAACCAGGATGTGCCCCATCGCGGCATCCTGTATCATTTGCAAAGGCTTGGGTGATTATTTGCCAGGGAGCTGCAACATGGGTCGGGGTTTCGTACAAGTATGTACTCGCATTTGTTGCTACGAAGAAGCGCGATGAATGTGTTCGTTAGTCCACACGCGTTCGCATACACATCACCAACATTAGAATGGCTGAGCAACTTGCAACGAATTAGGTTGAAACGACGCGACGTTCACGGGCAAGGCAAACTTGCAGGCAAAGACCCTCAAGTAACAGGAACCCGGGCCGTGTTCGATGGATGCGTTTCATGTTCTTGCCAATACCGAGGATGACGGCAAAGTAGGCTGAGTCCTGGGACCCCGTTGCTCGCAAACCAGGGTCAAACTCATTCAGTGTCACCGAATACCAAGATTAATGAGTGCATATGTCAACTGATATAATAACGCCCGGTACCAAGACACCAGAAACACCTTTAAACCTGTTGCCCGGCCAACATACTCCCAACGACAGTTACAAGAGTACTCTTGCGTGTCAGGACAAGCAGCAATCCCGAATATGTTTCCGTGGCGGTCTCATGTTAAAGTTCGTGGCAGCTTTCTTGCACTTTGAAGCTTGGTCAGCCCATTGTTGGTCGGATTGCGCGTAACAAGTGCGAGCACGACAGTTTCCCCTCGCTTGCAGGCGGCTAATTATTAGCACAATGTCCGCGACGTGACTTTGAACAAATGGATGAACAGTCAGAACTTAAGAAGACAGGAGACGCGAATGGCTGGTGGAATGAGAGTGCCTAGACCAACAAGGCTGCACGTCAGCCACTAGTCACTTCTCAGCAACTGGTCAGCCTTGTTGGTTTCCTCGTGTGTCTGTTGGCTTTTAACAAAGTTCAGAAAGCAATATTGCAGGGCAGGTCGATTGTTCCCTGCCTGCTGGTCGGCGTCTGCTCCTACAGAGCTGCGCGCCTGTCACAGATACGTGGGTCTGCGTCTCGTGACATGTGGCCTGGCCTGGCCTGGCCTGGACCAGTACAGTCGAGACGGCCTTGGAAGAACATTTCTGCAGAACACACAGCGCAATTGACGAGTGCCATCGATTCCAGAATACGGAAGACCGCCTGTCAAAACTTGTTGGACGTCGGCGACTGCGTGACCAGACCATCAATGTACCAACGTGGTTGTGAACTTGTGGCTGCCGGAGTCAAAAATAGCCCAGGGGAGTGAGCGGCTAGGGCTCTCATTGGCCGAGACTTTGGCGCCGAGTTCGATTGGGCTGCAGCCCTCAGCTGCAAGTGCCAAGTGCCAGCAAGTGTGGATAGGATCGAGCTATATTTAGGCCCATAGGTGGTTTGTTTCGCGAGGCGCGTCCTCCACTCACGATGGACGAGTCACAGACATTCGTTTTCCCGTCGCTGGTCTGGTCGGTCGACCTGAAGTCCAGTGAGTTGGGATGGCTGCTGACTGGCTGGCCTGGCGGGCGGCTGTTCCGTGTCGTTCACCTATTGATGGTATCGAGCATCTTTGCGGCAAAGGCTGGAGATCGATCGCGAGGCTGCTCTAGGCTGGCAGAAGGACTAGCGTGGGAACAAAGAGCAAACGGAAGAGCTTAGCGCCCAATGTTCCGGGATCAGGCAAAGAACGAGAAGGACCAAGGAAGACAGGCCTTCCAGCACTTGCATAGGCGCTGCAAGCAACGGTTCAGGCAGGCGCAGCGCGTCTCCATACTGGCCCCTCCCACCATCAGCACTCGCATCCTCCCCCAAGTCATTCCCCTCCATTCTCGACTTCGACGGTGCAGACATCCATTCACCCATGCGCCTAGCCAATCCGCATTGGCAGTGCCTCGACGGGCCGTAGATTCATGTCCTCCAGCTGATGAGTGACCGGACAGATTCCCTCTTCTGCGTTGTTCCTCTACCTCACTCGGTCGACTTGACCTGGCTCTGACTTCGCCTCTCTCTCTCTCACCCTCTCTCGTCAACCTTCATCCATGCGCGAGACGGCGAGACGCCACTGACGACGGAGATTTCACAGTCAAACAGACGGAAACTACTGTATTAGGCGCTCCACGTCGTCCCGTCTTGCTGCAGGCGCCTCCAGTCGGTTACTGAGCTATCCGTACAGAACGGACGTGAGACTGCAGCCCACTGCCAAACTAACTAATAGACTTAGGTACGAGGCTAGCCCTTGAGGTACGTCGATCAAGCGTTTCACATTTCTCTCCCCATGCATTTGTCTCTCACAAACTTATCCTTCTCTGACACACTTCCGCCTTCCCGCCTTCTCCTTCTCCTTCGATTCCCTTCAGAACCTAAATTCACCATCCTCGCCTCGCCTAATCACCTACCTTATCCTTCCGGGGCCGCCTCGCCACGACAAAGAGGGCTCGTTAATCGCTAATGCCCCTGCTTTAGCTTCTCCTCTTTCTTCTATCTCTCTCTCCTTTGAAACTCGACTAGCCGTTGTTATCGATCGGTCCGACCGCCTGAACGGGACTTATCCACATTACCGCTTCGACTTCTACACACGGCTCTCTTGCAATCATTTGCGCGCTCCGATTCTAATTCTTGTCGTCTTGTCTTGCCAACCGCAGGCTGCAGGGTTCAGCAGCGCTGTCCAGCATCGCCAGCCCGGTTTCGCAAAAGTCGCTCCTTCGTACACAGCGCAGTCACTCATTTCGAGCGCATTCCATTCTTTGGCAGGGGCTCGAGGCAGCAATAGAAAGAGATAGGAAAGATGCCCTCGACAGCTGCTCGCCGGTATCACGAGGACCAAATACCGCCGTTCATGTCCGTCTTCGACCTGGACGCCGAGACCATGGCAGACCGCGACACAGTCACCGTCGTTGACCCTCGCGCCATAGATGGGTACTCGAAGCAGCCTCTTCTACACGCACCCCAACAACTAGGCCACGGCCTTGGCCCTACCGGCCCCCCTCACAAGCATAACGACAGCTCGTCGACACAAATGTCCGAATCGGCAGACTCGTCACCAACAACGACGCTTTCCACCACAGACTCGTCGCCACTGTCCGACCCGTCACCGTCCTCGTCGCCCGACTCGCCTGTAACATTGGTGCCCCTCAACAACTATCCTGCGACGTCATTTGGAGCGCCTGTTGCTCGCCTGGAGCCTGCAGCTACGCTCAAGCCGCCAGAGACCACTACTCTTGTCCGGCCCATGACCTCGCCGTCTCCCCGGAGGGCTCGCAACATGAAGGGTCTGTCGATACAGCCGCCGTCACTAGGGAACGCAGCAGGGGCCGCAACGACCGCAGCGACGAACAACACAACGGGGGCCGAGCCCCCGTCACCGTCCTTCATCAAGCCCAACATTCCAGGCATGAAGCGCAAGCCGAGTATGCTCAGTCTAAAAACCAACACGTCCGACCTCATGGGCCGGCCTATACCAGAGGTGCCTCCCTCGCCCGGCATGGGCCCGATGCTACAGCGACGAGCGCTGAAGCACTCGACGTCATCGCCACACATGCTCACAACCATCAAATCTGCGTCGTTCGGACCAGCGGGCGGCATGACTCTACCAAACATGCTGTGCCGCAATGAGAATGGACTTTCCGAGGTTCTGCGTCCTATGAAGCCCAGCATGCAGACTACGTTTGACACGACCATCAAGGAGGAATCATCACCGATCAAGTCACAAGTCGCCCACCGCATGGACGCGGAGCCTTATCACGAGAAGGTGAACAATGAAGACCAAAAGACGCCAGGATATCCCAACGGACCAATCGCCATCTATGGCGACGACGTGTATTTGTACTTGGAGCCGACAGCGGAGGAGGCAGCGCGCTTCGACGTGGTATTCAACGTAGCAAAGGAGGTCCCAAACCCGTTCGAGGCTGAGGCAGCCAAAAAGAGGCAGTCGTTTGTTCAGAGCCCATCCGTGGAGAGCCCGGTGCCTGACACGGCCTTGACGAACGCTAGCTTCGCAACCGCTTTCGAATTCCAGCCTGGGAACGACCGATTCCAAGACACACCCACAACACCCAAAGCCAACCCGTGGAAGATGCCGGAATATGTCCACATGCCGTGGGACCACAACACAGACATTGCGCCTGATCTGATGCAGCTTTGCCAGAAGATCGAGGACCGGACCCGGGAAGGCAAAAAGGTGCTCATCCACTGCCAACAGGGCGCCAGTCGCTCCGCAAGTCTCATCATCGCCTATGGCCTCTACCGCCAGCCCAATCTCACCGTCAACGACGCGTATTACGCCGCTCAAAAGAAGAGCCAATGGATCAGCCCCAACATGAAGCTCATGTACTCGCTGCAGGACTTCCACAAGGAAGTGTCCAAGAAGCTCCCGCTGGGTGCCACCAGGGCTGGGAAAGGGCGCAGCCCGCCCAAACACAGACTGACACTGTCAGCCGATGCCATCGGCCTACCGATGAAAGAGCCCCGCACGGCCCCTTTGCCCAGGGAGAAGGACAGGGAAGCAAGAGGACAACATCTAAGCCCCATTGACACGCACCGTCGCGGGAACTCCATGCCCGGCACGCAGAGCGTGTCGCCTGGTCCCGCTTCGGCGCCGCCCAACTACTCCTGGCCAGACGACATGGTGCCCACGCCGGTGGAGAAAACAGCTTCTCCTGTCGCCGCTCTGCAGGTGTCAGAGCTGCCACAGCGACCGAAGCAGCTGGAGCTCGCCGCACCCGCAAAGGCATCTTTTGAGCCGCCGCCCACTCCAGGTTTTGGCGCGCCTGGCGGCTTTGCGTTCCAGAACAAGACGTACCCCAGGTTCTCCAACATGGCTCGCTTGTCGCAGCAGCCCGCAGAGATGGACTGGCAAGAGCCATGTGCGCCCCCCACGAGGGCGCCCCCTGCTCCTCCACCACTAGCTACATACGGCTCCATCGATCAGACAATGACATCGCCGCCTGACCTGCCTATCGACGACGCCATCCTCTCACCACGCGCCGAGACGATGACCAAGAACCCCTTACATGACTACCCGGCCTCGTCCTCGGGGATGCAGTTCGTCGAGACACCTCCCACACCAAAAGACGGCCTGTTCTCACCGCGCGTCACTTGCTTCCCGAGGGATCCCATGGTCCCGTTCGGTCGTCCGCCCCAGGTGGCAGACCCAAGGAGTCCTCCCACCGTGGGGGAGACACCCATTGTCCGATCCATCGACGACATATTATAAGCATGGCGGGTCGCATCATCAATCGTTTTTATCTCATCTCGGACTCGCCGCATTTCGAGTTCCTTGTTTCCTCTAGCCTTTCGCTTTTCGACACGCACAGCGGGCGGCGTCACATGTTATATTCACCAGAGCGGCATTGGGCATTTCAACGACCAACCTGCGGAAATGTGTAATTCACCTAGACCTACCTCTTTACTACCTCCTCCCGTCTTTTTAGACGCTCGCAACACCGCCATTCGCTTATCAAATCCTCCCGTTACTGAGGAAAAGAGGATCTTTATGTTGGGCCCTTGAGGGCCCTTGTTTGTTATTTGTGTTGGGATGACTTGGGATCACTTCTGCGGAGTTAATTGGGTGTGTTGGGCGTCATATCAGAGAGGCCGTCATACATACAGTAAGGGTGGTATGTGGCGGCAGAACGAAGAGATACCATGGCGAGGAATCTGCGTAGATGAGGTGAATACAAGAATCCTGACCAGCAATGCTGGACATGCAACAATAATCTCCACGATCCTGCAGCTTATGATGATTGTCCATGTGATGTGCTTGATTGGCCAGTATATGCCTGAACGGCAATTTCTATACGTTATCTCCAAAACCCAAAATCTATGCGCCATTCTATATATCGTCTATTGCTTCTTCTTTGCGGCTTCCTTGGCCGCCTTTTCGCTCCTCGCAATCGCCGCCTCGACGCCGATGCCGCCAAACACCAGCCCAACGCCCAGCCACTGCATCTGCGTCAAGCGGTGGCCAAACGCCACGACCGACAAGATCATGGTGAACATTTTCCTCGTCACGGTGACTGTAACGAGCAGAACCGACGAGAAAGTCGCCAGGGTGTAGACTGCAGCATCATGTTAGTCAACCATCGATGCTACAACAACGAAGGGTGGATAGAGGGAAACACGTACATATAAAGACCTGGCCCACGGCACCACAGGCCGCGAAACCGAGGACGTCACGCCACACAGCAGGGTGCCGTCCCATGAACGCCAGCGCCTCAGACAGCTCGCCGCCGTCCACGCCGCCAGCCATGCCGAACCACTCGCCCACGCCCGTCCCGGCGATGTACGGGCTCACCAGGAGGTACAGACCCGTCACGAGGGTGCTCATGAGGTTGTTGGCGCACATCATCTGCGGGCCCGTGTACGGCTTGAACGACGTGAAGATGTAGTCCTGGGTACTGTTGGTGAGGCCGTCAAAGAGCAGGTTGATGCTCAGCAACAGCAGGCCCCACGATGCGTTGGCCTCGTCCGAAAGCCGGGACGCCTTCTTCTTCTTGGACCCCGAGTGCAGGGTGAAGACGGCGACGCCGGCCGTCACGGCCGCCACGACGAGGTACTTGTACAGCGGGTAGCGCTTGCGGAAGACGGTGATGTGCAGGAACATGACGGGCAGGAGCTTGCAGCTCTTGGCGAGGAGGAAGGTGATGTAGTCAATGTGCGCGAGGCTGGCGTAGCCAAAGGGGCTGGCGAGCGAGCTGGTGATGGCCACCAGGGCGAGGGGCCCCAGGATGCGCGTCGAGGGGATGACGGGCGGCGTGGGCTGGCCACGAGGCGTCGAGAAGAGGAGGTAGACGATGCCGACGGTGGCGGCGAAGAGCGACTGGATAGTGTTGAGGAAGACGGGAAAGTGCCAGACTTCGTTCCGTAGACCGTGCGGTGTCGTTGTGAGCTTCTCCTGGAGATATGCCCATGTCAAGCTGCAAGCATGATCGGTTAGCTCCCTGAAATGTCCTGCTTTTCCCCAAAGACGTACAAAGATGCGTAGATGCCAGACACGGCGATCACGAGCTGTACAATCCCGGCACCCTTGTCCTCTGCGATCGCATTGTCCGCCAGACTCCCACTGGCCTTGGCCACACCGTTGGTAGCTTTGTTCTGAGCGACAGCCTGCTGTCCGTTGGAAGAGTCCTCCCACGTTGACGTCTTCTTGTTAAAGTACTCGGAAGAAGATTCGCGCTTCATGGCGGGCTGCTTGGAGCGTGCCATCGCTGCCGTAGGATTGGGGGAGTCGGGCTGGCGGTTGTCGCAAGCGATGATGGATGAGCGGCGTGGAAAAGGACGGGCAGGCGTGAATGACAGCAATCTTCTGCAAGACAATGCGATAAAGAGAAATAAAGGAGTGAATACCTACACGAGACTGGCACGTTGTAAAGTTCAATGAGGGTGATGACAGGTTGGCTTCAAAGGGTCCAACCCTGTCGATCGGTCCCTGACGCGCCGCCTGCCTATTACGTCGCGCGGCGGCGCAAAGATGGAGACTTGCGCCTTCCGCCTCTGGACGTCGGGGAAGCAAGCCACTGCCGCCACATATGTCAACAAGGTAACTTCATGGGGAGTAATGTGATATTTATTAAGCAGTAGTACTACTACTGGTAGTAAGTAGGCATTATGGGTCCTTCACCCTGGCAATTGTCAAGTTCTGTTCATTATCATGTCCATTGCGCTCAAACGTTGGAAGCTCCTCGTGAAAGGCTACCAAATAGGCTCCAAGGTATCTAGACATCGCGCCCAAATCCACCCGAAACACCCGGGCTATACGAAGCGTAAGTATGCCCCTTTGCCTGGCAAATAGCAAGCCATGTACGCCCCGATGCAGACGGTCAAGAGCAACATGAGTTTGGTGGTGAAATAAGAAGTCGTATCGTCGGAATGATGCATGATGGAATGATGTGTTCGTTCAACGTAAGAGAGACGTGCACACGCTCAAGACTGAGAGACGAGAACTGAAACTTGCTGCTGAAGCCCAATAATGAAGCATTGCAGGCTCCCATGTCGCTACACAGGAACGGAAAAGATTCGATGACTGCTCTCCAGCAATCAGCGCGGCAAAGTCGAGGATAAGAGAGTGGCGATTGGAATGACGGTCTCGCCGAGACGGTTGGCCGTGATCGGATACAAGTGTGAATGAGCGAGGATAAGAAGTGAAGGCCGTCGTGGAGGGTCGATGAGGCCAGTTGCCAGGCGACAAACTGGCCCGAGGAGCGTGCGTGCAGACGAGGAGCAGCCTTACAGCCAGTCCATGAATGCGCCCCAAGAATAATCCGTCATGGTACAAAGAAGCGATGAAACAAGGCAGCAAATCGTGAGGGACCCATGTGGGATTACTCCGACTCTTGCTGCACCTGGCTGCGGCGCATCTTCTCGGCCTCTAGGTTCTCGTACAGCAAGAACAGTGCAGTCTCGTTGGCCTTGGAAGTACCCATGATGGTAAACATTCGCTCGCCGGTCTCATCATGAGGGGCCTGCGGACACACTATGTTAGATGACTGACGTTGAAGACAGGGTGTCTAGAAGCCTACCTTGGCGATGGAGATGCGGGCACCCGACTGCTTGCGGATCTCACTGATCTTGCTACCAGCACGGCCGATGATGCACCCAACCATATCGGCGGGAATGCTGATGTTCTGCGTGAGAATTTCCTCGCCATTATCATCGTGAGTAGGTGGACCCCGGCCAGCGGCATCCGAGTCGGAGCGTCGGCCGAAGGCGCGCGGCGCGCCCTCACTGAAGTCTGCGCCGTTACCGGTCCTCATGAGGCGCGAGGCATTGTAGTCAGACCGTCCAGGGGGAGAGCCGTAGGTACCAGTGCTCTGGGAAGCGCCGCCTCCGGGTTGCGTACGGACAACGGGGTTGTAGAGAACAGTGCCGGTGCCACGCTGCCAATCATCCACGAGGCACTTGCAAATCTCCCAGATCGCGCGCTGGATGCCCTCGGGCGTGCCTTGGACCTCAACAATGCGCTCAGTTGACTGCGGCAGCATTTCCTTCTGCGCAACCATGCGCACACCAGACGAGTCCTGGATGTGCTTGATCTTGAGGCCTTGGCGACCGATGATGGTGCCCATCTGGTTGTGGGAGATGAGGAGCTTGATGGCTTGATGGGGTCAGTACAGTATTCACGTTATAGTAGGTGGTATGCACGTACGGTGAGTCCCATTGCTTGAGACAAGCCCTCCCATTCCCATGGCAGGAGCACCCTCCAGTAGAGCGCGAGCAACGATGGCGTATGCTTGAGAGATGGCTTCGCAGCCTCCGGTGATGGTGAGGACACGGTCGTGAACGCCTTGGACCACTTTACTAACGCCGGCTTTGACGCCAGTTTCGTCCCGAAGGTCCGCAACGTTCTTGCCACCCTTGCCGATGATCACACCAGCCTCCTTGGAGGAGACAATAGCGCGGAGAGTCAGCTGAGCCTGAGCATACTCCTCGTCGGTCCGAGGTGCGGGCTCGCCATCGGGACCCAAGCGTTCGTCCATCTTAAGGTTGTCCATCTGTTCGTGGATGTCGCCGCCGTTGGAAGGCTGGATATCCTGGGGAGCGGACATGATGGCGAGGGCCAAACGAAGGAGGGTTGGGGATTCGTAGGAGAATGAGCTTCGTGAAGCAGGGGGGAAGCTCGAGAGGAGAGCAGAGTATGGGCTTGGCGGATCGCGGAGTTTCAGACGGACTGTTGATGCATCTGTTAGCTCAAGTGTAGGTGGTAGGGATCTATGGAAGCTCGTGTGGTTGAGAGGGCCTGGGTTTCCGGGAACGCCACCAGACGCGGCAAGCGCAAACTGACTGACGTTGACCACGGTGCGGCAGGAAGTCGCGAAACGCGGCGCGGCGCTCTTGGTACCGAAATGGGCGGCGGCAGTGTTTGCCACGGAAAGCGCAAGAAACCACGTGAGAAAAAAGGGCAACGGCGCCGATGGCAAACCGTACGTACCTGGTAACTTGGAGTCCAGTCGCGTTCAGGGAAGGCGGGGCGGGGTATCGAGGAGGCGACGGGGTCTTTTAGGTCGCGAGAGTGGCGCGTAATCACCGGCGATCGCTGTGATGGTGCGCTGCGCGAGGTACTTGACGAGCAGGCCAGAAGCTTTAGCTTGGTAACGCGCGAGAGTCGGAGAGAAAGCAATCGCAAACGATAAGTTAGTGGTTTGCGATGGGCGGCGCGCGCGCGACAGCTTATGATTTAATGGCGGGGTTCGCGTGCAAGGGTGCGTGCTGCTGGCAGCAGCTGCTGGTCGGCAGAGGGCGGGCGTCGGTGGGTGGGATGGGGATTGTTGATGACTGGACTGGAGTCGATCTAATAGCAGTGTGCAGAAGGCACAGTGAAGACGACTGGACTGGAGAGGCGGGACGAAGCGGGTAGGGAGGAATAGAGGCGGTAGAGAGAGAGGGAAGGTGAGAGACGGAGAGAGGGAATGGAGTTGAAAGCGAGAAGAGGGAGAAGGTGAGAGAGAAAGGTGAAGTGAGGGAGCAAGCGTGGGCGACTGGAGGGCGAGAGACAAATGACTGATCTGATGCGATGGTGGCCGTGGCTCGGATCTCCTGATGCTCGTCCTGAATGGCCGGCAGCCGGCTGGCACTGTGGGCACAAGCAAGGTACGTTACTACTAGGTACTAGTCGAGGGGTTCCGTGGCGCCTACTCGTTGAAGCTATCACAGCTAGACTGGATGAGGGTACCTTTACAGGTGCTCTAGAACATCAACAGGTGTCTCACCAACAGCACATGTTTCCCCAGCCACCGGCAAAGTCTCGTTACTCCATGTCTGCCTGCATGGTCTGAGTCTCGACGACCACCCGTAGACTATCACCTCACCGCTGCTACTCCCCCATACTGACTTTGGGGTGGTTCCATGTCTCTGTCTCATGCGGCAGCCCCACCGCTGCGCATCCAGTCAGCCGCCACTGTCCAGTCCCCCAGCCAGCGATGCGACCCCAGCCTTTAATAACACTCGACAGGTGGTGGTGTCACTACCGCGGAGTGCATATGACAGACCAACACCTATGTAGTAGTCTAGATAGGTCCCAGCCTAGGAATCACTTGAGCCAATTGCCTGCATAATCACACTCTTGGGGACGGGGGTTGCTCATGTGCCGGTCAAGCAGTGACGCCTCCTCCGTGACGGGAGACTACTTGCGCTGTTTGCATTGAACAATTCGGGGTGTATCAGGTATCGAGGACATGTCCGTCACCAACCATGGCCAGCTGTTCTATGCGGCACCCTGCACACAATGAATGCCCTGGCGCTGCAGTGCCACCAAGTCACATAGCATCGCGGCGCGTCCCTCATGCAACCGCACGCTGGGGTACCATTGGGCTGATATCACCAAGCACAACCATGCCGCAATAACGCAAAGTAGCCAAAGTCACCTCTGCCGCAGGGCCTGCTCGTGCTCGACCCAGAAGTTCTTGCACGCGCGATGACCCCAGTGCTCCACCCACCACTCGCCAAAGCTGTCCTCGACATCATAGTCGACCTTGGCGACCCGTTCATCCCTCTTGAGGCCGCAGATGACGCATGGCTTGGGCGCCGTGGGCACGAGCTTGGCCGTCTGGATCTGCATGTTCTCGCTGATCTCGGGGACCCTGAGAGACGACGTCTTGCCCGAGCTGTTGGTGGCCGCCACGGCCGATCGTAGTCTCCCCACGTACTCGCGCCATGCGGCCGCCACGTCGGCCGCGTCGCGATCTTCCCTGACGCTTTGTGTCTTGTCGACACCGGCGAGCTTCATGCCCTTGCTCCCCGCGACGGAGATGGACATGCTCTTGGCCAATATCTTGTCCCTGTGCCATCGGTGCTTCCGTCCAGCAATCACACGTCCGGCTGTCGTGGCGATCATGATGTACCCGCGCAGAAAGTCTGCTGCCTTGGGATCCGAGAGAACGCGCTCCTTGATGGACGCTGTCTGTCCTGCCGTAGGTTTGAACAGAGTATCGCCAGCTTTGAAGAGGCCGGGGAAGGCAGAAAGAAGGACCGAAGGAGGCGGCACGTTCATCGGCGGTGGTTGATCGTCGTCTGCTGCTGCTGGCTGAGATGGCTGTGGCGACGGTTTGGAGTCCCGTTCCCAGTTGTCAGTGGTAGGGGCGGGAGTTGGTTTCGTGATGCTAGGAGCTGGTTTGGATTCAAAATCGTCCCACGCGTTCCACTGGTCATCGTCATCATCAACGAGCGTTGCCTCTTTTAGTCTGCTTGGCTTGTTTGCCGCCAACGGTTTCTGTGGTCTCGCCTTCTCTTGTGTCTGAGCCTTTGCTGTTGCGCCGAAGCCATGCGGCGTTGATGGCTTCACTGGCGTCGCCTCTGCGTATGACGGTGGGTCTTCCAGTGACAATAGATCCATGGAGGGTGGCTGTGAGACCTGCGGCGCAGGAGCCTTTGGCCTCGATTCAACGAGAGCTGGCGCCGCCTTGGGCTGCGTGGTCGGGACAGTCTCGAAATCGCCAAAGTCGTCGTCCTCATCAAAATCATCCTCATCATCCTCGTCGCCACCTTCCAGCTCAAAGTCCTCGGCATCGAACATGACATTCGGATTAGAGGGCTGTTTGAGCTTCGGTTTTGTATCTTTGGCTTTTCCATGTTTACCGACATCAACAAGGTTATCGTTGATAATGTCCATGGTGTCGGCGCGCACAAGTCGAGGCTCGCCAATGCTTTTCAAGGAGGCTGCATTGGGAGCATTGTCTAACGTACGCTGTTGCGTAGTTTGACTTGTCGAAAGGGACGGCTTCTCAAACGCTTCCCACGGGTCTGCCTGTGAAACTGACGGAGAAGCCTGCGCCTGCGTCTTCAATCCACTGAACTGCGACGATATCTGCGAGGTTACCGGCGAGGCCCCCAGCCCGGCAAGCTGCGTTGCTGAAGACTTATTCACGCTGCTGTCTGCCGTCTCAAAGTCACCCCAACCATCATCATCGTCTTCTGCAGCCGCAGGCTGGGTGCTCGCTTGCGCAGCTGGAGCGGCCCCCCATCCGGTGCCTCCCTGGGTAGGGAGGTTGCCCCAAGCCTGCGTCTGATGCAAGCAGTGGGAGCTATTGTCTGAGCTCTGCTGTTTCTGCTGCTGCGCCTGATCGCTCGGTGGGCTGTTGAACTCAGCAAACAGGTCTGCGGACATTTTCTCGTAAAAAATGATGCATGGTATTGAAGACTCCCAAGACGACCATAAGGCAAAAATACGACGACCTGGGTAATTAGTTGGACGAGCGTCGATTGCTGAGATGAGGTCGAAGTCGGACGTCGTAATGAGCTGGGCGGATTACGCTGGGTGGGGCGACGTCGTTTCACGTGGGCCAGCCAGGACCAACAAATAAGTGCTGATGACTTCACTCCAATCTCGTACTCTTGCCTTGCCATGAAACAGAACAACAGCCATGCGTAGTCTACTAATCAATTACAGCCCACCAAACCATCCGCGCCCTTGCGCCAAAAGATTTGAGATGAGCTCTGCACCCACGGACCCTTGGCGTATCCTCCCGACATCGGACAGCTCCTCGTCGCCAAAGAAGGCCCAAATGTCCTCTGCCAACGCCTCTGGGCTCTCCCACGACGCAAAGTGGCCGCCTTTGTCGTGGAGATAGCGAGCCTTGACATTCCCCGTGCGCTGGGCCCACTCGAGAGGCTGTGGATGGATATCGTCAGCAGAAGCATAGACCAGGTCGCGCGACTCAACTCACAATGCGGTAGAAGATGTCCTTTGGAAACTCCGAAACCCCAATGGGCTGCTTCACATAAGGCAGGCTATGGAAGCCGGTGGCATTGAAGGCGCCTGCCGCAGCGCCCTCCTTGTAGATTCTCAGGGGGCCGTACGGGCCCTGTATCCAGTGCATCATGGTCCACGTGATGATCTCTTGGGGCGTCCAGATTTCGACATTCTCGACTGCCGGCCACATGGCATCATACAGCCACATGGCGAGACCAATGGGGCTATCGGTGATGGCAAAGCCGAGACGAAGGGGCCTGGTCTGCTGGATTTGACCATAGCCCCAATGCTCACCGATGAACTGGTCATGCAACGTGATGAAGGAAGCCTCGTCCTCCGAGGTTTCACCAAGCTCGTGACGTTCTCGATCCTCCTCGGAGGGGGATACCGTCCAAAAGCTGTTCAGCCCCGACACGACTGATTCGGGATACAGATTGGCCTGGTAACGCATGATGATGCCTCCAGCATCACCGCCCTGCATAACGTACCTCCGGTACCCCAGCTGTCGCATGAGCTGGTCAAAGGCGTGAGCGGCCTCGATGTAGCCAAAGCCCGGGCGAGTGGGCGCTGGAGAAAAGGCAAACCCAGGAATTGAGGGTGCGACAACGTGGAAAGCTGGCAAGTCATCGCGCGGGGGGTGAGTCAGGTAGTTGATCAGAGGGCCAACTTCGAGAAAGGACCCTGGCCATCCGTGAACGAAGAGCAAGGGGATCGCATCCTGGCGGGGCGATACATGGTGAACAAAGTGCAAAGGCACAGACTCCTTGTACTGCGAGACCCTGGCAATGTCGACAGTGGTTGTATACTGCTCAAACCTAGCAGCAGTCAGGCTCATCTATGCATCATCATCATGGGTGAGGTTAGGTGAGGTACTGCTCGTTCAAAGCCCGCTGTACTTGGAACCAGTCGTAGTCGTTGACCCAGTGGTCACGCACAGATGTGGCATCCTCCAGTGCAGGCCCTTCTGTGTGATCGGGCTGATCAATGGGCGTGGGCAGGCGTGTCAAGCCCACGCGTAATTTGGTCTGTGCGATGAATTCCTCATCGACGTCAATCTGAAATGGGGCTGGCGTCTTGCCAAAGGTCGCCTTGAAGTTCAAGTCGCTGCCCTGTGCTGCACGAGCAACGGCCGCCAAGGGGCTCAGGAGGAGAACAGAGACACCTTGGATTCGCATGGTGAGAAAATAGAGTTGAATATGGTCGAGGATTACATCAAGGAAAGAAAAAACGACAAGAGATTCATGTTGGATGAAATTAAAAGGGGAAAACGAAACAAGGGAGTCCATTCACGCCTGACCTGCTGATATAATGTTAATAACATGACGACAAGGCACAAGTATCGATGGCCAATCACGAGGCCAGAATTGGCGGGAGAGGCGCCCCACACTAGTCAGAATTGTGGACACAAATAGTCGACAGCGAGAAAAGCAGATGACGGCTGATTAGGCAGGAATTCAATACGACATTCCCATGAAAAGCTGAGGGATAAGTTCAAATACACTATAGAATTCATCTTAATTCTCGATAGATCAGGAAATCTCACTTTGCTGGCAGCAGATGTCATCTGTAGCTCGGATGCCCAAGGTCCGGTCCTGCAGTATTTCTGTCACCAAGATGGGGTTCAATTCCGCCGTCAACCTTGCTCAATCGCGCAGGAGAGGATCCAATGACGAACCTCACAATCCAGGCCAAGCTGAACTCCCAATCCTCAACCAACAACATTGAACATCCTATGCATAACACCGTATGACCTCTACATTGATCCACAGACATTTCCCGTGCACATGGACCTCTGATGCCAACGAATGAGCCGCCGCCTCAGCGCTCTTACTCCAAATCACAATGCGCCCTGTGGATGAGATCCAGTGAGTCCTCTCCTCCATCTGCGTGGCATGTCGCGCCTGTCTCACGCCGAACCAAGGCTACGATGGCGCGCAACACAAACCCACGGCGCAAGTCGCGATGACATGCAACGTGCCGTGCGGTACACTGGCGCCGCCAGCCCGTGCATCTCCGGTCTGAGGTCTGTCTGCTGGAAGGTATGCGCTATCCCTGCTCGATGCCTTGTGAGAGCTCACCTTCTCATGATGCCAGATCCTCCTCTTGTCCAAGACGAACGAGACAGACTGGATCAGTGTCTTGCGCGAGGCGCGCGACGAATATCAGAAACGCAGAGATGCGCTGCTACAGTACATCAAGCACCCTGAGGCTCTGGCCGAGCTCAAGGTTGATCCGCTGGCGGATGATCCTACCGTAAGGCCCCTTGTGTGACATGGAAAGAGATGCATGTGATTGCTGACTGTAGTCTCCAGTCTCCTTGGAACACCATTCGGCAAGACGAGCTCATCCGCTCAGAGATCCAACAGGATGTGCAAAGGCTGCCCGACGAGGCCAATTACCATGATGAGCGCATACAGACCATGATCCTGGATGTGCTCTTTGTCTACTGCAAGATGTATCCCGACAGGGGCGGCTACCGCCAGGGCATGCACGAGTTGCTCGCGCCCATTGTCCACGTACTCGAGGCAGACGCCATCGACCGGGGCGCACTTGCTGATGAGCATGACCTGGACGAGACCCTACTTGATCTTACCAGCTCAGACTTTGTTGAACACGATGCCTACGTCCTGTTCTGCAAAGTCATGGACGGCGCGCAGTCCTTCTATGCTCTCAACGATGAAGCGGCCTCGCGGAGCCAGGCCCAATCATCCACGATTGTGGAGCGCAGCAAGTTCATACACGAAGTTTGCCTCCAAAAGGTCGACCCTGAGCTGGCGGCACACCTCATCAGCGTGGAGATTCTTCCCCAGATATTCCTCATGTAAGCTCTCTGTCCATGGAGATGAACCGGTCTAACAAGATGCAGACGTTGGGTCCGGCTGCTCTTTAGCCGCGAGTTCCCCTTTGACCAGTTCTTGATGCTGTGGGACACTATCTTCGCAGTCGACCCATCCTTGGACTTGATAGACCTCATCTGTGTATCGATGCTGATACGGATACGCTGGCAGTGTGAGTGATGTGGGCCTATGTGTGGCTGGGTTCTTGACTGACAGCAGGCAGTGCTTAAAGCTGATTATTCAGTCTGCCTGCAGCTTTTACTGCGGTATCCTCCGCCAGACGAAGCTAATGGACCGAGCACCTTTGTCGACGATGCCTTGCATCTTCGAGGCCATCTCGACGGCGCCGGTGGCTCCACGCTCATCGTGAAGTACACAGGCAAGATGCCCGCCAATGTCAAATCGCCCGACATCTCAGCGCCCTCGACACCTAGCTTCCGCCCTTTCAACGCCCTCCGCCAGCGCAGCCTGGCCATGCGCTCCCCCTTGAACTCACCGCCTTCCTTCATGGCCCAGCAAGCTGGCGTGGAAGCCATTCTCTCCAACGCCGCCAAGGGTGCCAAGGGAGTGCTCGACCGTGGCGAGAAGCTGGGCATCAACCAAGCAGTCCGCGACGCCATGGGTGAGATTCGCCGAAACATGCAGAACTTTAACGAGGCGCGCTACCAGCCGGGCCCGACCAAGGAGATCCTCAGCGAGGAGGGCGCCGCGACCGCGTTGGCGGCCATGGAGAAGCGGAACCTGCAGTTGGCGTGCATGCTGGACGACACGATTACGAGTCTCAAACTGGTGTCGGCAGGGAAGCTGGCAGACGATGAGGAGAAGACTAAGAGTCTGGAGATGATTGAGGTGGCCGCGGCGAAGATTCAATTTGTCAAAATCTACCTCGAGGACTCGGCCATGGAGATGCCGGCTGCTGATCCGCCCGCGCCAGAGGAAGATGTCGACGCCATGGGCACGGATGCAAAAGAAACCGCTACTGGCACCACCGCATTGAATGTCGACGACGTCAACAACATCTCGAACCTCAGCCTGGCGCTTGATGCACCCACCATCGAAGACGACCAAGCTGCAGAGCTAGCCGAGAAGCGGGACACTGAGTCACCGAAACCTGCCCCCAAGCTGGAGCCACCAATGTCCGCGGCCTCGCGTGCTATTCGCCCGGCAGCCGTGCCGACGCGGTCGACACTGGCGCAGTCGTCGTTCTCTTGGATGCTCGAACCGGACGAGTCCAAGCAGAGCTCGGGCGAAGCAGCCAAGGCCAAGTCGCCGCCGCCGTCAGGCCACAAGAAGCGGTCTTCGAACAACGCGAGCCGCGAGAGAAATGCGTTCCTTTTTGGTGAGCCAACGGCCGATCCGCAAGGCCGCGATCCGCCACGCGATGACATCTTTGGCCTGGAGCCTCTGCGCAAGACATGAAGGGACGAAGACAGCACAGAACAAGGCGTACTTGATCATCATTGACACATGTACATACATCATATATATAGACGGCGCGCACAGCGCAAACCCTCTCGTCACTTCTTCAACGGCCTCTCCCTGATCCAGAACGAGACCACGAAGCCCATGACCAGGAAGATGAGGGTGGGGCCGTACCCGCCCAACGTCGCCAGCTTGTAGCTCTCCTTGACCTGCGCGGCCTGCCACGGAGACAGCTTGTGGATGAACTCGAGGCTCTGCCGGACGCCCTCTTCGATCTTTTTCGCCTCGTCACCGTCCGGGAAGCGTGCCGCGAGCTGCGTGCGCAGGACTTGCTGCAGCGAGGCGGCGCTAAGGCTGACGCCGATGCTCGAGCCGAGAGAGCGGAAGAGATAGGAGGACGCGACGACGAGAGCCATGTCCTCGGTGGCCGAGTTGGCGATCAAGCCGACGAGGGTCGTTGTCACGACAGCCGAGTAGCCCAGGGCCATGAGGAACGTCCCCGCCACCTCGCCCAGGCCATCTTGGAACCACACCGACACCGTCAGCGGGACGATGGCCACCAGCCCCAGGCCCATGCTCAGCACCGTGATCCAGTAGTACCGCTCCGTGCGACGGATGATCCAGCCCCCTCCCACCGAGGCGATCACGACGGCGACCATGGCCGGCACGAGGTAGGCACCGCTCCTCGTGGCGCTCGCCCCCAGCACGGCCTGGAAGAACAGGGGCACGAAGAAGAGCACGCCAATGTACGCGGCCGAGGCGGCAAAGTTGACGAGGTAGCACGCAAACAGGCTCTTGTCGAATATGACGTGGCCCGGGGCAAAGGGGTACGCGGCGAACCTGACCTCGACGAGGACAAAGGCGGCGAAGACCACCGGGGCGAGACACAGGGCCACGACGGTCAGTGTGTGGGACCAGCCGAGGTTGGAGCCTGCGTCGAGGCCGAGGAGCAGGGCGACGACGGCAGCGATGAGAGTGAGGGCGCCGAGAAAGTCGATCTGGCGGATCTTGGCGGACCAGTTCTCGTGCGGTGGTGATGGCACGTCCACGACGTAGTAGACCGCGACGAAGCCGATGATGCAGAGGGGCACCTGTCCGAGGAACGACCTACAAGGAACTTGTCAGCAGGCAGGCAGACAGGCACCAGACCTGTCCTCTTGGGGGGGGGGGAAAGACTCGATACGCACCATCTCCAGCCGACAGAGTCAGCGAGGAAGCCGCCCAGGGGCGCGCCGACCGAGGTGCCGACGCTGGCGATGATGTTCATGTAACCCTGCCAGATGCCCCTGTCCCGCAGCGGGACGAGGTCCGCGGTGAGGATGGAGACGACGGCGTTCATGCCGCCGCCACCGATGCCCGCGAGGGCCCTGGCGACGCAGAGCTGGACAATGTCCCGCGCGAGGCCGCAGCCGAGACACCCGACGGCGAAGACGGCATAGGCGAAGAGCAGGCAGGGTTTCCGGCCAAAGATGTCGCTGAGCTTGCCGTAGAGGGGCTGGAAGGAGGTCAGGGTGAGAAAGTACGAGGTGGCGATCCAGCTGGTGCTGTTGAGGGCGTGGAGCTCGGAGCCGATGCGGGCGTAGGTCGCGACGGCGAGGAGCTGGTCGATGGCCATGAGGAAGAGCTTGGAGGCGCGTATTCATGTCAGCCAGGGAAGAGTCCGCGGGGCGCTGAGATGGCACGGGGGGGGGGGGGGGGGGGGGGGGGGGGGTTTACAAAAAACCCCCCCCCGGGCAAAAAAGGCCCCAGGTAGGCCCCGGGTTTTTGAAGGTGGGCGTTTCAGGCGGGGTTGGAGGGGGGGT